TTAAATGTCTGCTGCCGGTGCTCGTATACAGCTGCATACGAGCAGAGTTAATGAAAGACTGGTACACTATAAGAGGTGTACCAGTATGTAACTTGAGCCTGGAATGTTCAGGTCCTATAGTCACAAGAAGTTTCCATGCTCTAGACTTAGCTATCAACGCCATCACCATCACTGCTGCACGGTCTAGGTGTAACCCCTGTTCACGGTAGTTGTCACGTTTGTCCTAGTCCCAGTATCATCGTCTTTCATTATTATTTTCGAGCTGGGTTTGTGAATATAGTAAAAACAAACTTCAGTTGAGTAGATTTGACAGTGAGCATGTTCCTGGTTAGACATGTAACCGTGTGCATGCATGCTCTGCTTCTATAGTCGCGGAGATCGCTGTGGGTATCGGCGACTTCTTCATTTTTAACAATCACCGGTAGTACGAGTCCATGTCGTAGTGTCGTGATGTAGCTACAGAAAGGCGTGGACACCACGTGAACTTGGATCTGTGAATCTTCCTCCATTGTGTTCCATACTTCACCAGCTTGATTTGTAGATTTTTTTAAAGCACTGCATTTTGCTCTTCCTTTTGTTCAGTGCTCGTGTCACTTGGTGGATCTGATTATTCTGTTCAGGTCGCTCCAGCTGCACGCAAGATCCTACGTACATGCCCACCTATTTCAATTCAACTGGCACAGGCACAGGGTAGTATTGAGCAGGTGCTGGAAGGCAGTGGAGATCTTTCCGGGCGGAAGCGAGCGGCATGCAGGCACAATCGAGCAGCAATTGATGAGTCTGCTTCTCAGTCAGGCCTGCTCGTTCAGGATGTTGAACAAACATTGGACAGAATCAAAGCACGTCTCTCATGGTAGCTCTGCCAACCATGCCACCACCGAGAGTGTCCGAAGTGCATGTCAACTTTAACATTAGAATCTGTTCTGGTAACACTAGATCTCTTGAAACAGAATTTAAATGATTACGATCAGGGAGTAGGCATTTTACTACTCCCTGATCATGACCATGATGCCCGTAAGACGTTACACTCTGGTCAGTCACAACATGCACTGTAAGTCACTTGAAGAAGACTTGTAGTATGGCAGTACTTTGCTAAATGCACGGCTCATGCATCCGAAAAGCTCAGCCTCATTGTGCCATGCGTACTGAATCCGGTATCGCTAGGCCGGTAAGACCGGCAAAACTACAAGTACAACAGTGGCAGTAAGATGCTTCAAAGCGAGCGGACGGCGTTATTGGATGATCCATGTCTGTTCATAATATATGCGTTCAATGAGCAACATCAGTACTATACCGTGATTCACGGGTAGTTGTGATTATCTGTTGCATGGAAAATTGGACGTGAACTCAGCTGAAGAGTTGTGCTGTGGATGAAACTCAGCTCTCTTCCTTCCGCTTCTCTTGCTCAAGAAGCTTTGGCAAATGTGTAAGTAAGTTTGTTGTTAGTGTGGCCAGTCTGGAAGGAGATCATAATCATTACAAGTATTACAATGTATTGGCATCACACAAGGCTCCCATGGCATAGAAGGACAAGGTGAAGGCTGTAGAGTGTTGTTCTGCCCCCCCCCCCCCCCCTTCCAGACTGCAAGGTGCTTGGGTAAGTTGGGAAGTTGACGGCGCATTTCCCATTAGTACGCAGTAGATCTACTGATCATGGCGCCTGTCACGAAGTACAGGCCTCAACGGTTCGGACATTTCTCGCATTGTTTGTTTACTCCAGAGTACAATGATTATGTACAGTGCAGTGTAGAGATAAGTACAGACTCAGTGTACACATGGTAGATCGTCTAGTCGTCTGTACCACGATGACAGTCTACCATGTCCGTGGTCTACTCAGCTCTCTTGCATCTGTCCTAGATGTTGTCCACCCCTTGGCGTGGTTTTACAATATCAGCGTGCACGACATGGCCGAGTTGACACACACCCTCCAAGGCAACTACATGTACCACCAACTGGGAGGTAGATTCTACATACAAGTACGAGTATAGTCATGTACCGACATCTGGGAGAGCAGATATCAGTAGAATGTCATGTAGATCTACATCGCTCATTACCTGATTACTAGTACTAGTAGTAGTAGCGGCGGGAGGAGCAGCAGACCTTTGCCCGGGTTTTGGCAGGTCTGTATTGTAGGCTATGCTAAACGTCGGTCCAACCTAAACCAGATTCGTTGAGAATGCGATGAAGCAAACGGTTTGACAGCTGGGCTGTCAGATACGAAGATCATCACCGAACGACCCTCCGGACAAGTACCGTGATCTCCGATATGGTGATCCTTGCGCTCTGTGGCAAGGTCAACGCCTTCCTCAATGAGAAATTCTGGTAAGAAAGGCGTTTTGCAATTATTTGCTTCGGAAGAGCTGATGTTCTGAACGAACGCTAGTTCATATTTTGAAGGACGATTATCAAAAAGAGAGAGTGAGAGAGAGAGAGAGAGCGAAAGAGAGCATAGTAGTGTGCCGCCCGCTCTTGCAAGATGATGTGTCCCGGGCCAAGCCCAGTAGTCAGATCGGCACAGGTGGGCTGAGTTTGTAAAAGCACTAGAATCATTGCTGCTGGCCATGGCAACACCATCGGGTCGTTTCCAGAAAGTTGGCCAGGAGAAACTGAACGATGCAGACGCGGCAGCACGGAGTACCACGGATAAACAGGCCGCTGGAGGAGCTGACCAAGGATGGGGCGACATCCAGCGGCGAGCGTTCACCAACTGGTTCAACTATCATTTGAGAGCCTATTACAAGAAGCATGACATCGCTGATGGAGGTACCGTTGCGGATCTGAACGAATCCCTAGGCAATGGACTTCTTCTTATTCTACTGCTGCAGCAGCTGTCCAAGAAGAAATTTCCCCGCTACAACAAGAAGCCTCGCATCAAACAGCAGGAACTGGAAAACCACCTGCAAGCCTTGCGGTTCATGGAGAAGGAGGACATAAAGCTCGTCAACATTGGTAAGCGTGACTCTATCTCTTTATGCAGTACCCCTTCACTTCATTCAGTGATCCGGAGTTCAGAATTCCAAAGTAACACAGGCTGTCATTGCATGTGATTGATCCAGCCATGAATATGGCCATCCAACGAAGATGTTAAAGGGGAAGTTAAGGCAAAAATTAAAATTTCACCAGTTGTAGTCTTCGGGGCGCTGAGTCGAATGGTCGTGGTCCGAGGAAGCTGAGACGCTCCCTTCCTACTTGCATCCCAATCGAACTCGCGCACTTCCACCGAAACTGGGTGACTGCGCCCTACTAGATGGGGATTTGTATGCAAAATGTCACTAAAAGCGCCATTTCGTTCTTATAAAAGCACGGATGACCGCGATTGGCCCATATGTTGTAGTCTTTTGGACGCTGAGTCGACTGGTTTTGGTCCGAAAAGGCTGCGATGCAGCGTTCCTCCTTTATTCCCAATCGAACATGGTTGAACAAGCGGTCACGTGCTCCTGCGCACGCCAGTCACCTGGTCACCGTCCCTGCAGGGTACAACTTACTAGCCTGTTTGACCTTTTTTGGGTGCAGTCCTGTCACTCGAGTTGAACCTTGGTGTGAAAGTTGTCGCCTGCTGGCGTGGTGACCAGGTGATTTGGGCACCCAGGAGCACGTGACCGCTTGTTCAACCATGTTCGATTGGGAATAAAGGAGGAACGCTGCATCGCAGCCTTTTCGGACCAAAACCAGTCGACTCAGCGTCCAAAAGACTACAAAATATGGGCCAATCGCGGTCATCCGTGCTTTTATAAGAACGAAATGGGGCTTTTAGTGACATTTTGCATACAAATCCCCATCTAGTAGGGCGCAGTCACCTAGTTTCGGTGGAAGTGCGCGAGTTCGATTGGGATTCAAGTAGGAAGGGAGCGTCTCAGCTTTCTCGGACCAAGACCATTCGACTCAGCACCCCGAAGACTACAACTGGTGAAATTTTAATTTTCGCCTTAACTTTCCCTTTATTTATTTTAACAGACTACACACAGTAATTACGTGCTGGTACATATACACAACCCTGTGCACATACTAGGCCGCATGGCATACTGACATTTTGCTCAAGAGTTGCACAGGAGTGGAGGTCATCATCTCATTGGTTGTGCAGGGTCCCACTTCAATCTCACCTGGCTGCTGTACTTGCATGTGCTGCTTGTCTAGGTGCTGAGGACCTGCAAGGGGGCAACCCAAAGCTATGGATGGGCGTCATCTGGACACTGATCGGCAAGTACGCAATTCGCATTGCCAACTCACGCATGACACCCAAGCAAGCCATGCAGAACTGGCTTGCAACAGTGATGCCGCAGTATCGCGTGGCCAACTTCGCCAGCGCATGGAACAATGGCATTGCTCTGTGTACACTGATTGACGCCATTCAGCCAGGGCTGTGTCCACAGCATGCATCGCTTGATCCGAAAAACGGTCTGGCAAACTGCGAGCTGGGAATGCGTCTAGCCGAGGAACACCTCGGAATCGAGCGCATCTTTGATGCCAGCGATCTGAACAACCCGCACATCGATGACCACAGTACCATGACCTACTTGAGCTTGTTCACGCCGAAGACAGATGACAGGCTACTGGAGTGGATCAAGGAGAAGATACCAGAGTTCAACATCACCAGCTTTGGCGGTAAAGACTGGAATTCAGGACTGGCTCTAGCCGCACTTGTCGATGCCGTTCAGCCAGGTCTGTTCCCAAACCACAAGAAGCTAGACAAAAAGAATGCAAAGCGCAACGTGGAGAAGGCAGTGACGCTTGCAAAGGAGAAACTTGGAATTGATGATGTTCTGAAGCCAGATGAAATCATCGATCCCAGCCTGGATGAGTGGCTGATGGCAACATACATCCAGGGATTTCAGCTCTGTGTTGTATTCCAGCCAGCCGTTGCTAGTGGACAGGGACTGGTAAAGGCTGATGTTGGTCAGCTTGCCACATTCACCGTTGATGCAACCAAGGCTGCAGAGGCGGACCTGAGCATCAATATTGCTGGCCCGCACTCGCAGCTGAAAGCAGACGTTACCCGTCCCAAGGAAGAAGAGGCTATGTTCACCGTCACATACACGCCGAGCGAGCCTGGCATGCACACGATCACCATATTCCACGGCGAGCGTCAGGTGTCCGACTCTCCATACAACGTTCCTATCATCGACCTATCCAAGTGTACAGTATCAGGAAAGGCTCTCGAGGCCGGTGCACTGCTCAAGCAGCCGTACACACTCACAGCGGACGCAAGCCGTGCAGGACCTGGGAAACTGGAAATCACACTGCTTGATCCGAGCAAGGAGAACTGCCCAGTGGAGGTCACGCCAGGAACGGACGGTTTCCACAAGATCCAGTGCCCTGCGCCGAAAGCTGGTGTGTATGAACTGACTGCGACATATGCGGGACAGGTCATTCCTCAGTGCCCGCTCTTCATCCACGTCAGTGATCCAAGCGCCTGCCAACTGCTGACCAAACTGAAGAAAGGTTACTTGCACCTGGTGAACAAGCCGTTTGAAGCCTTGCTGAACATGACCGAAGCTGGCAATGCCAGCCTACAAGTCACTGCAACATGCGGAGAGAGCACAGAGCAAGTTCCTTACACACAGCCCGACAAGAGAGGAATGGTGGTGGCAACGTTCGTGCCCAGAGCGCCCGGCTACTACGCTATCAACATGCAGCTAAGCAGCTGTCACATCCAGGGTTCCCCTCTCCTGCTACCTGTCGTCGACCCCAGTCTGTGCACACTCGTCGGGCTGCAGCCTCGCATTCCTGTTCGCCAGGCGTACCAATTTCAAATGCTGACCAACCAGCCGGTTCCAGCTGACCTTGACGTGAAGATATCTGGTGACAATAACTGTAACACGCCGCAGGTCACAAGATCCAACGGCACGCCCGGAGAGAACTTCAGCATTGCCCTGCATCCCACAGGCAGCGGCAAGATCACCGCACAGCTGACGTGGGCGGGCGGCGTTGTCCAGGACAGTCCCGTCTCCTTCGAAGTGGTCGACGTGTCACGCTGCGCCCTGGTCAGCATCTCGGAGCGGGTTCGTGTCGGAGAGATGGTCAACGTGGTTGCAAGTGCACAAGGTGCAGGTGATGGAAACATGGAGATGCGTGCAGCTGGTTCAGTGCTCAAGTATGAGTGTACAGTGCAACAAGATGGCCATAACTACTCAACAAGTTTCAAAGCTGGTGAGAAAGGTACTCACCATGTTCATATCGACTGGTGTGGCATTGCCATCCCTAGTTCACCGTTCCAGGTGGAGGTTCTGCCCGAGATCACGTCACATCAAGTCACGGCCAAGGGCCCTGGCCTGGTGGAAGCGCTGACGGAAACGACGGCGAAGTTCGACATTACTGCACCGGACAGTGGCTTGCTGAAGCCAGGCATGCTTGCAGTAGCAGTCTGTGATGCTACAGGTGAAACCCTAGATGCAGCCTGCACGGACAATGGTAACGGAACATATGATGTGGCATACACGCCGCTAACTGCAGGAAAGGCCACAGTCAAGATATCATACGCTGGTACAGATATCACACTATCACCATACTCTGTGCCCGTCCACAAGAAGCCAAGGCCTGATCTTTGCTCGGCATCAGGGAAGTGCCTGGATCCAGCGAACAAGAACTACAAAGATCAGCCCGGCGACATCATGGTCGACACATCTGATGGCGGTCAGGGAAAGCTCTCTGTAGCTGTTCGCAGGCCGGACAACAGCAGTGCCGTCGTTTTCTTAGCACGCATTGGCAAGGATGTCGCAGTGCGATTCGACTGTGATCTACTTGGCCGGTATCAAGTTGACATCAAGTGGTCAGGAGAGCACATTCCAAAGTCACCGTTCCATGTTGATGTTGTCGCACGACTAGAAGCCCATCAACTTGTGGTGAGTATAGCTATGGTCATCAGCTCAGTGGCTGCACACCTGTGGCGTGAAAGCAACGTCTTTTGTAGTACTACGCACAATTCTTTCTCTCGTCGGGTATATCTTGAGCAAAACAACATGACATGTTGTTTTACTTTTAAAAGATTGTAGTGGTGTTTGCATATACATATACAGTGTAGTACATATAGGAAACGTTAGAGGGGTGCCTCTGCTTGTGAATGGTGTCCAGATATGGGCCAGGGGAGGGGGGGGGGGGGCTCTTTAAAAAAAAACTCCCCAATAACAATACGATAATTATGACAGCCCCGCAGTCAGTAATCAAATATAGCTGGCTTACATGTTTATCAGAATACTTGACATGATCACGTTCACCGAGCCAGTCTTGTTCACAACATTTGACACGATCGCATTCACCAAGCCAGCCAATCATGCTCACCTCCAATTACTGCATGCCCTTTGTCATGTATATCTATAACTAAAGCGAGCTCATTCCGTTTCCAATTTGTTATGTGCACAATACCCCTCTAACAGTAGAAGGAAAGCAGCAGATGCTGTCAGGATGAATATTACCATTCAATGTGCTTGCATATGTGTGTGTGTGTGTGTGTGTGTGTGTGTGTGTGTGTGTGTGTGTGTGTGTATGTGCACATGCGCACGCATGTGTGCTCACACACACGTGTTACCTGTACTTGCTCCAGGCTAAAGGCCAAGGCTTGGTATCAGGATGGACAAATGAAATGGCAGAGTTCAACATTTCAGCCGTTGTGCCTACACCCATTGAAGCTGACTGCCTGGATGTGGTGGCCATTCCACCATCAGCTCTAGTGAATGGTGACCTAAACACACTGGATGACCTACCAGCTGCTGCCAAGGTTCTCCCAGTGTCATTAGCTCTAGCCGAGAAGTCATCCGGAAAACGTGGCGACTCCTACAAAGCTACCTACACCCCTGTGGAACATGGTGACCATCAAATCAGTGTGCGTTATCGCCATCAACATATCCCTTGCTCACTATTCCGAGCAACGATCCGGGAGTCTCCACAGGCCAGCAAGTGCAAACTGACAGCAGACTGGATCCCTAGTTCGGCCGCACCAGGGGCAGTCCCTGACTGTACGCTGCTGACTGGTGATTGCTGTTTGGCAAGCATCGACGCCACTGCATCAGGAGATGGTCAATTGACAGCCAGTCTAACACACACCACAAGTCAGTCTGCAGTGCCCATCTCCGTTGGTGTGGCTGCTGCTGACAAGTGTTTCGCGATACGGACGGATACTCTTGTGGAAAGTGGAAAGTACCGCGCTGATGTCAAATGGTCTGACCAACACATCCCAGGCTCACCATTCTACATCGTAGTGGCGGAGCGTTTGACAGCCACCCAGATCTCCGTGAGTAAATACCCACACAGCACACAGCATAGCATGGCTTCTACTGCATGTATGCCCTCACCTCTGTCAGTGGGGTTGCTCCCGGGCCATGTTAGCGTTGCTCCCCATGTTAGCGTTGCTTGCATATGCTATGAGATAGAGTCGAATAGATAACTAGAAAGCATGTAAGCATGGGGTTAAGTGGGGATGCTGGACATTAAATCTCAAGAGTAGAATGAGAAATGATGTCGCTCTACTCCAAAGCACCAACACAATTGAAGATGTCCCCTGAGTGCTGACACAAGCTTGTACTGGGATGTCTTTTTCAAAAAGTAAACCAAACGGTTATGTAATGTTCACGGCCGTAGAGTAATTCATGGCAGAGTGGTATTCCTTCGAGTTGCAATTTCGATGGGAATTGTGATGTGCGCTCCTCCGAATCTTGATTTCACCTTTGGAACGGCAGAGTTAGCACAGCTTTTATTCTACAGTACATTATCACAGTGTGTATTGCGGTGCATTGACCCAGCACCTTTGAAGTCAGTGGCAGAGACTGCTTCAATGGTGACAGGTTTCCAGTGAACCACCCATCCCATTTTGCTTTCTGCATTTCGGACATTCATCTTTACTGTACTGTTCATTGAAAAAGTATTCTGGATTTTGTCAATACTGCAACAGGCAACTGGTCAGGGATTGCAAGAAGGATGGACGCAGAAACCATCAGAGTTTGTGATTCACGGTACACGCCAGGGTCTTCACACTGACGGAAAGCTGAGCGTTGAAGTCAAATGTCTGGAGAAGAACCAGAATCAGAAGGCAAAGGGAGGAGCCACTGCAACAGCGGCGTCGGTAGCCCAGTCAGGCATGCTTAAATCCGACGTGAAGGACAATGGTGACGGTACATATTCAGTCATGTACACGAGTGTGGATCCCGGTGTGCATGAGGTTTGCATACTGTATCAGGATCAGCACATCAGCAGCTCTCCATTCAAACCAGTGCACAAGATGTCACCTGATGCCACAAAGTGCAATGCTCGCTTCACCTGGCTGAGATCCGACGGAAGTGTTGGAACCACTGGCCAGAAAGAAAAAGGTGGCCAGGGCACAACAGACAAACCCACTGTCACAGAAGGAGACAACGTGCAGCTGAGCATTGACGCAACCAACGCAGGAGAAGGTGAACTGACAGCCAAGGCACAGTGCAACCAGGAGCCGATTGATGTTCTCATTGACACCATGAAGAACAAGAGGGGCCGTGTGTACATTCCAAGCTTGTCTAAGCCCGGTGAATATCGTGTGGACGTGGAGTGGTCCGGTAAACCAATTTCCAAATCGCCGTTCCTCTTCACCGTTGTGGAACGTCTAGAAGCTGATGACATGACGGTGAGTGAAAATAACTGCGATTTTTTAAAGACAGCACTGCAGCCATGTCAATCCATCCAGACAGCACTGCAGCCATGTCAATCCATCCAGACAGCACTGCAGCCATGCCAATCCATCCAGACAGCACTGCAGCCATGTCAATCCATCCAGACAGCACTGCAGCCATGTCAATCCATCCAGACAGCACTGCAGTTTCAATCCATCCAGACAGCACTGCAGCCATGTCAATCCATCCAGACAGCACTGCAGCCATGTCAATCCATCCAGACAGCACTGCAGCCATGTCAATCCATCCAGACAGCACTGCAGCCATGTCAATCCATCCAGACAGCACTGCAGTTTCAATCCAGACAGCACTGCAGTTTCAATCCATCCAGACAGCACTGCAGCCATGTCAATCCATCCAGACAGCACTGCAGCCATGTCAATCCATCCAGACAGCACTGCAGCCATGTCAATCCATCCAGACAGCACTGCAGTTTCAATCCATCCAGACAGCACTGCAGCCATGTCAATCCATCCAGACAGCACTGCAGTTTCAATCCATCCAGACAGCACTGAAGTTTCAATCCATCCAGACAGCACTGCAGCCATGTCAATCCATCCAGACAGCACTGCAGCCATGTCAATCCATCCAGACAGCACTGCAGTTTCAATCCATCCAGACAGCACTGAAGTTTCAATCCATCCAGACAGCACTGCAGTTTCAATCCATCCAGACAGCACTGCAGCTTCAATCCAGCCAGACAGCACTGCAGCTTCAATCCATCCAGACAGCACTGCAGTTTCAATCCATCCAGACAGCACTGCAGCTTCAATCCATCCAGACAGCACTGCAGTTTCAATCCATCCAGACAGCACTGCAGTTTCAATCCATCCAGACAGCACTGCAGTTTCAATCCATCCAGACAGCACTGCAGTTTCAATCCATCCAGACAGCACTGCAGTTTCAATCCATCCAGACAGCACTGCAGTTTCAATCCATCCAGACAGCACTGAAGTTTCAATCCACCCAGACAGCACTGCAGTTTCAATCCATCCAGACAGCACTGCAGTTTCAATCCATCCAGACAGCACTGCAGTTTCAATCCATCCAGACAGCACTGCAGTTTCAATCCATCCAGACAGCACTGCAGTTTCAATCCATCCAGACAGCACTGCAGTTTCAATCCATCCAGACAGCACTGCAGTTTCAATCCATCCAGACAGCACTGCAGTTTCAATCCATCCAGACAGCACTGCAGTTTCAATCCATCCAGACAGCACTGCAGTTTCAATCCATCCAGACAGCACTGCAGTTTCAATCCATCCAGACAGCACTGCAGTTTCAATCCATCCAGACAGCACTGCAGTTTCAATCCATCCAGACAGCACTGCAGCCATGTCAATCCATCCAGACAGCACTGCAGCTTCAATCCATCCAGACAGCACTGCAGTTTCAATCCATCCAGACAGCACTGCAGCCATGTCAATCCATCCAGACAATGCTATCCTCAATCTACATTGTAGTTGCACCAAGTCTTGCCTAAATACCGAGCTTTGCCTAAATACCGAGCAAGCAATGTAATTGCAGAGGAACTGAGGGAACCTATAGAGGTTATGTGAATGGTTTCATCGAGATTTTCACCTGGACACCAGAACACGAGCGGGAGTCAGCAGGTTTTTCGAATGAGCGCTAAGCATGCAGCGTGAGTCGCTAGTGCAAGTGCAGTGCTGTGCCGCGAGTCCGCGACTTCGCCACAGCATCTCAACTGATGATGTAATCGAATGACCTCTATAGCGAAGTGTAGTTGACAAATGACAACTCTCAGTGGTAGATTGAACTCTGTAACTTGAGCACAGCAGCTTGTCAGTAGGTCAATGACAGCATGCATGAATATGCTAAATACCGTCGAATCCCGCGGACAAGCCCATGGGCTTATCTGTTTCACAAGGACATTTCGGTGGGCTTTTACAAGAACATGGGCTTATTTCGTCAGTATTCTGACGCCGACACCAAAATTGTGCTATTGAAAAGTATAAAAGGAAGTGAGAAGTACATTGCTGAAAATCACAGTGCAAGCAAAAACAAACGATGATTGTGTTGAAATATACAAAAAAGAAGAAAAGAAAAACAAAGGAAAAACGTACATGTACTATGTACATGTACGACCTATAGGCCCATGGGCTGGTACAATGAAGCTTCGCGATATTCGATCTTGGCCTGGGCTTATGCGCGGCTGGGTGTATCCGCGGGATTCTACGGTAGTAACGGACAAACAGCCTTACCTCAATATACACAACTATATCAAAACTAGGAGGAGGGTACGTGGGGGGGGGGGGGGGGGGGGGGGAGGGTGAGAGAAAATTTTGATTGACAGCCAAACCAGTGAAGCTCTACGATGACACATGATATTAATTGCCTCTCCTACATTGTTGCAATTAGCTGAATGTTTCCTTTCCGAAGGCTTAGCTACCATTTTTCTTGCGCATGTGGATTTCTGAAATAGGCTACCGGCGATGGACTGCAAGCCGGATGGACGCAGAAACCATCAGAGTTTGTGATTCACGGTACACGCCAGGGTCTTCACACTGACGGAAAGCTGAGCGTAGAAGTCAAATGTCTGGAGAGGGGCCAGAATCAGAAGGCAAAGGGAGCAGCCACTGCAACAGCGGCAGCAGGGGCATTAATTGAATCGCAGGTGAGAGACAATGGTGACGGCACGTATTCCGTGGAATACACGAGTGTGGATCCCGGTGTACACGAGATATGTGTGCTGTACAAGAAGCAGCACATCCGTGGCTCTCCATTCAAGCCTGTCCACAAGATGTCACCCGATGCCAGCAAATGCAGCGCAAGACCATCATGGCTCAAAGACACGGCGTCTGCTCTGACCAGCGCTGACGGCAAACAGCAAAAGCCTGCTGGCATCAGAGTCAAGCCAGGTCGCAATGACGCTGAGCCACAGACAGACAATGCTGCGGTGGTAACAGAGGGAGACAGTGCACAGCTTAGCGTGGATGCCAGCAACGCAGGAGAAGGAGAACTCACAGCAACAGCATTGTGTAATGATGAACCCATCGACGTTCTGGTAGACTCAATGAAGGACAAGAAAGGTCGTGTGTATCTGCCCAATGTACCAAAGCCTGGTGAATATCGTGTTGACGTGGAGTGGTCCGGTCAACCAATCGCCAAGTCTCCTTTCCTCTTCACCGTCGTTGAACGCCTGTCCGCCAGTGACATGACGGTAAGTTTTGCAGCCCTTTCTGCAGTCTTGCCTGATTCTGTCTGCACAAGTTAATTCCGGCTACCTGTGGCATGTAAGAATTAGTGCTTCTCTTCCGTCATTCACTGTGCTGCCTTCCGATCGCCCATGCAATACGCCCGCTGTATATGAAGATTGAGTGTGAATGATGATGAAGATAGCAATGGTGCTTTTGTTGCATACTTTGTTGTTGGCTACCTCTGTGTCTGTGGTCCCTAAGTAAGACTCCTCGCCTAATCTTCTTTCTTCCTCTTCTTTTCCCTGTTTATGTACATGTATGTGCATGTTGATCCCTGCAATAGGCTACCGGCGATGGACTGCAAGCCGGATGGACGCAGAAACCATCAGAGTTTGTGATTCACGGTACACGCCAGGGTCTTCACACTGACGGAAAGCTGAGCGTTGAAGTCAAATGCCTGGAGAAGGGCCAAAATCAGAAGGCAAAGGGAGCAGCCACTGCAACAGCGGCAGCAGGGGCATTAATTGAATCGGAGGTGAGAGACAATGGTGACGGCACGTATTCCGTGGAATACACGAGTGTGGCTCCCGGTGTACACGAGATCTGCGTGCTGTACAAGAAGCAGCACATCCGTGGCTCTCCATTCAAGCCTGTCCACAAGATGTCACCCGATGCCAGCAAATGCAGCGCAAGACCATCATGGCTCAAAGACACGGCGTCTGCTCCGACCAGCGCCGACGGCAAACAGCAAAAGCCTGCTGGCATCAGAGCCAAGCCAGGTCGCAATGACGCTGAGCCACAGACAGACAATGCTGCGGTGGTAACAGAGGGAGACAGTGCACAGCTTAGCGTGGATGCCAGCAACGCAGGAGAAGGAGAACTCACAGCAACAGCATTGTGTAATGATGAACCCATCGACGTTCTGGTAGACTCAATGAAGGACAAGAAAGGTCGTGTGTATCTGCCCAATGTACCAAAGCCTGGTGAATATCGTGTTGACGTGGAGTGGTCCGGTCAACCAATCGCCAAGTCTCCTTTCCTCTTCACCGTCGTTGAACGCCTGTCCGCCAGTGACATGACGGTAAGTTTTGCAGCCCTTTCTGCAGTCTTGCCTGATTCTGTCTGCACAAGTTAATTCCGGCTACCTGTGGCATGTAAGAATTAGTGCTTCTCTTCCGTCATTCACTGTGCTGCCTTCCGATCGCCCATGCAATACGCCCGCTGTATATGAAGATTGAGTGTGAATGATGATGAAGATAGCAATGGTGCTTTTGTTGCATACTTTGTTGTTGGCTACCTCTGTGTCTGTGGTCCCTAAGTAAGACTCCTCGCCTAATCTTCTTTCTTCCTCTTCTTTTCCCTGTTTATGTACATGTATGTGCATGTTGATTCCTGCAATAGGCTACCGGCGATGGACTGCAGGCCGGATGGACGCAGAAACCATCAGAGTTTGTGATTCACGGTACACGCCAGGGTCTTCACACTGACGGAAAGCTGAGCGTTGAAGTCAAATGCCTGGAGAAGGGCCAAAATCAGAAGGCAAAGGGAGCAGCCACTGCAACAGCGGCAGCAGGGGCATTAATTGAATCGGAGGTGAGAGACAATGGTGACGGCACGTATTCCGTGGAATACACGAGTGTGGCTCCCGGTGTACACGAGATCTGCGTGCTGTACAAGAAGCAGCATATCCGTGGCTCTCCATTCAAGCCTGTCCACAAGATGTCACCCGATGCCAGCAAATGCAGCGCAAGACCATCATGGCTCAAAGACACGGCGTCTGCTCCGACCAGCGCCGACGGCAAACAGCAAAAGCCTGCTGGCATCAGAGCCAAGCCAGGCCGCAATGACGCTGAGCCACAGACAGACAATGCTGCGGTGGTAACAGAGGGAGACAGTGCACAGCTTAGCGTGGATGCCAGCAACGCAGGAGAAGGAGAACTCACAGCAACAGCATTGTGTAATGATGAACCCATCGACGTTCTGGTAGACTCAATGAAGGACAAGAAAGGTCGTGTGTATCTGCCCAATGTACCAAAGCCTGGTGAATATCGTGTTGACGTGGAGTGGTCCGGTCAACCAATCGCCAAGTCTCCTTTCCTCTTCACCGTCGTTGAACGCCTGTCCGCCAGTGACATGACGGTAAGTTTTGCAGCCCTTTCTGCAGTCTTGCCTGATTCTGTCTGCACAAGTTAATTCCGGCTACCTGTGGCATGTAAGAATTAGTGCTTCTCTTCAGTCATTCACTGTGCTGCCTTCCGATCGCCCATGCAATACCCCCGCTGTATATGAAGATTGAGTGTGAATGATGATGAAGATAGCAATGGTGCTTTTGTTGCATACTTTGTTGTTGGCTACCTCTGTGTCTGTGGTCCCTAAGTAAGACTCCTTGCCTAATCTTCTTTCTTCCTCTTCTTTTCCCTGTTTATGTACATGTATGTGCATGTTGATCCCTGCAATAGGCTACCGGCGATGGACTGCAAGCCGGATGGACGCAGAAACCATCAGAGTTTGTGATTCACGGTACACGCCAGGGTCTTCACACTGACGGAAAGCTGAGCGTTGAAGTCAAATGCCTGGAGAAGGGCCAAAATCAGAAGGCAAAGGGAGCAGCCACTGCAACAGCGGCAGCAGGGGCATTAATTGAATCGGAGGTGAGAGACAATGGTGACGGCACGTATTCCGTGGAATACACGAGTGTGGCTCCCGGTGTACACGAGATCTGCGTGCTGTACAAGAAGCAGCACATCCGTGGCTCTCCATTCAAGCCTGTCCACAAGATGTCACCCGATGCCAGCAAATGCAGCGCAAGACCATCATGGCTCAGAGACACGGCGTCTGCTCCGACCAGCGCCGACGGCAAACAGCAAAAGCCTGCTGGCATCAGAGCCAAGCCAGGTCGCAATGACGCTGAGCCACAGACAGACAATGCTGCGGTGGTAACAGAGGGAGACAGTGCACAGCTTAGCGTGGATGCCAGCAACGCAGGAGAAGGAGAACTCACAGCAACAGCATTGTGTAATGATGAACCCATCGACGTTCTGGTAGACTCAATGAAGGACAAGAAAGGTCGTGTGTATCTGCCCAATGTACCAAAGCCTGGTGAATATCGTGTTGACGTGGAGTGGTCCGGTCAACCAATCGCCAAGTCTCCTTTCCTCTTCACCGTCGTTGAACGCCTGTCCGCCAGTGACATGACGGTAAGTTTTGCAGCCCTTTCTGCAGTCTTGCCTGATTCTGTCTGCACAAGTTAATTCCGGCTACCTGTGGCATGTAAGAATTAGTGCTTCTCTTCCGTCATTCACTGTGCTGCCTTCCGATCGCCCATGCAATACGCCCGCTGTATATGAAGATTGAGTGTGAATGATGATGAAGATAGCAATGGTGCTTTTGTTGCATACTTTGTTGTTGGCTACCTCTGTGTCTGTGGTCCCTAAGTAAGACTCCTCGCCTAATCTTCTTTCTTCCTCTTCTTTTCCCTGTTTATGTACATGTATGTGCATGTTGATCCCTGCAATAGGCTACCGGCGATGGACTGCAAGCCGGATGGACGCAGAAACCATCAGAGTTTGTGATTCACGGTACACGCCAGGGTCTTCACACTGACGGAAAGCTGAGCGTTGAAGTCAAATGCCTGGAGAAGGGCCAAAATCAGAAGGCAAAGGGAGCAGCCACTGCAACAGCGGCAGCAGGGGCATTAATTGAATCGGAGGTGAGAGACAATGGTGACGGCACGTATTCCGTGGAATACACGAGTGTGGCTCCCGGTGTACACGAGATCTGCGTGCTGTACAAGAAGCAGCACATCCGTGGCTCTCCATTCAAGCCTGTCCACAAGATGTCACCCGATGCCAGCAAATGCAGCGCAAGACCATCATGGCTCAAAGACACGGCGTCTGCTCCGACCAGCGCCGACGGCAAACAGCAAAAGCCTGCTGGCATCAGAGCCAAGCCAGGTCGCAATGACGCTGAGCCACAGACAGACAATGCTGCGGTGGTAACAGAGGGAGACAGTGCACAGCTTAGCGTGGATGCCAGCAACGCAGGAGAAGGAGAACTCACAGCAACAGCATTGTGTAATGATGAACCCATCGACGTTCTGGTAGACTCAATGAAGGACAAGAAAGGTCGTGTGTATCTGCCCAATGTACCAAAGCCTGGTGAATATCGTGTTGACGTGGAGTGGTCCGGTCAACCAATCGCCAAGTCTCCTTTCCTCTTCACCGTCGTTGAACGCCTGTCCGCTAGTGACATGACGGTAAGTTTTGCAGCCCTTTCTGCAGTCTTGCCTGATTCTGTCTGCACAAGTTAATTCCGGCTACCTGTGGCATGTAAGAATTAGTGCTTCTCTTCCGTCATTCACTGTGCTGCCTTCCGATCGCCCATGCAATACGCCCGCTGTATATGAAGATTGAGTGTGAATGATGATGAAGATAGCAATGGTGCGTTTGTTGCATACTTTGTTGTTGGCTACCTCTGTGTCTGTGGTCCCTAAGTAAGACTCCTCGCCTAATCTTCTTTCTTCCTCTTCTTTTCCCTGTTTATGTACATGTATGTGCATGTTGATCCCTGCAATAGGCTACCGGCGATGGACTGCAAGCCGGATGGACGCAGAAACCATCAGAGTTTGTGATTCACGGTACACGCCAGGGTCTTCACACTGACGGAAAGCTGAGCGTTGAAGTCAAATGCCTGGAGAAGGGCCAAAATCAGAAGGCAAAGGGAGCAGCCACTGCAACAGCGGCAGCAGGGGCATTAATTGAATCGGAGGTGAGAGACAATGGTGACGGCACGTATTCCGTGGAATACACGAGTGTGGCTCCCGGTGTACACGAGATCTGCGTGCTGTACAAGAAGCAGCACATCCGTGGCTCTCCATTCAAGCCTGTCCACAAGATGTCACCCGATGCCAGCAAATGCAGCGCAAGACCATCATGGCTCAGAGACACGGCGTCTGCTCCGACCAGCGCCGACGGCAAACAGCAAAAGCCTGCTGGCATCAGAGCCAAGCCAGGTCGCAATGACGCTGAGCCACAGACAGACAATGCTGCGGTGGTAACAGAGGGAGACAGTGCACAGCTTAGCGTGGATGCCAGCAACGCAGGAGAAGGAGAACTCACAGCAACAGCATTGTGTAATGATGAACCCATCGACGTTCTGGTAGACTCAATGAAGGACAAGAAAGGTCGTGTGTATCTGCCCAATGTACCAAAGCCTGGTGAATATCGTGTTGACGTGGAGTGGTCTGGTCAACCAATCGCCAAGTCTCCTTTCCTCTTCACCGTCGTTGAACGCCTGTCCGCCAGTGACATGACGGTAAGTTTTGCAGCCCTTTCTGCAGTCTTGCCTGATTCTGTCTGCACAAGTTAATTCCGGCTACCTGTGGCATGTAAGAATTAGTGCTTCTCTTCCGTCATTCACTGTGCTGCCTTCCGATCGCCCATGCAATACGCCCGCTGTATATGAAGATTGAGTGTGAATGATGATGAAGATAGCAATGGTGCTTTTGTTGCATACTTTGTTGTTGGCTACCTCTGTGTCTGTGGTCCCTAAGTAAGACTCCTCGCCTAATCTTCTTTCTTCCTCTTCTTTTCCCTGTTTATGTACATGTATGTGCATGTTGATCCCTGCAATAGGCTACCGGCGATGGACTGCAAGCCGGATGGACGCAGAAACCATCAGGGTTTGTGATTCACGGTACACGCCAGGGTCTTCACACTGACGGAAAGCTGAGCGTTGAAGTCAAATGCCTGGAGAAGGGCCAACATCAGAAGGCAAAGGGAGCAGCCACTGCAACAGCGGCAGCAGGGGCATTAATTGAATCGGAGGTGAGAGACAATGGTGACGGCACGTATTCCGTGGAATACACGAGTGTGGCTCCCGGTGTACACGAGATCTGCGTGCTGTACAAGAAGCAGCATATCCGTGGCTCTCCATTCAAGCCTGTCCACAAGATGTCACCCGATGCCAGCAAATGCAGCGCAAGACCATCATGGCTCAAAGACACGGCGTCTGCTCCGACCAGCGCCGACGGCAAACAGCAAAAGCCTGCTGGCATCAGAGCCAAGCCAGGCCGCAATGACGCTGAGCCACAGACAGACAATGCTGCGGTGGTAACAGAGGGAGACAGTGCACAGCTTAGCGTGGATGCCAGCAACGCAGGAGAAGGAGAACTCACAGCAACAGCATTGTGTAATGATGAACCCATCGACGTTCTGGTAGACTCAATGAAGGACAAGAAAGGTCGTGTGTATCTGCCCAATGTACCAAAGCCTGGTGAATATCGTGTTGACGTGGAGTGGTCCGGTCAACCAATCGCCAAGTCTCCTTTCCTCTTCACCGTCGTTGAACGCCTGTCCGCCAGTGACATGACGGTAAGTTTTGCAGCCCTTTCTGCAGTCTTGCCTGATTCTGTCTGCACAAGTTAATTCCGGCTACCTGTGGCATGTAAGAATTAGTGCTTCTCTTCAGTCATTCACTGTGCTGCCTTCCGATCGCCCATGCAATACCCCCGCTGTATATGAAGATTGAGTGTGAATGATGATGAAGATAGCAATGGTGCTTTTGTTGCATACTTTGTTGTTGGCTACCTCTGTGTCTGTGGTCCCTAAGTAAGACTCCTTGCCTAATCTTCTTTCTTCCTCTTCTTTTCCCTGTTTATGTACATGTATGTGCATGTTGATCCCTGCAATAGGCTACCGGCGATGGACTGCAAGCCCGATGGACGCAGAAACCATCAGAGTTTGTGATTCACGGTACACGCCAGGGTCTTCACACTGACGGAAAGCTGAGCGTTGAAGTCAAATGCCTGGAGAAGGGCCAAAATCAGAAGGCAAAGGGAGCAGCCACTGCAACAGCGGCAGCAGGGGCATTAATTGAATCGGAGGTGAGAGACAATGGTGACGGCACGTATTCCGTGGAATACACGAGTGTGGCTCCCGGTGTACACGAGATCTGCGTGCTGTACAAGAAGCAGCACATCCGTGGCTCTCCATTCAAGCCTGTCCACAAGATGTCACCCGATGCCAGCAAATGCAGCGCAAGACCATCATGGCTCAGAGACACGGCGTCTGCTCCGACCAGCGCCGACGGCAAACAGCAAAAGCCTGCTGGCATCAGAGCCAAGCCAGGTCGCAATGACGCTGAGCCACAGACAGACAATGCTGCGGTGGTAACAGAGGGAGACAGTGCACAGCTTAGCGTGGATGCCAGCAACGCAGGAGAAGGAGAACTCACAGCAACAGCATTGTGTAATGATGAACCCATCGACGTTCTGGTAGACTCAATGAAGGACAAGAAAGGTCGTGTGTATCTGCCCAATGTACCAAAGCCTGGTGAATATCGTGTTGACGTGGAGTGGTCCGGTCAACCAATCGCCAAGTCTCCTTTCCTCTTCACCGTCGTTGAACGCCTGTCCGCCAGTGACATGACGGTAAGTTTTGCGGCCCTTTCTGCAGTCTTGCCTGATTCTGTCTGCACAAGTTAATTCCGGCTACCTGTGGCATGTAAGAATTAGTGCTTCTCTTCCGTCATTCACTGTGCTGCCTTCCGATCGCCCATGCAATACGCCCGCTGTATATGAAGATTGAGTGTGAATGATGATGAAGATAGCAATGGTGCTTTTGTTGCATACTTTGTTGTTGGCTACCTCTGTGTCTGTGGTCCCTAAGTAAGACTCCTCGCCTAATCTTCTTTCTTCCTCTTCTTTTCCCTGTTTATGTACATGTATGTGCATGTTGATCCCTGCAATAGGCTACCGGCGATGGACTGCAAGCCGGATGGACGCAGAAACCATCAGAGTTTGTGATTCACGGTACACGCCAGGGTCTTCACACTGACGGAAAGCTGAGCGTTGAAGTCAAATGCCTGGAGAAGGGCCAAAATCAGAAGGCAAAGGGAGCAGCCACTGCAACAGCGGCAGCAGGGGCATTAATTGAATCGGAGGTGAGAGACAATGGTGACGGCACGTATTCCGTGGAATACACGAGTGTGGCTCCCGGTGTACACGAGATCTGCGTGCTGTACAAGAAGCAGCACATCCGTGGCTCTCCATTCAAGCCTGTCCACAAGATGTCACCCGATGCCAGCAAATGCAGCGCAAGACCATCATGGCTCAAAGACACGGCGTCTGCTCCGACCAGCGCCGACGGCAAACAGCAAAAGCCTGCTGGCATCAGAGCCAAGCCAGGTCGCAATGACGCTGAGCCACAGACAGACAATGCTGCGGTGGTAACAGAGGGAGACAGTGCACAGCTTAGCGTGGATGCCAGCAACGCAGGAGAAGGAGAACTCACAGCAACAGCATTGTGTAATGATGAACCCATCGACGTTCTGGTAGACTCAATGAAGGACAAGAAAGGTCGTGTGTATCTGCCCAATGTACCAAAGCCTGGTGAATATCGTGTTGACGTGGAGTGGTCCGGTCAACCAATCGCCAAGTCTCCTTTCCTCTTCACCGTCGTTGAACGCCTGTCCGCCAGTGACATGACGGTAAGTTTTGCAGCCCTTTCTGCAGTCTTGCCTGATTCTGTCTGCACAAGTTAATTCCGGCTACCTGTGGCATGTAAGAATTAGTGCTTCTCTTCCGTCATTCACTGTGCTGCCTTCCGATCGCCCATGCAATACGCCCGCTGTATATGAAGATTGAGTGTGAATGATGATGAAGATAGCAATGGTGCTTTTGTTGCATACTTTGTTGTTGGCTACCTCTGTGTCTGTGGTCCCTAAGTAAGACTCCTCGCCTAATCTTCTTTCTTCCTCTTCTTTTCCCTGTTTATGTACATGTATGTGCATGTTGATCCCTGCAATAGGCTACCGGCGATGGACTGCAAGCCGGATGGACGCAGAAACCATCAGAGTTTGTGATTCACGGTACACGCCAGGGTCTTCACACTGACGGAAAGCTGAGCGTTGAAGTCAAATGCCTGGAGAAGGGCCAAAATCAGAAGGCAAAGGGAGCAGCCACTGCAACAGCGGCAGCAGGGGCATTAATTGAATCGGAGGTGAGAGACAATGGTGACGGCACGTATTCCGTGGAATACACGAGTGTGGCTCCCGGTGTACACGAGATCTGCGTGCTGTACAAGAAGCAGCACATCCGTGGCTCTCCATTCAAGCCTGTCCACAAGATGTCACCCGATGCCAGCAAATGCAGCGCAAGACCATCATGGCTCAGAGACACGGCGTCTGCTCCGACCAGCGCCGACGGCAAACAGCAAAAGCCTGCTGGCATCAGAGCCAAGCCAGGTCGCAATGACGCTGAGCCACAGACAGACAATGCTGCGGTGGTAACAGAGGGAGACAGTGCACAGCTTAGCGTGGATGCCAGCAACGCAGGAGAAGGAGAACTCACAGCAACAGCATTGTGTAATGATGAACCCATCGACGTTCTGGTAGACTCAATGAAGGACAAGAAAGGTCGTGTGTATCTGCCCAATGTACCAAAGCCTGGTGAATATCGTGTTGACGTGGAGTGGTCTGGTCAACCAATCGCCAAGTCTCCTTTCCTCTTCACCGTCGTTGAACGCCTGTCCGCCAGTGACATGACGGTAAGTTTTGCAGCCCTTTCTGCAGTCTTGCCTGATTCTGTCTGCACAAGTTAATTCCGGCTACCTGTGGCATGTAAGAATTAGTGCTTCTCTTCCGTCATTCACTGTGCTGCCTTCCGATCGCCCATGCAATACGCCCGCTGTATATGAAGATTGAGTGTGAATGATGATGAAGATAGCAATGGTGCTTTTGTTGCATACTTTGTTGTTGGCTACCTCTGTGTCTGTGGTCCCTAAGTAAGACTCCTCGCCTAATCTTCTTTCTTCCTCTTCTTTTCCCTGTTTATGTACATGTATGTGCATGTTGATCCCTGCAATAGGCTACCGGCGATGGACTGCAAGCCGGATGGACGCAGAAACCATCAGAGTTTGTGATTCACGGTACACGCCAGGGTCTTCACACTGACGGAAAGCTGAGCGTTGAAGTCAAATGCCTGGAGAAGGGCCAAAATCAGAAGGCAAAGGGAGCAGCCACTGCAACAGCGGCAGCAGGGGCATTAATTGAATCGGAGGTGAGAGACAATGGTGACGGCACGTATTCCGTGGAATACACGAGTGTGGCTCCCGGTGTACACGAGATCTGCGTGCTGTACAAGAAGCAGCACATCCGTGGCTCTCCATTCAAGCCTGTCCACAAGATGTCACCCGATGCCAGCAAATGCAGCGCAAGACCATCATGGCTCAAAGACACGGCGTCTGCTCCGACCAGCGCCGACGGCAAACAGCAAAAGCCTGCTGGCATCAGAGCCAAGCCAGGTCGCAATGACGCTGAGCCACAGACAGACAATGCTGCGGTGGTAACAGAGGGAGACAGTGCACAGCTTAGCGTGGATGCCAGCAACGCAGGAGAAGGAGAACTCACAGCAACAGCATTGTGTAATGATGAACCCATCGACGTTCTGGTAGACTCAATGAAGGACAAGAAAGGTCGTGTGTATCTGCCCAATGTACCAAAGCCTGGTGAATATCGTGTTGACGTGGAGTGGTCCGGTCAACCAATCGCCAAGTCTCCTTTCCTCTTCACCGTCGTTGAACGCCTGTCCGCCAGTGACATGACGGTAAGTTTTAGAGCACTTTCTGCAGTCTTGCCTGATTCTGTCTGCACAAGTTAATTCCGGCTACCTGTGGCGTGTAAGAATTAGTGCTTCTCTTCCGTCATTCACTGTGCTGCCTTCCGATCGCCCATGCAATACGCCCGCTGTATATGAAGATTGATTGTGAATAATGACGAAGATAGCAATGGTGTTTTTGTTGCATACTTTGTTGTTGGCTGCCTCTGTGTCTGTGGTCCCTAAGTAAGACTCCTCGCCTAATCTTCTTTCTTCCTCTTCTTTTCCCTGTTTATGTACATGTATGTGCATGTTGATTCCTGCAATAGGCTACCGGCGATGGACTGCAAGCCGGATGGACGCAGAAACCATCAGAGTTTGTGATTCACGGTACACGCCAGGGTCTTCACACTGACGGAAAGCTGAGCGTTGAAGTCAAATGTCTGGAGAAGGGCCAGAATCAGAAGGCAAAGGGAGCAGCCACTGCAACAGCGGCGGCAGCGGCATTGCTTGAATCGGAGGTGAGAGACAATGGTGACGGCACGTATTCCGTGGAATACACGAGTGTGACTCCCGGTGTACACGAGATTTGTGTGCTGTACAAGAAGCAGCACATCCGTGGCTCTCCATTCAAGCCTGTCCACAAGATGTCACCCGATGCCAGCAAATGCAGCGCAAGACCATCATGGCTCAAAGACACGGCGTCTGCTCCGACCAGCGCCGACGGCAAACAGCAAAAGCCTGCTGGCATCAGAGCCAAGCCGGGTCGCAATGACGCTGAGCCACAGACAGACAATGCTGCGGTGGTAACAGAGGGAGACAGTGCACAGCTTAGCGTGGATGCCAGCAACGCAGGAGAAGGAGAACTCACAGCAACAGCATTGTGTAATGATGAACCCATCGACGTTCTGGTAGACTCAATGAAGGACAAGAAAGGTCGTGTGTATCTGCCCAATGTACCAAAGCCTGGTGAATATCGTGTTGACGTGGAGTGGTCCGGTCAACCAATCGCCAAGTCTCCTTTCCTCTTCACCGTCGTTGAACGCCTGTCCGCCAGTGACATGACGGTAAGTTTTGCAGCCCTTTCTGCAGTCTTGCCTGATTCTGTCTGCACAAGTTAATTCCGGCTACCTGTGGCATGTAAGAATTAGTGCTTCTCTTCCGTCATTCACTGTGCTGCCTTCCGATCGCCCATGCAATACGCCCGCTGTATATGAAGATTGAGTGTGAATAATGATGAAGATAGCGATTTTAATGCTTTTGTTGCATACTTTGCTGTTGGCTAGCTGTGTGTCTGTGGTCCCTAAGTAAGACTCCTCTCCTAATCTTCTTTCTTCCTCTTCTTTTCCCTGTTTATGTACATGTATGTGCATGTTGATTCCTGCAATAGGCTACCGGCGATGGACTGCAAGCCGGATGGACGCAGAAACCATCAGAGTTTGTGATTCACGGTACACGCCAGGGTCTTCACACTGACGGAAAGCTGAGCGTTGAAGTCAAATGTCTGGAGAAGAGCCAGAATCAGAAGGCAAAGGGAGCAGCCACTGCAACAGCGGCGGCAGCGGCATTGCTTGAATCGGAGGTGAGAGACAATGGTGACGGCACGTATTCCGTGGAATACACGAGTGTGGATCCTGGTGTACACGAGATCTGTGTGCTGTACAAGAAGCAGCACATCCGTGGCTCTCCATTCAAGCCTGTCCACAAGATGTCACCCGATGCCAGCAAATGCAGCGCAAGACCATCATGGCTCAAAGACATGGCGTCTGCTCCGACCAGCGCCGACGGCAAACAGCAAAAGCCTGCTGGCATCAGAGCCAAGCCAGGTCGCAATGACGCTGAGCCACAGACAGACAATGCTGCGGTGGTAACAGAGGGAGACAGTGCACAGCTTAGTGTGGATGCCAGCAACGCAGGAGAAGGAGAACTCACAGCAACAGCATTGTGTAATGATGAACCCATCGACGTTCTGGTAGACTCAATGAAGGACAAGAAAGGTCGTGTGTATCTGCCCAATGTACCAAAGCCTGGTGAATATCGTGTTGACGTGGAGTGGTCCGGTCAACCAATCGCCAAGTCTCCTTTCCTCTTCACCGTCGTTGAACGCCTGTCCGCCAGTGACATGACGGTAAGTTTTGCAGCCCTTTCTGCAGTCTTGCCTGATTCTGTCTGCACAAGTTAATTCCGGCTACTTGTGGCATGTAAGAATTAGTGCTTCTCTTCCGTCATTCGCTGTGCTGCCTTCCGATCGCCCATGCAATACGCCCGCTGTATATGAAGATTGAGTGTGAAGAATGATCAAGATAGCAATGGTGTTTTTGTTGCATACTTTGTTGTTGGCTGCCTCTGTGTCTGTGGTCCCTAAGTAAGACTCCTCGCCTAATCTTCTTTCTTCCTCTTCTTTTCCCTGTTTATGTACATGTATGTGCATGTTGATTCCTGCAATAGGCTACCGGCGATGGACTGCAAGCCGGATGGACGCAGAAACCATCAGAGTTTGTGATTCACGGTACACGCCAGGGTCTTCACACTGACGGAAAGCTGAGCGTTGAAGTCAAATGTCTGGAGAAGGGCCCGAATCAGAAGGCAAAGGGAGCAGCCACTGCAACAGCGGCGGCAGCGGCATTGCTTGAATCGGAGGTGAGAGACAATGGTGACGGCACGTATTCCGTGGAATACACGAGTGTGACTCCCGGTGTACACGAGATTTGTGTGCTGTACAAGAAGCAGCACATCCGTGGCTCTCCATTCAAGCCTGTCCACAAGATGTCACCCGATGCCAGCAAATGCAGCGCAAGACCATCATGGCTCAAAGACACGGCGTCTGCTCCGACCAGCGCCGACGGCAAACAGCAAAAGCCTGCTGGCATCAGAGCCAAGCCGGGTCGCAATGACGCTGAGCCACAGACAGACAATGCTGCGGTGGTAACAGAGGGAGACAGTGCACAGCTTAGCGTGGATGCCAGCAACGCAGGAGAAGGAGAACTCACAGCAACAGCATTGTGTAATGATGAACCCATCGACGTTCTGGTAGACTCAATGAAGGACAAGAAAGGTCGTGTGTATCTGCCCAATGTACCAAAGCCTGGTGAATATCGTGTTGACGTGGAGTGGTCCGGTCAACCAATCGCCAAGTCCCCTTTCCTCTTCACCGTCGTTGAACGCCTGTCCGCCAGTGACATGACGGTAAGTTTTGCAGCCCTTTCTGCAGTCTTGCCTGATTCTGTCTGCACAAGTTAATTCCGGCTACCTGTGGCATGTAAGAATTAGTGCTTCTCTTCCGTCATTCACTGTGCTGCCGTCCGATCGCCCATGCAATACGCCCGCTGTATATGAAGAATGATTGTGAATAATGATGAAGATAGCGATTTTAATGCTTTTGTTGCATACTTTGCTGTTGGCTAGCTGTGTGTCTGTGGTCCCTAAGTAAGACTCCTCTCCTAATCTTCTTTCTTCCTCTTCTTTTCCCTGTTTATGTACATGTATGTGCATGTTGATTCCTGCAATAGGCTACCGGCGATGGACTGCAAGCCGGATGGACGCAGAAACCATCAGAGTTTGTGATTCACGGTACACGCCAGGGTCTTCACACTGACGGAAAGCTGAGCGTTGAAGTCAAATGTCTGGAGAAGGGCCAGAATCAGAAGGCAAAGGGAGCAGCCACTGCAACAGCGGCGGCAGCGGCATTGCTTGAATCGGAGGTGAGAGACAATGGTGACGGCACGTATTCCGTGGAATACACGAGTGTGGATCCTGGTGTACACGAGATCTGTGTGCTGTACAAGAAGCAGCACATCCGTGGCTCTCCATTCAAGCCTGTCCACAAGATGTCACCCGATGCCAGCAAATGCAGCGCAAGACCATCATGGCTCAAGGACATGGCGTCTGCTCCGACCAGCGCCGACGGCAAACAGCAAAAGCCTGCTGGCATCAGAGCCAAGCCAGGTCGCAATGACGCTGAGCCACAGACAGACAATGCTGCGGTGGTAACAGAGGGAGACAGTGCACAGCTTAGTGTGGATGCCAGCAACGCAGGAGAAGGAGAACTCACAGCAACAGCATTGTGTAATGATGAACCCATCGACGTTCTGGTAGACTCAATGAAGGACAAGAAAGGTCGTGTGTATCTGCCCAATGTACCAAAGCCTGGTGAATATCGTGTTGACGTGGAGTGGTCCGGTCAACCAATCGCCAAGTCCCCTTTCCTCTTCACCGTCGTTGAACGCCTGTCCGCCAGTGACATGACGGTAAGTTTTGCAGCCCTTTCTGCAGTCTTGCCTGATTCTGTCTGCACAAGTTAATTCCGGCTACCTGTGGCATGTAAGAATTAGTGCTTCTCTTCCGTCATTCACTGTGCTGCCTTCCGATCGCCCATGCAATACGCCCGCTGTATATGAAGATTGATTGTGAATGATGATGAAGATAGCAATGGTGTTTTTGTTGCATACTTTGTTGTTGGCTGCCTCTGTGTCTGTGGTCCCTAAGTAAGACTCCTCGCCTAATCTTCTTTCTTCCTCTTCTTTTCCCTGTTTATGTACATGTATGTGCATGTTGATTCCTGCAATAGGCTACCGGCGATGGACTGCAAGCCGGATGGACGCAGAAACCATCAGAGTTTGTGATTCACGGTACACGCCAGGGTCTTCACACTGACGGAAAGCTGAGCGTTGAAGTCAAATGTCTGGAAAAGGGCCAGAATCAGAAGGCAAAGGGAGCAGCCACTGCAACAGCGGCGGCAGCGGCATTGCTTGAATCGGAGGTGAGAGACAATGGTGACGGCACGTATTCCGTGGAATACACGAGTGTGACTCCCGGTGTACACGAGATTTGTGTGCTGTACAAGAAGCAGCACATCCGTGGCTCTCCATTCAAGCCTGTCCACAAGATGTCACCCGATGCCAGCAAATGCAGCGCAAGACCATCATGGCTCAAAGACACGGCGTCTGCTCCGACCAGCGCCGACGGCAAACAGCAAAAGCCTGCTGGCATCAGAGCCAAGCCGGGTCGCAATGAAGCTGAGCCACAGACAGACAATGCTGCGGTGGTAACAGAGGGAGACAGTGCACAGCTTAGCGTGGATGCCAGCAACGCAGGAGAAGGAGAACTCACAGCAACAGCATTGTGTAATGATGAACCCATCGACGTTCTGGTAGACTCAATGAAGGACAAGAAAGGTCGTGTGTATCTGCCCAATGTACCAAAGCCTGGTGAATATCGTGTTGACGTGGAGTGGTCCGGTCAACCAATCGCCAAGTCTCCTTTCCTCTTCACCGTCGTTGAACGCCTGTCCGCCAGTGACATGACGGTAAGTTTTGCAGCCCTTTCTGCAGTCTTGCCTGATTCTGTCTGCACAAGTTAATTCCGGCTACCTGTGGCATGTAAGAATTAGTGCTTCTCTTCCGTCATTCACTGTGCTGCCTTCCGATCGCCCATGCAATACGCCCGCTGTATATGAAGATTGATTGTGAATAATGACGAAGATAGCAATGGTGTTTTTGTTGCATACTTTGTTGTTGGCTGCCTCTGTGTCTGTGGTCCCTAAGTAAGACTCCTCGCCTAATCTTCTTTCTTCCTCTTCTTTTCCCTGTTTATGTACATGTATGTGCATGTTGATTCCTGCAATAGGCTACCGGCGATGGACTGCAAGCCGGATGGACGCAGAAACCATCAGAGTTTGTGATTCACGGTACACGCCAGGGTCTTCACACTGACGGAAAGCTGAGCGTTGAAGTCAAATGTCTGGAGAAGGGCCAGAATCAGAAGGCCATGGGAGCAGGAACTGCAACAGCGGCGGTAGCAGCATTGCTTGAATCGGAGGTGAGAGACAATGGTGACGGCACGTATTCCGTGGAATACACGAGTGTGGCTCCTGGCGTACACGAGATCGGTGTGCTGTACAAGAAGCAGCACATCCGTGGCTCTCCATTCAAGCCTGTCCACAAGATGTCACCCGATGCCAGCAAATGCAGAGTGAGACCATCATGGCTTAAAGACACGGAGTCTCCGACCAGTGCCGACGGCAAACAGCAAAAGCCTGCTGGCATCAGAGCCAAGCTGGGTCGCAAAAACGCTGAGCCACAGACAGACAATGCTGCGGTGGTAACAGAGGGAGACAGTGCACAGCTTAGCGTGGATGCCAGCAACGCAGGAGAAGGAGAACTCACAGCAACAGCATTGTGTAATGATGAACCCATCGACGTTCTGATAGACTCAATGAAGGACAAGAAAGGTCGTGTGTATCTGCCTAATGTACCAAAGCCTGGTGAATATCGTGTTGACGTGGAGTGGTCTGGTCAACCAATGGCCAAGTCTCCTTTCTTCTTCACTGTCGTTGAACGCCTGTCCGCCAGTGACATGACGGTAAGTATTCTGGTCAAGTCAGTTGTGGGGCGCGGATTTGCATTTTCTTCGATTTTGTTCCGTTCTACTTTTAGGAGTCTTTCGGCGTATTTTTTGTTGCTGATACAGTCAACTTTGCGAATAACGACATTCGGCGGGGCATCAGAAAAGTGTCCTTATTCACGAAGTGTCCTTATTCGCGAAGTCCCATTTAAATGTATGTGAACCCATATTTTGTATAGTATGACATGCATATCAAAATGAAGCTCTTTTCATGCTCTATGCCAATGTGTACTTTATTTTCATATTACAATTGAAAGGAACTATAAAGTCAATATTCAAGGGAAATAGATTGAAAAATTAGCCTTTCTGAGCCATCTACAGGGACATGTATGATGATTACTGTACAATCATGTACAACTACCGTAAAATCCCGCCAGAGCGCCCCTACCTCCTCGACGCTTCAGGTGGGGAGGGGCGGATGGGCGAGTCCTACTTGCCGCATTCCACTAGTGGTACATGAAAAAGTACTCACCCTACGAAAACTGTTCGTGCCATGATCTCGTACATCGACCAAAGGTCAAGAGCCAGGAGTCGTACAGACCCGACAAAACGCAGGGTTTGTGCGATCCCTGGTCAAGAGGGTACCTAGGGTGGGCACTGGTGCGTACATTTCCAACGGGGTCGAGCACGCGTCTGCAGTACAGTACGGCATCACAGACTGCGACAAAGTCGTATGAGGATACAATCAATCACGTCTCTGACAAGAAGTCAGGGAGGGGCGGATGGGAGAGACGTCGCGCTCTGGCGGGATTTCACCGTACTTGTACTGTACATGTACAATGTAGTTGTGCTAATCACTCCAACTATTTTGAAAAAAATAAAAATGAAAGCCCCCCCCCCCCCCCTTTGGCTGCATCTTCTTGCATGTGTGCCTTTATCCATCGCCATGGGTTCTGGTGCTTCTGCATGACAGGTACTTGAAATAGCTGTCAAAAACCCAGAAAGTCGTTATTCAAGCAGTGAATATGACCTCGGGGCACTAAAAGCATGTCGCTATTCGCGAATTGTCGTTATTCAGATAGTCGTTATATCCGAAGTTAAATGTATACAGTTAGATGGGACTTTGCTCTGGGCATGGAAACTCTGTCGTTATTCGCGAATTGTCGTTATATCCGCAGTCGTTATAAGCGAAGTTGACTGTATACCGTAAAAGCCCGTGTATAGGCCCCGGGCGTATGGAATAGCAGCCTCGATTTCCTGGGCGTATACAAGGGCATGGGCGTTATTTTTGAACCGGTCGTGTACTTGGAATAGGGATAGCAGTAAGTATTGGGTATCAGTACCTGTACATGTACTGGTGTTGCCGGCATACCTGGGCATATACATGGACATGGGCGCTATTTTGAAACAAAAGTGTTGACTTCCCCTGACTGGGCATGTACACGGAGGGTGGGCGTATTTTCGAGTGGGCGTATACAGGGGCTTTTACGGTATTTAAAATGCCACTGCCTTCATTGTGCTGTGTACGGTGCTGTTAATGCTGATATAGATTGTACTCTGCTGCTGATGCTGATATACAGTCGAACCTCATTAGGACGAACACTGATAAGGCGAACTTTCCATCAGTACGAACTAGGGCCAATCCTATGGTTGGCCAGGCATCAATTCAAGTCAAAATTATTCGTTTACGACGAACTTCTGTACAGCGAACTTTCGCGAAGACAAACTATTTTCAAGTGTGATTTGAACAAAATCAGTGTGGTCATGTACATGTAGTACGAACTTTCGGTCCACGAGCGTGCGCGTGGGCTGGCTGCCGTCTTTTCTTCTTCTTTTTTTCAATAGTCTAGGCCATATTGTACGTACACGGTACTGTGCAAATTGTTTTCAAGCGTGTTTTGAACAAAATCAGCTCGTTGTACGAACTTTCGGCGGGGCAGTCGTGATTCATTGCACATTGTCATTTATTGTACTTACCTGCTTCTGCTAAGAATAAACTGCTTCCCATGTACCACAGCATGCACCTTCACGGAAATACAATCCATATGATATGCAGAAAGGAAAAGGACATTATGGAAACGAGTTAAGAGTAACTCTCCATCACTGTAACCAGATACTATATACAGTCAGAAAGTGCAACAACTAGGCACAAAACTGACAGAGTACTGAGACATTCGACGTCCTGACACCTAGCTTCAACACATCTCCGTAGCGCTAACCGACGGCCTTCCAACTTGGAAGGTTCAAGGTTATGGAAAGACCAAAGAGGGGAAGGCAAGCGCAACGAAAACGAGCACAAGCTACAGTCCCAACGGAACAAAGAATGTCGATTGTCACTGGACGATGACGAGACCAGTAGGCGATTTGACAAAACGGTGATGGAGAGTTACTCTTAACTCGTTTCCATAATGTCCTTTTCCTTTCTACATTTATTATTGGCTCAATACCCGAGTTTCATATGATATGCATATCGATTTTTTGTCAGGTCTGGATAAGAAGAACTCCCGATAAGACAAACTAATTTGTTCAGTCCTGTTGTAGAATTGCATGACTGTACTTCCAGCCAGCTCTTTACTCTGTACTAATAGGAACGTGCAGTACCTGCAGGTCACATGCCATCAGTGCTAGTTTTAGACTTTTTAGTGTATTCTGTGGTTTGGATGATTACAAGTTACTTCTGTAGTACACATTGCATAATTATAATAATGAGGTGATAGTCCTAGCCTACAGTGCCTGTCAGCTGTGTTTGACTCAGCACTGACTGCAGCAATGTACTCTGCGTATATGTGGCTGTTAGAAGCTGTGTTTACACGTTATGACGAGATGCTTTGGTTCTTTCTGGAAGGTCTCTCCGAAACCTTGTGTCAGTGGTTGCCAATACATTAGATGCTGTAGCTGCCGCTAGCCGCTGACTCATTGTTGTTCTCATTTGCATGTATGACTGCCCACATAGTTTAGAGGTGCTTTTCTTCCTCCGGTGTAGAAACTGTTCGAGGAACTACCATACATTAGATGGCACACCTTTGTGAGCCGGTTACGCGGAATGCTCTGATAGGTCAATGCTTCCATGGCTTACGACTATATCCTCTTCCTTTTTGTTATCTAAGTTAGTTGCGTTTAGACCGCGGTGAGATGTTTGGCCGGTGATGAACTCTTTCCTCTCTCGTCTTCGTGCATTGATTACTTTTCCGAGCGTATACTGCTTTCCCATTTTAGACTTATTTTACCCTCAGACCTGTGGTTGCTTTGGGCAGTGTGTGCTGACAGCGTGGTTCAGGAAAGGGGGGAAATTAGTCAACAGTCCCTTGAAGTTTGTCCTAACGAGGTTTGACTGTACGTTCGGTTCACATTGTTTCCTATGTTTTAGGCAAGTGGAGACGGCCTGTACAATGCCTGGACCAAGAAGAAGTCCTCATTCACTGTAAGAGGGAGGCAGGCCGAGCTAGTGATGATTAAACGTCTTAAAATACAAGTGTCCCCAGCCTCGGCAAGCGATGGCAGTGTTGGAGCGGATAGACTGCCAGCCACACAGCCGTTGCCATTGCAGATCGAAGACAACACTGATGGTACATACTCAGTGAGTTACGAGCCCAAGGTATCCGCTGAACATACTATTCACATTCAATTGGATGATCAGCATATTCGCTCGTCACCGTTCAAGCTGAGTGTTCAGCAGTCCCCTGATGCTTCACTCTGTAGCATCATTTCACCATGGCTCACCGCCAGCCGCTCGGGTAAGAAGCCCGAGTGCACATGTGGAGATGTTCTGGAACTAGAAGTTGACACGAGCAATGCAGGCGACGGGGCGTTAACTGCAAGAGCGCGTTGCGATCAGTATCCTGATGAAGATGTCAAGGTGATTGTAGTCAACAAGAAGAACAAACCCAGTCTTGTCTTCATTCCGAACATTCCCAAAGAAGGCACTTACCACATTGATGTGTTCTGGGATGGAAAAGCCATTGCTCAATCTCCGTTCACATTCACCGCAGTCAGGCCATTTGTGCCTGCTGACATCAAGGTATGTTGATTTGAACACAAGCATTCATGAAGAGTATCACTATGTAAGTGATCGATTCGAAAGTTTTTTCGAGTCATGTTTGCTACAAAGATTTCACCCCTGCAGCGCAGAAAGAAATGCTTTAAAACCCGGAGGTTTAGCCAGACTTATCGGAAATGACTGAAGCAGGGTGATAAGACTGAAAGAGGTCTTTTGAAGGAGGAAGCAATTACACTGTAGATAATTCGAAAGCATGCTGCCTGTAACCTTATTTTTTTAATGTGATTGCAGTAGAGGAGACAGAAATTTAACACAAGGTGTTTTGTCGGCTCTTCCGTGCTGTTTTGGTTTGCTGCCTGCTGCACTGTGCATTCAGGCATCGGGTGATGGCCTGGTTGAGTGTTGGACACGCAAGCCAGCACAGTTCTCACTGTACGGTGCACTCCCCAACCTCTACCATAGCAAGCAGCTGCAGGTCAACATCACAAAGGCCACGCCAGGAAAACGAGGCAGCGGCGGTGTGCAGAACGGTCGCGCTGTCGCCGATGGCCATGGTGGGCATGAGGCACGTGTGTGGGTCAGTGATCATGACGATGGTACCTATGCAGTCGAGTATGAAGTCTACCAGGCCGGTGAGCACAACATCAGCATCTTGTATAAGAATCAAGACATCCACGGCTCGCCATTCAGGATGTCTGCACAAGCGTCACCAGATGCCAGCAAATGCCAGATCACTGCACCATGGCTATTACAGAAAAAGGCTGCCATTGGCACACCTCTCACTGCCAGCATCTCAACTGCTTCGGCTGGAGAGGGAGTTCTAAGTGCTGAGCTCATCGATCCCATGCAGTCGACGGTACCTGCTACTGTAGCCTTGAAGGAGAGCCGTGAGGAATTTGACGTTCAAGTACGATGCTCAGCACTAGGCCAGCATCAACTAACCATAAAGTGGAGCGGTGTTCACATTCGTGGCTCACCATTCAAGTTCGCATCTATACCGCCAACAACCCCAGACCATATACGGGTAAGCCAGAAAGTGCATGTACACTACTCAGTACTGGTAGACTACACCCATGCCTCAGTCATGCGGACACCGAAGTTACTGTGCACTTTGGTCTCACCAGGCATCCTTTGGGCGAGTTTCTGTCGTCACTATGTGTGGTAGTGAAACATATGCTGTATCTTTGGCCTTTCCACATCAAAATATAAGCCGCATTCAGAGTTATGGACATTTCAAAGTTACAGGCAGTGTCCAGTCCAGCTTAGGTAAACGAATTATGAGCGTACTTGCACAGCAGTGCACAGCACAACACTGATGCCCGGGGGTGGATCAGGCCATCAATTACGTAACCCAATCGAAAATCATATCCCCTCCTCTGTCTCTGGCTTTGCCTTTGTCTCTGCCTCCATCTCTCTGCCTGTTTCTTTCTCTGGATCTGTGTGTGTCTGTCTGTCTCTAACATGCCCCACAGGTCAGCGGCAAAGGTCTACACCAGGCCACGTGTGGTACAATGGCAACATTCAACGTCTACAGCACCGTTGGACTGGCAGGACTTGACACTGATGCACTTGTCCTGGCCGTGGAGACAGACAGTGGCTATTCATTGCCAGTCAAGCTCAAGCAGCACCACAGTGAGCGCGTGGCAACGTACACTGCTCCACCGCAACCCGGCAATTACCTGATATCCGTCCAGTACCACCATCAGCATATACCGCTGTCACCGTTCAAGCTGGAAGTCACAGAGCCACCGCAGCCAGAGCGTCCAGCAATCTCCAGCGACGGGCCCAAACTTCACATTCCGCACACAGTGAAAAGCTTGAAGCAAGCAGAGGCACTCGACTTACGATTGACATCGGTGGACTCACATGCACCACCACCACAACTAATAGCTCTAGACCCCGACGGAGGGCACATGCCCATCAGATTGAGAACTGTGCACGGCGGTGGTACGAGTGCTGGCGGTGGTAAGAGTGCTGGTGGCGGTAAGAGTGCTGGCGGTGGTAAGAGCGCTGGCGGCGGGGCAATGAGCATGACTGGCCAGCTGCACACTGCCAAGCCAGGCCAGTACACCATACAGGTGGAGAGCAACGGTGAACTGGCAGCAACACCGGTCATCATCGATGTCAAGCAGTGCCAATATTCACCAGAAGACTTCACGGTGAGTACAGCTTGTCAGACTCAGGCGATGCAGGTGGTGACAACATTGGCCCTGGACATGCTCTGGACATACTCTGGACATACTCTGGACATGTTCTGGCTAATCACGGCTCTAGGTTTACATTACATTGAGCATGGTGTGTGCCTGGGTGCCAGCTTTAGCGTTGATAATAATAATTACTGATGCATGTGTTGACTGTACTAGCCAAGGCCTGCGCTGCTCATGCCCACCCAGGCAGAAGTAGTACAATGTACATGTAGGACAGGTTATAAATTAGGCCCAGTACTTGCCCAGTATTTGCCCAGTACTTGCCCAGTACTTGCCCAGTACTTGCCCAGTACTTGCCCAGTACTTGAAGTAATGTTTTACGTGTACAGTAAAACCTGTAATGGCGACCACTCGGATATGGCGACCACTCGGATATGGCGACCACTCGGATATGGCGACCACTCGGATATGGTGACCACTAGGATATGGCGACCGGACGACCACCCACCCGCGACCGCGTTGCACAGTGCTACAATTATAGTACATGTAAATGTATGCATTGCATGGTGGAACATGTGTGGTAGATCTACACCTCAGTGCAGGAAGTGTAGATGTGCATGGTGCATGCACGACACTTGACAGGTCTGAGGACCCCAGGCACATGACTCGTGCTAGAGTAGCATAGGTGTGTGCACTGTGATACGCTGATCAAAATGATGTATCACATGTGGATGTGGTCACGTGACCCACTGAACCTGGATAAGAAGACCACCTGGCCACGGCGACCACTTTTTCAGAGTCGTCCCTTGAGGGGTCGCCTTAGACAGGTTTCACTGTACATGCCTTCTAGCGTTCACCAGTGCACATTGTACTGAATAGCTCTTGACACATGATCATGTCACACGATTGTTATTGCTTGAAAACCGTATTTTCCCGACTATAAGCCACGCCTTTGTACACTGAACTGCAATGTCAAGGCGGGTTGCCACTTACAATTGACTGCGACTTACCAGACAACTTATGTGAATATTAGTACATGGAAAAATATAACAGGGACTGAAATGGGGGGGGGGGGGGGGGAGAGAGAGAGGGGGGGGGGGTGCGACCCACGATGGAGGACATGCGGTACTGTTTTGATTACACAGTGATGTGCAATTTTGCTTTGTTGTTGTTCAGGTTTCTGGTCCTGGAATACAAAGTGCAGTGACTGGCGTAGCAACCAAAGTGACCGTGCGCGGCCCCGAATCGGGCTTGGTCAAGGACCGGCACCTGCGACTCGAGGTGCAGCCGAGCAAAGCTGATGCCATGCCGCCTTCAACGCGCGTGGAGGATAAGTATGACGGCAGTTACTACATGACATACACACTCCACTCCGCAGTGGAGCACAGGCTGTCCATATGGTACAAGGATCAACTCATCCCAGGTGCACCGTTCACCATCCAATGCAAACAAGCGCCCGATGCTTCAGCATGTAGGGTGCTCGGTGGCGATGAAACGCCGAATTTCGTTGGCGGCGATAACATCATGCTCACACTGGACACATCTTCGGCCGGAGACGGAGAACTGACGGTTGAAGCCAGTGCGCCAGGAGGGCTTAGTGGCCGTGCATACGTGGCTGAGCCGATGCGTGGCCGTAAAGACATACTGCTACCTACAGTTCAGTCAGGTGTCTACAGAATCACATGCCTTTGGCATGGTACAGTAATACCGGGCTTTCCCAAGAGCTTCAATGTCACCGAAAACACTGCACTTAAGGTAGTGAAAGTGACAGGCGATGGTCTGACCAAAGCCAGGGCACTAAAGGAGGCATCATTCACAGTCCAGGCATGGGACACTGGCTTGATCAGGAGCGGCACTCTCAAAGTCAGGATTGATGGCGAGCAAGGCCAATTGAATCAGAACATCACTGAGCTAAAGGGCCGGGGTACATACCTGGTCAGCTACATAGCCCCGGCATCTGGTACCTACCAAATCACCGTTCTCAGCTACGGAAAGCACATCCTGGGCTCACCATTCGCACTCAGAGTCTCCATGCCACCACAGGCACAACTCTGCACAGCCATCGGAAGTTGTCTGGACAACGAGTCACCAGTACCCCAATCGGCCGCTGAGTTCAGCGTTAACACTAGCGAAGGCGGCTGCGGCGAGCTCGAAATACGCTGCCAGGCGCCCGGCGGCTCAAACGTGCCAGCGTTCCAGTCCGTGCACTCACCAGGCCTGTACAAGATCAAGGTACCAGCTCAAGAGAGCGGTCGCTATACGCTGGACGTACTCTGGTCAGGGGATCACATACCGGGATCACCATTCTTTATGAATATCGCCGGACAGAGTGCAACATCAGCAGGGCCAGCAGGAGCAATGGTCAACGTATCCGGCAGTGCACTGACAAAAGCTTATGTCTCTACTCCAGCAGCGTTCACCATCGAGGCTGTCCCAGGCGTTTCCGTCAGCCGTGATGACCTGGCCGTTGAAGTGGAAGGCACCAAGAAGCAGAGAGCGGAGGTAAACATTCGTCAATCCAGCCCCAGCACATTTTCTGTGTTCTATGTGCCGCCAACTGTTGGCGCATATCTAGTCAGCATCCTCTACCAGGGACAACACGTTCACAACTCTCCGTTCAAAGTCTCTGTATTCCAGCGGCCCAGACCCGACAAGGTGGTAATCAGTGGCCAGCACGTCGACGGTCAGAAGTACTGTGCGGCAGGGCAGCAGCTGCCGTTCATGGTTGCCACCAAGAACGCTGGCTATGGCAAGCTAGCCGTGACTGCTACCAGTCCCAGCGGCAATCCAGTACCGGCATACACCGCAGTCAGCGCCGAGGACAAGACACTGTACATGGTGAAGGTAGACACGGCTGAAGCCGGCAAGTACAGGATACGCGTGAAGTGGAATGACGTGGAGGTGCCACGCTCGCCATTGAAGCTACGCATCTACCCACCGCCGGATGCTAGCAAAGTAGTTGTCGGTGGCCCGGGTATCAGCAGTATCTTGCCTATAGGGGAACCGACTCACATCGACATCGATGCCACTGAGGCTGGCTTTGGACAGTTGACCGTGCACCTGCGTGGTCCCAGTGCCAGCACGATTCCCAGCAAAGTGGAGAAAAACCCGGACAACCCACGCCAGGTGGTGGCCAGGTACACGCCACAGCATGCTGGTGAGTATCTGATACGCATCAAGTGGTCAGGTGTTTCCGTGCCGCATAGTCCCTTCACTGTCAACGCCATTGACCGCCATGCACCGCCTCCAGTGGATAGGCGACCGAGCTCTCCCAAACCCAAGACGTCCAAGTGGAAGGTGAAGAAGAGCATATCTGACCGGATATTCGGCTCAATAGAACCCGACTATCCTGACGGCGGCCGTGCTCTAGCACGATCCGACTCATCTACTCGCAGACAGAGAGCATGGAGTGATGAAGACATCGAGGCAGCACAGCGCGGTCTCTGGGGAGGCCAGCAAGAAGACATGCCGTACAGCTATGGCTTCTCGGAGGGGGAATCGCCTCGAAAGTCATTCACCGTGTCCTCCGTCACAGACAAGAAGATCCGCCGGTCACGTGCGAGCCAGCAGCAGTCATCAGCAGGTGGCTTCTTCTCGAGAAAAAGCAAAGGTGAGGGAGCGAAGTACTCCAGAAAGCTTTCCTCGCCAGCCATCTTGCAAGGCGGTGGCCCAGGGTACCAGCAGCCCATGCCTTTCGGAGGGCAAATGGCATTCGCGGGTGGCGGTAGAAGCCAGCTGAGCAATGAGCTGAGGGGACGCCGGTACAACCTACGTTACAGGTAAGTTCTGCATACATAAAAATGTATTCTTGGATATACAGCATGGTGCCTGGCTAGCATGGATGCATGCGCATATGCATGACATTTCCTTATTCACATACATGTACATCCAAAGAGCTTTCTCATATGCTTGAGATTTCCGTATTCTTATTATTTTTGAAGCCAGAGCCTTCTGCATACGAGCTCAATAACTGGCAATGTACACTGAGGCATGCACACTGAGGCATGTGTACTGTATCTCAGTGTGCATTGCATAGTGTCAGGGGTGTCGGACACGCTACGGTCACTACAGCAATGACCATACCATTATTTGCCCCACGTACCCTGCGAATCAATAAATTCACTGATTTGGACTCTAAATTTTCAGAACTTTCAGCAGAGTCCCCCGGCCACGAGTATACTTCACATGGCTAACCGCACCAACCTAAAATACCTTCCGACGCCCCTGAGTGTGCACTAAAAAACTCCACAGTACAGTGAAACAGTTAAAAGGACAGATTCAAACACGTTTTCGTTCAACACTCATCAGGAATCGTCGCATGTCACTGTGCATTTGTCAAGACCATCCATGTGCATGGTGTGTCCCTGTGTGTTGACAGCGCGTCACCACCCAGGAAGGAATGGGACGGAGTGGAGGCAGACCAGGACTACTCTATGACCTACGGAGGGCAGGACGAAAGCGAGATGGCCAGGAGCTGGTTTGAGGCAAACGGCCATGCCAGGCGCAGCAGTAGAACGATGGCGATGTCGGAGAGTGCTTACGAGAGCCACGACTATGCTGATCATGACTATGCTGATCTTGACGTTGTACAGGGGACACTACCTCAGGCTGTACAGGGGTCACTACCTCAGGCTGTACAGGGAACGCTGCCTCAGGCTGTGCAGGGTGCATTGCCTCGAGCTGTGCAGGGAACGCTGCCTCAGGCTGTACAGGGTGCATTGCCTCGAGCTGCACAAGGTAGCCGGAGGGCCAGTAGTAGTCGGGCTGTGGATGATGGCGATTACTGAACCACATGCCAGACAACGTACTGAGATGTCCTGGCACCAAACTTGAAACGGTTACTGATAGTGTGAGTGGGCAAGACAATATTATGTATTTCGAAAGTTTCTTGCATGTCTGAAGTTCTACCCTGTGATTTCACAGAGATTCTCACAGAACTCAACATATTACATTTTAGAACACATGCACTGTGCCTGTGCCAGTACTGTGGCACGGCGAATGCTCCCGAAGAGTAATGGACGACAGTCAGGTCCCATGAGCTAAAATTAATCATCCAGCCTATCCCAGGCAACATGCATGCCATCATGTGCAATTTGTCATACTATGCTCAATCATACTTCATGATATCTCTTACACTGTGCTCAGTTGATTATATGCCACGATGTGTAGTATTGATGGTTTTCGGAATGCATGAGTGTACTTTTTTTTTTTGAATTTTTCAATGCATCTTCTCAGACACTCAGTCTCCGGACAGCGACCAGTTTCAATGTTTTCCTGAGTTTCAATGTTTTCCTGGCATATTTTAGTAGGACACTCTAGCATCTAGCCCGGTATTCATTCCGGTGAATTTAACCGCAATGTCAACACTGCTCACCGCTGCGATCAAGCATAGATGCAGTCTTCAACTATATATGATTTTATTACTGATATCCTGCTACATGTACATGGTTCCATTGAAGAAGAATTTGTTGAATTTGCCTATTGGCAGGCAGGGGTTACTTTTATTGGCAGGGTCATGACATGGAACAAGTGGTGAATTTGTATGATATAAAAAATTGAAGAAAAAATGGTGTCGAGCAGATCCTGGGAACGTGCATTGAGAGAAAAGTGCCAAACAGCATAAGAATACTTCAAAGTAGTACTGACAGCTGCTGCCCAACACACAGCACTCGAGAGTTCTGCTGGAGTAACACAGCGCAGACTGATGGTGCTCGAGTATCATAGCCGGCCAGCGGCTCTAAGCTAGGAATAGTGACACACAGTACACAGCAAGACGGAGTGGCAGCACGAGAGAATCAATCTAGAGGAATAGCGCCACCGGGTCTAACGCGAATGCGACACAAAAAGTAAAAACCAATGAACAACGCATGCTCAGTACACTAAACACAATGAAAGTCACGAGTCTGCACAAGGGAAGCTGCCACAGAATAGTACACATAAAACTGTTACTGACAGAGCGATCCAGCAGAACACAGGAGTATAGCCATGATGAGCACATGGTAAACCCGCCACATATCTCAACACATCCGTTTGGTGCACAGGCACAGCACCATGCCCTGCTTGTCGAGCTCGCTCACCGGTAGCTTATCAGCTCCTCGCGTGCCACCCGATAGACAAAACGGTAGTCCAGATCGGCATGGCGCCGCCACACTGTACGATTGCGGAACCAGACGTCGGACGGGAACTGCGGGCTGCCAATGCCTTGGAATAGGCGAGCAATGGCGCGGGCTGTCCAGCTGACGTCCAGGTGAGTTCTCAGCAATCGTCTAACATCCTGGTGAACCACACCGGCAATGTTATCGGATGGAACATCGACTTCACCAGCGCAGCTGTCTGACACAAGGTTATCATCAAAATACTCAGCAATCGCCTCGCGTAACAGAATCTCCTTCTTGGAGAGAGGCGCCTTGACCTTAGCGTCGTCATGGTCCACACCTCGCTTGCAGACAAAGTGATGCGGTAATACAGACCGTGAAAGGGCATCTTGCAGAGCGCACAGGCGGTATAAGTGGGCTGCCTGATGATCACCAGCAGCAGCCAGCAGCATGGCAGTTGCATTGTCACGATCCTCATCGCTCAGATCCCCGGGTGTGCGGAAGCAGAAGAACTTCGTGTCATCGACAGACTTGTTGGGAAGAAGCTGCAGCCACCAGCGCTGCTTGTTACCATTAGCTCCGCTGCCATCATCATAGAGATGCAGGTATGCCAAGAGCGTGGCCACTGTTTCCTCTGTAGCATCAAGCTGGTGGGTGAGGGGTTCAACTTTTAGCTCGATATTGTGGCCAAAGCAACGCACTTCTGGCTGCCTGTGAGCAGTTGAATGATCCAGCTGGCAATCACTGTCTGGCTCAGGCTCAACCACTGGTTCGGGCTGGTTTCGAACAGGCGAATGATCTGGCGGAGAGTCACACTTCTCAGAGGTAATATCACCAGCACCACACTGCAAAGCGTTCTCTGAGCTATGAAGTCCAGCCTCACTTGCTTCAACAACACCGCCATCTGTCATCTCCTGACCATCCCCTTGACCGTCCTTACACCTGGCAGCGTCAGGCAGTTGGCCACTGTCGGCTGCTTCGGTGTTTTCGCTGCGGATGGAAGACAGCGTGTCACATGCGCTGGCGTCAGTATTCGTCTCATCCTGCTTGGTGTCCTGAGAAGCGGCCTCGCTGGCCTTCACGCGGTCATCTTGAATCACAGTCGAGTGTTCCTGCGGCACATGCACAGTGTGAGTCTGCTGCTGGTTAAGACCCGCGCAGTTGCACTTCCTCGGGAAGACACGCTGCAGAAGCTGCTTGACAGTGTAACGCTCCACGGCATTAGAAAACACATGGCGCCGCAGCTCATTGAAATCAGAACCCTGAACACACGCACACACATACACCCACACCCACAAGAAACTACAATGAGATGACACGGGCCGTATCTTCTACAAAAGAGTATAATCGTTTCGCCTTGAAAGTCAGAACCGGAATCAATATAGCGGCTCATACTTCACGCGCAGGGCAGTACAGTACATATTGCAAGCGTTGTCATGGGTCTGTGTACGCAAGTTGTAAAAAAAGACATGCCCCCCCCCCAGCAATAAGACAAATGGTGTAGAGGATATTCAACTCCCGGAAACTAAGGAATACAACACTGGCACATGCAGCAAAGAGTTGAACCATAAGACATACCTTCTGGTCTAGGAAGACGTGGCAGAAGGACACATTGCCATCACGGCCGGCTCGTCCGATCTCTTGCACATAGCTCTCCAAACTTGAAGGCATGTCAAAGTGAACGATAGCACGGATATCCGACTTGTCCAGGCCCATCCCGAATGCCACCGTGGCCACAACGATGCGCAGCTCACCGCTCATAAAGTTCCGCTGCACACGCGTACGATGGCTGGCCTCCATACCGGCATGGTAGGCCTCGACGTACATGCTGTCGGCCTTCCGCCGCCGCTTCTTGCCGATGGTGGGGAAGTCGCGCGGCCCAAGCATGGACCGGAGCATCTCAGCAATATTCTCGGTTGTCTGTCGCCGAGTGCAGTAGACGATGATGGACTTACATGCCTCCAGTGGCTCGCTCTTCAGAAGATCAAGCAGTGCCTTAAACATCCCAAGCACAAGAGAAACGGGGGACATTCTTCAAGTCAAAGAAGGTCCCAAGCACAAGAGAAACGGGGGACACTCTTCAAGTCAAAGAAGGTCGCGACAAAACGATTCTGTTCGGGTGAAACGTCAAGACAACGATGATGAAGATCCCACTGCACATTTCCTACGTGCAAGCAGGCTTACGAATATAGCAGCATTGGCGGACCAGCTAACAGTTTATCCACCAAGCATTGACGCAATTTGACAGGCCAGCTGACAGTGTACCCGCCAAGCACGGAGTATTGTGTGAAACACCAGAGATAGGAGATGCAAATACAGTGTGCACAGAAAACGTGAGTACTGGGTATTCAAACTCACTTGATCGCGGCTGTCCACACACGATACGGACAGGCGGAGGTTGGGAGGCAGCTTAAATTTGCCTACAATGCCCTCGTCCAGATCACAAACTCCAATGTGACGAGCCACGATTTCCGCAGTCTTGGCAGTGGCAGTGGCCGTCAGACCCAGGACACAGCTGGTGTTGAAGCGATCCCGTAAAACCTGGTGCGAGCGCACAGAAAACGGTCAGAGATGATGCACAGTGAAGTCAATATGTGTGGGATGTAGGGAACCAAGATGTGAATAGAATCCATAGAAGCATACCCTAGCGATATAAGGCACAGACAAATTTGGTATTGGGTGGGGGCAGCGGAACAGACATCAACAGCCTTACCTTACAGACTTGCAAGTACGACGGGCGGAAGTTGTGTGACCACTGTGACAAACAATGGCTCTCGTCAATGCAGGCAAACGCAATGGGCGGAAGCATGTTGAGCAGGAATAGGCTGCCACGGCCAACCAGGGACTCCGGCGATACGTAGAGAACAGCCAGCTTGCGGTTTCGCACATCGTCCCACACTTGCGACTTCTTCTCCATGGTCATGTTGGTGTGCAGACAGGCACCGGGTATTACAGACGGCAGGTTGGCCACCTGAATAAAGAGATTGTACGGTGGAGATGGCACACAACCTTCAATTGCAAGAATTTAGCCTTGGTCAACTGCACCCACCTCTAACCCAAAGTAAAGGAATCCACACAAATATGTTCCAGCTCATTCGGCTGGAAGTGTACGTAATCGCCAGGGCCCACTGCCACTACCACCGGCACTTAGCCTTAGAACGTTATGTTGATCACGTGAGCATGCAAAAAAAACGGAGTGTGACTGACACACATAAAATATACTGATCAAAGGAATGTGACCTCTTGCCAAGTGCAATAGAGCTCCTCTATTCAACGAAGCGCTGCACCGAAGAGCAGCAAACGAATAGGAATGCAACCTTGCAGGTGCACACAGTATTGCTAGCAGTACAGTTAGTGCAATGCTCAACACATCACCCAAACCTAATCCGTCATATGCTAGTGCAATGCTCAACACACCACCCATACCTGATCCATCATGAGCGAGACAAGCGGTGACACGACCAGCGTGATGCTCTGCCGCTCGCGCCAATACATCAACGCCGGCAGCTGGTAGCAGAGTGACTTTCCGGAACCAGTGGCTGACACGACCAACGTCGAGCGACCTTCAACAAGTCACAGTGAAAGGAATTACAGTGATGTCGTGCAAGATTAAGCGGTGGCAGATTAGTCTACCATCTTCTGTATTCACAAGGCTCACAATAGCATCCCGCCTACAAAGATCACTGCAATTTCTTCGTTTTATGGTGCAGTTTTATGTCCTACACAGTCACTGAAACATTCACAGTTTCTGTTACGAAACTTTCGATCCACACATCGTTCTACGCTTGACCTTTTCATGTATAAGCCCTGTTAGCTTTGCGGCCACAGGGATTTGGTACACATCATGCACAGGAGCTTTCAGTGGCGTGTCCAGGATTTGGCTGAGGGGGGGTTGCGGCCGGGATCAAGGCGGGATGGGGTGGGGGTACATGACATCATGCTACTGTCCCAGGTCAGCCATTTCGAAAACCGATGTCAAGAAGCTCCTCCTGTAGCCCCATACTTCAACAGTTATTCACCCGAACGGCCCCAGAGACTGTTCCGGAGGATCAGCGCACCACACGGGGACAAGTGTCGAACTTGCTTCAAGTTCCCTTTCTTCGTGGGCCTGCGGGACGATCGACCATGATGTTTCGGGGAAGCATTCTCTGGAACGCTCTCCCCTCTGATTTTAGAGTGATACGTGTCCCTGGTCCCTTCCGAAAAGCTCTTTCTGCCATTGATATACTTACTTTGTGAATATCCTCGTTAAACTTTTATTATCTGCCATAAATTCCAACCTTCTCATCTATCAATCATTTGTGCATGCATGTCTATAAATCAACCACGTGTTCCTGACTCCATGAAATTGTCTTTCTATTCTTTGACTCCATGAAATTATTGTCTTTCTATTTCTGACTCCATGAAATTGTCTTCATCTAAATTTTTCCTTGTCTTCTTTTGGTCCTTTCTGTCTTATATTATTATTATCATTTCTTGTTTTCCCTTGCATATCATCCCTTAATCATTCTGTGTGACCTGTCCTATGGGCAGGTAAGAAGGCATCTCTGCCTGTTCATTTGGTGAAGTAAAATAAACAACAACAACAACAACAACAACAACAACAACAACAACAACAACAAGCCGTACATCTCACACACCACGAGCAGTATTTCTGTACACGCAGCAACAATGGACATTGTAAACTTCAAATTTGCTGTTATGTGAGCGAATCAACTGCAATTATTTATGCGAGTCCAACAATTTCTCACCGCTCTCAAAGCATCCTTTACATAGGCAGCGGTACTTGTGACTGTGCGCTGTTCTTCAAGTTCTGGCTGCTCGCTGACAACAGGTTCTTCTACGTCTGGCGGAGTGTGACTGTCAGTCCGCTCCGAAAGTTCAACTGGAATAACAGCGACTTCATCACTCCCACTGTTTCCTGTTGGAGCGGCAGCAGGAGTTGCGCCGCGACAGGAACGCTTTACAAAAATTCCAGGCTCTGCTGGCTAGAGCCTTTTGGGATGTCCCTGAGACATCGAAGAAAAGCCTTCGAGTCAACCAAAACACGATTCGAACGAGGATGATCGCCTGAGCCCTCGGCATTCGAATCGTGTTTTGGTTGACTCGATCGAAGACTTTTCTTCGATGTTTGTACCGTTGAAGACGCGTCGAGCGCGTCCCAGCAGGAATCACACTGTACAACAGTACACAGTCAAACAGTACACAGTCAGGTCACCGTGTAGCCGTGCATGCTCACTGTACGTAGACTCTACTCTGTACAGACTGTACTGTACTAGTCTGTAGCGTGCACAATCAACACCAGCTCGAGCACCGTACCGTGCAACCGCTTTTGGACAATCGTTTCAGGCCGCGCGCGCCCCGAGCCTAGTCTAGCTAGACCCGGCGCCCTGCCTTTTATTTTTCGAAACCTAGGTCGAAATTTTTGAGGGGGGGGGGGGGGGGGGGCGCGCCCCCCGCGCCCCCCCCCCCCCCCTAAACCCGCCACTGGCTTTCTATATAATATGCCATCTTGTCTTTTGGTAATTCCGCTCCTGTTTTAGAGTTGGCTACAATGTGTAGTTACGTTTGAGAGTTTAAATTCCGTCAGTTGCAAGCATTTCGATGGTGGGAGTTCTGAGTTCTTTTCGAGTCAAAAGATCATTCGGAAGCAGAAGTCAACAGAAAAATTGGCATAGATGACTCGGATGGAGAGAGCTGAGCATGAGCTGACTGTCCAGTAACTGGTGGTGTAAGTGGACAGTATAGCGTAACTTGTAGCTCCTTGGTCCATTTTCTTCCTATAAAAATTGGCATGTTGGCCTTTTTCAAAATTGTTTTTGCCATGCAGTATGGACTGCTCTTCCAATTGCATTTTGGTGTTCATTTCTCCAAAGGGTGGACCATTAGGAAATTCATTGTCAGCCAGGTTTAAAAGTGTTTCGGCCGGATTTAGCTTTGATAATTGTACCGACATGCTCGTCAAAACCTATTTCCAACAGAATCGAAGTTAGGTTTTTGAGCCTTATTCGTCCTAAATCGGCTTTGAAAAAAGTCCAGAGATCAATGACATGCTAATAAATAACATAGCAACAAGCCAGCGGGGATCCTTACCGGCCAAGATGCGCATGACAGCCTCGTACTGGCCGGGCCGGAATTCAGAATATCCCATCTCGTGCAGAGCAAGACCAACAAAGTCGTCAACATCTACACACACACACACACACACACACACACACACACACACACACACACACACACACACACACACACACACACACAGCAGTACATATCGAGCCGGTTCTGTGGTAAAGCATGCCCTACTCCAAAAAGTGGTAATATTGATAACACCAAGAAAACATAACCAAGCGTGTGCAACTGGACGATCCCCCGGCGCAGGGCGGATTTTTTAAAGACAATCTTTTTTGCGGCCATTTGATTCACTAACACACAGAAAGTACCCACGAGGCAGGTAACAGACATGATCACAGGTGCCCTGGTAAAGAAGAATGCAATGAAGAAGGATAAAATGGAGGGTAAAAAGAAACCGCTCGAAGGACCCAACGTGATGGGACTGATCAAGGCCTTCAATGCCTGCTCGCCATGTGTTCCCGATCTGGTTGTGGACTACTACGGCGTAAATGTAAGCGCGGCAAGTGACCAACAGCGAGGGAAGGGCTTCAGTTCAAGTTCTGCTGTGCACGCAATGAGAGATTCCGGAGGCAGCAAGATCTGCAACGACATGAGACCAGATGTTAGTGTGTCACGTGTGTGTGTGTGTGTGTGTGTGTGTGTGTCTGTGATAATGGGGTTGGCCGTTGGTCGAGTCGTTCATAGCAGTCCTGTGTGCATTACAGCCACTGCTTTGATCGATGTCGTCTACAGCTTCCCATACCTCGGCAGCCTTATTTCAGCAAACGTCAGACTTGGTGCAGAGGTTTCAGCCCGTATCACGAAAGCGCCAAAGTCATTTGTTCTGGGATCTCATTTTCTGGAACCTCTCCCTCCCCCTTGAGTCCAAGTGCACGACATACACACACACACACACACACACACACACACACACACACACACACACACACACATATATATACACACACACGCACGCACACACACACACGAACATACCTTCTTGATTATTTGCTGTCAGAATAGGGCCAGAGGATTCTGTTCCCAGTTTTTGGCCTGATGTTCCGGGCATATCACCACCAGGAAATTCGAATAGTTGTGGCACCGGCTCTGAAGCAGGAGCAGAGGGAGGCACAGTTGGTACGCCCTGCATTGAGGCAGACTTCTTGGGACGAGCAGCTCTTTTCTTCCGGGGTGGTGATGGAGGGGGAGATGAGTCATCTTCTTCTTCATCACTGCGTATAACTTTGGACTTTCGATTGGCTGGGCCTTTCGATTGACGGGTTGGTCTCCTCTTCTGCTGGGAAGGCAAGGGAGAAGGTACATCATCCTCTTCATCTTCATCATCACTATAGATCACCCTGGACTTTTGCCTGTCCCGGCCTTTAGACTTACGGGCAGGTCTTACCCTCGGCAGCGGTGGTGGTGAAGGTGACGCAGGGGGAGATATCTTCTCGCAATCGTCATCACTGCTGTGCACCCTGGACTGCCGAGTGGCACGCTCTTTTCTCACGGTTGGAGGCACTCCTCCATTTTCGTCATCACTAGAATCCTTAGACTGATAAGCAGACCTCTTCTGCTGTCGTGGTGCTGGTGGTGATGGCAGTGCTGGCGGTGATTGCTGTCTCTCTTCGTCACTGTATGGACCGTTTGTAACTTGACAGGTTGAAACCTCTCCAATAGATTTTATTCCCGCAGAAGTCGATAGTAGCGAATCTAGCGCTGACATTGACCTCGAGCTGTTCCCTGGCTGGTAGCACTGTGTTTGCTTCTCCGCTGGCAGAACGTTACCCAGTAGACTGAAGCTTGACTTCTGACTCCCAAGACTGAAGCTTGAGGTCTGACTCCCAAGACTGAAGCTTGACTTCTGACTTCCAAAACTGAAACTGGACTGTTGACTGCAGCCTGAGGCTTCCTGATCTGGTAAACCTGGACTACTAAATCCAGCAAGGGCGGTCAGGGCGGATGGTTTACCACCCAGTGATTCGTTGAGCATAGCAAGGCAGGGTTTGGCTGGCTTCATGCATGCGGTGCCGGTGCCCCTCTTCTTCTTTTCGACCTTGGGCACGGGTGCTGGGTTGATGTTCTCTTGTGGCTCAGTGGCTTGTAAATCTGCTGCGCTCGACTCCACATCACCGTCAGCTATGGGCACACCAGTTGATTCTAGCATAAGGAAAGCAAAAACACAAGAATAACAATAAGAGCAGTGTCAACACGTGATATTTTAGAAACCAACACAGACATTGATTGCAGTAAGACTAGCTAGAAGTGCCAGAACACTATACAAGTAGATTAGCTAGTCTGCCCACCTTCTAGTGCTCTAAGATGCAAGTGTGCCTGGCACATGCAAAGGTACTTACCATTCGCACCTGCAACAGCAGCAGCAGCAGCGGCACTCTCATCGGGAAGCTCCTCCATGCCTCCGTAACCGTGCTCACTGCGGTCCAGCATGCGCCGTTCGTTCTTGTGAGCCCAGCGCCGTCGACGCACACTGGCTGCACTCGTATTGGGCGCTCGCAAGTAGCGCTTGCCTTTCATGTTCAGACGACGAAAGTTGCCCGAAACCAGCCTAAGCACGGACATTGAAATAAGATGAGGATGTGGATGAGACAGTTCAGCGCCTCTCGCAACAGAAATTCACAAGAAATCGTGAAGGCATAAATTACTAGTGAAGGATTTCTCTACGCTTCATGTGATGCAGAACCTCTCTAATAATCATAATACCAACAAGTGTCCTTCCGGTAACAGTCTCTATGGTCTATGGTAACAGTCTCTATGGTCTATAATAGCTCAAGAGAAACAACATGTACATGTAGATAGCAACGACTGACCCCTGAGATGATGCTGAGGACGAAGATGTTGACCCTCCTCTGTATGAATAGCTACCGCCACGGCCACGGCCTCCTCCACGGCCCCTTGCCTGTAAGAACAGTAAATTTCACAAAATGGATGCTCTATGACTTTTTAACTCCTTGCCATAATTATATCAGGGAAAGTCTATAGTAGCTATAGCTATTATAGCCATTGCTAACTTGTGTTGTATCAAGGAAAGTCTATGGTTCTGCTTTGGATTGGAGCTCAGAGAATCTAAAGGTGCCATCCAAAGACAACAGATGGCGTTACTGTGCAGTGAATCAAGTTTACCGTAATACTTTGGCAGCAATGGCATGACATGTGCATATCCTGAGTATAGACAACAGACTCTCACAACATTGAATAGAGGGCAATGCAAATAACACCACCGCGCATGCCTTGTACCGGTATGGAGTTGCAAAGCAGTGCCTGTGATGCCACCCGGTGGCTCTACAGAACAACTCGATTGTTGACAGCACACGATTGCAAAACCTCCTCTAAATCAAGTGGCACATGATGAACACCAGACTCACCTTGCCACCACGCCATGGACCTAACAGAAAGATGAAAGCAGAGCAGATGAGTAGAGATAAATTAATGACTAGCAGAAATAGAATTCCTGTTGTGCTGCAGTACAGTGTAAAAAAGCATAGCCGCTAGCCCTGCCCGACTATAAAGAACAGCACGTATTAGTACTCAAATCTGAGGAAACTCAGGCGTTTCTTTCGGCTCAACACTTCGTAAGCAAAACACACCCGCACTCAGAGCAGGAAGCCGTACGAATTGGAGACGGATTTGTTGATTCCGTTCGACTCAATACCCGTAAAAACATAATCCTGGTGAACACTTCTTAATGCATAAGAATTCATGACTCAACGAACCACAAGTATCCTGTCCGGAAATGACTACCCATGACTGTTTCTTTTAGTTTGTACCTACAACAGGAGTTAATAAGAGGGCCGTGTCTATTCGTACTCCTTTCCAACTCCAGGAAACTGATCTTGGGATACCAGGGTACAATCACTTTGGGCTCTTTTTCAGTTCTTTTCATTCATTATCACTGGAAGCTTCTTTCTGTATCTACTTTTGGGTACGCCTTGTACATCGCCTGTTGACAAGAGTCGTACCGTAAAAGCCCCTGTATACGCCCACCCTCCTTGTACACGCCCAGTCAGGGGAAGTCAACACTTTTGTTTCACAATAGCGCCCATGCCCATGTATACGCCCAGGTATGCCGGCAACACCAGTACATGTACATATACTGATACCCAATACTTACTGCTATCCCTATTCCAAGTATACGCCCGGTTCCAAAATAACGCCCGTGCCCTCGTATACATGTACGCCCAGGATATCGAGGCTGCTATTCTATACGCCCGGGGCCTACTGTAAATATACAAATTTTCGGCAGCTATTTAATTTCGGCTATATTCGGCACCGACCCAAAACGCCTAAATTAAAACGCCGATGAAATGTTTCACAGCATCTGTCGCACTATACCATGCCCTCTACCCCACGCCGAAAATAAATCGCCGCCGAAATGTCAAAAATCGTGAAGTGCCGAAATTTTGCAGCGCCGAAATTTTGTATATTTACAGTATACACGGGCTTTTTTCACAATCATAACACATATTTTATGTGTATATTTATTCTTACAAGCAGTATTATCGCATAGTAGAATATATCGGCCCTAAGAATGGATTTCGTGTAGCAAAATATGCCAGATTAGTGCAAAGTGTATCGCCTGTAGTAATAACATCTGTGCTCTGTGCATACTCAATACAATAATATTCAACACAAAAAGAGAGTCATGTCCAAGGGAGCATTGGAGAATCACTTTTTCTGTCCAGTCGGACTCTTTCTTCCGACTTCTCTCGTATCCGCTGCTCCGCAGTCGCCTAGCACGACCGCGAGTCTGATTGATCCGTGTGTATCATGTGTACGTGTCCACATGCCAAACGTGCGTGCATATGATGTCACACGTGATTTATCGTGTGTAAGAAATATCGGCAATAAGAATCAAATGTCGTTTTTCAAACACCCACGCTATAACCGATACCTACTGTACATGTACAATGTACTAGCAAGAGTACATAAACAAGAGCACTAGTATGCAACTGTGATCTCTTTTCTATGGGCTAGATGCGCGGCACGCTGCCTTCATTACATCATTTAGCTGCAGTCCGAGAACTGCGGAAAATCTAACACCACACTTTCCTTCTGGTTTGAAATTAACTTTGTATGGAACTGGAGTTTACGCGCCCAAAATTTAGAGATCGCGTGGGTACTCAAACGAATCGAGCAAAGCCAGTTGAGCTGGTACAAGAGATTGTGGGTTTGAGTACATGCGCCCAGCACGATGGAGGTAAGTTACGTAATGAAGGCAGCGCGCCCCGCCACACAGTTGCATACTCTTGTTGTTTATGTACAGTCAGCTTCGCCTATAACGACACTCGGCAGGGCATCAGAAAAGTGTCCTTATTCGCGAAGTGTCGTTATACCCGAAGTATCATTATATGTATTACAGTTACTAGTAGATGGGACTTTTCTCTGGGCATGGGAATCCTGTCGTTATTCGCTGTCGTTATCAGCGAAGTTGACTGTACTCTTGGTACTAGTAATGAGACTGTCACTATGGTTACGACTTTGTATGCTTCTTTTGTCTTGAGCGACATAATTACTATTATGTATAATAAATGTAGAGCCGAAGGATTTATTGCAATTACATACCAGTATAAAAACCGAGGTCCGCCGAGGTTTTTTATAACTGGTATGTAATTGCAATAAATCCTGAGGCTACTACGTTTATTATACATATGTTGACCTTCACTTTCCCTAAAAAGGAGTATTTTATAAACAGTATTTATTGGCCCTAGTGGTATTTTATAAACAGTATTTATTGGGTCAAAAGCCAATAAATACTGTTTATAAAATACCACTAAGGCCAATAAATACTGTTTATAAAATACTCCTTTTTAGGGAAAAGTGGAGTGCTACATGGAAAAGTGCAGTGGTATTTATTGAGTCAAAGCAAATATATTTGAATTTGATACTGTTGATGGTGTGGTCACTAATGAGTGTGGGTATTTATCAAAGGTCAATATATTACAGTATTATTATGAATACTGGCAATGAAAGTGAAATATAAACAAAGCATTGTAATCAACCGCCTTTTCTGTCGCTTCATACACACGACATTGCATATGTACTCACGGGGCATCCTGCTGTCCCAAAATTCTTGGCAAGAGTGCTTTGCTTTCGGCGCACAGACCAACTTCAACACTTGCAGATTTGTCAGGGGTTTGTTCAGATCTACCCACAACACAGAGGTCGTAGTGCGTTGGCCAATGATGCAGGATAGTGCCGATTCCCAGACCTTCAAAAGCAAGGTCCACCACGACCTAACACTCTTTGACAACTCATTTGCAGAGAAACTCACAACACTATGGACGGTCCGGGTCTGCACTGGATACAGAATTTGGCCGGAATTTAGTTGTGAAGAAAAAAATGTACATCAGTCACCCGCGGCCCAGTGCATGCAGTCTAGTCCTCTTTCAAGCTTCCCGCCACAGAAAGCTGTACCACGTGCACCGCATATCGTAGCCTAATCCGAGATGTGCACAGCTCAGCACGCACCACCAGGTACTAGGTGCTAGGTTCAGCAATGAAGGATGTGAACCAGGGAGTCGTCAAATACCGTATTTGACGACTCCCTGATGTGAACCAGGTGATAGCTGCGCGGATCCTGGAATATTCGGCCGGTGCAGTTAACTCACGATCACCTCAACCAGGGAGTCGTAAAATACCCGGTATTTTACGACTCCCTGACCTCAACTAACTCGACTCAAGCCTGGCCTTGGCGCAGGCATTCCTATTCGTATTTTGAATTTTTGATACCATTTCAATGATTTTGCCTCTTTGCTCAATATGATTATATTATCTGTCTGGTTTTGTCTGTACTGGTTTCATTTGTGCTCTTTTCATCCTGCTACATGTAATACTACATGTACATAGTCATTGCACCATCATCCTTCAATGCGACGGACCCCACGATAGGCGGTCAGCCTTTGGCAGTTTGGGTCATCCTAAGGCCGAGTAAAAAAAATTACTAGATGATCGTCCTTTTTTTTGGAAAAATCGGGGAGGGCGGGAGGATTTTATTTTTATTTTTTTACTTTTTACCCTCTCATGCACACAGTGTACACAACAACATCAAGGTTTTTTTTCTCTTTTTTTCTTTTTTTTTCTTTTTTTCTTTTTCTTTCTTCAGCAGATCGATACTGACGTTGTGATAATACTAGTAGTATGTGGTCCATATAGTAAAACTCACGATTTAAAAAATAAAATATTTCTTGGGGCGCTGACAAAAACTGGGGCGGACGGGGACGATCATCTAGCTTTTTTTTTTTACTTGGCCTAACGAGAGAGCTTGGAAGCTCAGGGCCCTGCGCTATGCTTTGTTGCCTAGCTCATCGTGCATGTTGTTAGAACTGATGGAAATGCTTTTTCCTTTGATTAGCTAAATCATTGTTTTGCAAAAACGTTTCAATGAGATACTGAAGTACAAGTAACGTCTTCTGCATAGCTATGGGACCGGCGCTGACTCTGCCGATGACGGGCGTTCTGGAGTCGACGGGATGTCTGTCCTGACGTTTCCTGGGACCGGCGCTGACTCTGCCTATCACGGGCGTTCTTCTTCTTCTTCTTCTTCTTCTTATTATTATTATACTGACGGCAACTAACATCCATTCTGATTGCATTTACTCGTCTCCCTACTTCGTATTTCTTTCCAGAAAATCTCCCCATACAGCAGGGAGTCGTTTACATAATATGACTCCCTGCTATACATCTACATGACTGTATATACGTTATAATTATTATGCTATCGGCCTACATGCGATTTCCGGGCTGGTCGACAGGCGGCCCAGCCAGCCTGCTAGTGGGATCTCGGCCTCGCACAAAAATCCACACAAAATTTAATGTTACTGCACTGAATGCATTCCCCCCATACACTTCGCATATATACTCATTCTCTTGATGGTACCGTACTCTTGATGATACGGGACAGGTACGGGATAGCGCCAGGCATGTCGATGGCACAAACAAACAAAAATATTGTGGCCAGCTGTCTTTGTTGGTACGGTACAGTACGGGATAGATACAAAATAGCGCCAGGCGTGACACAAACAAACAAACACACAAACAAACACCAAATTAAAGCTGTGTGGACCCTGGCTAGCGCCAGACGTTACTGAAGTAACGTCTTCTGCATAGCTACGGGAATAAAGTTATTATTATAATTATCAGTCCGCGGAGCGGCAGCGCTGCAGCACTAGCACTCAGCTCTGTTTTGCACTTTCTTTTTCCTTGGAAAAGAGATTTCACTATACTACTAGTATTCCTAGCTCCTGGGTAAAAAAAATTTAAAAAAAAGCACCGCCGCGGCGCCGCGCCATGCCAGGTCAGGTTTTTTTCTTCTTCATACAATTATTCTCTTCTTTTTGTGTTTAGCATCCTTCATCTTGGCAAATTGTGTTTTATTATTATTATTATTGATTTATTATCAAATTTTTGATAGGGCAATCCCCACATGCACAGGCCTTCTTACAGGGTACCCTAGAATTTTGTTGCCCGCAAAAGAGGTTTTATACACTACGCCAATGACACTGATGGCCAAGTGCCGGGTTAGAGAGGCATTGCTTTGTTCCAAGAGAAGTGGTTGTAGGTACGAGTCCTGGCTTGTGCTTCTTTTTTGTATTCAGATGCGTTCATTATTCTGCCAGCTCACTTCTGTGCCGCCTTTTCTGCCTTCGTGCTGAGGCACGTAGCCGCACCTGCACAAGGTCTCAAGTCTCGCTTGGACTTGTACTGCCACGAGCCTCCTCTCGATTTGGTTATTCCTCTCTTTCTTATTTAGCCGCTGACCGCTGGAACTCAGTTCCGGCATCGGTCCGCCTTGCTGCTTCACCAAGTCAATTTCGTATCGCAATCCTAGATTGGCTAGGGTACCCCGTAGGTCTGTGGGGACTGCCCTAGAGAAATATGAATAAATACTATACTATACTACGCTCAACCAGAAACAAAGTGTCTCTTCCCAAGGCCAAGTCAACGCAATTCACAAGATCGCCATTCTTCCAGGGCTACTGTGCGTGGCTACAACTTCTTGACTCAGTGAAGACTTCTGCATCATTGAAAGAATTTAAATCTGAGGGCCTGCTGATGACTGAGTGCACCATAATAATAATACTCGCAAGTAAAAAAACTAATCAATAATTATTATAGCTTTTCGGCTGTTTCCTTTTCATGTATTTACTGTCAGTATCACCCAGGGAGTCGTATTTTACGACCCACATCTTCCCGTTTTGGCTGCCATCGCGGAAGCCATAACTGTGAGTGTGAATAAAAAAATAAAAAAATTATAGTATAATTTTACTATAAAGTCATGGTAGTTGCTAGTATGTATATGTAGTTGTCATAGCGATCATGGCTGCGATGCTAGTCGCTAGCTAGCGCTAGAGCTAGACCATGAATGATCATGATTGTAGACTAGAGTTAGTAGCGCATATGCGCATGTAAAATCTACCAATCCATGTATCATTGACATTGTATCATGTATCATGTATGATCTTCTTTGGTCTTTGAGTTTGGTACGTGTGCGTGCGTGCGCTTAGCGCTTGTACATGCGCAAAAGCACTGTACCCGTGGCGTTGTAGCGATTTCTTTTGACTCGATCCGAAGGAACGAGAAGAAAGAAGGAGGGCGCATACTGTTGCTTCATGGCTTGCCTTGCTTTATATCTTGAGCATTGCATTGTATGTCGCATGTGCTGTAATCGAGCTGTCGGTCGAGTTCAGCTGAAACATGGAGCTTTCTGAGCAGGATCTGGAGATCAATGATGATGGTATGTGCTTGGAAATATTTGTTTTGCGCTATTCTTGAAGAATTCTTCCTATCGTCTAGTGGACACTTCGCACAGCTGTAACTACATGTAGTTCCAAGGTAATCGACCAGTGCAGGTCGAGTTTGAATACGAATAGATGCGTGGTACCTGCTGCATGGAAATCTGCAAAGCTGTAGCTAAGAATTGCGGGCATTGAGTAGTATGGCTATTGTATGTAGGAACCGTTATTGGAAGGGAACTGGCTACGTCACTGCCTAACTAACGTGGCCATTTTCGCAGAACATGGGATCTGATTCATACCGTGTGCGATTTCCATTGGTATTGGTGTGCTATGTGTAATTAGCTGTGTAAGTAGAGGTGGCGACATGGTTGAAACACCGAAGGATATCTCCTATATTCCTGTGCTTCATCTTCACCTTTATTCCCGTTCCAGATCTGATGCAGCTAACTGGTCTTAAAAAGCCGAAAGCCATCAGCGGCATTGAAGCAGCCATTGTTGTGGACAATGTTCCTAGAGTGGATGGTGCGCGGCAAGAACGACTCAAGGGCGTCATAATGAAGATCATGTCCAGATTTGGCAAGATTGTTGGCGAACCTTTCTTCCCTGCTGATGAGCAAGGCAACACCAAAGGGTATGCTCTCTGAGTCCATGTATAGCGGAACAGCGTGCATTTAGAGCCGCACATTCTATTGTTGGTGACACGTATTGTGTACACTTGGACGCGAAGAATTTCGTCAGAGTGCTTGACGACAAACCAAGTCTAAGACTAGCAAAGATAGTTGAAAAGATATTAGTGATGTTCTGATCTACATTACGGGAACGCGACGCGGAGAATCCCTTTATCACTCTTTGCGTTCCCGTAATGTACAAGAAACCTGTTCTGCTCTACGTTTATGCAAAGAAATCACATGGAATGTATACATGTCCTGGGAAGTTCCCGTCCCAGATTTGCCTGTTTTCTCGTTAATTTAAGTGATACGTACCAAATCCGTACGCATTTTCTTCAGTCTTGCGTGGCACAATGTTGAGAACCTCATCTCCGCTTAGAAACGTGCACACGAAACACACGAAGCCGTCGACTCTAACCCAGATACCTTTTCGCTGCTTGAATTCCGCTCTACGTTTCACATAGAGAGAACCTCACTAATGTTGGCATACAGTTGGAATGCAGCATCCAATGTGGTTAGTTTATGCAACTGTATGGTCATGTGTTCATCACAACACAATATTCTTCAGGTACGTGTTCTTGGAGTACTCGAGTGAAGCGGAGGCAGTGGCTGCTGTCAAGACAGCCGACGGTTACAAGCTGGACAAAGGCCATGTGTTCACGGTCAACCTACTGACCGACTTTGAGCAGTAAGTAATGATGTCATTGTACCGACACTGTAGTCAAGTCAGGAGTGATTTATGGAAGCTAACTTGGTCCTATGCATGAGAGGCGTGTCCGAGTTAGTTGTTGGCTCATAGTAAAAAGAGACTCAGTTCGATTACCAGAGACAAATTGGTGGACTGTGTGACTGACTGGGGAGGTATACCAGTGGTTCATAATGACTGAGAGTTTTGGGAAATCCGAGAAGTACCTTTCCAATACATGTACATGTACCGGTTTGCGCCGATATTTGTGCCCCTACATCCATGCTGGTTCATGTATCAGCATTTTGCAGCTGTTTCTAAGAACACAACTGTGCTGATGTGGTAATATGACTGCAGTTATCAGAGTTTGCCAGAAACCTTCGAGCCACCCAAGACTAAAGAATTTGTCTCAGAGGTAAGTGAAGCTACAATGCGAATGTAATAAAAAGTGCTCAAAGTAGCCGCTGCAGGGTAAGCCGCTCATCTCTGCAGTGGGCCATGCAGGTATGCAGGCAGCTGCGATTTATGGCTGCATGGATCTTCCTCCGGTGCCTGTCTCTCCTGTCATGTCATGTAACATAAAGGCAGTTTGGAGGTGTGATCTCTCATTCCGAAAAGGTATCAGAACACATACTTCTTAAGTACTTAATGTGAACTTTGAAAACTAGCTGCTGAGACCACTGAGATATCATAGAGCACGGCTGACGTAGTAGTATGCAGATGCCTATGGGCCTTCCGGATTGAGTTTCTAGCCTGCCCGGCGTTGCCAACTAATATGCTACACTGAGGCATAGAATAGAAATCAGGAATGTCAAAAATGGAAAGAAGAAGAAAAGCGTGCCGCAATGATTGTCTGTTCATCCTGTAAAGAGATGAATCCTGACTGAATGGCTAAAAGTACTTGGAGCGCTGTACATATGTTGACTCTGGTGTATGTTTCTGTGTGCAGGGAAACCTTCGGTCTTGGTTGATGGAACCTGATGCCCGTGACCAGTATGTTGTGCATGCTGGTGATACATGCACTGTGTTCAGCCACAGCGCTGAAGACGCAGACTATGTTTTTGACAGAAAGGTACGCCACCATCGCGGGCCATGGGATTTTAATGCTCAATTTGTTATGGTCTGATGATATATCAAGTTTGAGCTGTGTAGCATTGGTCTTACTTGCTGAATTAAGCTTGTTTCCGCGGGCCATTGAACATTGTCGTCCTTCCACTTGGCTGTGACAAGAGCTCAATAGTTGCCTTCTGGGCACTGGTATGCTGGTATACTGGTGACAAGTCAGGCAAATGTGCTACTGCTCATTGTTTTCAGAATTGACTCTCAGGTGCAACACACCCCAGAGTGCTGCTGTCTATGCTGTGCTTGTTAGGTCCAAACTGTGTCACATAGCCATGCACGCGAACATTGTGCACAACAAGCGTATTCCGGTTTGATTAGAGCACTCCTATTGATGTACTCTTCTGCAGTACTGGACAGCCAAGTACCTCCGATGGACCCCACAGGGAACATATGTAGCATCATTGCACGATCAAGGTGTCATTATGTGGGGAGGTGACAAGTTTGAACGCAAGCTGCGGCTTGCTCACAGCCGTGTGCAGCTGATTGACTTTTCACCATGCGAACGTTATGCTATCACGTTCAATGGTGCGCCAGACAACGAAGCATCCCCAGATGCTATCGCTGTGTGGGACCTGAAGCGTGGTCACTGCATTCGTCGTTTCAACGCAGGTGAAAACAAAGAGTGGCCGATCTTTCGGTAAGTCCGACACTGTGGATTTCCTAGTGTCACTATGACGCTTTTCAATCCATTGCATTTTTTAACATTGTTGCTTAGTGCAGCTTGGTACTGTACCTAAATGAGAGTGTATTATGCCACCATATAAGGCTATTTACTTGCTTTCTTTCTTGTCTGACATGGGGTCAAGGCACCTTTGGTTATTTTGTATGCTGCTATTGTGTTGTGCTATCCGTACATTCCAGGTGGAATTTTGATGGCAGCTTATTTGCACGCATGTCTGAGAACTTGATCAGCGTATATGAGAGTGTGGTAAGTTGTTCTCTGTATTGATGTAGGATGTGCACGTAGGTGAGTGGGTGTGTTCTCTCTTTGGCATTGTCCCCCGCGAGTAATGTGTACAGAACAGTTATTATTATATTGTTCACCATGTTGCCAGCCATAGCCTCTGTATGAATACATCCGCTTTAATCTTCTGTGCCCTCTTCTTGTCGGAACCTCCTGCATCTTCGAATGACTCAGTTTGAGAGGGCAGCTGTACGTTGTAGTTGTGGTGAAAGGTGTAGAGGTGGATTATGCCAACAGGCCACCTGACGTTCACATAGTGTGCAATGTAAAGCTCTGTGGGCTAAGTTGTGAAGATTCACTGAACTCATGCTTCTCTAAACACGCCACAGATATTTCTTTTGGCTTGGTTTGCAGTCACTGCTTTTTTGTGTGTGCTGTCTTACGTCTTCCCAACGTGGTTGCAGACATGCAGCCTCCTTGATAAGGAAAGCTTTTTCATCAAAGGCATTAGGTGAGCATCATTTTGTCTGCTGAAAAGTAACCGTTTTTTGTTATCCTTGCATGTGCTCATAAGGAAGGCCAGTACTGACTTGATGTGCTTTCCTACCCACGTCACAGTGTTCCACTTGGTTTGTTGTGTTGAAGACCCAGTTTAATAAATACAAAAAAGCTCCATCACATTGTTCATTTCTATACCGACTGATCTGTATTACAATTTTCAGATTGGAAGAGTAACACCGTGAATTGTTTGGAGCACACAGACTACTTTAGGAAATGCTGGAGTAGTTTTGCTAGTGCATGCGTACAAGCAATTTTGCAAAGCTGTAGCTAAGAATTGCGGGCATTGAGTAGTATGGCTATTGTATGTAGGAACCGTTATTGGAAGGGAACTGGCTACGTCACTGCCTAACTAACGTGGCCATTTTCGCAGAACATGGGATCTGATTCATGCCGTGTGCGATTTCCATTGGTATTGGTGTGCTATGTGTAATTAGCTGTGTAAGTAGAGGCAGGCTCTTTAATTGTGGGTCCGTTTTGCTGATCTTGGCTGTTACCAGGCAATTCTCGTGGTCACCATCTGATAATATCATCGCGTACTGGACCCCGGAAGAGTCAAGTATACCGGCTAGAGTTGCACTGATGGAGATACCTAGTCGCCAGGAGATACGGACAATGAACCTGTTCAGTGTTGCCGACGTAAGTATGGAAGACCATCACCATCTACATCTACGGATACACGTAGCTGTGTAACGGTAGCATGTATCGCCTACTACATATCCCACTGCTTGATACTGATGATGATGGATTTATCGTCGTTCGAAGTGAAAGCCAGCTTATAAGTTGAGCTTTCCATGAGATTACTCATATACTGAAGTATCAAGTCCAGGAACATTTTAACTTGATGCATTCTTTCTGTGTTGCAAGGTGAATGGATGTCTCATATCAGTTTATGCTGGTTTTGCTTTGCTACCTACCTCCAGTGCAAAATTGTCTGGCACGGTCAAGGTGACTATTTGGCTGTCAAGGTGGATCGTTTTGCCAACAGCAGAAAGAAGGTACGGAAGCGAGTCTAATTTTCCTCGTGGGTCACGGTGGAGCGAATGGAGACGATCTTTGACCGCTTTGTGCTTGGTCTGATCTGCTCACTCCTACTGCTGTAGGCGCTGCTGGTGCGTCTTGATCCTTGAGGGTGGTGGCATTGCTACTTGTACGAATGTGGAAAATTCAATTTGACAGAGTCTCGCGGGAACCGTACAAAATACTATGCAGTGGTACTAACCACTAGATCAACTATCGTGTTGAGGTGCTGCCTGCATATACTGAATTCTGAAACCCCTGGTCTTTGTTACATGCACTAAAGTGAATGTATGCGGGTGATATATCCACCATGGAATACATGCATCTGAAACTAGTCACTGTCTACTCGTGTCCCCATCTGTGTTAGGTGACCATTGCAAACTTTGAAATTTTCCGGATTCGGGAAAAGAACATTCCTGTGGAGAAGATAGAACTCAAGGGTAAGTTGAGTGACTTTTGCAAATGTCAACACCCCACCCATTCCTCACCAAACAAATACATACATCCTTCTTGGCAACAAATACAGCTTCATTTGTTGTTGTTTGGGCTGTGATCAACTAGCACTCTGGGTATTGCACCAATGTCAATCATCGTGATCGGATCTCGTGTACATGTTTTTTGACATGAATGCCCTGCTCACACCCAGTGGAAATAGCGTTCTACTAAGGCAGTTGCATTTCTGTTACAGGAAAACGTGGCTGCTGTTTTGTAATGTACATTGAATGGCGGTGTTATGTGACTGTATCTCATGCACTCGATCTGAACAGATGCGGTGCAAGGATTTGCATGGGAGCCACATGGCAACAAGTTCGCTGTTATTCACGAACTTCAAGGCTCGCCTGGTGTCTGTGTCAGTTTCTACGAGATGGAAACAGACAAGGTGTGTATTAGTGCATGTAGTTGTACTGTTTCCATTACAATTAATTTTGACAATCTACGTAGGGAGAATGAAGTTGAAGACACCACTGCAGCTGTACTTATGGTTGATAAATATGGTGGTAAAGACACACCTGGCAATATGGCGGTAAACACACGCCTGCCCACACACGCTCTCTAGGCTGAAAAGTTCTGGCACAGAGCTCTCCTTCTCACCACCACCACCATCAGTTCGCGCCTGGCGCCTGGTCAATGCATGGCTGGCAGTATCCGGCATAGCAGGCTGGTACATCAAGTAGCGCATGGCACATAGATGATGACACAGCAACGACATAGCTCGATTGCGACGTACGTTTCGTCCCCGCTGGACTCATCAGGCAATCTTCTTCTTGGATGTCTTCATACGGAGCTTGACTCGGGAGAATGAAGTTGAAGCCACCACAGCAGCTGTACTTATGGTGGTGATGGTGGTGGTAGTGAGAAAGAGAGCTCTGTGCCAGAACTTTGCAGCCTAGAGAGCGTGTGTGGGCAGGCGTGTGTTTACCGCCATATTGCCAGGTGTGTCTTTACCACCATATTTATCAATCTACGTAGGGGTTAGAATTACTCCCATAGCTATGCAAAAGACGTTACGAACAATGAAGTCTGGCGCTAGCCACGATCCACAACTCTTTGATGCATATGTACGTGTGTGTGCGTGTGTGGTTCGTCCTCGCGTGACCGACTGGCTGTCGTCACACATGAGTGATCACATGACCGATGACGTAAGCGAACTCAGAAAAAATGATCATGATGATGATGAACAAGCATAGCGAAGGGCCTTGAGCTAGTTCTGTCGTGGAAAAAATATTGGCAGTGTCTCATTGGTTTTCTGATTGACTGCTCTTTTCAACAAACCTGGACATATTCAAGTGGACAGGTGTTGCCTTGTTTTGTTGGTAGAACGAAATTGGCCATTGGTATTATTTGTCTTAGTCCTGCCTCAACTGAAGCACGTCACCTCACATCTTTCACTCAAAATATGCTTTGCCCTCTTTCGTGATACTTCTTTTGTAGCTAAAACTCATCAAGATGCTGGAGAAGAAGCTTGTATCACACATCTTCTGGTCACCCAGGGGACAGTTTGTCGTTCTAGCAGGCCTCAAACAGTAAGTTCTGACACTGTGACCTGTAGTGATCTGTAGTGTTATTGTGCTGGTGGTGAGGGAAGCCTTCGTGCTCATCAGGTTTGTTTATCTCCAACTAATGTTCTGCATGCAGTATCCTCATGACCCACAATGTACTAATGTTCTGCATGCAGTATCCTCATGACCCACAATGTACTAATGTTCTGCATGCAGTATCCTCATGACCCACAATGTACTAATGTTCTGCATGCAGTATCCTCATGACCCACAATGTACTAATGTTCTGCATGCAGTATCCTCATGACCCACAATGTACTAATGTTCTGCATGCAGTATCCTCATGACCCACAATGTACTAATGTTCTGCATGCAGTATCCTCATGACCCACAATGTACTAATGTTCTGCATGCAGTATCCTCATGACCCACAATGTACTAATGTTCTGCATGCAGTATCCTCATGACCCACAATGTACTAATGTTCTGCATGCAGTATCCTCATGACCCACAATGTACTAATGTTCTGCATGCAGTATCCTCATGACCCACAATGTACTAATGTTCTGCATGCAGTATCCTCATGACCCACAATGTACTAATGTTCTGCATGCAGTATCCTCATGACCCACAATGTACTAATGTTCTGCATGCAGTATCCTCATGACCCACAATGTACTAATGTTCTGCATGCAGTATCCTCATGACCCACAATGTACTAATGTTCTGCATGCAGTATCCTCATGACCCACAATGTACTAATGTTCTGCATGCAGTATCCTCATGACCCACAATGTACTAATGTTCTGCATGCAGTATCCTCATGACCCACAATGTACTAATGTTCTGCATGCAGTATCCTCATGACCCACAATGTACTAATGTTCTGCATGCAGTATCCTCATGACCCACAATGTACTAATGTTCTGCATGCAGTATCCTCATGACCCACAATGTACTAATGTTCTGCATGCAGTATCCTCATGACCCACAATGTACTAATGTTCTGCATGCAGTATCCTCATGACCCACAATGTACTAATGTTCTGCATGCAGTATCCTCATGACCCACAATCTACTAGTACATGTACAGTGCTGGCAACTGAAATCCGACCCCTGAGCGGTGCGCTCACATCGCAAAGAATGTGAACCCACCGCTCAGGGGTCGGATTTCAGTTGCCAGCACTGTAGTACTGGCTCTGGTGATACACGGCGGCTCGCTCGCTGTCTTTTCTTCGACAGTTCAGTACCTTGCCATTTTTGTGAGGTCACGGTGGCTGTTCGTGTTCCTGTGATGTTGTTAACCAGGTCCAATGGTATATTGGAGTTCTATGACACATCAGACATGACAATGATGAACGTTAGCGAGCACTTGATGGCCACTGATATTGCGTGGGACCCTACCGGTCGCTACCTGGTCAGCTCCGTGAGCACGTGGTACCAGAAGGTAGGTTAACTGTCTCACCCTATGGTGCATATAGAAGTTGGTTATTGGAGAGTCGTTTGTCACTGCATCTGCTGATGTCAGCTGTGACATTGCATGGCTGAAATAAAATCCATTAGCTTGGGCAAATTATGCCGGTGTGGCTGGGGTGAAGCTACTTTGTGGTGCGTGTAGTGACGACGTGTGGTGATGCTTGAGGTGATCATGATGACATCATGCTGATCTGGTGAGGCTGCACAAAACCGGGTGACTTGTAACGTTATGCCTTGTCGCATGCCATGTTGTTGCCACTATTTCCCTTGTTACCGTATAGGTGGACACTGGATACATCGTCTGGTCACTGCATGGACAACCGCTGCAGCGCCATAGCGTCGATGGCTTCTGCGAATTGCATTGGCGACCTCGCCCCAAATCACTTTTATCTGAAGAAGAGGTCAAGGTAAGGGACGCACATTCCTGCATGCAATAGCTGCGAAACCATGTCCCTGCAAATGAGCCACAGCCTTGGATCACATGCATGAGACCAGCACATTGCTCTATGTACTGACTCGCAAGCTATAAGAGACCTCGCGCACGTTCATACCAGAAGAAGACGAGCATGAGTTGAATGCTCGATTCTCAGTGGGTCCGAGGATTCAAAGATGCCAAGTGGAAAGCCTCGCTTATACGAGTGAATGCATGTTCCTTCGTCGTCTGCTCCGGGCAGGATTCGGCTCGTACTCTTTTATCACAGAGTGTGAATGGTCTCCCTTGATCCTTGGCACGGAGCAAAGTCCGTGCAAGCCATCACTACGAGTGGTATGTTGAACCGTCTAGGACTGCGATGAAATCGTTATACATCTTGTGGTGTCCATGATGAAACCCTGCCGGCAGTGTGTTACATGTATCGGCTGTATTCTTGTTCTTGCTCAGCGCCTCAAACGTGATTTGAAGAAGACCTACACCCCCAAGTTTGACAGCCAGGACAGGAAATCCCGCAACAAAGCATCCAAGGTAAACATTATTCTGTTGTTCTTCATCATGGAGTGCGTTCACAGCTTGATTATAGTAGCATTTTCACATACCAATGTTACACCTCATTGTCTTGATGCACTAGTAACATCTTTCGCACTTCCCTCGAAAGTTTCAGTTCAATTGTATACGTGTATATGTATCCTACTATTGTTCCCCTATTCTATCCCAGTCACACGATTCCATTTGATGAGACTGACGAAACATTCTGGAACCAAACCTTCGCTATTATAGCTGTGACATGAGCGAGCATATCATTTTATTCATTGCTATTCTCACGATTGTCTCCACGGCGCCTGTTCATGTGTAATTTCATCGACCAATGCACTACTGCCTGTTATAGGGTCTTGCTATAGGACACACAGCCACCCACTGTCTTGGGATCATGGGCACATGACAGCAATGAGCTCATTACCGCTTGTCCTTGTTTGCTTACAGGCCGAAATTGAGAAACGGCAGCAGCTCATGGCGCAGTTCAAGGCGTACCGTGCAAGGGTCACGCGGGAACTGGCGGAGGAAGAACCACGTCTGCGTGAACTAAGAGGTGAGGAATACATTCAAGACTGTAAGTGTTTCAACCAAGATACGCTCATGACTATGTGTTTGAAACAAGAGTGGAGAAAAACCCAGAGACATGTGGTAAATGAATATGTGTGCAGTCAACGTCACTTGCTACCATCTGCAAGGTCTTTGGGTATGTGCAGGGACTTCCATTTACTTAGTACTTGGGCATTTTTCTATCCTGGCCCTTTGTCGGCAAACTCCAACGCAGCGACTTACACATGTATGAAGCTTCTCTCCCAACTCCGATAACAGTCTTACATTTCAGTGGGGTCCAATGACGGGAAGAAATTCATTATGATTGTTTTTGGTGTTGAAGCACATAACAAGAGAGGTGTGTTGTCACTTGTGTCATGGTGCTGTTCAGGGGATATGGACCAGGACGATGGTGAATATGATGAGGAAGTTGTTGAGTATCTGGTCAACGTGGAGGAAGTCGTCCTCAAGTGAACCTTTGCTTCTATGTGACACACGTCGATCTTGCATCGCGCCGGTTTATTTTTCATCAAGAACCCGAAATTGTACAAAGTTTGAACTACAAACCCACTTGTATGATTCCGATTCCCTGCCTGATAACAAGCAGGAGCTGCTTTCATTTTGCCTAGGGGCTGTTTTAACTATTAAACTTTAGTGTTCTCTTTCATAAGGTTTGTTTGTCTGTCTCGTCGATGTGATTATATTGCTGCTTGTGTCTGCGTAATGCACAAAGATGTCAACATAGTTATGCTGTTCGGGTTGCCAAACTTGCCGCTGCGGAAATTGCAGGTCAATCATAGTCCGGTGCTTGTAGATGTACATGCGCAACAATAAACCGTGATTCACAATATCACTTTCTGGTTTCTGCCGGCAATTTGACGTGCAATATGCAACAAGGAAATGCTGGTAAGACTAGCTTGACCAAAGTTAAACGTTTGCGATGTGCAACACGACGCATGCCAATAGAGTACCGGTGCAGGTTTCTATGCTGGTCGCACGTGCATGTACAGTACAACGCACTGCATTTAGTAGGTGTTGCAGAAACCAAAGATACTGTGCATCATCGGCATGTGTCACATACGCAGCTCATCGCCATAACTGTTTTTGAGGAATCTGCATTACGCTGTAACATTACCAGTCACTTGACCTCTGATATACAGTACAGTCTTTCCCTTTCTTCTGGATTCTTTCCACTTCTCACCATTTCTTCCTTGTTATGTCTGTTGTCACTGAGGTACTATGTTTTGGTGTTTTGCTCGTTCAACAGCCGCGTGCTCTTATATGGGCGAAAGTAGCACATCATGCATGACATTGTTGACAATAAAGAGTTTTGCAAAGGAGTCGCATGCAAATATTGAAACAAATAACCATGAAGACGTGTGATGTACGAGTAGGTGTTGTACTGGTCAAAACGGGTTTATTCAAACAATACGACATGGAAAGAAGGAAGAACACCAAAGATACAAGGGATGAAACTCGGCGATGAAATCAAAATGAAAATTTGAAAATAATAGTCTAATCCAAAGAAACTCTAGGCAGATGTATCAAGGTTGTAGGTGTTATACTACTCCCTGGTAAACACTATAAGTACACCATGGTACACTGTACATGGAAACTCGTGTGATTCGTCGACACCGTACCGGGGTCTATGCGGGGAGCCTTACACATACCAAGAGTACATGTACATAATGTACACTTCTGGCCAGAGAAATCCAACCTCATGAATAAAGTAGCGCCGATTTCGAGTGCCAGACCAGTGTGTGTAGTGCTAGGGCTGCGTAGCGCACGGCGCTATTTTATTCATCAGGTTGGATTTCTTTGGCCAGCACTGCACTCTTGCACAAAATAGTGCATGGCTTGCGGGGCCTATTTTAATTACATGTATGCAACTCCTTGGTCGACACCTATACACTTGGTAGTACAATACCATTCTACTCCCTGTAAAAAAATTATGTTGTACCTGTGCCCATTTTTTTCCTTTGCAAATAATTCTTTCTACTGAGTCGATACGTCGATAGAAGGAAAACCCTTATCAACTCGCATATGTAAAAAAATACATGTATTAAAGGGGAAGTATACCCTAAAATCAAGTTTTCACCAGTTGTAGTCTTCTGGGTGCTGAGTCGAATGGTCTTGGTCCGAGGAAGCTGCGACGCTCCCTTCCTACTTGAATCCCAATCGAACTCGCGCACTTCCGCCGAAACTGGGTAACTGCGCCCCACGAGATGGGGATTTGTATGCAAAATGTCACTAAAAGCGCCATTTCGTTCTTATAAAAGCACGGATGACCGCGATTGACCCATATGTTGTAGTCTTTTGGACGCTGAGTCGACTGGTTTTGGTCCGAAAAGGCTGCGATGCAGCGTTCCTCCTTTATTCCCAATCGAACATGGTTGAACAAGCGGTCACGTGCTCCTGGGTGCCCAAATCACCTGGTCACCGCGCCAGCAGGCGACAACTTTCACACCATGGTTCAACTCGAGTTCAACTCGAGTGACAGGACTGCACCCAAAAAGGTCAAACAGGCTAGTAAGTTGTACCCTGCAGGCACGGTGACCAGGTGACTGGTGTACGCAGGAGCACGTGACCGCTTGTTCAACCATGTTCGATTGGGAATAAAGGAGGAACGCTGCATCGCAGCCTTTTCGGACCAAAACCAGTCGACTCAGCGTCCAAAAGACTACAACATACGGGCCAATCGCGGTCATCCGTGCTTTTATAAGAACGAAATGGCGCTTTTAGTGACATTTTGCATACAAATCCCCATCTAGTAGGGCGCAGTCACCCAGTTTCGGTGGAAGTGCGCGAGTTCGATTGGGATTCAAGTAGGAAGGGAGCGTCTCAGCTTCCTCGGACCAAGACCATTCGACTCAGCACCCCGAAGACTACAACTGGTGAAAATTTGATTTTAGGGTATACTTCCCCTTTAATGCCTAAATGCCCAGACATACATGTAGTTCATGTGCTTGTCCTGCGAGCTCGGCAATATACTATGAAGTACACTTGACACCTGAATCCATTTCGCTTTAACACACAGCCGAGTACAAGAACGGTGCAAAACACATTATGGGTCCATTCGAACGTTGAAACCTACAATGTGCTCATATTGAGCTTCTGTTTGCCTGTGCATAGGTGTGTGCCCATGCATGTGCATGTACATGTATGTATGCATAAATACATGTACAATGTATGTTGTGCTTGTGTTCATGTGTGAGGGCAATCACGGTCAGTCGATAACCAGTCGATAGTCAGTCAATAGGATTGCATAAAGTCGATAAGGAATTTGGGTCAGTTGTTTCACCCGTATTGCCAATGCTGTCAAACAAAATTGCACGATATCGTTCAAAGCAAACTGGATCATCCAATAAGCGCTTAAAACCACGATCAAACTGAGAGCTAAACAAAGAGGATTTCAAGTCGACATTAGGTAGAGCATTAAAAAACAGAGCAGCACGAAGCAGAAACGATTTTTCATCGGGTGTTGTTCTGCATTTTAAATGAGGAGTTAGGGTAGCTCAAACCACTTTGGAGGTGAAAAAAACTTTTACAGAAGAAGTGCTGTTTCCTCTGTTCTAAGTAAGTTGTTCTCTTGCAGCATGCATACATCACGGAAGTGAGGCTCGAAATTTGGAAAATTGTGTTTTTCGTACTTTCAAGAGGCCATGTGTACAACAAAATGCATAAGTATCCCCCATGCGGCCATACGAATATCGTTTCCGTGGTCTATGTATGCTAGAGAACAACTTAGAACAGAGAAAACAGCACTTCTTCTGTCTTCTTTCTTTCAAATCCACTTTTTGTCTGTAGGGCCTTTCCTATCAAAATAATAAATTATACTACTACTACTACTACTACTACTACTACTACTACACACAATGCACGTTGTGCAGTCAATCCGTACTCGATTTACCTTCGAGCGGACATGAGCTCCATACAAAAAAACTGCTAAGGTTGCATTTGGTTGATGACATTCCACAATGGGAACCACTGGAAATCATTCTTGCCCGTTTGCTTGGTTGGTGAAAAATTCCGTTAGGTTGGTCCCATTCCAGAATTAAAATTAATGGGAATCGCTGAGAAGGATTCTTTTTGGGGAATTATCATTCCACCTCACATGCTGGAATGAGCATTCTCATTCCGGAATCAAAAATGGTAATGGTTGCCACGAGCCAAATAATGTACAGTAGAGTGCACGCTGAAGAATGTGGAGCCCAAGAACGTCCAGCCTGACATTCCAAGAACGCCACAGCCTAAAGCTAAGAACGGCGGTGTTGGTTTTCTGTCAGCTTGTGGGACAGATACCGTATGTCCGCACCTTTAACTCGTACCTTGATCACCCAAATAGCGTTGAAGTTGCAGCGTAAAACGTTATGGGGGCTGATTTATCGTTGTGACAAACGGTACGTTAGGCCAAATATTGCGTGGAGCGTACCCATTTCACCTTGTATCGCGTATATGGCGCCATAAATGGTTGTACCGCGCAAATTAAAAGCTGTACTCATAGCAACAGTGTACTAAAATTAGCGTGCATCTTGCTAAAGGTCGAACCCAAATTTCAGTATTTTCCCCCTTATGGTAATACCAAGAGTAGATAAACAAGAGTGTGCAACTCCGGATCTCTCCTGCACAATCTGCAGATACCCTCGCCCACGGCGGAATTTTTTGTTGACGTCACCTTTTTTAAAGAAGAACGCGCATTTTGCCGCAGAGCAGTGTGAGAGCACGTACTGGGCACCGACCTTGTAGTGTAAAGCCGGCCAAGAGCACGAGGGAAAACTTTCCGAAAGACTCGCAGCGCGTGCGTCGTCGAAAAGATTACGTCAACAAAAATTCCGCCGTGGGCCTACCCATCCGCGAGTTGCACACTCTTGTTTATCTACTCTTGGTAATACTGTTACAACATAACGTTTTTTTGCTGATAGGCCATTCATTAGGCTCCGACGGATTATGCCGGCATAATTATTGGCATAATTTGGTGGTTGAAAATTAGGAGCATAATTTGGCATCCTTTCGGATGTAGGAGCATAACTGCATGATTGTACTACAGTTCTAGTATGTAGGCTACAAAATTGTATACAATGTACCTGATCAGTGCTGGTGGTCTGCATGACAAAAGGTCCGGAGGTCATACAGACAGTGTTTCAGTGAAAACAGTGTGAAATCATGTCAATACATTGTTGTATGCTCGAACTCGTCTTCTTCAAAGTTCTTTCTCACGCTGATACCATGCATACAGTACGGGTAGCAGAATATGTGAGTGAAAAAAAATGAAATCCGACTACATCAGGTATCTCGGGGCGGACGAGATATCGACGGGCAGTCCGCAAAACTCTGCGCACATGTACATTATGCATGATACGAAATCGAGACCGTTGGATTTTAGCATGGCCATAATCATGATAATCCTATCGACAACTACCATTGCAAATATCGATACAGGTGTATGCACTGGAACAGAGTGGATATTACTCTAATCATTTATAATACTTTAGTTTAGGAGGCGCAGTTGACGTTTGGTCATTATGGAACAAGAGGTGGAGCTGCGGGAGAGATGGGCTGATTGTTAGCAGGATGATTTTGACATGTTGGACGGGTGTTGATCACTGATGCAACGACACCTTGGTATGGGGATACTCATGTATTTTGTTGTACTTATGCCACTTGCAAGTACGGAAAACACACAATTTTCTGAAATTTGAGGCTCCATAAGCACAACAAAGCGAAGAAGTATTCCCTCATGCCAAAGCATAATATGAGGATGCTGTGAGCATCTATGAAAGCATAATTCTATTTATTTTGCGAGCATTATCCGCCGGAACATACCATTCACACGACGTCCAAACTCAATTTTATCGTACCATTTCCAAGGATATTAATCTCATACGATAAATTTGAACACATGCGTGCAGCTGATTTTTTTTGATCTTGGCCGAGGCCCTTTTGCTCGCGATTATCTTTGCATGCCAGCAAAAGTGTCAGTTGTTGCAAGTGCGTACTGCAAATGCAGTGCTTGAAGAAAGGAAAATTCAAAAATTAATATTTCCCGGCATTTTCAGGTCACATACTCACTATGGATACATTGACGGTTGCGAAGTTTGCCTATGACCTTAGCACACAATGCTGTGCCTTTGGAAAACGCAGCCAAGAATTCGAAATTCCGCGGCAAAAGGTTGGTTTTCTGCGGCATTTTCTGCAGTAAAATGAAAAAAAGTGCGGCACTTTCTGAAAGCTTTTCACCCTCCTCGAGGATATGGCAACCAGTCTGTCCCCACAGAACAACGCAGACAAAACCCTAAAATTATGCAGGCGAAAACTGGCAATTATGTAGCAAATATGCGGGTTAATGCGGTCATTATGCACGAGTTATCTGTCACTGGTACAACTTTAGCGTGCAGTCTCATGCAAGAATACAACTTTGTCGCACAAACTCATACGACTTTGTAGTACATTTTCAACAGCATGCACTATTTTCTTGTACATTCTCATGAATAAGGCGGGATTTATGCGAAATCTCACGAAAACGCGGATGATAACCAATAACGCGGAAAATTCCGCGTCCGCGGAATCCTGTGGGGACAGACCAGTTGCATGAAGGAGAACTTTTCACACTATACTTTGCAGTCACAAACAGAATGGGAGCGAAGAATCTTGGAGAGGCCTGCAATCACATACACTGGCAAGAGCATTGTGCTCAAACAGATTGTGAAGTAGTTTGTCTGCTGCTTTCCGAGTAGTAAATTACTAAATTACCAACAAAAATTCAGATCCCGCGGGCAAAAGTGTGGATTCCGTGATTTCCGCAGATGACGAGTCTGCAAAATTTGCCGCGGAAGCGGAATCACGCCTTTCCAAGGGGACGGACGGACAGACATAGGTTCTCACAACGACACGTACAAACTTCATTGCACTCTGCCATACGATTTTCCATTCCCTGGCTGTAAAATCAAGGTTGGGCGCTCTCGCCGTACTTTACGGTACAATTAATTGTAGGTTATACACTGAAAACAAATATCAAACTAGGTGCATTCTGCACACAACAGTTTGAAACAGAGCAAAGAATCATGACTGGATTGAAGCCACATGCCTGCGAGATACTTGGTCAAGACCTACCGTATTTTCCGAAGTATAAGCCGCACCCAGATTTTTTGTCGCAAAATACAGATATCAATCCCAGCTACCACCGTTAAGTTGACCATGATAGTATAAGCCGGACCGACTTTCTGGGTAAATTACTGGCGTTAAAAGCACGGCTTATACTCCGGAAAACACGGTAGGTCTGGACATGAGAAGCTTGGATCGGACAGGGTTGAGTGTACCACTTCTCATCTGTGTGCCAGAAATACCAAACTGCAAACGACCTCAGTGGAATCGGGTTTAAAACATTTTTTATTTAAGCTCTTTGCTGGCGACCATGATAAGGGCGGCCACCGGCCATATTATCGTTCTGTGATGAGGTGACAACTTGGACGTTGGGAATGGTGAAGTCCTAGAAAAAGAGAAATAGTGAAAATAGAAGAAACCATGAAATGGTGAAATGAAAATGGTGAACACACTGGTACATTTGATGAACTGAACTTTTGAATCACTGGTAAAGTCACGCACGCACCATGATTCCGATAGCCAAAAATGATTACAGCCCAAGGTGCGACTTACACTGCCAACGCGAACAAATGAAAAAAAAACTAAATTCAATTTAGGGCCATGACGGGGAGGGTGCGGCGTCGTCCCTGGTGCAGCCAACACTCCGGAAAATACGGCATACGAAATCTGACCGTACAAATAGTAGAAGTACTTGAAACACCCAAGCACTTCGAGCAGTGGGCTGTGTATAGCCTTTATTCAGGAAGAAGGTTTCACTTGTCAAACCTGTTTATTGTGTTACTCTAGACTTTCCTTTGGATTCACCGCTTTGATATGGGGCTGTCACATAAGTTTTTGTAGTCCCTGAAACGAATATCATTCGTTGGGGGGGGGGGGGGGGGGGGGGGGCAAAATCGCAAGTCGACTGACACTATACATATGTCATGTACATGCATGCGATTATCGTTGTCCAGCATAGCAAGCTGTGTTCGTTTCAGAGGGAGGGGAGGGGTCCGAGTACGAAATGGACAATGTTCGTTTCAGCGACAACCTCCAAGTTGGCCATGTGGAAACAGAAAGTGTGTAGTTGTTGTATGTACAGAAAGACGGCACTATAAACACTGTAGCTAGGAGACCCACCAATACCCAAGTAAGAATGCACACTGTGGACACAATGCAAGTGGAATATAATAAAGCTTACCAAGGATTTCAACATGCTGCTGGTGTCTGGGTCAATCTCGATGACCTCACCATCCAAAGCAGACACCTAAGATGAAAAGTGGAAGAAAAGAAACAGATAGAAACAAAGCCAATTGGACGAATTGGACCGAAAAGATACAGATGCGAACTTAATCTTCGATTGCTCCTTTCGGGTTTAAGAGGGGAGGAGGAAGGCAGGTACAGTTATCGGTATACAAAAATGAACGCATCCATCCACAGGAAGTAGCTACAAGTAGCTACAACTTCTACCGTATGTACAAACAAATGCACTCGAATTGTCTCTTATACGGGCGCCTTGGGACCAGGTACTGCCCGTATCTCAGATTTGCCCTGAGCTCAGGACAGCTCATCTACTATGTATCATATCAGTTTTCGAGGAAGATTACTTGGCACGTACTGCACATATTCAGGATAAAAAGTAATAAACAGGCTAGAATTCCATCAAGCACAACATACCAATGTATACCCAGTGCCTAAACTGTGCATAGACTGTAGCACATGACAATAGGAACGGCCTAGGCTAGGAGGCTGACCCCCAGGTCTCCGACACCCGACAGTACAAACTTGCCCAGACGGCCATACACGCCGTCGCTCTCCTTCTCACACACATGCACGCCGCCACACAGGAACCCTGTTATCAGCAACACAATAGATATGACCCTTACATCAGGCACGTAGTTGTCACGGCGTTCACGCTCTTCTTCCTGAAGTTTGATCGAGATACCACGGACTGGTCCCTTCTGGATACGCTTCATCAAGTGAGTAACAAATCTGGAAGACACAGTACACAACAAAATCGAACTCATGAACTTACTACGATACCAACCATGAGATAGTTACAGCTCATCATCATTGAGAGACATAATAACGTTCTGTATACATGTTATGCCAGCACATACAAGCGTATGAAGGAAAGTGCACATATGCTCAGCACAGACGCTTGTCACCACTGTGTAGCACAAAGTCACTACTTTTTGCACGGTGTGTTTGCGTGTAAAATGTACGTGTGCTTGCTATTTTCATATTTATACGTGTGCATGCTTTCTTCCACAGTATGTACAGCTAGACAGTGAGGCATGGATGAGTTTTAGGGCGCAAGTACACAGCAACAGCTTCCTCGTGATCTCCACAGCAGAACTATTTGTTTCCACAATGTTCGTATCATGATATTCGTCGCAAATTCTCTCGACTAATGTTTTCAAAAGCATTTGAGATCTCCAAATCTCATAACTCAACAGCGAGAAACATGGTTGCGATGTTCCAACACTGATCCACATTGTCCACACACACGTACTACTATACAAACGCCTCCTGGCGCGGAACACTCCAACAGCTGGACATACCCAGCAATCTTGTTACGGAGACGCTTGCTTGGGATAATTGCAATCTCCTCACACAAACGCTTGTTTGTGTGAAAATCCAAGGTGCATCGTGGATAGAATTTCTCGATAATAACACGAGAAGCCTTCTTCACGGTCTTCGTCCTGACGCGACCCTATACAGCCAGACATAGAAAAGCATGTCAGCAAATTCGCCATCCCCAGTTCTAACTTCTTCAGTGAAGAAGACGAAAGGCTCACCATCTTGAACGGTTGAAAAGAGAACGAGCGCTGCGCGCATGCGCAAATTTAGGATATTGTCATGATTTGTGACGTTGACATTTTTTTAACGTGGCGACTCACGTTGCGACCTGAGTAGATCGAATGTGGCGTGTACGTGCAGATGACATAATCTGACGTTGTCCATAATGGACTCTTGATCATGCTACTGTACACACGTATACTTGCTGAGATCATGCGCATGATCAAGATGTGGGACGTGAACACTACTTGTGTACACATGTACATACATAAAGATTCAAGGCAGTAACAGTCCATAATCTGTCATCTACGTTATCTTTATGTCCATTGCTCCAAGCTCTTGTCTCCACTGACTGGACATACTGTACTTGCAAGTCACAGTTAGTGATTAGCAGCAACTCGACTGGATCAGTTGTCGAAAGTGGCGGAGTACTACCATGCGTGTCTTCTACCCATAGACCAGGTACATACAAAAATTAATTGAAAATATTATTGGACAATGTCATGTTATTGTACAGTACCTGTAAGCTGTCACCTAGCTAGCACCAGTCGGTTTCAAGCAGAGAGTTGCCCCAGGTTTCAAGTTGTGCTTCCTAAACAACCAATACTAGATAGGCCACACAATCATAGTTTTCCCATGTTTCTTGTCGGCAGATTTAACTAAAGGTATGCCATGCGGACTGGTGATTAAAAAAAACAGGAAACCCCAAAAAAATTCCACCGAATTCTCACCGGGCCAGGAAGGTATTATGATTGTATACGACAATCATAATACATAATTCCCCTTTAAGCGTAAAATCAAATTTTCACCAGTTATAGTCTTCGGGGTGCTGAGTCGAATGGTCGTGGTCCGAGGAAGCTTTGACGCTCCCTTCCTCCTTTGTGCCCAATCGAACTCGCGCACTTCCACCGAAACCGGCTGGCTGATGGGGATTTGTATGCAAAATGTCACTAACAGTGCCATTTCGTTCTTATAAAAGCACGGATGCCGCGATTGGCCCATATGTTGTAGTTTTTTTTGGACGCTGAGTCGACTGGTTTCGGTCCGAAAAGGCTGCGATGCAGCGTTGGGCCTTATTCCCAATCGAACAAGGTTGAACAAGCGGTCACGTGCTCCTGCATACACCAGTCACCTGGTCACCGCACCAGCAGGCGACAACTTTCACACCAAGGTTCAGCTCGAGTGACAGGAATGCACCCAAACAGCTTGTACGTTCTCATGCTCAAACTAACATTCACAGCAAGAGTTCTTTTAACCCTGGGGGTTATGAACTCATGCTCAAACTCAGATACAGAGGTGTGCAAAAGCAAACAAAAACAAAACCACGCGCCTAGAAACGAGGTGTGAGGAGTGGCGGGACCGTGACAAAAAGATGAGCTTCTGTGACTAAAGTGTATTTACGCTGCACCATTGTGCTGAACTGTATACCAATGGCGTGAACAAGCACTTCATGACAGCAGGACAGGACAGTGGAAACAGTAACTACTAACGGTAACCTTGGATGGCCTGACATACCCCCATGGACGGCAGGAAAAATGTACTTAGTAATAGTATCTGACCACTACTTATCCCAATCACTATCAATACACCCGTGCTCTGGACAATGTCCAAGCTAGGCAAGCATAATTATAATTATGTGTTATCAGAGTAGGTACTAAGTGAGCTCCCCTGCTGTTCAACTGATGCAGCCAGATACTGATAACGTTAACCTTACCTTAACGCCGCCGGTTCATGTAGAAGTAGTCCAATGCATGCAAGTGGAATGGGTCCACGGAGAGCGCATTGTGGAGTGGTGGTGCGACTGAAAATGATCGTACTGATTCATACATGTACATGGTGTTGGTATTAATAGACTACCGGTTGTTAAGGGTAAATAAATCGGAAGTTGTGAAACAAATGGAAAGGCTTGTTACAGACAGTCTCAACTGAAATCATCACACGCTCATAATTGCACAGCATTAAAGCTATTCCAAAGCTGCCGCTTAAGTTAAAGGTTAGACATGCTTACGAAGTTGCCACCAATGAAATCCTCCCTGGTGCAGTGCTGTGGAAAGTATAGGTTTTGTGTAGAAACTGGTGTGGACTTTGCGAAATTTGTGAATGTTGGATATCTTTGTGAAATACTCTTGGAATAATTATATAGTATGATTATCTCAGACTCGAATCAGTTTTACCTGGCGAAAGAGGATAAAAGTACATAAATATTTCTTGGGGTTAGGTGTCAATGAGCAAGTCGTCACGCAGTTCTCCTGGTTTGGTCTGCAGGCTCCATTTCTTCACTCGTACTCGCTCCGACGTTGTCAGCGGAGTCGCCTCGCTTGTGTCATCATTCCCGGTTGCGAGACGTGCCTCGCACTTTGCCCTGTTCCAACATCCAGTGCTTGGCAATGTTTCCTTGAGCTTCTCACGGTTCAAGTAGACTGCGTAACCGACAAGGATAGGTGTCGGCATGCCAAACACAACCCATAGGAGAATGGTGTAATTGTCATTGACATCTGATGGGGACGGTAAGTTGACAATGGCGAAAAGTGCTGCATTCGATAGGCACAGGAACTCGATGGCGTTGTCAGTATCCTTCTTGTATGGCTTAGTAAAGTACTGTATGATAATCATTACGAGCACGATTGCAGCCAACAGTATCTGGCGCACCAGGCTCTCATTGTCGATCATGGCCGACAGCACGGCTACAACTACCCGTCGCAGCATGTTGTAGAAAATCCACCAGGTGCGATTCTCCTTGACGTAGCCGAGGTAGACGTCGAACAGCGGCTTGACGCGCGGCGTGTTGCGCTTGACGTAGAGCACGACAGGCAGCGCAACGCATATGCTGCCCAGCACGAGCACGCTAGTCACAATGTACGGCGCGTGCCGTGCCGAGCCACATTTAACCCTGGCGTCGGAAAAGAACACGTAGTTGTTGTTGAACGAGTGGCACGACAGCAGCAGGAACGACGGGAACACGCTACTGGCGAAGCAGAAGTTCAGCATGGCCCATAGTGTCGGCGTCAACGAACTTGTGTGGAATGTTCGTCTGAAGCTGCCCAGGCGGCTGAGCTGAAAAATCAGCGTGATCCAGAGCAGGATAGCCACGGTTGTGAGATAGAGGAGGCACACCTGGAGGCTTGGTGTTAGCCAGCGCATGCATATTGGCAATGAGAATGTTGTGAACGTTGTCATTGGTATCTGTCGTCGGATAATGAACGCACACATCTGCAGACAAATGGCCACAAGAGAAACGGAGAGTGGTGATATGAGCAGAGGGTATAGTAGTGTACATGTACAGTATTGCAAGTGTTTGTGGCCGAAATGATAAGCTCATTGCGCATTGCCAATGCACTGTTCAACACCCCACACAACCATGTCAAGGTGGCTGTGTGGGGTGCTGGGAGTACAAATGACTTTTTGAAGTATTGCGCAATGGGCTTATTGGGCTGCCTTGCTGCTTGTGTTCTACCCACATGTACCAGTATGTGTGAACATTTACTACATTTGTGACTACCATCACCTAGAGACTGGCAATGTAGTTAGTTGCAGATGCATGATGAGATAGTTCTCACATAGCACACACATACACACGCACACACACACACACACACACACACACACACACACACACACACACGCGCGCGCGCGCGCACACACACACACACACGCGCGCACACACCCACACACACACACACACACTGTGATATCTCATTCTCACCTGATCGTAGTTGACCCAGGAATCAAACCAGGATGTGCGACCCACTTGGAAGTACGCCAATATGGCGATAATTGCACCGATGTAGATGAACACTCCAACGAAGAGAAAGAAAGTATTGCGGATGCTAGTTGACGCAGAGCAAGTGGTGCATGGCTGTGCATGGCACAAGACAAATTTTCCAAATCAAACATCATTTACGTAAAGCATTCCTGTCACCACCCCATTGACACATTTACCTGCCCTGTCTAAACTAGACTAAAGTCTAGTTCACACTCGACGGGGCGCAATGGGATTCGACTTCTTCATTTGAGGAGAAATAATTAAAAAAGAAGTCCTGAACTGTGTACTGAATGCGCAACTTGCGCTGATCGACCTTGAGCATTGCAACAACTGCTGTATGTCATGTTGTTCGGATCGTACACGATTTTACAGCTCGCCCCAGCCTTCCCGACAGATTCTTATGTCCGCCACCATCAGCGTTACGTCGAATGTGAACTAGGCTCAAACTAGTGGTTCTGTATTAGCGACCATGGTACAGTTCTGCACAATTCACAATATTTTCATATCCAAGTGACATGTTTCCCCAGAAACAGATTTGCAATGCTTTGAAATATCAGCAGCTGTACATGCGACAAGATTGCACTTCAAGATTAGAGTAGGTGCATGTACATGGTATGTGTAGTTCGACGTAGCCCTGATGTGACCTGTACACCATGCGATACAGCCCACATCTGACCGAATCTTGATCAGCTAAAATAATTGTTGACGCATGCCTGATATCCAGTACATGACCACAATGTGCAGTGCACCATATCTGAACGTACCGATGAGAAGAAGCCAGTGAGATAGTAACCCTGTTCACACTGCCCGCAGAGCAGGCCACTCCTGTGCTGGTGCGGCGAACACGGCCACTCCTCTTGCAGTTGCCAGTTTGTGCGGTTGTGGTCGGTGCAGTAGCTCATGGTGCACGCACCGGTAGCAAAGGTCAGGCGTGAGTGCCGCTCTTCGTCCGCCGCCAAATCTGTTATCAGTTTGATTCCACGCTGTGCAGCTGGAAGGTAACTCACTTCTTCAGTCGTACCTGCCCAGTACTCCCACTGCATCGTGACATCTGCACCGTCTTTACACGAATGCACACCGGCCGTATCATGTAGGCATTGACAAGCCAACGGGCCTTCGCTGAAATCCATCCTGGTCAGGGTGAACGTGTCTATATACTCCTTTGCCTGTGCATATCAAAAACACCAATCAAGCGTGTCAGGTGGTGGCACGGTTCTATTCAGTAGGGCCAAATACTGAAGTCATAGTCTTGCCAGGCTTGCAGTCCCTAAACAGTGACACAGAGTTGATTTTCCACACACCTTGTAGGCCCGGACGCAGGATTCAAACTGGGGTGGTTCTTCCAGTCTTCGGGTGGAACTTCTTGAGCGCACGTATAGTTTGAGATGTACAAGTATTCTACAAGTCAACTGTGATTTTTCTACACAAGTGTCAGTATAATATGCGTGGTAATTATAGGCTGCAGACCGGTACGCGGTGGGGACTAGTGACTGTTGACTGCACTGCGTACGTAGAATCTACGCGCGCGCATGCTCATGCCTCACGACTCATGGTCACTGTTCTGGAGTACAGATCCTGAACTTTTCTGCCTCCGGTCTGGATGCAGCGTCTGAGTACGAGATTCGTAGTAGGATCGATCATCGCGCCAGCACAACAACTTGATAACGTTGGTAGATGCATTTGATCTGCGGACTTGCCCACTCCGTGGGGGGGGGGGCTGGGTACGGGCCTTCCTTACTAATACTAGCAGCCTCTGTTCTGTTAAGCGAGTAACGTTACCCTAGGCAATGGAAGCTTTATGTCCTGTGATCTAGCACTGCCTGCCTGCCTCCCTTAAATCTTTGCTGTAGCACATCGCTGCTATACCACAATGGAGCATCGATAAGTGAACCCACCGGCGATGCATGTTTTCAGTACCGCATTCGCAACTCGATAACAGAAACAGTTTGTGCAAGATGCAAATACATGTACTGATGTACTGCCGTATTCGGGCTTACTAGCGGAAGTAGAATGTACTGTGTACTGTAGTCTGTAGGTTTGAACTTACCCATGTCAGGTTTTCCATCATGGCAGTTGGCTTATAACCCAAGTGGCAAGGAGAAAGTCTGAAGGGAATGATCAGACTCATGAAGGTGTTTGAACGTATCTGTGAGTCGACGGACAGACGCAGGGTGCCCACTGTTCCCGGTTTGCCAACCAGTGCTATTGCCAACGTGTTCAGAGTACCGAAGTTGACGATATCCGTTCTGCTGTACTGGTACCCGCCATGCTGGATAAGAGCATCACCACTGTCGACCTGAAGAAGCAGGGAAGAGAGCACGGACAAGGATGGTGCTACGGGAGTATAATTTTTGCTCTCTTGTGCTAACCGTTAGCCTGCACTGGGGTAGCATACATCAGAGAGTTCCTCGACATGTGACTGAGTGTTTTGAATGGATACAGTACTCTGGTAGTGTAGTAAAACCTGCCAAGGGGGCTGGGACACACTTACAGTGTGCATATCATAATTATGACGGACATCTGTCCTACAAGACCATCTGTACAGCAGCACCACAACCAAAGGGTCACTTGCAGCAGTGATTTTGACCCTGGACGAGGGGCCGTTTGCGCATGAGGACACATTCTGGCGATGGGGGGCCTTTGAACAGTCGCCACGGGTAGACAGGTTTCAACCACTGAATGTATAATAGCCGTAACTCTCGGCCCAGGCGGGTGTGCACTTTTTGGCAGTCTTCCATATCTGCAACGTTACAATTCTATTTCCAATGACATTGTTTACCTTGAGTATGCATGCTGCAGTCACCAAGTTGAAGTAGACGTCAGCCAGGTCAACATCAATTCGGAACACTTCCCCAGGCGCTGGGTACAGTGTCAGGTTCCCCAGATGGCTAGTGTTCACCAGCGTGCCATCAGCTGCATCGTACCAGGGCGTTTTTTCCTGGTTGTTATTTGCTTTCCGTGGGTAATACCACCGCCAGGGAGTGCTTGTCCAAGGCATGAGGAAGAAGTAGTCCCCGCTTGGGAAAACAGCGGCTCCAGATACATTCTGACGGAAGAGGAAGCTACCGTTTATGAATCCCTCCAGCTCACCCATTAGTTCGTATCTAAGGAAATAACACAAGAGTAAAGGATGGAAGGATACAGATTGCTCCAGCATCCATGCTGGGGGGGGGGGGGGGGGGGGGGGAGGGGATAATCATCACAAAATGCATTTTCATTAGTTTGAAGGAGTAGCAAACAGGAACGTCTGAAGAGAAAAATTGACTGTCACCATCAGGACTTGAACCAGAGACCCTCATTTATGGCCAGCGACAAAAAAATCAATTGCAAAACATACCCGCCCGCCTCCGTGCATAGTTTTCGTACCCATTCAAGCATATGCTGCAGTCTACGCAAGTGCCATCCTCATATCATTGTGCTACATAAAATCCAACCCAAAATTCAAAGCTTGCACCCTCCATGGCCTTTACGGCCCAGTTCCCATCACATCACTGCATTTGTGCATGTGACATTGCAGGACCGCCAGAAGCAGTTATTGATTGGTCCGGTAGTATCACGGCCTTTCATGCGGTGTGTATGATATAAGCAGGACAGGTACACATGCCACAGTAGGAAACACGTGTTGGTGGCCAAAACATTGGTCCGGTAATAACCTGACCAACCGGACCGGTTCCGGCAGGCCTGAATGTTCAGCAGCATGGGTGCCACTTCCGTGTCAAGGGCCGTGCAAGTCCAGAGCACCAAGTATGCACTTTTGGCCAGCTTTTACTTAGCACATCTGTATACTCATAGCCAACGATGGTATTGAGGGTCAATGACCCTCAATACCATCTTTATCACAACTCCATGCGTGACACTGACTCACACTGCTGTCTGGTTCTCATGTAGTGTTTGCAGCGCTGGGAATGCAGAATCACTGTATGCTGGTATCCATAGTGCCAGTTTTGGCTTAGCTGCTGACGTACATTAAAATATTAATTGTAGTGCTACTGCAGCATGTAGTCATTAGCCTGCTCAAGCTCAGCTGACGAAGAGTGAATTCCGCCCGAAACACGGTGTGTTGAAAGTGGAGTTGTGCTTTCTTGCAGGTTTGCTGTTAAAATTTAATGGGCTTCCCGTCTGCTCCACTTGGCTATTAAGTGTAAGTAGTGAAGTGTGAGTCAGGCGGCTGGGAAGCACAAGTCCCGGCAGTTTGACATTGGAGCAGTTTCCCTCTTCAATGACGGTGTGTAATATTGCTACTGTAGTAACTACAAGTATAATAATGTGCTTCCCAAAGTATCTGAGTCCCATCGCATAATACATGTACATGCAAACCACACTGCAAAACTTACAAGAGTGTGTAGTTACTTTCCTGATACGCCTGTTGAAGGATTTGGCGATCACATTGAGTGGGTATATGCCAGTAATGATCATGATGTGTGATTAGTGGCTTTAGACATGGGCTTGTTGTACTCGCTAGGAACATCCAAACTGGACCAGATGCAACATTCCCTGAGCTTCTACCAATCTCGGTGCGCTTCGATGTTTGGTTGAGTGAAAGCATGGCACTTTTCAGGCATCCTGAATAGCTGTTAGCTAAGATGGCTGAACCAAACTTGGCGGTGTTGTTGCGGAATGTGACCTGAGAGAACACGGTACAACATGGACAGGTTATGAGCTGAAGGAGATCATCCCATGTACTTCAAATGACCGCACTCTGCCGCTGGCGGGAGAGGTTGCAAGAGGTACTCCCGGTTCCGATCCCAGTGCATAGCAGTGGTACGTAGAATTGTAAACCTACCCTTATGCCCTATTTGGGATTGGTTGCCTTGGTGCAGGGGACGGCGGACAGAGAAAGAAGCATGTACAATCTGATCAATTAAAAGCACTTCCAGTATCATTCAGGGCTAGCAAACCTCAACCTTGGTCACCCTCGTGTTGTGCCAGTCTCTACCTTTCCATCGCTGCTGGTGCCATTGTACTGGAAGGTCGCCAGGCCTGACGTAGCCAAAAAGCAGTCCTTCTTTTCACCGATGTCCGTCGAGAAGAATATGTGCTGCGAGATATCTGGAGTAGAAGACGTCTCATCTGCATACAGAATGCCTCCACCCACAAGTGCTGAATTGTTCTCAAATGTGATGTTGATATTCTACGCATTGGCATAAAGCACAGAATGAAACTAGGCATCAATTCCAACTTGTAAGAACAGAATGATACTCATTGACACATGTTCCTAGAACTTCAGTTTAGTCTCGTGCCTATAACCGTGGGTACTGAAGTGTAGCAATGATTGATTAATCAACGCTTACATCTTCAAAGGCCAGCCGACTGAAATCGTACAGAGAGAACACTCCACCATAGTCCGAGTCCTTGTTGTTGCTGTAGAAGTGCTGCCCGCATAAAGTGGTCCGAGATACGGACGTGTGAATGCAGCTTCCATCTATTTGTCCCGTCATTGTTCTGAAGAAGAAAAAAACGGGCAAACACTATGACAAAATATGCTGTCCACAGTAAGTGGCTTATGAAAACACTGTGGTACGGCACGGCCGTATACCGATATGCTTTTTTTCATTTGGCATGATGCATAAGTGACCCAAGCCAAGTGAATGCTGAGTGCCTTTGTAAAATAATATTAAACCATGTGCCCTCACAGACAGCATCCCTGCACATTCCATCGATGTACGAAATAGAAATGAAGTACTGGTACTCCACCACCGCATTGCAAGTAGGTACATGTAGTACTAATGCCAAGACAGAGGCAACACCCCCCCCCCCCCCCCCCACCCACCCACCCACATACGCACACACCAATTGGCTTTCGACAATGAACATTTTCTCAAGGATTCTAAATACATGTAGTGGCTGACAAATAATGAATCACAGTGGCTTACACTGTGTCCAGAATTGCTTCCATGCCCTTCAGGTAAATAGCTGATCCATAGACTGCCCTGTTCCACTTGAAGGTGGAGTTTGTAACCCGCAGCATGGGTGCACCATCGTAGAAATTGAGTGCGACAGAAGAGGATGTGATTGACAAGGCGCCTCCTATCAATCCTGACGTCAAGTCCGTTCCGCCAACGTTGTTAGTGAACGTGCAATTTATGATGACCACCACCTCAATGCTGGAGTTACCATCCGCTATGGATGCCGTAAGAGCACCACCTTCCAGGCTCGCCCAGTTGCCATCAAGTGTTGAATCCTTTAGAATCAGTTGATGGTTTGATGCCACTCCATTACTGTTCACAAAGTAGGTGATGCCTCCGCCGATGTAACCTTCGTTGTACTCAAACCTGCAGCGAATGAAGTGGAGTCTTCCATTCGTGCAGCCATTGTCAAGATCAATCTTTACAGTTGTGTCAAACGGAGATATATTGCCGAAGAACAAGGTGTCAACGACGTCTAGCATCATGTTAAGAGTATGTTCGGCATACATGGTGATTGCGGTGCCACCTTCAATTCCGCCGTCATGATAGTAGATGATATTGGGACGCAAAATTCCCAGATGTTTGAACTGACAGTCTGAGATGCTAAAGGTCTGTGTAGCAGTGTCATTGAGTGCAGCTCTGCTCGCGCAGCACTCCACATTATTGATCGCTGATCGGTTCCATAGACAGGTCTGGTAGCTGCAGTTGACTTCTATAGCTATCGTGGATATTGTGTACCATTGGTCCGCAGGTGGTGGAGCAGGATGACTTTGGTTTTTGCCATGCATCAACACCTGTAATGCCTACAGCAGCCATGGTCAGAGAACAAAAAATACCTTTTGTCTAAGTTTTCCCAAGTACTGTAAAAGCAGAAATTTTCGGTGGGGTAATATTTTCGGTATTCTCCAAAATCGGCAGTTCGGTGGAGGGAAATTTTCGGTAAAACCCGTTTTCCAGGTAAGTGTACTAGTACTACATGCATACATGATAATTATACAGTACCGGTAGTACCGGAATTTTTGGTGCGTTTTATGTTCGGTAAAAATTGTCAGCACCAAAATTACCGAAAATAAAACACCACTGAAAAGTTCTGCTTTTACAGTACCCGTGCTGCCAGTGTATCCGGCACACATAATAATTAAACTGCTCCCCCCCCCCCCCCCATACCCTCTAGCACACGCTGCTTGGTGATGGACCATCTCATAAAGAGTGTAGTTGGCAACACTGGGCTCCCGAGGACTCGTATTATGGGCACAGGCTACCACCACAAATCTCGAACACAATATTATTCTTGAATCGTTTGCAGGCAACCTGCCTACACTCAAGAGAGCACTGCATTTCACACAAATCCATTAGAGGTATCGTTACAACGTTTCGGTCTTTATGACAATGTCTTTATGACATTATTATTGTCCACGGTATTTCTGGGGTCAACACTGCATCTTTTCAAGACCAATTGCACCAAAATCTTCCATACGTCTCACATCCTGAACCATTATTTTCACACAAAACCAACACTAATAGACTGTGACATGTTTTAGCTAAAAGAAGTGGTGCAGCTTATCCACCGGCTTGTCCACATATAGTATACGGTACCGTGACAATAGCATAGACGCACCACTGGTAAGCACAGATTTGATGTGCGCGGGATAATAACACTACTCACCTGAAAAGGCCAGGTATTCATCACCTTTATGGTGCTACAGTTGAGCGGGGCGTACATGAACATGCTGTTTTCCACGGAGCAACTCATGGAAGACCTGAACGCTACTGCAGAATCACCTGTGAAGTTCTCCAGATTGAGCTGCAGGTGTTGAATCGTGACGTAGCTACAGTTGACGAAGTCCAGCCAGATGGCATTTGGGTCAGCAGGACTTTTGTTGTACTCAACTGATATGATCCCAGCCGCCATACCGTTTACAATGATGTTGCTTCGACTATCGACTCTGTCTGGTTGAACGAAGTTCTCCGAACCTCTGCGGGTTGCCGAAAGGTTGATCAGGATTGTACTATGATTCACCAGGTTCACATGGTCCAGAGCACGACTTACCAAATCACACGGATTCGCTTCGCTGCCGCACGTTCTCTCGCTGCTGCCCTGATAAACATCCACGAACACAACAGCTACATCGGTTTCGGAAGATAACCCGCTGCCAGTGTCAAGGAAGCACCCGAGCCAGCTCGCAATAACCAGGAGCGGTAGGACCCGGGTATGTTGGCGACGGGTTGCATGAATGGAAAATCGATAGCGGCTCCGATCTATGTAACGCCTGTCGTCACAACCCATTTTATCAGCGGTCGCTCTCGAAGAAACGGAGGAGGACGCGAAGGAGGAGCAGGAGAAGAAGCTTATCACTCACTGCTCACGGTATTTCCACGACTGGTTCAGGAATAGGATGGATACAGCCTTTCGCAAGCCAGTCCCAGCTCCTCAACACACCACTGACTACTGTAGCAATCATTTCCCTGTACAGAGTCAGTACATGCACCTGCATGGCCGTTGAAGTGCACAAGTCACACGGTGCTGAAAACCGGAGCTGTCAGATTGAGCCCTGGTGGTGATAGCCAATGTTTTCTCGGACCTTTCCCCTTTTCACAGTCTCCCTCCTGAAACAGTTCTTCAACGTCAAGGCAATTATGTGCGTGTACACTGTACACCATGTCATGGATTTCTGGAACTCATTATATTACTACTACTAGTATCGTGATTACAATCGACGAGGAGACAATAGTCGTAAAATGGCAATAAATAAGATAAATTTGCTGTTGTTATGACTATGATCAGTGCACAATTTATCTTATTTTATTGCCATCGTGATTTATACATGTACATGTACATGTATGATGTAGTCGCCGTACTTTTGACCTGCGCTGGCACTGGCAATGTCAACTGGAATATCCGCGATGCGGCATAATTATTATGCATAATGATGTAGTCTGTGACACAATTTTAAAATTATTATTATTTTTGTCATTGGTAAATTCAAAGCATCGTGTAAAGAATGGAGATCGGCAGAACCATCCACAACTAACCTACACAATTCTGCTCCTCTTCCTTTGACCGTGATGATGACTATCCATGGAGTTATAAACCAAACATGCCTGAAACTACAAGTATTCCTTTTATCCTAAAAAAGCATCTTTTCTGGTGGTATTATCCGCCACGGCCAAGGGCTAATAATGATGAATGTAACTATGATTGAGTTGTTGCATAAACGTGCGAATAGGAGTAAGAGAGATCGGTTGTTGGACGATGTCGAGCCTGGGCTTTCCCCCCTGCTTGAAGCTACCGGTACACACTGACAATCACTGAATCATGAAGGAAAGACGCGCCGTCGACGATGGAATCCGAAAGGAATAGAAACGACAGTTACGTGGAGAACTCGTGCTACAGCTAGCTGAAGCTCCGAGCTAGCGCGCGAGGCTGGAGCTAGCATGTAGACCTACAGGCTACATGTGGCCATGTAGACCTACACGTAGATCTACCTGGATGGAGCAGAGAGATAAATGCATGAAATGCCATACGTGCGAGTGACGCATGCGCACTGCGCGAACATAAATGTACCTTTGAACCTTCTGCCAACCTTTGACCCCAAGTAAGAATCGTTGTCTTGCGGAAGTAAGTTATATTAGTCTTTTGAGCAGGGTCCTGGGGGATCAGGAGTCGTCAAAATACCGTTTTTGACTACTCCCTGGTTTTACCTGGTGACGGGTGTTGAGAAGGAACCTGCTTACTTCCGAAATCAGAGCCTTCAGATTCCTGTGTGAGTTCTGTCGCTTTAGCCCTTCGGCTATGTCATTGTTCGTAACATGAATGAAGTGAACGGTATGCTGATCGGGTTGATGAAAGCCGAGTTGCTTCTTTTCTTGAATTGAAAGGTGATGCTTGTGCATCGAAACGTAGCTTTATACTTGAGAACGAGTCAGTAAACCAGAGCAATGCTAAACGATCTCTTTGAGCAGATATTTCACTCTGAGGCGTCTTTCAAGGAGAGAATCGCCGAGCTAAAGCAAGGTGAGTCAACTCTTCGTGCCGCTGATTTAATGTTTCTGGTCTTTGCTAGTGATACTTTGTAGTGTGTGCTACGTCTTTTCTGGCCAGTCAATAGTCAGAGGCAAGCTCGAAATTCGTATCAAAAGGACCTGGACAAGCAATACGCGGCCCTTTTCCAGTCATGTCTGGATGGCGATAATACGTTGGTGGCAGCAAGACTTCAGAATAACCTGCAACTGAAAACTGAGTCAATCTTAGCCAGTCAACGGAAAGATCAGGAGAAAGAAGTGGACGCCCTGAAGGATAAAAAGGTAATGATGTTCATCATCCAGATCACATTTGCACACAATACGGTACGCTTTCCAACGGCCAAAGCTTTTTAAAGAGAGTTGGAAAGCTTGTGTCTTTGTGGGTAACTTGAACATTTGGGCTCATGCAAAATCGCACCGATGTTGGGTTTCCCCACAACTTTTTGCGTCAGCAAAAATGTTGTGCTGGATCGCATTCCTGTCACTTCGCAGTGGCTTTTCGTTGGTGCACTTTGCATCCCACCCTCCCACCCCTGACTTCTGGGTGTGTGTTTATCGATATAATTATCGTATTGGTTTTCTTATTGGCCATGTGGCTGTTGCAGTTACGACTGCTTTTCTTTTTTAGTAAAAAAAACGTAGGAGTGGTGTGTGCGTCGTGGGCCATTGTATGGTTACATACAGCTTCAGATTGTATGGCTAGTGACAGGGGGGTTGAGTCTGCAGGGGAAGAACACAGTGATCGAACTGAAGCTGGATGATGACCGTGTGGTGAGTGTGTGGGGTTTCGAGATGCCGTCCTGGGGCAGGGATGTCGGTCCTTTAGCTTGGACGGGTGTTGTTACATTCATTGTAACATTTTGTCGTTTTCTGTGTGTTTTGCTGTGCGACTACAGTAGCAGCAGTGTCTTGTGCTAATTTTTTCTTAGGGGCCGTCCCTAAATATCGATGTTTTTTTAGAGACGATATTGGTGCTTCTCTCCCTTGACCCCCCTCCCTCCCCCCAGAAGACGCACATGTACATCTAGATCATGGAATCAATATTTTTGGATGCTCATGAAGTGCCCAGGATGTTGAGGGTCCGGTGTAGGCGTGAAAATCCCGCCGCACTCACGCAATAGCTGCATCGCCTGGGGGGAGCGAACCGGGTTGGCGCTGCAGTGCTCACAGCCATCGTGTACTGGTGTAGCCAAAGCGGCTACGCTCGGGCTTGAATTTTTTCAAATCCTTGTTCAGACAGTGAAGACTGGAAACTCTTGTGGAGTTCGTCCGTGTTTGTTCGCACTGCCTCTACGTCTTGAAAAAGGTCTCCTGCAGGCATCGTTCGGCCGATTTCCACAATCAATAGCTCATTCTTTTGCTCTTGAAATTCGCCATGGGCGTACAGCTTCCAATTTTTGATTTTGTTCTCGTGTCGCGAGTTTTAGCTCCGCGAACGGAAGCTGGTTTCACATTTCTTGTATAGCCATTTAGACGTCCGCGTGCAGGGATCGGCGAAACTTCAGATATTTACATCGATATTTTTCTGATGCTCGAAAAGACGCACATGGCTCAAACCCCCTCCCCCCCCCCCCCCCCAGACGCACCAATATCGTCTCTAAAAAAACATCGATATTTACGGACGGCCCCTTATCAGGCCCTATGCGTACAATTATTCAAGAAAAAGAAAAAATCAGGAAGGAGATATAATAATATCTATAATAAAGCCATTGCCGAGCCACCGTGCTCACAGCAGAGACTTCTGTGTGTGTTATTGTTGTGAAGTGGACCACAAAGACTCAGTTACAATTCTCTGCCGGGTCGCACCGTACGTATACTGTCAGTGTTAGGCTCCGGCGGATTATGCTCGCGAAATCATGGAATTATGCTTTCATGGATTCTCACATTATGCTCGCAAAATCCTCATATTATGCTTTGGGATGCCGGGATACTTATACACTTTGTTGTACTTATTACGCCTCAAAGTTCGGAAAATTGTGCCTTTTTCGTACTTGCAAGTGGCCATAAGTACAACAAAATGTTACATGAGTATTCCCATACCAAGGTGTCCATGCATGCTAGAGATCAACATCACGGGAAAAGAGAAAACATTACTTCTTCTATTCATTAGTTGACTTCTTCTGTAAAAAGATTTTTTTATTGCCAAAATAAGTTTGAGTTACCCTTGAAAATTTTCATGTTCAACTGTCTTCGTAATGAAGTCGTTATACTCGTCCAACCGATGTCACCCTCAGTGGCCTCACCCTGCGAATAATCAGCTCATCTCTCCAGTAGTTCCACCTCTCCTTCCATCATGACCATACACCAACTAGACCTCAATTTTTCATGAGAATTATTAGAGCAATATCCATATCATGGCAGCCAAAATCCAGAGGTCATGACTTCGTAACGTGCATAATGTACCGGTACATGTACGCGGAGTTTTGCGGACTACCCGTCACTACTAGTATCTCGTCCGCCCCGGGATACCTGATAAAGACGGATTCACTCGCATATTCTGCTACAGTACTGTATCAGTGTGAGAAAGAGCTTTGAAGAAGACGAGCCTGAACATACAATACTGTATTGCCAAGATTTCTACCCTGTTTTTCATTGAAAACACTATCTGCTTGACCTCCGAACCCTTTACCATGCAGACCATCAGCACGGATCAGGTCACTGTACACCATTGTGTGGCCTACATACTAGAACGGTGGTACAATCATGTAGTTATTCTCCTCAGGGAGTCGTAAAATACCGGGAGGCGACACGCCACACATTTCACGATCCGAGGATTGCCGCACTCGACCCGCGAAATTTGAAGCGTGATTGAAACGTCGTCGTCATCTTCTTTTTCTCAATTGTTTTTGCTATATGCTTCGAGGCTATTCTGGATCTCCAGAGCGAAAGCTGGTTGTTTCTGATACGTACCACGCATTACCTTAGGTTGAGCCGTGGCTTTTAATTTTTTTTTGGAAGTTCACTGCTTTGGAGACGACGGAATGTCAAGGTAAGTTATTCACGAAATGTACTCAAATTTGAATTGAGTCAATGCGAATGACACCCTGTTTTCGGAATAGTTCTCCACTAAACACACCATGCCCATGGCCCCTTCATGTTGTCCAAGTTCCATTCTAGGTTTGTGTGAAGTTTCGAGATGAAGTTCGACGATGTACTCACCTTTCCATGGAAGGGAAAAAAAAGTAGCATATCAAACAGAATCCATGCAGTATTTGATGCCACTATCCTCATTCTTCTGCATTCAAAGTGTTTCACATCTATATGGCCCATGAACTGCAAACAATATTTGTCATTTCTTAACTGTTCATAGCTGTTCATAACTGTTCTGAACACATTGCCTTCAGGAAATGTAAGGCCGAGTCGCCTCACCGACTGAGCAAAGTTCTCTGCGACGAAAGTCACACTATCGGCGAATGCACTCAAGGTGAATACCCGTCAATATCCTGTATACTGCTTGTACCGCTTATCACAGTAGCATACACACAAGCACACATACACACACACACACACACACACACACACACACACACACACACACACACACACACACACACACACACACACACACATGCATGCTCGTGCACACACAAGCGCAAAATTCACATATCACTGGTTCAGTTGTTTTTATCTGTGTCGTATTTTGTCTTATACAGAGCTTCCGAGCCACGCCGAGTCACCTGACCAACTGAAGAAGGTTCTGTGCGACGAAAGTCACACTATCGGCGAATGCACTCAAGGTGAATACCCTGTGGACTGCTTATACCACTTATCACAGAAGCACACACACACACACACACACACACACACACACACACACACACACACACACACACACACAAGCGCAAAATTCACATATCACTGGTTCAGTTGTTTTTATCTGTGACGTATGGTGTCTTATACAGAGCTTCCGAGCCACGCCGGGCCACCTGAATTCTCCAAACAAGGCTGAAGGCTTGTCACGGCATCCTTGCCAAATAAAGGTATAAGCTGCAGCAAGTTGTCGTTGCGACACCTTGCTCCTTCCAGCTCACGCCGCACGGCCACCAAGCACCAACTACCATGGTACTTTTCAGCAAGGTGAGACAAATTGTCAATCACCGGTTCGGGGGTGGCTTCAGCAGCTTTGGATGGTGCTATTGACGCTTTCCTGATAGCAGCGGCAGCCGTGGCATGCAGGTAGCTTATCAGATTCGCTAGCACTGCAGATGTAACTTCCAAATCTGAAGAAGAGAAAAGAAAAAGACAACATATAAGGACTGGTGGTTGCAGAGACTGTACTAGTATTCAAAAGCCAGCGTTTGCATACCTAGTCTGCATACCTAGTCAGAAGCCAATTTTTTTCCAACATGCATGCAAAACGCATTGACCTTCACAATTGATTTTCACTTCGGGAATAGCTGTTGCGATGACGGACAGCATTTGTTGCCATGCTTGCGAAATATCAGCACCCTTGCATGCCTTCAGCTGGCACACTTCCTGGCGTAGCAGATTTGCAGTACCTGATGCCTTGTGTAACCGTGTCATAATAACATGCAGGAATGACTCCGTCGCCTCAGTAACACTCGCCTGTCTCATTGTCAGCAGTTTGCAAATTCCATGGATCACTGCACCTTCCATAGGCCTGTACACCATGATGGCACTACCACTCTTACATCGATCTGCACATAGACAAAGTATGGTTTGAGGATGGAGGTTTACATCATCTACGGTGATGATACATACTAGGTACACACGTAAATTTTCAGGACTTCAATAAATATCCTGTCACAGTGAACAGACAATGCATCGTGGGCAGACTAGGATGAAAAGGATGGTGTCGACCACCTAATTTATCGGGTCAGTTCGGGCACTTAGGTATGCTACAGATTATACATTCGTGTCCACAAGGAAGAGACAAAAAACATGCAAACGAAAGAATCTCACCTGTAGCCCACAGCTGAACATCCCCACAACTCAGGTCACCAAGTGAATACGTGGCGTCATCTACATCTTCCACGGTGGACTCATCACTTTGGCAGTCATCTCTGTCAAGCTCCATCATCCTTTACTTCGAAGGCCAAGGCACAAAGTATTATTACTTAGAAAAACAAAACGAACTGCTGACACTGGATTCGTTGTGTGCAGGATAATTTTATTGAGTTTTCAAATTTTTGGGACCAAACAGCGAACGCGTCCTTTTGCATGACCTGCGCCGCTTTGACCTCATGGGAAGTCCCTCGCCATGCAGCGCGTGAGGTCTCAGCACTCGTGCCCGAGCTGAGGCAATCATCCGACGCGGTTGTGCATCTCGTGTCGCCTCCCGGTATTTTACGACTCCCTGATTCTCCTACATCCGAAAGGATGCCAAATTATGCTCCAAATTTTCAACCACCAAATTATGCCGGCATAATCCGCCGGTGCCTAGTCAGTGTGTCACACTTTCCATAGTTTAGAGCAAGCCATAGTGCATGCCGCGACTACAGGAAGTACACTATACCTGTATACCGAAGTTTGGCAGTGCTGTCGTCAACATGAAGAGTCTCAGAGTCGTCTTCATTTTTCATTTAGACTTTATTTGAAGGATTCTCCAAAAGTAAATGGATACTTATCGGGGGAGTTTCCTGGAAGGGTGGATGAGGCGAAAGTCTTTGTACTTTAATTTTGTAGTTGTGGAGAAGACCGGCTTTTAGTTTTAAATCCTCAGGTAGGATGCTTTGTTGTTGGGTTCATCCGTTGCAGAAAAGCCTGGAAGAGGATGATGAGTCAATGCGGTGAGTGTCTTGTTGGGTCTCACGTTTGATACGAGTTTTACATTGAGTCAAAATGGATGTGAAACTGAAGTCGAGCCATGTACTCGTATGATAGTTGTGGAAACACAATACAGATCCGCCCCTCCCCTCCTGACCCAAACTTGATTTATTTTATGCTAGTCTAGAGACTATCATCTTTATTTTGAGCTGTGGGCACCTTTCCTGATACCCTTTGATCCTTTTTTTCTGCAGCCAGCAGTTTGTGCTGGAAGTCAATGCCTTCTACACTGCACATGACCTTATGGGTGAAGGGAAAAATAGCAGGCTTGCGCAGACACAACATGAGCACACATCTCTTGCAGATGAAGTTGAGCAGCTGCAGCAAGGTAGGTGGCACGGACTATACGGATCACAATATATGTAAATCGGCCGGGGAGACGACACACACCATTTCAGGTACTATGATCTTGTGTCGTCTCCCAGTGTATGCCCTGGTGTGCACATCATGACCATAGCTTAACATGAGTATAATTCATACGCAGCTAGCAATTCCATAACTAAAAGAGCTTGCATAGCCGTCAGCTGATCGTGCACATATCTGCTGGACAGTGCTTACAAAGTTGGGTGTTATTCCACTATCTTAGTGTGTGGTGTGCGTGGGACGTACGTGAGAGTGAACACGAGAGTAATCGGAAGGGCTCATCATCGGACATAAAACCCGACAACACAAAGCCTGCTTGAAGGTACAAGCAACTTCCAAGTTTCAACCGGGTGAGTGCACTCACTAACGACACTGATTAGCAGGTGTGGTGGCTCAAAAATATATCCACAGGTGGATTTGCATGGGTTGGTTTTGGCTCGTTTTTTTTTGTTGTTCCAAAAAACCTGTTGCTATAAAAATGTTTTTTATACGTCCATTTTCTATACCAATTTCAGAAGTCGCTATTTTGGAAGCAGAGCATCAATTGAGCGATCAACTGGCAGCTGAAAATGTGACAGTTGAGGAAGAAATCAAGAACTTACTTTCGCAACGAGAAGGTCTGGGAGAGAGGGGGGGGGGGGGGGAGTACATGTAAGGGAGTGTGTGAGAGACTGAGGCCTGCCAGGCTGAGAATAATGAAGAGTAGGAAAGTGCAACGCATGCAATCCACAGTCTTATTCTTTTTGTGTGTTTCCATCTATTGTCCGGCAGAGGGCCATGGTTCTTTTACGAGCAAATACATGAATGACCACTATACATTTTGAATACGGATGCTTGCAATCGCCATGAATGACCATACATTTTGAATACGGATGCTTGCAATCGCTTGACTAGTACCATCGGTATAAGTATGGTGAGAGGTTCAAGTTCATTGCGTTCAGTCATTTCAAGTCTTTTGTTTGATTCTTTGTGATTGGCTCCGACACACATAGAGTTGAACGAGCATATGCAGGAACTACAAAACTCGATCAGATGCCACGAGGATGAGCGGAAGGAACTCGAGGAGCAGTCGCTAAAAAATCCTGAATTTCAACGGTACTTGCTGCTAACTGACTGCACACTTTGGGTTCTTCTTTCTATTTCTGGAGTGCAGTGTAGTGCGGGCTGGGGGGTCCTCAGTATAATCATACTGATACAATATTATTGTATCATACGGAATCATCTGAGTCTTTGTCTTGCCAGCTTCCAATGCTTTCTTCAGCTATCAGGTACCAGTTTCACTTGAAACTGTAAAAAGGAGTGATTTTACAGAAGAATAGCCGGAACAGCTTGAGAACTCATCTTCCTGCAGCTTTTTCAAAGTCGCATCCAGTGGCAATCATCAGGCAACGGATGTGATTCAGGGGTTATTAGCATGCGAGAATTCTGCAACCATTCGGCATGACTGTACTGTAGTATAGTTCAGTCGCAACAAAATGTAGTTTGTACTAAAGGAAACAAAGGGTCGGTTTTGTTTGGGTTATAAAACACAGACATAGACAATGGTTTGCTATATACCAAATTTGCAGTATCCGAGTTTGTTATGCGGCGTGGAGTCGACTGTATTATCACTTTAAAAACGTGCTCCAAGTAAACATGAAAATGGCACACCTTGTTCTTACATAATGGATGTACTGATCATCGGGATGTACTGTGTATTTCCCTCACTTCTCCCATGGATTGCAGCCTTCAACAGCAACTGGATGCAGCACAAAGCGAGCGCTATGAATCTCTTTGCAAGGAGCTGAGCAACGAAGTGAAAACTCTCCAGGATACCCTGGCTAAAACTGGCAAGAGCAATAAAGACCCAAACAATGCAACTCCAGTGCGCAAACATCAGCATATCGCCAAGGGATCAGCCAGCATCAGCCATGTTGCGGGCCCGACACCATCATCAAAGAGTGGAGGAAATACTCATCCCAAATCCGTGGACTCTTTTTCCAATATTCGATTGAAGACTGCATACTCTACCAACACACGTCCGGTGCACGAGGCCATCACATTCGACAGCTTTTGGAATGATGAAGAAGAATTCAATGGTGATGATGACTTCCTAGATGAAATTGGTGTAACAGAACCGGCACCACAGACAATGGCATCAAGAACAGGAAAGGAGGAAAGAGCAGCAACTTCCGGTTCCATACCATGTCGAGGGAAGCAGCAATCCGCTTCTCATCGTGGACAATCTTCACTGGAAATGTAAGCCTTCGAAGGGTGACCGACGACTTCATTTCCTTTCCTCTTCTGCATGGGATGGGACATTCGGATTGCACCCCCATACAGGGCCTGCTCTAGACATTCAACACAGCCCGGTCAGAGTGTACCTGGCGCATGCAAGCCAGCCGGGTCAAGCCGGGTCAGATCATCCGGCAGAAAAACAACCAAAAAGCCTGCTAAAAACGCAGGAAAAAAGAAAGGCGAATTTATTACCGGAAATCAGAAATTTTAGAGAACAAGGCGAACTATCGAAGTCCGCAAACGTAGAAGGTAAACGACAAAGCGTGAGTTCTTTTTCTCTTCGCTGCGGGCTCCATTGTCCAAATCACCAGTCGGCTGAAAACTTGCAACTGTGTCAAAAGCTATAGCCAAAGTTACGCTTTTGACTGCCTGCCCCATCGACTTTGAATGTCCTGACTTCCTGCTCGCCGCTGGCCAGATTGCGCTCAAACCAGTTGACCCCAGTTGATCCTAGCCGAGTTTCTGTCGCTTGTACAAGTAATTAGTTGTAGACTGTGGTGTGTACGAGTTGCGCTAGATTTGCAACAGATGGGGTCCGCGAGTCGTAAAATACCGGTATTTTAGGAATCCATTGTCAGTTTGAGACATTTTTCAGCCGGGTCAGACTGGACCCGGTGTTATCTGTTCAGCCAGGTCGTGCAATTCCCCAACCGGGCGCGTGACCCGGCTCTCCAGCAGGCCCTGCCATAATAAGAAGGCTGTTGAAATTAAACAACATTGCATGGGTTTTCAAAAATGATGAAACATTTCACAAAAATAACAGCACAGTTGTTTATTTCGAATTTCAGAAGTTTTGACGGAAAATGGGTTCGAGAGTAGGTATTTTGGCTTTGACCAGTTAGTGGCACGTGCGCGCAGTTACACAAGTTTCATTTTAAACCAAGGATGTACAGGTGGTTCCTGGGTGACAAGTACTGGCAGCAGTAGACAGTTTGATGTTCACACGTTTTTCTGAAGAGATCTAATTTTGAACTTCGGCAATGAAACAATCATCAACTGTCTTCGGGGAGGGTAGAATTTCTGGCACATTCCGGAAAGGATTGACGAGCAAGATTTGTACAACTGTTGTGGTATTGCTTGGCCATTCTTCCTGGGAAACAACTTTAAATGATAGTGCAACTGGTATACAGGCCTGTATAGATATACCCTGGGAAGTTAGCTTGAACCGATTGTTTCTGAAACTGGAAACAAACAACCGGTGGAGATAATTAACGGAATTGATCCTTTTAAGGCATCTTCCTTTTACGTTTAGAAAACTGATCATGGGATTGCTCACCCTCCAATTTCCTGTTCTCTGTCCCCTGCTATCTTTTCTTCTTTACAGGTATCCACCTATGGCCAAGAAAGTGCGGTTCCACTGACTCATCTCGTTGCCTGTGTACATGTAGTCCAATTTTCCGCGTCATTTTGAACATACAATGTAGAAAGAGCATGTTTCCGAAAGAAACAACATGTGCACATATGGAGTGAAAAAGAAAGGTATTGCAAGCAAGGAGCAGTCAATACGTATATAAACTTATAAAGCAAGCTTGAATTCAGGAGTGGAAGAACTAGTTCAAATAGAAAAGAAGCAAGTGCAAATAATATATATATATATATATAAACAAGGGGGAGAGGGCAATGGAATCGGTTTAGAGGAGGTTTCTAACTGATCAAGGGGATGCTCCGCACCTATTGATTTCATAGAACAGGTGTATGCATGTACAAAAGCAACACTCTGTAGCAGTGCGAAATGTTTCTTCGTAAGACAAAGCCCAGGTACTATTCTGTGCTAATAAAAAGGCTCAGAACACTGGCTAACCTGAATGCAAGATGATAAGCTGCAGACCACTGAGAATGATTGCCGCTTCAGACAACCAAAATGACTACTACTGTAGCCTTCTGCTTGCTTGAGAGCGGCACTGGAAAATTTGGAGATGTATGTTACAGCTTAGAACCTGCATTCCGGGACCACAGAGAACAATACATGATGACGTTGAAGCAATTGAACCAGATCAGAATTACAGAGGTAGGAGTGCGTGAACATGTACCTTCTACTACATATCTTGTTAGAGAGATTACTGTCATAGATATTTCAAAGTCGTTTCGTGACACTTGTTGTTTGCACTATATTGTGTTTTACCAGCTGCTTGTCTAAAAGCACCGTAGTAGAGTAAACACAGCAGTGAGAGTTTGCAACATATCATTCAGCAAACTCATAAGTGATCAGTACTATAGTTGGGGCTAGTTAGTTGTACATTCTCCTTACCATTGTAGTACTTCTCACTGACTTGCGCACGGCACTCCGGACATTTCGTTGCACGCTTCGCACAGTCTGCGTGATGAAAAGAACAGCGCACACCTTGGCAAGCTATGCATGTGCATCACAGCAAAGTACCATCTGAAGCCAACAACCAGCGCCCCCCCCCCCCTCCACAAACATACTTTTCGCCGCATTTTTCATTGTTTTCTGCCGCAATTTCTTGCGCAAGTTTTCAAGACTTTTTTCCCCAAATTCCCGCAGGGACAGTTTTTGTTGCTTCGACCATGCACAACCTGATCTCGGCTTAGGTGGTAAGCTACACGCATGTGCACGGAATAAAAACACTGTACCGGGCAGGCTCACAGATTCGCTGAAAATCAATGAAAATGAAGAAATTCCAAAGTGTCCACTGATAACGCTAGATTTGCGAAAACCTACGGAAGTCACAGAATTTGTTGTGGCTGCGGAATCACGATTTTCGCGGGGGCACCCAGTATACACACATGCCCAAATGAGGAAAGGCCATTGAACAGCATCGCATACATGGACACAAGCATGGCTAGAACCAGTGGTGGCTTTGTATATGTTGTATTTTGTACTTATTCAACATTTCCTGGCTCGCCAAACGACTGCCAATGACAAATGAACGTGAAATGAAAGGTGACATAGTCTTACCCACACAAAGGCTGCAGTGGTTGCAGGGCAAGAAGACAACGGCTCCAAGATCACTGTCGCACAGCAGGCACGTCGTGAGAGTTTTCTTCCCATCAAGCGCTTTCTGTGCATGTCATACGTATAACAGGGAGTCAACAACAAGTCTCAGTTGCATCTGGCACCCAGGGGCCGGTGGGGGAGAGAGTTCCAGATAATTTTATCACATGTTGTCTCACTTGCTGGGCAAAGGGTATGCAGCACACATGATACCTAGACAACAAATGACCATGTAAGTCAGTCAATGCAATTACAGTGCAACCGAAAGTACAGAGTACATGACATTGTACTGATCACTATAGACCAATGATCAGTCAACACAGGTGCAGATGTACCGGCATGTACATGTAGATCCATGGTTTGGGTCTTGAAGCTTGAATGGGCTGGTCTTATAATCCAAGTGGTCGCTAAACACAGTTACTGAAAATTGTATAGCTGGACATTGTGAAAGGTGTTAGCATGTGGATAACAAGTTCGATCAGACTTATACACCAATCAATTGTGTCAGTCTCACACTGGTGGTAAGCAGTGGAATCTCGGCATACCAGTGGAGATCCACAAGTCATGAGACTATGGGCCGGAAGTAAAGTAGATCTACAATACAGGGAAGTCAATGGACTGGAGTATTAAACCTACCATGCATGCCAGGCACTTTTTGGCACGTCCAGAGCACTCATCGCACAAGCTGACGTGTGTACATGGCAGGCAACATACATTTGCAGGACGGTCACATACTGAACACAGTGGCTTGTCACCAGTACTTTCTGGAGCACTTTCGGCGCCATTATTCACTGCTGCTGCCGCTGCTGTTGCATCGCCACAGGCTCCATCGGTAACGCCTTTAGTTTTCTGGTGACATATGTTCGAGGTACCAATGGTGTTTATATCGGATGATATGTTGGTATTCACAGCTGTTTTCCTCTTTGCAGGGACAGGCTTTGTAGGGGATGATAAGTGCTGAGGTGAGGCAGTGGCTGATGATGATGATGCCGATGCTGTGCTCTGTGATGGTGTTTGCCGTGTGCGAGGACTGACTGGCGGGATGTTCCACTGCTCATTGGAGGGCGTCGGTTGTGGCGGTGTAGTGTCAACAGCACCAACGCGAATGCCGTCTCCAGTTGTCACTCGAATGCCATTGTCATCGTCACAAGATGCCCGGACTCGTATACCGTCAGATTGTGCCTGTGGTGCGCTGTAGCAAAAAGTAAAATGAACATTGTCACTTATTAGACTGGAAAATCACATGGCAAAACAATGACACATTGTGTAGTGAGCAGGGACTGGTGGATTTTTTACAGGCTTGCTGGAGTTTGAGATACTTCTCATGTGCTCCACATGGCAGTCATGACTCTGCCAAGTTTCATTCAAATTGACACTGGGAAGTGTGAGCTCCAACAGCCAACTTCCTTTACACCATTATTATGTCCAAAGCTGCTAAATGTAAGTCAATATTGATTAATTTTGTCATGACTCAGAGGTGGATCCAGGGGGGGGGGGGGGGGGGGAGGGGGAGGTGGGAAAGTTGCTCGCGCACGTGCACCCCTCAGGTTTTCAAAAGAACACAAAAAAACAAAGGAGAAGAGGAAGAAAACTGTGGCGGGGATATTTCTTCTTCTCAGTCCTTTTTATGGTGGCAGGCCTTCATGGAACAGTCTACTTATCTCCCTGTGACTGGCTGGGAGTAGACCTTGGCTAATACAGTACTACAAATGATTCCTCGAATGCTGTTCCCATTCTTTTTTTCCGGACACCAAAAATACTTGAAAGATAACGGACAAAATGCCAATTTCTGCCGTTTTTCTGCCCGCACTATCCGGTATTGCTAGTCAGGGGTGTCGGAACCGGTGATTCAATGAAATATGGGCTATTTGGGCCCAGTTTTCCAAAAATATTTCCCGGGTGGGCCCCCAAACCCTCTGCCTTTTTCATAGCCGCACCAATGACAATGTACAAACCTTCCGACACCGCTGCCAGTCACGAATTGAATACCGTACTGGCAATATATGTTGCCGCGTAACGCGTAACGCAGGGGGGTGCGGCGTAACGCGCGACCCGGCTAGTGCGACAAATTTTCGTTGAGTTCGTAACGCGCGTCCGGCGGGGTGCGGTGATCTTTTCATTGCAGTTTGCACTGCACAAGAAAAAATGATGCGGCAAAAGCAAAAAAATGATGCGGCAATAGCAAAAAAGTGATGCGGCAATAGCAAAAAAAGGACTGCGGCAATATAGAAACTAATGTAACGGCTCCTGTGCGACTTTGCATGTAACGCCCTGCGTGCGGCAAACATGTGCCAATGTAACGCTTCATGGCCTCACTGCGGCAACATATATTGCCAGTACGGTAGTATTTTACCTCATACTTGAACCAATATCGTTTCTGGGGTCAATGCATGCTGGAGCGCAACTTACAACGGAGAAAACAGCACTTATCCTGTAAAAAGTTTTCATGGCCAAAGTAGTTCGAGCTACCTAAAGAAATTTTTCATGATATTTGCTGCACCCCTCAGGCTATAGCCCTGGATTCGCCACTGATGACTACTCACTGCTTTCTCTGGTAGACGCGAGCACACTGCTTGATGTGCACAGCTTGGCTTTGGTCTTTCAGGAAGTCCAAGGCCGTTTTTCCCTTCTTGTTGCGCATGCTGAGATCAGCACCGTGCAGGGCTAGATAGCATGCTATTGCCACCCAGCCGTCCTTGTCAATGCTTTGACGGTCAGATATACCCATGGAGGCAAGCAGCTGCAAGGAAGCACGGCACATGTAATGTAGCAGACAAAATTAGTATCATGCAACAACATGGGAGAGATGTGTGTGTGCACTATCATATCTATTACTTGTAGTACTTCGAAGTACTATATAATTTTCTACATCAGCATTCCCAATCTGTGTTGTGTTCCCAATCTGTGTTGGAGTAATTGGATGGACTATTGTGTCCGGATCATGCACCTTCTGAGAATCTTGTTTGTGATGACTGTGTGCTATACTCACAGCAGCACGCAAAATGGCCTCCTGTCCGCTGCGCGACGATTCGCCGCTTTGGAGCAGTGCAAGGTGCAGCGGAGTATCGCCATCACTGTCGGTGGCATTGATGCGCGAGCCGGATCCGACCAATAGCTCAATCATGGCATTGCATCCATCATACACCGCTACGTGCAGCGCTGTTTGACCGCCCTTCTTTGCAGTAATGTTCACATCACAGTTGTACTACAGGAAAGCACATAAAAAGGATAGCATGGACGTTTTCAGACACATAACCGTACCATCATCACTGAATGTCAATCAACTACAAGTACCCAGACCATAGAGTCAAGGACATCGCAAAAGAAATCGTGGTGGTGTGCTCATGTGGGCAGGATATACTAGGCTACATGTGTGCAAAGATGGGCACCTCCCTGCACCCACTAACAGTGAATACTGGTACGCTGGTGTACCCCGTGAAGCCTGAGCCTAGAGGCGGCTGGAATTATGTGGTAGAAGATGATACATGGACACCGTAGCAGATGGCCATGATCACCGTGAACATCCTTCACAGTGGAATTGAGGCGTTCGTGGACATCAGCTCGGAAATATACTGGAGACGTAGAATCCAGGGGAACAACATGAGACCATAGCGCCCAAGCTAAGTGTGTTCCATCTTGACTCCGTACACGGCAGTTCAGTGTGATCCGTGCTCTATGCGACACACAATTGCAGTCAAGGAGGCTATGCACAACCTCAGCCGTAAATTTTTGCAATGGCATACAGGGCATGCGTTGGTTCAGGGAGCGGGCAGCCTTGGGTCGATGGACCAACATCGTTTCACATTTCATCAGCCCACGTTGTCTTTCTCAATTAAAACAGCAGTTCTGGGTACACCGATGCTAAAAAGTACATACCTGCTCAATCAGAACCTTGGCAATTTCGGTATTCTTTTCCTTAGTAGCAATGTGAAGGGGAGCGACACCTTCATTATTTGTCACATTCACCAACTTCCGGTCATAGCGGAGGAGCTTGCGAACAGCTCTGCAGGCAAGAGATGATGAAAACAAAAGGTAGGAGACATCATACGAGACTGCTGCGTAATTCAGGGTAAGCTTTCTGCAGTTCGTCTCCGAAATCATTGCAGCTAGAATGAGTAGTAAACTAACACGCACATGCTACTTCACAACACAGATATGGACTATGTACTAGTCGAGCCAACTGACCCAAGGCTTTCCCGTGAACAGGCAATGTGGAGGGCGTTGGATCCGTTGTCAGTGCTCTGGTACACATCAACACGATGCTCGAGAAGAACTTCAATGACATCGGGCTTGTCTCTGAGGATTGCAACGTGAAGTGGAGTGAATCCATCGTTGTCCTGCACAAGCCATACAAACAGTGTAACTTATGAGCACCGTCGTATACCGCCGTGCCATCACACTGGCAATCATTAACTACCATACTCGTGAATGTACTGGAACATAGCCCTATCCACAAAACCTTCCAATAGGCTTTCACCAGGAACTGACCAGCTCATGTAGTTGCAGTACCCAAACTAACTAAAACATGGGTTGCACTAATAGTACGGGGGCCAGGGCTGAAAAAGTGCTTCAAAAAAAGTTTCGTTCCGACTTTTAGCGCACAACAATTTTACACCACAGAGTCATAGCGGGGGGCAATAGAGCCATGAAATCTAAAAAAAAACGCTTCGAAAAGTGAATGGAAGGTCCCGAACAAGGTGATTTTGTCCTCCACTCGGCCATTACGTGCAGTATGCCCTGGAAGTTGTAAAATAATGACTTGTCAAGATCGATGAGACTTCCCTACACAATCCCAGTGCAGGCCCGCTGCACAAAACTTCAGTCCTGGTATTGTTGACACGCAGGTGATGGTTTCGGCACCACGAAGGGCCCGGGCAACAATTTCGAAAGTGGAGTAGGATGTGGTATGTCCTGACTGACTGGGTCAACTCTCTCTCCTCCGATCGACTTCCGAGTCAGTCCTGGTATTGTTGACACGCACGTAGCGGTTTCGGCACCACAAAGGGGCTGCACCTCTAGCACCAACAATGTGAGTTTAACGACGGTAATCTGGCACCATCATCCATTATCAAGGCTAGCTTACTCATGGACCGTTGTCTTTTGCTTGAATGCTCGAATGCCATGTACATATTAAGTGGCCTGGAAACAACACATTGCACGAATGGAACCGTTGTGCAGCCGAATTCAACAGGCACTGCAGCCAAGCCAGCCCTACCTGCCATGAGTGCGACAAAAGCGAAAGCGGTCTGTGTTGGTAATTGAAGAACCAATGCCGATATTAGCCATCCCCGCCCGCCTGAACCCAGCTTCTCTGTCGCTGCCTGACACTGCATTTGTGCACACTGCAGGAGTTCATATGGATGCTGCAATGACTGACTTTGTGTGGAAGGTGTCCCGGATCTCTACAGATGGCAATATTTTCAAGCCACATTCCATTGTCGACAACACCTCAGTTAGTAAGGAGACTCGGCAAACTGTCCCGGTATAGACAGCCTTCAATGTACTTGCTACCAAGAGCAGCGTGCCGCCCAAAGCAGCTATTGGTTACTGCCCGCTGATCAATGCATCGCCAACTGAAAACCTAACCGTGTACACGTTGCTGTGCCGTTCCGTGGCGATGGCCCAACAGGCCAATCTACCATTTACCATGGTTGTCTTGGACCAGGCTATCTATGCAAAGGCACTTGACATTGTGCTGCAGAGACCTGAGGAGTTCCGTACAGTTATACTGCGCATGGGCGGCTTCCACATCACTATGACCCTCCTGTCCGTCATTGGAAAGCGTTTCATGGATGCTGGCTTGCTAGATCTGCTTGTTGAGGCACAGGTCGCCGGCTCAGCTACAGCTTCTTTGGCATTGTCAGGAAAGCAATACAACCGTGGGGTTCGCTTCCATACATTGTGGCGGAAGCTATGGATCGTTTAAGGTGGCGCTCTTTCATTGATTCTCTGACTGATGCTGAGCTGGCCAAGCTATCATCGGAGCAAGTGATTGACGGTTTTCGAGAGCTCCAGAATTGCATCTCGGATGACAATGTCAGCCGTGTCACGCAGTCTAGCGACGTTAAGTCCTTGTATGAGATGTACACAAGCTTCTCCTCACAGCAATCTGAAGGGTCGCCAATGTTCAAGTTCTGGTCGAGCTACATATCAATTGTGTCCCTGTTGCTGGACTTTATCCGTTCTATTCGTACCGGTAATTGGCAACTGCACATGTCCTGCCTTCGATCTATCCTACCCTGGGGCTTTGCATCATGTGACGACAGGCACAATTACTCCCGCTACATGAGCTACTACTGGCTCCAGATGCTTAGACTCCATGAGGCTTATCCTGCTGCATTGCAGTATCTGACGACCTGCTGCATTGCAATATCTGACGAATGGTGGGTTTGCTGCGTCAAGAGACTCAAGCTGTCTTCCACCATGCAAAGACGCTCTGGTGAAACACACCGCCAGAGCTAACTATCAAGCTGAAATCTGGAGGAAGTCACTGGAGGCTCAGCCTGACATACCCCCTCCATTCACTGCTCACCACGGGTGGAAACTAGTGGACGGCAAGCTCCAGGTTGACTGGTTGTCCCTGGAGCCTGCTCCCAAAGCCCTGATGGAGGTTGTTAAATGCGGCTGCAAAACAGGCTGTGACGGAGGCCGCTGCTCCTGCAAAGCACAGTCTTTGCATTGCACTGACGTTTGTGGATGCAGCGCTGCAGATAGCTGCCAGAACAGGGCCAGTGATCTGGGACCATAAACTGCCACTATAGCATGAGATTGAGTTTCAATTACGTGCATCTACATTACATACACATCCATGGACAATGTACATGCAAGAGTATTATGCTTTTTTACATTCTTTTCTGGCATTCCTGCAGTCTGTATATAACCCAATGGTTTTCATTCCGTATCGTGTTAACTTGATTTGAGTCATTCAATCGTTCTAGAACATTACTGTTGGCTAAAAACAAGAAAACAGTAGTTGCTATGTTGTTGCTATGCAGTTGCCATGGTTACCATGCACTAAACTTCAACGGCTAATTTCAGCACCTTCCATCACGTTTCAAGGGTAAAAAAATATATCGTTGAGCACCTTGTGGTCCCCTCTACACCGGTTGAAACTCTCAACAAGTTGTGCGCTCTCAACTGCAACGAAAGTAAACATTGTGGGCACCTGGCCCCCGTACTATAACACAGGACTGGGCACAGCGTGTGGTTCTGTCCATGCCAAGAACCGACTCCCGCTAGAATCAGTCAACAACCTGCAGTTGCACACATTACGGTATAAAAAAAAGTGATGAGCTGGCCAAGCTAGTACTTGACCAACCTTCAAGCTGGTAGAAACGCCATGCCTCACGAGTACCCGCACACATTGAATATATCCATTGTGGCATGCTATGTGCAGTGCGGCTTGGCCTTTGTTGTTGCGAGCGTTTGCATTTGCACCGTGATCAAGCAGGATGCGTGCACAGCTTGATTCATTCCTGTATAGTATCACAGCAATACACAATGTGACTGCTCTAAGGCTAAGAAGCAAACATATGACAACACTAGATGGGATTCATTTCTTCTGAAAGTACAATACGCATCTGTAGCCTCATTTCATTCTCATCCGCTCTCCGGAACTCCCTATCATATGGCACAGTAAGTGAACATGCCTCAGTGTGTACCAATTCAGTGTGATTCTTTGCAAGGTAATCATCGTAGTGCAAGTACACGCACCTTCAGAGCCCTTGCAAGCTTCAGCAAACGAAATAGAGCAGCCAAAATCAATCATAGGCATCGCTAGAAGGACAACTGAACCGGCAGTGCTTACCCGGCAATAGCAAAAGCCAACGCCGTGTCTCCATCGTTGTCCTTCAACTCTGTATTTGCCCCACTGTCCAGCAGAGCATTGAGACAGCCTGTTTTACCTTTGTACGCTGCCACTTGCAATGGGCATACTCCATTGTGCGTCCGATTTATCTATCGTCGAGCATGGAGAAGGCATTCACACAGTGTCTCTAAATACTTGCTAGTCTCAGGGAATCTCACACTGTCCACAACAGCTATGGCAAGAGAGATCCATCTTCTGATAGCAGTGCATAGCCAAGAGTTTAAAAAATATAGAACATTGCCATAGTTCTAGAGATAGCCCAAGGGCAAAAAAGAGCGAACTACAGTTAGGATTCAGCAATTAACTTTCACTGGCAGTGCGAACCTGCATGAATGTGGACATAGAGTCAGCATTAAATGGAAGCAGTGGTGTGTACAGCACTGTCATGATACCATAACAAAATACTTAAAAACTGTGCCCAGGGCATATTTTCGTCATTTTGGATTACTTGTTAGTCCTGAATGAACAAGTTGAATGCTCTATAAACTGGGCAGATCTTCACCACGTTTCTATCCCGCTAGACGGCAGTTGTGAGTCATTGGGAGCAGCCATCTTCTCCTATATGTTCAAGCAGAACTAACACTTCAGTGTTTTAATAAGAACAATCAAGGTTTCAAGTAACACAGTTCAAAGTACTCCTAAGCTTACCACACTTCGATCACTTTTCAGCACTTCTCGGACTTTTTCCGCATCACCCTCGGAGGACGCATTGTACAGGCGCACAAAGCCGCTATCACCGGAATCATCGCCACCGCCATCCGGTATTCCAAGCAGTCTTCCAAGCATTCGCATCATTTGGTCACCTGCACGCAATGATCAACATTGAGCAGTACAGGCATACAGCACAGTCCAGCGAGTCCCTACATAATCTTGGTGCTTCACGAACCTTGCAGAAAAACGAGCTCACTTCAATAAGAATGTAATTCACTTGGTAGAACAACAGCTGGGGCCCTATAACAGTTATGCGCTATATACGCTATATTTACGCTGAGGACCGTTGGCCGTTCACAACGTTGTTGCCTCCAAACCATCTATTTCGCAAGCCCGCGCTGGGGATAACAATGTGAAGAAGAGGTTGGCGCGACTTCGGCGATACTTGGGGAATTGTGTGTGGCTCCCTACATGGTAGCTCGCGCTTTTCCTGCCAACTTGAATTCTCACTTGACTGACTGACAACTGGTAATTAGATGGTTTGGAGGCACCAACGTTGTGAATGGCCAACGTTCCTCAGCGTTTGCTCAGCACCTCCATAAGCGACGCTGACTCACGCTGCTATCTGGTGTTCACGAGGTGTTTGTCGCGCTGGAAACGGAGCATCTCTGTAAGTTTGTATCCCTGGTGATGGTTTGGTCTGAAGAGCGCTATATCTGTGGTACTCTTCAAACACCGTCAATCTTCCTCAGCCGACGCAAGCTCAACTGATGAGGCCAGGGTGAATTCCCCGAAACACTGTGTATTGAGCAGGGAGTGGTGCTTTCTTGCAGGTTTGCCAAGTGGAAGGTTTGATGGACTTCTCGTGTGCTCTGGATGGCAGTCGTGAATCAGTCAAGTGAGAATTCAAGTCGGCAGGAAAAGCACGAGCTCCCACGTGGGGAGCAACACACAATTCCCCAAGTATCGCCGAAGTCGCACCAACCTCTTCTTCACATTGTTGTCCCCAGCGCGGGCTTGCAAATTAGATGGCTTGGAGGCAACAACGGAGTGAATGGCCAACGGTCCTCATCGTTCGTTCAACACCTCCAAGAGCGACACTGACTCACGCTGCTAAGTTATCTGGTGTTCACGAGGTGTTTGTCGCACTGGAAACGGAGCTTCTCGTGTGCTCGGGATGGCAGTCGTGAGTCAGTCAAGTGAGAATTCAAGTCGGCAGGAAAAGCGCGAGCTCCCACGTAGGGAGCAACACACAATTGACTCAACTAATGAGCATTTAATACTTCCCACTATTTTACCCACATAGGGTGAATATGCAAAGCTTTCAAGTGCAGCAGCCTTCACACTACAGTATTTTCACAACATTGCGTAAAAGCCACCGGTTCAACTACTGTCGTGTACATGGAAATCCAGTCAATTGACCGGGGACGGCGCCCTCCGCGCGTACAGAACGCTGCATGCAGACTGCAGTGCACATGTTGATCCGACCAGCGCGCTACAGCGCATAAATGCATGTGTGTTCCGCTTACCCACGGCTGCGTAGCCAGCGCCCTGGGGCCGCTAGACGTGCGACCGGATTTCCATGCCCACGACAGCAGTACTGTTACTGCTCAACCTGTCTATCTTACTTGCAAGCACCCTCAGCTATCTCATAGATAAACCCTGTCTATCTTACTTGCAAGTACCTTCAGCTACCTCATAGATAAACCCTGTCTATCTTACTTGCAAGCACCCTCAGCTATCTCATAGATAAACGTATGATGTCTAAGTCCTTACTGTCATCGCTCTCCTTCAGTGTGCTGCTGTCAACTGCGCCCCTTGAAACGTGAGTCAGACACCTTGGGCTGAACGTCCAGGACTGGCCATTGGAGAAGCGAACACGTGCATCTCCATCACTGTCTATGTTCACAATCTGCCCTACTTTACCGAGGACACCGGCCATGGCTTCATTCCAACCACCATGGCCGCGTTGATGAAGTACAGCCTCTGCCTTACTGGACGTCACTCGGACACGATCACCCACTCGTTGGACAGCCATCGCCTGCAGTGCTGATAAGCTGATTTGAAAAGACCGGCCCAGGCCTGCGACGTGAACTTCAACATTCGCACTGTTTCGTGTGGGGAAATTGCGAACGCGACCAATTAATCCCGGAAACTGCAGATGTACACAAAAGTGACTCCGTGAGCTTCGGCACAATCTTGCATTGTGAATGCATTCGCATGCCCATCACTTCTGTCCTGCAAACTCTGAGATCCCCCCCCCCCCACACACACACCACAGCACATAAACAGCAACTGCAACAGAAGCAGCTGCAGTAACAACGACAACAACAACAACAACAACAACAACAACAACAGCAACAACAACAGCAACAACAACAGCAACAACAACAGCAACAACAACAACAACGACAACGACAACAACAACGACAACAACAACAACAACAACAACAACAACAACAACAACAACAACAACAACAACAACGACAACGACAACGACAACGACGACAACGACAACAACAACAACAACAACAACAACATTTTAAAACAAAGATTTGAAAGCACAAAAACAGTCTGTAACCTTGCACGGAAGATTGAAGTGTTTTCAAGTTACCTGACTCATTCTGCTGTCCCAGCTACATTCTGGCGTTCCGCTCTGAGCCCGTCTCAAGCTGTCCAAGCTGGTAGTGATCTTTACTGGGTCACCAACTGAAAAGGCGCCACAGGTTTCACTGCTGTAGTGTTTACCTAAAGGTCGTCAAGGAACACAAGTGACATTGGCAAGTCATTCGGCCAAGCCATTGACAACCACACTTTAGGTATGGAATATGTAGTTTGACATAGTACACCCAACTAACAGCTAGCCACACTAGACAACACTCGAGCACACGCACGAGCACCACCCCCCCCCCCCCCTCCCAACCTTCACAATAGAATCACATGCCCCCCCCCCCCCCCCCCCCCCATCTCACTCTCACCCACTCCGGCACCACATTGCCCAAGCTATTCGCAAACCGAGTCCATAGTTGGGCCGATGGAAGCAAGGCCAACGGCAATTAGCATAGCAATTGCACTTCTGTAGCATGCTTCAAAAGCAGCAGTATAATCAGAAAAACACAATCACTATGATTCGGAAATACTATTGGCAACGATCAATTGGGATTATGTACAATATGTGCTAACATTACATACCAATTGCAGCTAGATGCTCCGGATAATAGTACAGAGCATCACTGTCACTAGAGCTTGGATCCTGGACTGCCTTAAGGTCAACCTTCATGAACATAGCAGCACACAGTTATACTTTATTTTGCACAACAATCGCATATGGAAACGGAGACTGCCTTGATTTAGGCTCTGAGGACTGTGGAGAATCCATGAACACAAAATACAAAAAAATACAAAATCATCAGTCTCTCTTATACTGATAAGGCCACCATCTCAGTGTGGTCCGGGCTAGCCACTCTCAACATGGGGCAAGAGTCCTAAAAGGGGGGATCACGGCAAACAACCAGCTAGAATGTTGAATGCAAGCACTTGGCAAATTGAAACAGGTGCGTACTCACATTTCCTTCGTAGCCAACACGATAATTGTTGGTACCGCCAGCCGCCCACGAGATTCTTGCAGCATCCATCTGCCGAACATTAGCGTTACAGGAAAGTAAAAGTCATCAGCTCAATGCCATGCCTGTATGTATTCCCAGCATTCATTGCCCTTCAAAAACTCCGAAGCTGAGTCTATTACTGCGGCATTTGTAGACAAGCCGGGAGAGGCTGTCCAGCTGGGATAAAGACAAATCAGCAGATCAACACAGCTAAATACGGACGAAGAGATGTACCTTGCCAGTGGAACCATCCTCGCTCCAATCCCTGACGGCCAACACCTTTCCTTGTCCTTTAACACCCAGCAATGCACCCAAAGGGCCACCTACAGGACAAAGGGTAGAATGCAAAGCGTGCACCGTGCAATCTGCCAACACTGGATAATGGTGGGAGTGCAGGATACATTACCGTATTTCCCCGTAAGTTAGTTCTCCCCAATGACTTAGTACCCCCTATAAAACGCACTTTCCACTGCCGAGGTTATCACCCCGAAAGACAGTCCCCCCCCCCCCCCCCCCCCCCCGAAAGATAGTAAGTTCGTACCTGTCCTACATGTACAGACACCGTACAGTACATACATCATATGCACGGACACTAGAGTTGCGCAGGCTTCCCACTGCGTGTCATTTACCCCGATAAAAAAGTACTCCCCGAAAGATAGTACCACCCCTGAAAGTTAGTAGTCATGTGGCTGCTAAGTTCGAAAGTTAGTACGTACTAACTTACGGGGAAATACGGTAGCACATTAGTACATTGGTGCCAGATATGATATCTCATACATCACGCCACAAAGTAAATCCACATTAACGTGTGCGGCCAGTTAGAGTCACCGCCGCATACATTTAGCCCTCCCCCCTTCCCCCATAAGTTACATCCTCCCGCCCCCCCCCCCCCACATAATATACCCCTAGGCGCCAGCCATTCGCAAGCACATACCGTCTTGTGGTCCCCACTTCCAATCCGGGCCGCGTGCAACCACCGCACCTGGTACAATGCCCAACAGCTGGGACCGTGAAGAGGATGTGCGCCTGGGTGTCAAAATCCTGAGGCAGTGGAAAAAACAAAACAGAACAAAACAAAATTAATAAACATGTGCAGCCCAAATGCAAAAGGCAGTTGGGACTAGCAATAAAAGGGAAAGAACATCTTTGAATGGGCAACCCATCTGGGATATACTGGTAGCAATGGCGTTGAAATCTGAAAGACAAGGTTATGGCTTGTGCAAAAAATGATCACAATTTTCTATACTCTAGTAACTCTACCCCTGTCACTAGATGCCAATAATGGCAAGGACTGGTCCATCCTCCAAGCTTGGTTTACCACCCCATTGGCACGGGTGTGTAGGCATCATATCGTTGTGACTTTTGATGGCTGCTTTATTCTCGTCTTTTTGGAGGGTTGTGCATTTCAATGCTACCTGTACAGTGTGTAGAAACCCACTGCCCCCCCCCCCCCCCCCCCCCCCGGCAATAGGTTATCATTAGGGCTTGACAGTGCTACGTCTCTATGGATCCATACACGTTTGGGTGGTTTTCCTTCACAGGAGGGTGAGACATCCACCGGAAGTGACAGGACTGGGCCCTCCCAGTGGAGGACCCACTCCGGGCACAGAAAAATTCACACTGCAAGGGTCACGGAGGGTGCAACACCGCAAGGGTCACGGAGGGTGCAACACAGCAAGGGTCACGGAGGGTGCAACACTGCAAGGGTCACGGAGGGTGCAACACGAAGAGCCTACACGCTACACACTGTACTTTAAAGGATTGCTAATGCCAGAGAGGGCCAGGCCAGAAGGCGCTATTAGTCATTGCTAATGCCAGAGAGGGCCAGGCCAGAAGGCGCTATTAGTCATTGCTAATGCCAGAGAGGGCCAGGCCAGAAGGCGCTATTAGTCATTGCTAATGCCAGTTCACTTACATGTACCATGTTTTCCGGAGTATAAGCCGCACCCCTGCACCCCTGCACCCCCGCACCCCCATTTTCTTGCCACAAAATGCAGACATCTGCCCTATTTATCACGGCTAATTTGATCATCGGAGTATAAGCCACTACCCCTTTTTTGGGCAAATTTTGAGTGTTCAACGTGCGGCTTATACTCCGGAAAATACGGTATGCCATCACTTTCAAGGCCGATTATTGATACGTAGATAGGACAACACCACCGCCATGTTGATGGGATGGCATCAGCATGTACCGCACATGCACAAACCCACCATGGCCCATCCTTCTCGTCGATTCGGTAGAACTGGTGTGCCTTGTCGTGCGCGCCCTTGTGAAAGCACCGGTTGCACAAGTCATAGTCGTAGCACACGGAGCACTTCCAGCGCACACCCGTGACGTTGTCGGAACGGCAACAGTCACATGTTATGCCACGGTGTGCCACACCTGCAGATAGCAGAGTTTAGACCATATCAAACGCATAGACCTTCACAAGCAGGTCATTGAAGAACAGATGAGTGCAGGATTCTGCACCCTAAAAACCCTAATTTAAAAATTTTCACAGGGGGGGGGGCATCCCCCGGACCCCCTCCAGCTGGACCACCTCCAACGGCGGTGCTACACGCCTGCACAAAGCTTGCAGTCCACAAAATCATAGATACATTTTATGATTTTATACTCGGATGGTGAGCCAATTAAATAACTCGTAACAGTTTGTCCTCCTTTTTCCCCATACATTTTATAGGAAGTCAGTCTGTCATCTGTCACACTGTCAGAAATGTTTAGGTAAAACTGGAACTGGCCTCTGAAATCAGAGTTCTTCATGATTACTGCAGCAGTAACCAACTTGGGTATCGAGTGTATTGCTACCTTGAAAAAATGATACACCATCTGATCATGAATGAAAATGTCATTATCACTGCTAGTGCCCCCCCCCCCCCCCCCCCACACACACACAAGTGCCCACAGTCACAAATTGAAATTTTCATTTCAGTTCTACAGAATGATAGTTTGTTTTCGTCTTGGTGTCTCAGGCAGGCACACACACACACATGCAGCCTACGTTCAGTCCTCCTAGGCTGTCGCTAGATTATAACATCCTGTGCCTGTGGGCCATGGGAGAGGCGCTCAGGAGGAAAAGACAAGTGTACGTGTCGCGTTCATTGGACTACTCTACTCTACTTACCGCCCGCCGCGTTGTCGTAGATACTAATGTCGTACTTGCCATCGGCACCGCATCGGTAATTAGCCGTATGCCCGTGGTCCCAGTGCACCGACACCCATCCCTGTGATGCCGTGCCCTTGAAGACTGTGCCCAAATTGCCGGACCTCTTGTCCTGACTCGACCATTTCCAGTCAGGACCTCGGACAACCCGAGTGCCGACTCGGACGGGCATTTTCTCTATTATTAGACCGAGCGACCTGCTGAGAGAATTTCAGAACTAGTTGTGCGTGGTGCCACGCAATGCGTTGGTTCTGCTCAAGAATCACAGTACTCGTAGCTCACGAGCGAGCTGATACGATTTGTTTTGTTTGTTGTCCAGCTTTTCACAAACTTACAATAGTTCGTTTCCTGGTACGGATTGGGCTGAATTTGGGGCCGAAATGTATTGCTCAGCGTGGCCTCAACTACTGTCTGTAGATGTAGACTGTCAAGATGGTCCAAGTGTCACACGCACTTCTGTTCTGAGTCGGACTCCTGTCATCTGGTCATGTGTTTCGCTACGCTACTGCATCATTGCATGCTGTCGATGCCCGATGATCGATGGGCGATGCCGATGGAGTACTCCGAGCTAGGCAGACTCAGAGTCTGTAATCATGCGGCTCTGGCTCTGAACTACAACTCAACTGACGACGAAAGATCTGCAGATCAGGACAGGAGTCGAGTCGGGACATATCGACGAGCGAGATGATTGCAGATAATCTGATTGGTGAACTAATACTTCTGTCATAGACCTACACTAGTAACACTACACTACAGTCTTGTCAGTACGAGACCACATCAGCTGATCAGGACGTGTGCACAACTAACTTGCTGATCACAGCTGATCGTAGTGTGACGTACAGGTAGGATCAAGAACTCTACCGGCGGTCGGAGGTGGTGGTCGTTATCATTCTTATTCTTACTTCGGTAACTCTGTCTCAGTCACACAACTAAGTAAGAATCGGGAGCAAATGAAGAGGTGATTGACAGAACGATGAGGTTCCGGTGGATGAAACTGTTCCGTTGGTCTTAGAAGCCTTGGAAAGCAGTACTGTCACTCACTGGGCGACTAACCGCCAGGTGCCACATGACCCGACGATCATTGGGCCAAGACCAACACAGACAGTGCAGGTCAAGCAAGAGTGGCTAGAATACACCATGGTTTGCATATGCATGATCCGTCAAGTACACCCCCCCCCCCCCCACCCCTCCCCCATGATAACAGCCGTTTGGTTGGTCCCACGACTTTACTGGATTGGGATCGATGGATATCTACACACTGCCTCTCGACTGGTTATGCCGTCTGGTTATGCCTGGTCTGCATGTCGTGACCGTGTGGTTGACCTCTTCTGTCGAGAGTGGAAGCGAAAGTCTCGTCCCACATGCCACCTGTGATTTCAGTACATCTGGTTGCGGCTTGTACATCAGCAGCAATGGGATGACGTAAGCTGCAGGAAATTGCTCCGCAGTATCTCTGGCCACTGATAACTAACTGTTACTTGTCGGAGTGGGTGGGACAAGCCGGGTGAGTGACTATGCGAGAAAGGTGATCAGTGACTCATTGCAAACTTGAGAATGAAGATGATGAGCCATCCACAAGTGTGCCGTGAGTGATGATTTTTATACACAGTACATCGAAGTGGTCCCAAAAGCATGCAGCATTGGACCTATTGGTATACAAATACAATGTCATGCTAACCAGGAACCTCAGAAGGATATTGTAGTTCATTAAAAAAATTGAACATGATAGGTCGCGAACTTAGAAGTAGCGACTTTTACATGTACGTGGAACACACACTCCCTGCCGAACTCACACTTGACTCACGACTGCCTTCCGCAGCACACGAGGAGCACATCGCACCTTCCATTCGGAAAACACCACCGTCCCTGCTCAATACACAGTGTTTCGGGGAATTCACCCCTCATCAGTTGAGCTTGAGTAGGCTGAGGAAGATTGTGATAGGTTGCTTCTTTTAATTTGGGACCGTGCATCTTGAAAAATCATACCGATCAGTTTCGGAATACATGTATCAAGAAATTTGAACACGTAATACCCTTCCTTGGTGTTTTTACACTTTGTGTGAGCATGACCGTGCGATCATGCCTTTCTATGTTTCGCTGTCGCTTGGACGCTCGCCCCTTGTTGCAACGTGAGCACGCCCTTACCAGAGCGGTCCCAAGTTGGCGGCCGGATAGTGCCTAAACTTTGAAAATGGTGGATTCTGCTAAAAAAGCAGTGAAATATTAATTGGCAGAACCATACGAACCTTAATCCACATACAGTCATGTACATGTACATGTAGAGGAACATACCAAAAAAATATGCATGAAACATACACAGTTTAAAATACAAGAAAAAGTGCTGGCAAATTATGCCACTTTTTCGCCGGCATTATCCGCCAAGAGCTGGTCGGTGAGTGGAGCCGGCACTGGTGAGCACAGTGATGGTTTTCCCGAGGGCAACAGAATACAGTGGCATACAAGGGGGAGACGTTTTGTGTCACACTCAAGCGCCTCCTGAAATGTTTCAACCGTGAAGGTTAACCGTTGATGCGGCATCATCAGATGCACATGCCGCTAACCGGGCATTAACTGACCATGCAGTTCAATTTTTGAAAGCAATTACAGAGCGATATCCACTGATGCTGGCTAATCTTCTGACGTTCTGAAGTCTGCTGTTCATAGTCTTGTCCGCGATATATCATATAGCGATGTCTCCACTGGCGGGTTCTGCCTTCCACTGCTTCCTATTTAATTCATGTGCTCTTGTCTTGATGCATCACGACGTCAGACCAGACAGAAGGCCTATACGTCTACACCAAGACTATGTGTGTGTTGTTGTTACTTTATTTTTTTACTTCACCAGAATTACAGGCAGTAGAATGCCTTCTCACTAGACCAGGTCTAGTTCTCACGTGTGTAGGGGGGGGGGGGGGGGAGGTTATTCTTGACTCTACTCTAGTCTTGATCTTGCCAAGACCAACTTGGTCTACACCGGACCAGATTGACATGAGCTCTAGTCTACGCCAAGGCAAGAGTTCAGAACAGGGAGTAGTATTATATTTATACTACTCCCTGGTTCAGAACCCCCAAGCCCAACATGAACTCTTGAACATAAGTCATTCCATTATCATGATTATTGTAGATCTACAGCGGACTCAGTACACCAGGGGCAGGGATCTAGGGAGTTGGGAACTCCCTAGCAAGAGTTAGTCCATCGGCCAAGTCTCAAAATCGAAAGTGGTGATGCACTGAGCTTCCAACTAAACGCGACCATACCCAGCACGTAGAGAATATATCAGAGAACACTATTCCGTTTGTTGGACGTGCCGAATTCAGTCCAGGGCGTCGATACGAAGCGTTCTTCGTCGCCGAGTTTTTTTACTGTGCGCTCCATTTGAGAGTGCGCAGAGTTCTGATCGAGAGTTTTTTGAGCAGATTTTCAAATTTTTGAGGCTGTCAGCTGACAGCTGTCAACCCTAAATGGCACTTAGTATGTGACAGGCAATAGGTTTTGGTGCCTCCGTATACCTTCTAATAAGTTCTATCTTTCTTCGTTTCACTTCGCTGCTTCGCCCACCACCTCAGGAGATGACAGCGTACCTGCACTAGTCAGCTCTCGCAAACCCTGTCTCTCTTTCTCCGGCTCCATCTTAGCGCTCGTCATTCGTGTCCTTCTGCTGGGGCGAGCTTGATACTGTTGTGTCGTAGTTTTTAGGCAATAGTGGCTGTTGTTCGCGTGACGATCAGGATTTATGGAGAAAGACGACGACTCGCCAAGTTCCCATGCAGCTACAGACGGCGTAGCAATTCTTACCGCCAACCCTTCGAGCAACGGAACCGTCCTGAGTTGGAAATCGTGTCTGTGTAATTGTGCCACGATACGGATGAAACACACAGGCTCACATGTGACGAGATGAAGATAATCTCAACAGGCTGACGGAAATCCAATAGGCTCACGGGAACGCTGCAGTTATGGTCGGAGACGCGGAGTTATTTAGTCACTGGTAAATGCTGCATCGAGTGCTGTGTGCTCTAACACAATTGTAAAAATCATGAAAAAGCGAAAAATAATGCAATGGTGGGGCTGAGTGGTGTTCTGTGGAGGAGACGTCGCTGTCTCAGTATTCAACGCCGGACCCTGTATTTCAAGTCTGTGGTCATGCTCGATCATATGTTCCTGTATGGCTCCAGTGCCTTCTCAGCATTGTTGGCGGATAAGCACCTGGATCGTGTCCAAGTACTGCGGCTCTGGTGGCTTGAGGGATGTACGGGTGCTCGCTGTGCACCCCTGCCGGCAATCTGCTAGTGAAGCTTGGTACCTGCTGTGTCCGGGAGATTTTCATCCAGAAGCTGATCTTCCTAGGCTGGAGCTGCTGCTACTCCTGTGCTAGCCCTCAACCTCTGGCGCTCCTACTCGGCTCCAGTGTGGGCCATTAACCACCCTGCCCGATTTCGCACTGTTGCTATTCCACACCGTCAGCATTTAACTCTGAGGTCAGACCTTGATCCCTCCCACCATTATGCTATCTGTCTGTCTGCCTCTCTCTCACACACAGATGTGCGCGCATACACACAAACACACATGCACACACAGTGACACAAACATACACATAGCCAACTTCTCTGTGTTTGGTGATCATCGTCTGTTTTCTGATGTGCAAGCTCACCTCTGATGCCGATTACTTTTTTGCTTAGACCTGGTCTGCTATTAGACCAGTCTGCTCTCCCTTCACTCGCTTGTAAATCCTACTTGGAGCAGTAAGGTTGTGTCACTGCTCCTACTGATGTCATTGTTGTGAAAGCAATATCATCGCCATTGGTGGTAATTTTCCACCGTGCATGAATCATTAACAATCATCATCTATGTGTCACGGCCTAACCATCTTCGTAACTCCCCTCATCGTGACTAGTGCTGTACCGTTGAAACCTACTTTGCTTCAGTGTATATTCGCTCCAAAGCTCTTGTTTTGTTGCATAGTGATATGACGCAGTGTGCTATAGCCTATCGGGTAATATGGATAAGATTAGTACAGTCGGCATCGCCTATCGAGTGACCAGGTACATGTATAAGGATACTAGTACATGTATACCGGCTTAACGATATCGGAACACAAATAGCACTATGTGTGCAATATTCCTTTCTAAGCTCACGCTGTGCGGTGCAGATAGGTCATGTGTCGTTGCCAACTTGCCGCATGTGCATGTGCAGCAGGAAGGCACCACATGTTGACTACTACTTATACTGTACAGCATTGTGTGCTTACATGCATCTACGGCCTTGTGGATGCAATTGAGTCTCACAAACATGTACATGAAATATTGCGTGTAGTGCGGCATCAGTTAACATACAGTGGCTAAATATTTTTCTCGCAATAATGACCGTATTCACCACAAGTCACATACACACGTTAGTGTGTTTATGTCCAGAGCCAACTCAAGTCCTGTATTATTTATGACCATGACAACAAGACTTCCGGGCTGAAATTCTTCTATGACAGGCATGAACACTTGCCTTACAATTGTTCGTGATTGTACGAAGTACATATTCGCTGTTGCATCAATTTTGCACCAGTTACATTGTAGTGCCACTAGTGGTATCACCTGCATGCGTATTGAGTCAAACAAGGTTACCTCAGTATAATTATGCTTATCGTGGCTATCAAGAGCTTCGATGCAAATTCCCAGCTGACGAATGGTGTCCAGCTTGTGTTCAGCTCAGCTGGCACTCACAACTCATAATAATTGCGTTCTAGACGCCAGATGAGATGTTTCAGCTACAATGTAGACACAACGTCCGTGTTCAAGAAAGCCGTCACTTCATCTTCTGTCCATCCTCAATAGCACGTTCAAGCAAATACGTCTGAAACACATTAGCGACAATCCGACAGCGGCGACACGCCGTCTTCTCCGAATGAGCTTCTACCGTTCTAATTCAGATTCCCCCAAAAATGTCAAAATAAATAATAGATTTCCACCAAGCTCGCTAGAATCTTGCGAACCGTCAACATGCAGGCATTTCAAGTGTTCGAGTGTGCGTAGATTCTGCTCAGCGGCTCAAGAACATTGGCCAAGCGGAAAAAGTCGATGAGAAAGATGTAATGGTGGACGAAATTACGAAAATCGGAAGAAGGTATTCGACCCAGTTCGACTATCCTGGACTGGATTGGCAACGTCCAACAATCGGATTCGTATTCTATGGGGTCTCATGAGCTAGTGTGCCAAAGGGCGTTTAGTTGGAGCTTTAGTGCATCACCTTCGCCGAAAGAGGCCCTTTCTGAGATTTGGCCGATGGACTAAGTAGATCTATAAAATTATGAAAAGTTGAAAACCAGGGAGTTGACGACTCCCTGTTGAAAACCATAGGGCTTGAAAGTGATGACGTCAAAACGGCCAGGGAGTAGTAAGTTGACATCAGATTTCTATTTTTGGATCCACTAAGGTGTGACTTTGCCTAAGTATGTGGGTGCATAGCAACCCACTCATGTCGCATGCAGGTGTGAACATAAGTCACCAGTTGTAACCTCGCCCCCGGGCCCCAGTAGCCAAATCAGTCAGTTTCACTGGCTACATCACCATGCTGTGGGTAAGACCGCTTGAAATGTGCTTGGATCCATACAAAAACTGGATCCAGTTTTTGAATTTTTGAAATTGTTGCTATGCTGTGACGTTGCACTTTCAAGCAAGCACTCTGAACTCCCTGATCTACACGTAGACCCGATCTACGTGTGCAGGCTGGTCTCCAAAGCTACTGGATATGGAGTTGCCATGGAGAAAATGGCGTACTTTTTCGGGTTAGCGACTGCGCGTTCTGTTGTCATCATCGGATTTTCAACAAAATAATTTTGCCGGAAGAAAAGCTAGCCACACTCTCTGTTCATGGAGCTGAGAAGACGAGATCCGTTTGCTTGTTCAGTTTTATTCTAGTCAAGGTCAGGAGTACGATCTCCCAGTCATCCGTTATCCTGATTTGGCGTAGTAGTCGGAGACGAAGACGAGAAAGTGTGCCAACAGCGAGTATTAATTGAACAGGGGACTGGTGTCCCAAGTTGTGTTTATCATGGCGAAACCAGGAGCTTCAAAGCAAGGTATTGTTATACTGGCAATGATTGTACATGTATTGCCATGTGGGCAGTGTCTTCTACTTCGCCTCATATGTATGTAGAACTAATTTGGCACACATCGCGTTGTGGCTGGTGTACGTATTTAGAATTGCTGGAGCGAATAATGCAGATCGATGAGTATCATCAAGGATATTTTCATTATTTTGTTACTCCTAAGACTAAGTTACTAAGAGAAAGTCCACTGTGATAGTATGACTGTGTGTATGTAGATCCAACGTCGTTCGCCTTAAAAATTCTCACCGGTGTGTGTAGTGGCCTGATATATAATGCAATTGCGTATCAATGTTTGATACAGCGGAGATCATATTTGATGACCTTGCATAGTGGTAGATTGTGAATCTAGAACAAATTTGAAGCACATGTATGTGCAATTTATATTGTAGTGCATGTACTGCTACAGTCCACACAAGTCTAGAAGAATGTAGCGATAGTTAATGAACCAAATGTATGTTTTCCTTCGCTCCTCTGTACTAGAGAAGTAAAAGACCTGGGTGTGATGCCAGGCCGTAGTATACTGTTTGCGATCAACACATGCCGAATATCACACACTCTATGCAGTATATAGGGAAAGAATTCACGGCAGTACAACATCACTCTAGGAGTGTGCAAAGTATACGGCATCCAAACAGCTTAAAGGTGTTTACATCACTCTACTAGTGTGAACAGCACATCGGGTCAAAACAGGATGGCGATGAAAGTGAACATGCGAGACAGTAGACACCTTCATGCTGTTTTGACACATTCTACTTTTTCACACTTGTACTGTGATACTTCCGTCACGTGATTTCTGTGCCCATATGTAGTTTCTGCATTGCACATTTCACTCTATTCCCTGTGTGAGCCCATGAAGAAAAGGGTGATACGAAACTCCCACTGCGCTCTTCTAGAGGGGTGTGGACTGCCTTAGTGCATGGTATAAGTTTTAGATTGAGTTTTTGTGGCTAACTAACTTTGGTCCCAAGTCTAATAGCAAGTCCCTTCCAAAGGTTGGGTTTGCTGTGAGATTGAATAAAGGTGCAGTGACTTTTTTGCCTCCCTAAAGAGTGCTGTTGTATCCTATGTGAACTCTATTTGAGAATCAGAAGGCATGTTATTTTACGTGCACTTGTTGCTGTATCGATCGAGGTTTGGAACGTCACCACATGTTGGAGACTTGTAGTGTTAATATCCAGGACTTTCTGCTGTGTACAGAGGGATTACTTCGAAGTGCATGTACGTACTTCGAAGTAGTTTAGTCTTTGAGCTTGTAAACTGTTGCGGTGGCTTCCTGCTGTCATGGTTATGATGGTTGCCTGCTATCACCTTGACTTTCCCGTTCTGCGTTTCCAGGGAAGAAGCACTCCAAAGCTTCTGGCAAGAAGGATGGCGGCAAGAAGGATGCCAGCAAGAGTCCACGCAAATCCGCAGGGAAGAAAGATTTTTCCAAATCAGGTAAGCAATTGAAGGGCTTTAGACAACAAAAAGAAGATGTAGAAGACTCATCAGAGACAAACCGCATCTCGGCGTGTTAAAACGGAAAGTTGGGAACATTCGCTGAAAAGTATTCCAAAGTACATGTAGTGGCACAGAATTTGAGCTGCAATTTCTTGGAAGTTGAAAAATGCGTGTTGCGAACTTGCGATGCCCTTTTATATCCACTACTGGTAGTTAGTGGTTTAAGACTCCACGTGCAGCCCTCTCTCTTTCTCCCTATAGTGTGTAAAATGGCGGTCTACATACGCCAGACATCACAAGGTGATGGTGAGAGATGGGTTTGCAAGATGACAGAACTTTTATATCCACAATTCTTCATGTGAACATTGAGACATATATCTATGTGCATAAGCTTAACATTACTGGTGCTGTTGATCTGGAAGTGGTGTACACGGCTTACACATGGTGTTCTTTTGCTGCCGTCCTGGTCTGCCCTGGTATACTTGTTTGCAGGAAAGAAGCCTAGTAAGCACACAAAATCTCCGGCAAAGAAGGATTCCAGCAAATCAGGTAAGCCAGTACATCCTTGGATCTGCTTCTCTTTCAGAGTACTGTGTTTGCAGATTCTTGATTGCGTATTTTCGCTTTGACGGACCGGAATTCAGCCTCACACTGAGCCCGTGTAATAGTCGGTGGTTTGCATGCATGCCTCTCCTGTGTTGGCTGATAGCGGCTGGAAAGAAACCTTTGAAGGATGACAAGGCAGCTAGCAAGGCAGCAGCCGTACCAGCAGGTGAGTACAGTGTAGTTGGTTGAGTATCTTGTTATGCCTTTTTTCTTGTGATGTGTACAAGTAAGTTACAGGTGTAGCTCAATTGCTTGATTTTATTTTATGTAAGCTGACTGTGCCGATTGACTTCGAATGCCATTTATGCACAAGGGATCAAGTACATGTGTATGTAACAGTCACATGAGGTGCAATAGCTGAAGTATTGCCATTGCACATAGGTGCAGCCATGCATGGCTGCCCGTACACTGGAGTTTTGGCAGACTGTATCTTGCACATGCGTAAACCATAGCGAATAAAATTAGTTGAGGATATAAGAAGGGACCCCCCCCCCCCCCCCACACACACACACACACTCCCAAATGGTTGCTCCGCTACAAACAGTTGACTTTGGTTTTTTCATTTCACCGTTCAATTCTATAAATGGAGCACAGTATACAATCACAGACTTGAAGTATTATGTTGCCATGAGTATGGTTGTCCTATGTTGCTTCTCTTGCTGCTGTTGCTGTTGGTGTAGAGCCAGCGAAGAAAATGCATGAACTCAGTAGGAAGGAGCGCCGTGATGTAAGAAGGTCAGACAAGGACCACTCTGACCTGCGGACCTCTGCTATCAAGCTTTGGGAGAAACTTCGACGGTAGGTGACCAATTGATTGTACAATGCTTTAAATGAATACTTTGAAGTATCGAATTAAATGCAATGTGTGTGTCTGTTTGTCTGTCTGTATGTATGTATTTCGGTATGCTCTGGGTACATGCCCGGGAGCCCTGGGCCGATCCAGTCCCGTTGTCTGAGGTTGTAACATACCATCGTTTGCGATAGCTCGTTCAAGTGTCTTGTATGCATGCTGGCCTCGTTGCCAGACGAATTACATTTCAGTAGAGCTAGGTTGTCGACCCGAGCACAGGCCTCGTTATTAATGGATGGACAGCATTGACTAAGAGTTCGTGTTATTGGGCTTTTTTGTCTGTTTAGACACGACTTGACTGACGAGACTCGGCCCCGTATCTTGGCCGAGCTTGGCCAGCTCTTGAAAGGAAATATGTTGAAGGTGAGACGTGTTTGGTTTAAATTTCTTTCTGGCAGTATTGCATACTATGTACACTGTGTAGATGTTGCTCAGGTGTATGCGTATGAATACTCAACTGGTTCCGTGCTAGCAGCTATGTGTCCCATGATCAACGCTGCTCTGTTCAGATGCTAATGTCATCAGAATAGGTGAGATTCTGCGTTACGGAAGGCCATAGAACCGTAGCTCTGGCTTTCTCCTGTGCTCTGTCTGTACCAGTTGATTATGAAGCATGACACAGCTCGAGTTGTCGAAAGCTATCTGAAGTTTGGAAGCAAGGACGAGAGGGACGTTGTCTTCAAAGAGCTCAATGGTGAGTTTTTGCTCCCCGTTATGGCTTATCTTGTTATCCCTTCTATGCATTAACCCTTTACTGTCCGATTAAAATGTATACAAGCCCACGCAACCACAAAATCTGAAACTAAAATTAGACGTAACTTTGGTTTGAATTTGACGACTTCCACGATCTTAGGCATCCTGGAAAGGTCTTGACGAGACGAACGCATTGAGCCCGCACTCGGCGCCACAGGATGCACTGGTCCAGCGCTGCAAGCCAGGGAACGCGCAAAAGCGCTGAGCTCACGCTCGAGATCGATCTCAATCCACCATGTCACCCCTGTTGCTCGTATCGAGCTCAAATATTTTCGTTGAGACTCCCGGGAACCTACTTTTGAATTTGAATCGGTGTAGCCTTGCCAACAGGTGACGTAAACAGGGAAAATCCCAGCCGTCGACAGGCGCGTCGCGCTCTGAACGCACATTTCCCGGGACCAGAATTACGAGTGCGATAACTCAACAACCGCTCTTCGTATCGCTTCGGGAATTGTTCGAGGCGACAGCTGAGACTTTTCTCTTCGACCTACATATTTCGACCTCTCCAAACGACCTAGATTTGAGCAAGTTACGATAATTTCAAAATGCCTACCCCATCGATCCCATTGGATCGATGCTTGTATGTACGGACAGTAAAGGGTTAAAGCGGGCAGTTATGCTCTTTATCACGATAGCGATCGCAGTAAAGCATTTAATATGATTTAAACCATTGGAGAAAGGAAAAGGACATATGGAAACGAGTTAAGAGTAACTCTCCACCACTGTAACTAGATACTATTACACAGTCAGAAAGTGCAACACCGGAGATGTGTTGATGAACTTGGAGCTAGGTGTCAGGACGTCGAATGTCTCAGCACTCTGTCAGTTTTGTGCCTAGTTGTTGCACTTTCTGACTGTATAATAGTATCTAGTTACAGTGGTGGAGAGTTACTCTTAACTCGTTTCCATATGTCCTTTTCCTTTCTACTTTTATTATTGGCTCAATACCCGAGTTTTAAACCATTGGAGATCAAAATTATGTTACATGCTGTACTGCATAGAGTGGGCGAGAGCCGATCTTCAACTGTTGATATCAATAATGGAATGATGTAATGGGCACAGGAGCTCAAGATGGGACATGTCCGGGTGTACTAATATTTCTCTGGCTACTCTTGTACCTGTTCCGCGTGTCCATCATGTGTACATGTTTTTTCCATGCTGCCTCCAGGTCACTGGGTTAAACTTGTGCAATCTAAGTATGCTAAGTTTGCTGTCAAGAGGATTTTCAAATATGGGTAAGTGCCTTGGACCAACCTACTCTGCTTGTTACGTCTTGGTATGTTAACTGCTTGGTGTGATTTCATTGAAGCGTGTTTGATGCGCCTGAGGTGGTGCGAGGTCGGGCTTGATTTGTGGATACGTATTGTTTACTGTGCTGATGACTGATGATTCTGTATGTCGATGTGTCTGTGTGCGCGTGTGTGCTGCTACTGGTGACTGATGTGGGTGTGCGTGCGTATGTGTGTCTGTTTGTGTGTGTGTGTGTGTGTGTGTGTGTGTGTGTGTGTGTGTGTGTGTGTGTGTGTGTATGTGTATGTGTGTGTATGTGTATTGTATGAATTGACAGAACAAGACAGCAATGCAGTGCTATCGTCAAGAGCTTCTTTGGATACACACGCCACTTGATAAAGAGCAAGGTGTGTTGTGCGTCTTCCATTGCTATTCTGCACAGTGTAGTGCTTTGTTTTGGTCATTTGTGCTGAGGCTATGTACCGCAAGCTATACACGACGAGAGCCCGGTGGGCCAATTGGAGGCAATTTCGTTGATGACGGGGGTTTAAATTCTTGTCTACGTATGTACATGAGTCGCCGGATCATTTGATTTTTCCTGTTATATCTGCTCCGATATCATACTTGCCCTGTCTGTTGCAGCAACTTTCCATGGCTTTTCGGAACTTTCCCCATCCCTAAATGTTTTATTTTCTACCGCTTTGCCTTGAGCAGGAAGCTGCAAGTGTGCTGGAAACTGCATACGTTATGCATTCCAATGCTGCGGAGCGAGCGGCTCTTGTCAGCGAGTTTTATGGCCCTCAGTACTCGCTCACAAAGGTCAGTTTAGCTGAGGTCTAACTTGGTCTGTTGCTACTTGTGTGTGTGTGGGTGGGTGGGTGGGTGGGTGAACCATATTCTACTGTGCTATAGAATAATCTGATACTGTTTACCATGCTTGACCTATCTTCGCTCATTACTTCGCCATCTGCTCTCTTTTGCCTGTGTGCGTGCACACACTGGTAGAGTAATTGTGTTGACCTGCTCAGTGTGCAGATTGTTTGAATCACTAGCTTATGGGTGTTGCTGTTGCAGGGAGCGGAGACTCGGCCATTGTCCAAGGTTCTTGAGGAAGACCCAAGCAAGCGCCAGTCAATTGTGCAGCATTTGAAGGACTCGCTTGTGCCTCTTGCTGAGAAGTAAGTGTGGTGACCAATGCTGTCCAGTCCAATCCAGACTTACAGGTTTTCTCTTCTTCAATGATGCCAAGACAGAGAGACCTCTTCTAGTTCACCTCCCTTTGTGATGAAAATCTCGCTGGCCACATTGCATGTAGAAGTATGACATTGTACATGTATGTAGACTGGAGGAGATACTGAACTAGCTTGGTTGTGGTAGATCTTGTCGTGACTGCCACCCCGCTTTGCCCGAGCGCTATTCGTAGTAGCTCAATATTTGTTTGCTCCTGTCTCTGCTTGGTGTGTGTTACAGACAGCCAATGCAACACAGCCTTGTGCACAAAGCATTGCTTGACTTCTTCACGTACGCCACTGGTGAGATGAGAACGGTACGTCTTTGGTTTTCTTTTTACGTGTAGCATTGCTTGGCACGTCATGCTTGGTTCCTGCGTGTTTTCGTCATGCAGCTCCAGGACAAAACATGCTGTGAATTCACTTATGCATATCATAATTCAGAAAGTGTAGTGTATTTTTACCATCCAACTGTCAGCGAATACAAATGTCTCTGGAGAATGGTGAGTGGAACCTTTGTGTCTTCCCCCGTTTGTGTGCAGGAGATGATTGAGGCAGTGCGAGAGTCACTGGTTCATATTGTTCACACCAAGGAAGGTGCCCAAGTCACCATGCACTGCCTATGGCATGGAACTGCAAAGGTTAGTTGCTATACTGTATCACCCAGTATACTGCGAGTTGAGTCTATGAATTCATCATATCCATTCGTACTTTGGATGTGCTGTCCGGGATTGCCGATTGTTCTTGTTGTTTTTGTTCAAAACAATACATGGAAGTGTTTTCTCGTCTCACCCACCATTCCAGCTGGTAGAACGAAATCTGCAATACATATTGATTTCAATCTTCACTGCCATCTGTCTGAATTTTGTTGGTGGCATGACTGTGCTTTCTGCCCTCCGTCTCCGCCAATTATTTCGAATGATTTTATTTTGGTAGATTTTGTAAGCCAAAATAGAGACTTCTCCCTTCTAGGCACTCTGTCTCATCTCACTCTATACAACGAGGGGGGGGGGGGGGCATGATATACATGTATATTGAGTTTCATGACGCTAGATGAACCCTCAGGCAACATCCTACTGCATCATTTCTTTGTTCTAAGGATTCGCAAACTCCATTACAGCCATTTACACATTACTGTAATCAGTCCTAATACTCACACATGGTCTCTTTGCTGTAAACAGTACTCTAGTTTCACCAATTTTTCGGGCATGCCCCATCCTCAGGGAGTGAAGTATTGCATCAATTCATTGTACAATATATGTGTTTTCTTTACTTCATTTGCTGTATGTGCAGGACAGAAAAGTCATAGTGAAGACATTCAAGTCCTTTGTGAAGAAGATCTCTATGGTATGTACTGGTTTAGCACGGACACTTCGTGACAAGCTGAATGCACACTTCTTTTTCTTCCGATATTTGGTCACAGCAGCAGGTTCAGATAGAATGAAGTGATGGCCCTTGCTTGTGCATCCTGGTTTATAGCTTTACACACAAGCAAGCCTTGCCATATCCTGCCCCAACACTTGCCAGCATCAGTTCTCCTACTTCATCATACTGGTCCACAGGCTGTTGGTAATCCCATTGTGTGTGACATGTTGGTATTTGCTGGTATTCTGTATATCTATCGTGTCTGCAGGAAGAGTATGGTCATGGAGTAATGCTGGCTCTGTTTGACACTGTCGATGACACTACCTTGGTGTCCAAGGCTCTGATCTCGGTAAGCTACTTGCTATTATGCAAAGAACACTTCTGGGTAGTCTATTGATACGAACTGACAGATGCGTGTGCATTTCTCAGTGACTGGCTTAATCTTTTGTGTTCCCATCCCCAATAGAGGTTAATATGATCTCGTCGTTAGTTGAGGTGTTTTGTATGGAGTGGCATCACTAAACCTGATTTGCCACTCAATGCAATGGAAATACACTGATGTCATTCATGTAACCTCTATGATGTTATATGGTTCATGCAGAGGGGTAAGTCGCCGACGTCTGGTGCTCTGTTGAGTGAACTTCTTTGTGTAAAACCGCCTCAGTCCTACTCATGTGCCTTGCTACTATTTTTTGTTTGACGTGTTTCAGGAAATTGCAGAGGGGCTAGAGGACCTCGCAGGTGATCGCTTTGGTCGCAAGGTACTTCACTACTTGCTCGAGTCCCGTGGCAGAAGCCAGTGCCATCCAACTATGACCGAGCTGTTGCGCCACGGTGATGGAAATCCCAACAGGTATGAAGCAATTTTTTAAGTTTACGGGCATGCACAATGATGACCTATTGAAAAGAATGAAGGTGGAAAGGTGTGAACGTATGTGTGCAATGATGCACATGGACAGGCAGTTTGTTTTGACTGGTCCTTTGAAGTACGCACTATCACCTCTCAAAGAGAATCCTGTTTGTTTTCACAGGTATATTCTAAAGGTGTTACAAGGCAGAGTGGTATGGGCTTGCAGTGCACTAGTGGTGTGTGTGCGTGTGGGGGGGGGGGTATGTCTTGTGTCAGCCATGTGGTGGTAGTTCATGCTTTTAAAAGTATGTGTGATTAACTAACTAATTCTCTATGTCTTCTACCATTCTTTAACTTCACAGTAAAAAGCCAGCAGAACTCAGGTGCAAGGAACTGCGAGCAACGATTTCAGCATCTCTCCTGCAGCATTGTGCTGCAAACGCTGTCGAGATGGCCCGGAATAAGCCTCAAAGTCAGCTACTTCTTGCAACCACAGATCACATCATTGGTATGTCTGCAGCATTTATATTTTTAAAAAAAATAGATCTTCTTCTTTGTGGACGCTGTGAAGAAAGTTTTGTTATCACTGTTTCAGCAGACCCTTTTAGACGTTTCCTAGTCCAGGCAAGTAGCTGCGGGTGAGTTGTTTTGTTTGTTTGTGTTTCTTAGGGGGTGATTATATGTGCAGCTCCAGCCCGGGCTGGTCGACAGGCGGGCCAGCCCGCCTGCAACGGGATCTCGGGGTTGTACACAAATCCACACAAAACCTGTGGTGCGTTCACATGACAAGCGGGCTGGCCCGGCGAGGCGGGATCCCGGCTAGGCGAGCCAGAAAAAGCACATATAAACAGACCAGCCCGGGCCAGAGTTGTATTATTATGGTGTCGACACTGCGTTCATACTACAAAATAGGTACTTTTACCTTTTGAGGGAAGTTATAAAGAGGATTCCCGATATTGTCTTGAAAATCTATGAAGCTTTTTGTACAGCAACAAGAAGGACGTGCAGTGAGCACTGTTTATTTGTCGACATGCATGATTTACATTAAAATGGAAGGGGAACTACTTGCAAAATACTTTGATATGGACAGCTAAAAAGTGAAAAACAGGAAAAAGAAACGAGGTGATACAACACACCAAGCATGATGTGCCACAGCGCGAAAAGAAATCAGCAGAAGAATACATTGTGTGAGAAAAAAAGTTTTTAGGTTTATAACCTGAGTATGGCTTGCAGCCCTGCGTTTCAGCCTGGGGCAGCACACTACAGTCGTAGTGTGTTCGCTGCATACTCACAACGGGCTGGCGTGTGCTCAGCGCATATAAACTCACTGCGGGCTGGCTCGCTCGCTCCAGCCCGGGCTGGAGTTGCACATATAATAGGCCCCTAAGTTCACTGTGTCTTTGCGTGTGTGTGTATACACATGGTGTGGTGTGTGCAGGTGACGTCCGCCCCATTCTGGACACGATGGCAACTGCTGTCGTGGAGGAGTACAACGAGGTAGGTTATCAGCCAATGCCTGTAAGGCTTGTGAGAACCGGGGATTGAGGGGGGGGGGGGGGGGTAGTGGGCTGGTGGAACCTGCCCCATATCCTGTTGTATTCGTCAATTAGTAAAAAAAAGTATAGGAGGAGGGGGGGGGGGGGGATGAGTGCATCGTTAAGCTTTTGAGCAAACTATTTACTGGACATATTCGACAGGGAAAGCAAGCAAAAGGAGCACACAATAGTGATGATAAGCATGTACATGTATCAACTTCATCCCTACTTGAAAGTGTCTGTTTGTAATTCTCCAGCCAGTTACTATGTATTGCACATCTCCCTGCACTAACACATTGTGCAGTGCGTGCTCTTCACCGTGTAGGAGACAGAAGTTAAAATGTTCTCTCTTTTAATTAATACAGGTGGTGAGGAGACAGCTATTTATAAATGTTCTCTTTTTTGTGCTTATTGTCTCAGGAGCATATCTGCGCAGATGAGAGTGGTCATTTCTGTGTCAAGAAGCTAGTGCTGCAGGACAAGAACAGGCCCGGTAAGATGGTGGATCCTGCCTACAGAGTGTAATGATGGTTTGCCCTGATCCTGCTGACCTTTGCATTCACTTCTACCTTGATTAACTTTTCACTTCTCTGACCCCTTCTACCTTGTTTTTAACTGCATGGCATTTGTTGTCTTTTGGTGTTGTCTTGAATCTTACAGACGGTCCTCACTTCTCTCAGATTCTTCTTGAGCAGTTGCCAAAGGGCTTCGCTTTCCACTGGTCCCAGACAAATCGTGGTGCTTTTGTTGTGTCAAGGTGAGTTTGTTGTGCTGTGCACATGCATGATTTCTGTTTTGGAAGTCTACCGAGTATCTCAAGCTGCACAGTTTGTAGAGTGAACATGACCTGTGCCGCGGCTGTGGAGGCCTATGGATCTCCAGCATCTCTGTATGATCCTTGGCGGTCACCGGGAGTTATATAATGTTGACTTCAAGAGTATTATGTAGTCGTGCATGCCAGTGTGTGCTGGGCTTGCTGAAATGGAGCTGTACATTATGTGCACTGGCACATGCACACTGGAATTCTGCCCTCCTCACCTTTGCTCCACTCATCTGTGTGCACTGGTGTCCACTAACCCAGGAGATGTGTTGTCGTGCAGGCCTGACAATGATTGGGATAGCAAGGATATGTGTGCACAGCAGCAGCAGTGCCTACGTGATACGTAGATTAGTCAGTATGATCTGTCTGTGTTGTAAACTCGGTAGGCGCGTAGTACAGGTTTGCATGGTGAGCTTATAGTAGGGACTTCAGACCATTTTTTCAAATCGGTTTTCTGTGGCTTATGTGTTGCTTTTTGGATAGGTTAGAGCTTCCTGAGGAGTTTGGTCTTTAGTTTTTCTAAATCGGACAAAGGAAACTGAAGTTACAAGCAAAATAGTCATCGCCTACAGGGCCTGCTGGAGAGCCGGGTCAGCCGGGTCACGCGCCCGGCTGGGGAACTGCACGACCTGGCTGAACAGATAACACCGGGTCCAGTCTGACCCGGCTGAAAAATGTCTCAAACTAACAAACTGGATTCCTAAAATACCCGTATTTTACGACTCGCGGACCCCATCTGTTGCAAATCTAGTGCAACCGTACACACTACAGACCAGTGTATTTTTACTACTCCCTGCTACAGACCACAGTCTACAAGCGACAGAAACTCGACTAGGGAGTAGGGTCAACTGTGGTCAACTGGTTCGAGCGCGATCTGGCCAGCGGCGAGCAGGAAGTCAGGACATCACGCAGGAAGTCGATGGGGCAGGTAGTCAAAAGCGTAACTTTGGCTATAGCTTTTGACACAGTTGCAAGTTTTCAGCCGACTGGTGATTTGGACGATGGAGCCCGCAGCGAAGAGAAAAAAACTCACGCTTTCCAAGACTCTTGGAAGAAAGGTCAACCCTGGCTGGACTACGACCAAGGCAGTCTATCCATGTCATGCGCTTTGTGCAAGACGCATTTCCAAAGGAAGACGAGCGGCGGTGGATTTGGTTGCGATGCGTGGTTGAAAGGTAAGAACTCACTGCTTCAACTACGACAAGACTATGGCTGCATGGCATTCTGAGGTGACTCAGCGCACTACGACTGCAACGTCAACCTTGTCTGAACGGAGGGACCTGGCCCGCACACCCAGAGCTGCAGCGGCAGCAGCAGCACCAGCAGCAGCAACAGCGGCAGCAGCAACAGCAGCGCCAGCAGCAGCTGCAGCAGCAGCAGCGCCAGTCACTTAGCGCCAGCGCAAGCAGCAGCAGCAGCAGTTGCATCTCCACCAGTTCTCCAGTCTGCTGAAGCCTTTCAGCAGATGGTGAAGCAGATGCCAGTCGGCTTGGCCATGCAGGTGATTCAGTCGCAGCAAGCAGCCACTCCACAAGGTGCTGCAGCCCCCCCCCCCCCCCCCCCCCCCCAGTGCTCTATTATGTTACTGCTTGGCATTCTTCACAATAATGTTGTTTACCTTCTACGTTTGCGGACTTTGATAGTTCGCCTTGTTCTCTAAAATTTCCGATTTCCGGTAATAAATTCGCCTTTCTGTTTTCCTGCGTTTTGAGCAGGCTTTTTGGTTGTTTTTCTGCAGGATGATCTGACCCGGCTTGACCCGGCTGGCCTGCATGCGCCAGGTACACTCTGACCGGGCTGAGTTGAATGTCTAGAGCAGGCCCTGGCCTATCACCGGATTTGTCCGACAAGCGTCCCACACATTTGAGATCAGAGAGATATGTCAAACTGAGAGAACCCACTTTCCTTGGCAACGCATAGCAACCGCACACCAGATCCAAAACAATCTTGATTCTCCGCATGAAATAGCTGAATAGTATGGTTTACAATGTAGTGGGTAGTAACAGGAGACATTGATAATACAGTCCTGAGATAGCTTCGGACTGTTGGCGTGGTTGGTGTCAAGAAAAAGAATGATCACGGAAGAGGCACTGACTAAGCTCAACATGTACAGGACATTGTATTGGCTGGGGTAATCGTAGCACGCACATCATCATCAGCAGAGATACAGCAAATAGCAACAAGAGTATACAGCACATCTCCCAGTTCGGAACTCTTTCAGCTATTCTTGCGGAGCTCAACCAGATCGAGCATAACAGCATTGGAGACAAGAATCGAGGCATGGACTGAAACAGCAAAGAGCAATTCAATTTGTACATCAGCATCATTTAGCGCAGGATACTTCTCGCTGCTTTCCATACTGTGACTATGGCGGCGCTGCACGGCAAAGTACAAAGAGGAATAATGCAAGAAATAGGTCTTCTGGAAGGTGAAAACAATAAAGATTACAAGTACCTTCTATCTAGACTAATTCGAGGTCGTAGAATACGAATATCACATTTTCAAGAAGGGGACCCGGACGGATCATATGGTTTCTCACCTTTCCCTTCCATCCGCATACGTATCTCCGTCAAAAATGAACGTAACCGCTCCATTCTTGCTGGTCCCAAACGAAGGCAAGCTCCAACAAGACGAACCGAAACTTTCTCCAACTGTACAAGACTTCCTTCATTTCGAAAAACGGTTCCACATTTCTTTACACGACTTGACATATGACCATCACACGATTTGTGCAGGCGGCGATTTGCACGCTTTTGGGCCAAAAAGTCACGTGGTCTGAAGTCCCTACTTATAGTCATGTTGTGACCTGCTGGATACTGTCAGGAAAGGTGATAAGTACTGATAGCCGTACCCTGTTGTTTCTTCCTGTGCTCTCCGTGCCCTTAGCTTCTTGGAGTGTGGAGTCGATAGCAGCAGCAAGAGAATACGATCAGAGCTGTCAAGTCGTTTGGCTGAGCTTCGCCGACTGCAAACACCTGGTACGACAGTACTGTGCAAACTGCTTGAGAAGGACGCCGGTTGACATGATCTCCAGGGTAGCTATTTCGGATAATACTGCTACCAAACACCATTAAAATTTTGCTGGCCTCGTAGTAGTCGTCATCAATGCCCAGAGCTTGCGGCTGCATCTCAGCTGTTTGTCCTCTGGCATCTGTGTCAATTCGACTACTACTGCTACTGCTACAATGGTGTTTGAGAAGGGCCCACGGTCTGAGAGCTGTGCTGGCTAGCTGGTCGGCTACATCCCCATACCTATACTTACGCATCCTGCTGTTCAGGCCATGAGGCATTTGAGCTTTGCTACCATGCAGTGCAAGTCAGATTATTTTCTAATACTAGAGTGTTCAGCTGATTCTACATTATGGGAAGCTGGAATGCTAGCTTGGTCTTGTTCTCTTGTCGCTCTGCCATCCCTTCGAACTCTCCTCAGTTGTTTTGTGAGTGTAGGTTGATTGATCATTTAACAAAAATTAAATGACCACTAGTCACCTGGTGGGAGGAGCTTAGGAGCTGCATCTGCGCCTTGATCCTAGAGGGTGGTGGCGTTCCTGCGGATGCGGAAAACTTTATTATTATTATTTTTTAGTCACCTGGGTGAGGTACTGTGCTAGTGTATGGGGGGGGGGGGGGGCAGGGTGAAGGGAAGCCCTGGGCTTGGCAGAACTACTTCCTGCATGTGAAAAGTTCCACTGAAAACTGTGAAGATATTGCTACCATTGCTTACTACTTCAAACCATGGTGACAAGTGAAGTACATGTACAACTGTATAACCAAGAGTACATGACCCACTACTCTTGGGATAACCCAGCTCCTAGTAGAAGACATGAGTGCTGTCTACACAAACCCTGTGATTATAAAAGTGGTACGTCTGTACTCTTGGTATCACCAAGAGTACCTAAGCCCAGGTGAATGCCAAATGCCGCTGTTTGATGGTTGCTGAAATGCGTGAAACTAAGTTACTTTACGAACTTAGAAGTTGCGACTTCGGCGGTAATAGTCATGAAGTTGATTGTTCCAACTAGGAACACACGCTTCTTGCCGAACTTGACACTTGACTGACTCACGACTGCCATCCGGAGCACACGAGGAGCACGTCGCACCTTCCACTCGGCAAACCTGCAAGAAAGCACCACTCCCTGCTCAATACACGGTGTTTCGGGGAATTCACCCCTCATCAGTTGAGCTTGAGTAGGCTGAGGAAGATTGTGCCTGAAAAGCACCACTTATATACTGCTCTCCAGGCCAAACCATCACCAGCTATACTGGCTCTCAACGTCTGTTTATCACAACTCCATGAGCGACTCTGACTCACGCTGCTACCTGGAGCTTCACGAGGTGTTTGTCGAGCTGGAAACAAAGCGTCTCTGTAAGTTTGTATCCCTGGTGATGGTTTGGCCTGGAGAGCAGTATATAAGTGGTGCTTTTCAGGCACAATCTTCCTCGGCCTACTCAAGCTCAACTGATGAGGGGTGAATTCCCCGAAACACCGTGTATTGAGCAGGGAGTGGTGCTTTCTTGCAGGTTTGCCGAGTGGAAGGTGCGACGTGCTCCTCGTGTGCTCCGGATGGCAGTCGTGAGTCAGTCAAGTGTCAAGTTCGGCAAGAAGCGTGTGTTCCTAGTTGGAACAATCAACTTCTAAGTTACTTTAGTTACAGGTACACAGCCATTCACCCCTGTTGTATGTTTTAACCCAGGTTATGTACTCTTGGTGTTGTATGTTTTAACCCAGGTTATGTACTCTTGGTGTTGTATGTTTTTGTTGAAGTACTGTCATGTAGTAAGTCTACATCATGCGGGTACTGTGCATGGCTCAAGAGCGTGGGCAACTGCCAATAACCGAACCACACAACAAGAGCAACATGTCTTCTTCAGACTATTAATTTTAATGATATTGAACGCGTATTGAACGACCAATGCGTACTCCTGTCCATGCATGCACCTGACATGCCTCGCTGGACTGGAGCACATAGATCTGTACTGGTACATGGTATGGGCTGGAAGCAAAAGTACAAAATTACTATGTACATAATGTTACTTAGTCCCCCCCCCCCCCCCCCCCTGACGGCCTTTGTACACTCACTGGGTGATCTCCGGCTTTGATGAAGTTACTTAGTACTGACTGTGCATTTGACCGGTCAGTTTGTGCTAAACATCCTTTTCCCGGAAATCATTGGCAATGGGACAGTTGCATGGGGCAGAAAGTTCTTACAAGAGCTCGACCTTTAGCATTGTTGGATAGGCGAGAGTTACTCCAGTGCAGAAGGTATCCAGTAATACTATCAAGATTGATACTACAATGTAGTAATAAGTCAGTCTCTGAGCGCTAAGCCCGCCATCCGCCACACACAATGACGCACGGCTTGGCTCCAGCGGTCAGGATCTGAAACAAATCCGGGTCCCTTCCTATCCACATGATTGTATGCGCTTGTCAGTAGCAGGCGCCTTGCCTGCGACAGACACTACTGACTACTAGTGAGTACTACATGTAGTACTAGACTAGTCGACTACGTAGATCTACTGTCACTGGGGCCTGGGAAGCATTGCTTCTGTCAGTTCTGACACACATGACGGCATTGACGCTCTTCGCGGCATGGCCGGCAGGATAGAGTCAACATAGTCTACGGTCATGTCACGATGTAGTAGGCAACTGCGTTTTTAACGCCCATTTTTTGATCTCCAAAACTCGAGCCTTGTGGCGGAGTTGTGTGATTGTGAAGAGGTTGGTCTAACCGATGATCGGATGATCGCCGCCGTCCTGCTTCTCTCTTTACTTGCCTAGGCCGACGATACGACGGTAGCACATTGTCTGTAAACTGTTTTTTTGTTTGGATTGCTGGTACTTGTTATGGTACATCATGTACCATAACCAGTAGTCATACACTCAGGGTAGCAAAGGCAGTACAGACTGTCGCTACACGGTACATCTCGTCTGATCCAGTGTAGCACCTGTCATTCCATCCCAGTGTGATCATGCCTTGATCCATTCCAGGCTCATCCAGCACACTTCACTGCATGCCAAAGCTGCCTTTCATTTCAAAGTCTGCCTTTTCTTTTGCAAGTAATTTTTAATAGTTAGTTGTGTGCAAGACCAAGTGTCAATCAGAACACAAAGAGAGAGCTATCCACTTGACTGGTTTCTTGCTGGTTGCGTGCAGGCTGAAGCGAAACTATCCAGCAGACTCCAAGTGCCGTCCAATCACTCGCTGTAGCTGTGGACTGTGCCTCTCTGGTGAATGCACACGTGTACAAGGGTATTTTGACTGTGGACCAGCTGGCTGCGTCTTCTCGATCTCGTTGCCGGGCCCAGACTGAAGTCCGGAATCGATCTTCCTCGGCAACACCCAGTGCTTGTTGTAGTAAAGGCACGTGTTTGACGATACATGTTTCGCGATGTCGGAGGAAGTGATGAATATTCATGAGGCCGACGAACACGGCGATACTGATGCTGGTCTGCAGGGTGGCAACGGTATCGATGATGGACAAAGTCAAAAACAAAAGGCTGAAAAGCCTGAAAAGCAAGTCCCGGTGATGACCGTTACTTTTGCCGAGCCTGCTGAGTGTGCTGTGCTGGATCGTCCGGAAGACGAAGAGAAAACCTTGGTCTGCTGTGCGCAGTTGAATTACGTGGGGTTTACTCTGGTCGACTGGAGATCGACGAGATCAGTTCTCAACTGGGTAATTGGGGATCGCCTTTTGTTTCGCCGCTCGCAACATCAACCGATCACATTGTTCTGCCACCAGCGCTACTTTAGAGCGGAAGACGCCAATGACGGGGAACCGGTCTTCCTCCATCCTATCTCGGCCATCTACCAGCTAACACGTGGTCGCGATGGACTGGGTCTTGCCTACATCACACACAATCTAGCACGAGATCGCTTCTACTGCCACGCGTTCTCTGCTGCATCGCACGACGTGGTAAGTCCTGTGCAACTCGTACTGTGTCACGGCGTGTGTTCGGGCGTGAAATCCTGAGCAGATCGAACTGCGTTCGAGCTCAGGCTCCTTCTTGCAGATGGATGGGCGATGGGGTAGCGATCGTGTTACTGTGACTGTGTAGATACTAATCTGTTTGTGCAGCAGGGTCTGCATCTGTATGTCTGCTCGATGTGTGCCATTGGCTACTAGGGAAGTGTTCTGCTTCGTTCATATTCCACGAGTAGTTCTTACCCGTCTGTTGTCTCACTCAATGCAAGTGCTTAGTGGGCTCGGCGGCTTCTGAAGAGCGAATGCCGTCGTTGTCATGAACCATTGACTTACTGCATGAACGATTTGCTCAGCGCTTCTCTCACTTGGGTAGATCTTCTTCGAATTTGAGTTTTGCTGTGTGTAGCCTGCTGAGTTTCGACTTGATGATGGGAGTGCGCTGCTGGGTTCAACGTGCTGCGAGACCGAGCACATGAAGCTTGGAGATAATTATTTTTCTAAATGATCGTATTTCCATTTGATCTTGAGTTGACTACTTGGGGTCGTCTGGGTTGTACTAGGTAAAGGGACCGACGGGATCGCACATGTTCACGCTTTGCGTTGTGACATATCCGTGTTCCTACTTCATCTACCATGATCTACCCACACCATCGATGGTACGCGTCGTTACCTACCCCAGCTCCGGGAGAAAGTAATGTTCAGTTCTATTTTTGCACGCCTGAATGAAAAGAACAAGTGCCGCGCGCGGAAAGGACAGGGTCCTGACGGCCTGTCACAACAGGTCGGTGCCATCATCGGGCTGCCATGCATCCAGCTTGTTCTGCGTCTGGGAAACCCAATGGCCGTGTGTGTGTGTGTGTGTGTTTGCGTGTGCGCGTGTGGTTGTGTGTGTGTGTGTGTGTGTGTGGTGTGTGTGTGTGTGTGTGTGTGTGTGTGTGTGGTGTGTGTTTGTATGTGTGTGCCTGTGTTTGTGGATGATTGTACTGATGTAGCAGTGAGTAGAACGACTTCGCTAGCGCTGCGTGTGGGGTGACCCCGGTGTAGAATCTAGGCCATCATGCCCACACGAAATGGTATGTACTACAGTACAATAGTAACACTAACAGCCACACTCGGAACATCCTGAGTGTTGTGCTAACTGGAGGTCAGTGTTACTGTACCGATGGCGAGTGATGCCATGTGATGGTGGAAGCTAGGTGTACTACTGTAAGTGCGAGTGTTGAGGAGGACATGGAGCGTGACTGGCAATGGGATGGTGTTGTTTTGAGTCTCTATGACTGCACTGACTAGACTGCCAGTGTATGATCATGCTACTCGAGCGGCCCCTATCCCCGAAAACCTCAGTGCGCTCAACCGGGAAGCGGATGTTGCTGTTCAGCGCTATACTCGTAGCGAGCAGCCGGCAACACGACGGGGTGTGTGCACGCTGGTCTTTCGCTCACTCCCTGATATCAGCTGTTTCGTGTCACATCCGCAAGATTGGCGGAGATAGGTGGCGAGAACGGGAGAAGGAGAACGCGTTGGAAAGAACACCACGGAACTAGTTGACCGCAGTCGTTCGCCACCAATTTCGGTGTTGTGTCCACTGCTTTTAGCGTTTTTTTAAAATTTGACAATGCCTGGTGTTTTTAGTTGGTATGGCGATAATGACTCGAACGCTGTCAGCGGATGCGAAGGACACACTGTCGTGGACGCCAAAACTGGGGTGAGCGAATGGCATTGTTTTCGGATTTCCTTTGATCGAATGTTGAGAGGTCCTGTCCTAAAAGTATTTCCCATGTTTGTCGGAAGCACGTAGATTTTCCGCTTGTGGCACCACGTGGTCCGTGCGCTAACGAGATAATGCATTCATTACAGCCATTGCAGGGTACTCTACCGTTGACTTGTGTACCAGAAAAAGTGGTTCCACCTGTTTCCTAAAAATGACAGTACATATTACTAGTCATTGTACCAAGTACTAGTATAGTACTCAGTAGCGCAAACGTTCAGATGACGAAGCGGATTAGTTGATAGGAGGAAGAGGCTTCCAGGGGAAGCACGTAGTTGGAGAGAGGTCATGACATACGGTTCTTATAGTGCTATGTATGGAACCTAAGCACAGCACTCAACAGGCCAGGGTGCCTGACTTGATTGCTACAAGTACAAACATTCAATGATTCAGACTGTGACTCTGTGTGAGTCTCTAACCCCCATCCCACTGGGTTCCACTCCCAAGTAAGTGTGTTGTTGGGTGTGTTGCTCTCCAACTAATACTACTAGTATTAGTTGGAGAGCAACACAACCAAGGACACACTGACTAAGGCTGTGTACATGGTGTATCACGGTGTATGTGTATCACTAAAAGAGCTAAGTACTCGTATGTTTCAGTGCTGTGTGTGTGTGTGTGTGTGTGTGTGTGTGTGTGCGTGTGTGTGCGTGCATGGAGACAATGTGTTGGCTATGGTGTGTGCTGTGTGTGTCACCAAGCTGCCATAGCCAGACTGATTTATGTAAAACGGCTAAATTTTAGCGATTTTGGCAAAAAAAATGTGTAATCAGCAGCATGAGTCATTGTACATGTATGTCTCTTGAAAGATCATGTGCAACAGAGAGCTTCTGTTACTACGGTGACAGACTTGCAGATGCCTGTTTCTGTACTCTGTATATATGCGTGTGCGTGTGTGCATGTGGCGTGTGCGTGCATGTGTGCGTGTGTGTGTGTGTGTGTGTGTGTGTGCGTGTGTGTGATATTTTGTACTGTAGATTGCCACTGTGCACGATGCTTGGTCTGGCAGTAGCGATCGTGTGAAAACGAATCCTAAAAGCATGGACCTGCTCAGCCTGATTCCACCGGAGAAGCAGGGACTGCTAACGCTGAGTACTGCGTTGCAAGTCGAGGAACATCGTTTCAACGTGCGCTACCTGGGACAAATGACAACGACAGCCTCGACTGGCTCGTCCGCTCTTGTAGACAAGATAGTGGAAGCAGCTATGAACAAGCAGAAAGAGCAGCAACGGCGACGGCAACAGATCATAAAGGAAGGACGGCTACAGCAGTCCAGGCGAGAAATGCAACTGCAGCGCAAAGAGTCACAAGAGCAACCGGCCAGCGGAGGACAGGATAATGTCGATGGCGTGCTGTCTGACATTGTTGCGAGTACCACGCACAAAGTCAAGGCTGAGTTACAAGGAGCGGCAGCTACTGTTGCTGCTACAGCTACAGCAGCCATCAATGTGCAGAAAGAGCCCAGCGACAGTGATCTGAAGGACATTCATCGCTCACAGAGTCAGGGTGGCACAGCCAAGTCGCGATTCTTCAATCTGATTCGTCGTGGCGGTCAGGGTCCAGCTGGCACCGGCATTGGTAGCAGTACAACGCTGACTCCGACATCTAGTGATTCGCCAACCCATGCCACAAGCAGTGATGAAAAGCTGGATTTCCAGAGATCGGTCAGTGGACCGAATAGCTCGTCACCTCCTTCCAATGGAGCAGTGCCTGAGCTTGCAATGACTCGTCGAAGTAGCGATGGCCGATTGAGCAGCTCGCCTCGTACTATATCTGCGAGCCCCATGCACATGGATGATATTGATTCCTTGCAGCGTGACCGATCAAAGTGCAGCAGCAGGGCTAGTAACGTAACAGAGTCCACGCTAACCGCATCGTCCACTGGTCCCGTGACAATAGCCGATAGTGGCGACTCCGGTGTCAGCGCCGCATCGACACCGGATAGCGACCGGCACATATTCCGCACGCCATCATCTTCAGTGCTGTCGGATAGCTCAGGCGCCGTCGGCTGTGTGTTCAGTGACAGATCTGATAGCCCGCCGTCCTATGGTTTGAATTACCGCATTGTCAACCTGTGCATCTCCGCCGAGTCCATTCGCTTTTACGACACGAGCAACGCAGCGGGAAAAGCAAGACGCTCAGTGAGCCGCTCATCAAGTAGTAGTGCGGGTGAAGAGCTGGCAGATTCCACCACCACCAAACGCCTGTGCTGGGAGCGCAAACTCTCGTCCGTGTCATATTGTGCCAAGGTGAGTGCTGGCCAGGCCTTGGCTTACCAACTGTATGTGTACATGACGTGTACTCGCATCGATTACCTAGTTGACCATAGTGCACTATGAATGCAGAAATCATTGCTCTGCTAAGCCACATACAAGTGCATGTATGTACACGTTCTGATCTGGTGTTCTCTTTTCAATTTGTTTGGTACAGGGCCATATCCACAGCACAAGCTGGTGTCTAATCGTGTCCGAGTCCTCTTCTGCGTCCAGCGCACCTGCACCTGGCATCAACTCGAGTCCAAACTTTGTGTGCTACCTCTTCTCATGTGAGACGGAAGAGTCGGTAAGCGGTGCAGTTATCTATGATGACGTAGAACTGGATTTCCAGTCACGCACAGGACGTTTAAAACATTGCTGATAAGATGCAGTTAGCTCGATATGTGTCCTGCGCCCTCAATGCATAGAGTTCAGTTGGTGCTGCGCTGCATTCTCTGTTCACCTTTATTGTTGCAATGTATATGTTAGTCAGTTACACTGAGATTGCACTGTCTTCTGCTTGCGTAGTCACATGGGCTTGCTCTATAGAGGTAATGCTAAAAATGCCATGGTCGCAAGCCAGTGGATTCGCTTATGCCAAGTTATGGGTGCTGTATACAGCGTGAGTAGTACAGCGTGAGTAGTACAGCGTGAGTAGGCAGAGTTGCTAAGTATACAGCGTGAGTTGTCGGTTTTGCCTGAGCTAGTGCATCACTGCGCCACGGCTCTGCCACTTCATACAAAGCATCTCAACTGATGATTTAGTCGCAATACCTCTATCTTCTATGCTTATGATGCTCGTGGAATAGTTCAGTTTGGGTGGTTGCAGCCTATTCTTGCACCACTTGTGTGGTTCACCATGGGTGAAGGCCTGTTTTTGATTTCTTTTTGCTCCTGCAGTGTGTCACGATAATGGAGTCCATTACGAAGAGCTTCAAAGTGGCATTTGAGCTACACCGGAACCCTCCGGTCACTATTCGGTCGCCATTCTGCGAGACCTGTCCGATGTACACTCTGCACAAACTTTGTGTTCAAGTCAACAGTAAGCACAGGGCATAGCAGTAAGGGCATAGCAGTAAGGGCATAGCAGTAAGGGCATAGCAGTAAGGGCATAGCAGTAAGGGCATAGCAGTAAGGGCATAGCAGTAAGGGCATAGCAGTAAGGGCATAGCAGTAAGGGCATAGCAGTAGTTAGACTGTGGTTGTGTGGTGACAGGCCGGCGTAAGATCTATGTCGGGTGCTGGTCTGTATATATATATATATATATATATATACTCAATCTGCGGACAGAACTGTTTCGTCCTTTGTGGACTCGTCAGCGCAGCACAGAGGAAATGAGGCCGAACCTGATAGCAATGGAAATAAAAATTTCCAATCAGGCCCGAACGTACCTTGCCAGAGTGCTCAAACTGACAAGTCAGTGAGCTCTGCATTACGCAAACAGCAAAGGCACTACCCCACGCAAGAGTGCTCAACTGCTACAAGAGCAGGAGCGAAATACTCAATCTGCGGACAGAACTGTTTCGTCCTTTGTGGACTCGTCAGCGCAGCACAGAGGAAATGAGGCCGAACCTGATAGCAATGGAAATAAAAATTTCCAATCAGGCCCGAACGTACCTTGCCAGAGTGCTCAAACTGACAAGTCAGTGAGCTCTGCATTACGCAAACAGCAAAGGCACTACCCCACGCAAGAGTGCTCAACTGCTACAAGAGCAGGAGCGAAATACTCAATCTGCGGACAGAACTGTTTCGTCCTTTGTGGACTCGTCAGCGCAGCACAGAGGAAATGAGGCCGAACCTGATAGCAATGGAAATAAAAATTTCCAATCAGGCCCGAACGTACCTTGCCAGAGTGCTCAAACTGACAAGTCAGTGAGCTCTGCATTACGCAAACAGCAAAGGCACTACCCCACGCAAGAGTGCTCAACTGCTACAAGAGCAGGAGCGATATATACAGTCGTCCCTCTCTAATCCAGCACTTTATAATCCAGCACCCTCGATAAACCAGCACAATTTTCAGTAGCCAAAATGTCCTCTTCATGCACATTGCAGCAGTAAATCAGATTTGTTAATCCAGCACCCTCCCTAATCCAGCAGGTTTTCCGTGGCACAAATGGTGCCGGATTATAGAGGGACCACTGTATATGATGTTGGGTAGACTGCACATGTAGTGGCCAAGCCAGACCCATGTGATGTGATCGGATGTATGTTCTGCCTGAACATGTGTACATGCACTCTGATTGTGTACATCTGTGCACTGACGGTGGCCGTTTCTATTTCTCTCTTTTTCTCTGCACAGATTGCCTGAATGCTAAGGCGGCTCAGGCCTTTGCTACTAAGGTGAGCAGTGTACGCCCTGAGCACGAGCTGATGCCTTCCCTTGTGCTTAACAGTTGAGCAGCATTCGGTCGTCAATGCCGCACTGTTTCAGTAATGTATCCTCTTCGTGTTGGAGAGTGTTGCATGGTGTGGTCGTAAAGATCTGTGGAAGCCCTTTTAAGCGCTGCAGTGCTGCTCAGTTAAATCATGAGTCAACTAGTGCCGGGTGCTGTGAAGCCCCAGACTTGTATTTGTAGTACTCCGTACACCAGTCCAAAGCGTATTTGTAGTACTCTGTTTTGTTTTTTGTTTTTTTTAGTAGTAAAAGCCTCTTTTACGGGCGAACAAAACACAATTTGCCATGGCGGAGGATTGAAAACAAATCACATAATGATGACGTCGCATGTGATCAGACAGCAAGAGAAGCATATTGTAGTACTCTGTACACCAGTCCAAAGTGTATTTGTAGTACTCCGTACACCAGTCCAAAGCGCTTACCGGCATGTATTCATGAGATGGTATTTTATGAAGCACGATTATACTTTGTATGGTGCTTTGTAATTCTCGTTCCTGCAGGCAATTGAAGGCTTACCGAAAGAAGATCGCACGTGGATGTCGGACCGTGCGCAAGCTATCCAGCAGTTTAGTGAGGACGTGCAGCTACAGATCACCATGGGCATGCTCAGGGGGATTTCAGAGCGTCTGCAGAGCGAGCACAGTCACTCCGATAGCGAAAAGGTGAGCATAGGTGACAGAACGGGACAGCCGGCGGTGTGTGAGGGTATGTGCATAGTCACTATTCTGGCCTACGGGCGGGATGTACATGGTATTGGCTATTTGGGATGTACATGGTATTGGCTATTGAGTGAAGTGAACACAGTCTAACCTGAATAATTCGGACATCTGAGGGACTGGCCCAAGCTGTACCTTTGGTTCACTTCACTTCAAGTAGTGTCCTCATTTAGGAGTTTTAAAAGTGTGCGAATCCTTACCTCCAGTGAACTGTCGAAATGTGTCTTCAGTTTCCAAGTGTTGGTGTGTCTCAAGTGTCCTTGGACATGTTCATCTGCAACAGTAGAGAAATACTCCAGCACTGGATAGAATATAGTGTGTTGTGTGTAATGGGCCTGTCAGGCATGCGGTATCTAGTACGGTTTCGCTGTACTCTGCATGGCAATTTGCTGCTACTGGTGGTGGTCACCTGCTGCATCTGGTGTGCTCTGCATGATTCATGTCACAGTGCTGCTGCTGGTACTCCTAGCATTGTCTGTATGTGAACACCCAGTGTTGTTTGTTTCCCACGCACAGCCTATGGAGGTTGAAGACAATGATGAAGCGACATCCAAGCCGCGCCTCGGCCCATTGTCCAGGGCAAAGCGTACCTTAGCCAGCTCCATTGAAGGCCTTCGTAAGAAGGTAATGAATGGTGTGATATTAATTTTGTCATTGTGGTGCATCGTACGCAACAATGGTGTGATGTGTGCGCTATGACATTGCCACTGACACTGTTTATTTATTTATTTTTAATAATGTGTAGGATCGACCAGCTGCCTCACCGTCAGCAATCAGAGCGGGGAAGAGTGAGGTATGGTTTAGGAGTAGGGTGGATGTATGCCGTAATATGCACAATGACACATTTGTACAGGATTGCAAACTGGTGGGCTGTGACATTGGGTATCAGGGCCAGGCATCATTGGACCAATAGGCAGATTTGTGTAAACCAGGATGTTTGTTCTGATGTGAAAAGGATTGTTTGGTGAGAGACTGGTAACAACATAGTCAAATTTTGTTGCCCAAAATTAATGGCCCACGATTGCCTAGTGGGAGAGTGTGATCTCAGTTGATGAGCCGGCTGATCTTATTGGAGTCTAGCATGTGTTTGCGTCAGCTACATGTACAGCACGGTGTTTTCATGCAATGTGCTCTTGAATGGTTTGTCATGTGTACAGAGTCCAAGCACATCACTTCGACGGAAGACCATCGGACATGAGGGAGACGCGGAAAGTGGACCTGAATCAGCGCGTGCAGTAAGCAGTTTTGGATATTCCAGTGTGTGCGTGCTAAGCATGCGGTTGTCTTGAGTGGTTTCACCATCTCCTCCACCTGTGTGTTGTGTTCATGTCAGGCTTTGAAGGAGTACTCACATCACATGTATTGTATGTCCATGGAGTACTCACATCACATGTATGATGTCCATGGTGCATTCCCACAACCAGGTTTTGGATTGGTTGTGTTTGAAGCGGCTTTGACTGGACCTGTTTCCAACCCTATCGGATGTGTTTTGTGTTTCTCCCCTCTCAGTCTCAGCGACATCCGAGCCTTCCTGTCGTATCGGGACAGGTACGATCATCACCTCTTCACGGCAGTCCACACCCATCACCGCCAGGCACGCCCACACTGTCAGTTCCAGCACATACTCCACCATCGCTGCGTCGCAGAACTCCCAGATCACCAACCAGGAAGACATCTTTCCGTCATGTAAGAAGCCATTATTATTGCTCCCGGGCTATAAGTTCTAGGTGCTAGTATTTCTGGTGGTATGTACAGGTTTTACCAGTTATAAATCACCCCCCCCCCCCCCACACACACACACTTGGGGCCTCTATTTCCCGGTTTAATTGATGGCAGTTAAACCCCGGCTGTAAGTCGACTACTAGTACCCTTTCTATATCAAGTTTGTTTACACAGTTTATTGTCTCTTGTATGACTATGAGTAACACCTTTGCCCAATTGTTAGTCATGGTTAACTGGAGACTACCAGCATGTGTAAGACGTGAACTGTTTTGCAAGATTTGAGAATAACGTCTTGCTGTGCTATTCCACTGGTGTTCTCTAGTCGATATACAAGACTGCGCACGCAACACCTGGTGGCCAGCCGTTATCCCCTTCTAAAGAAGCTGCTGGTGATGATGAAGATGACGATGAGCTGACCAAGAAGTCCGGCCTTGATCCGCTGCTCACCCCTCGTCGCGACTACACCAGTTCACCAACTGCCAGAGGCTTGTGGAAGAGAGCTATAGATGAGCAAGTGATGTTGGTGAGATTGGAGAAGGCCTCGCAGAAACGTAAGAACACGCGAGCTACATGGTCAATCTCTAATCTAACCCATGCATTGCTTCTAACAATTTTATAAAGTGCTACAGTAGTCTTCCAATCACCAGCTGAGCTCTCCTGAAAATGGCTGTGGGATGAAGTTCTTGCCCAGGTTTTATACCTGGGTGGCAAGCTGTAGCTGATGCTTCATGTTGACTTTCATGTTATCTCTGCAAGGTAGAGAAGTGCTGTAGTTGAATGAGAAACGCTAACAAAAAAGCTAACAACTTTTCTTTTTGACATTCTGTTTCGAATTTTAGTTAACGTTAGCAGTCGTACACAAGCATGACTGCAGCCTGTGTCATGAAATAGTAACTCTCTGCCTCTCGTCCTTTTCGGTTTTCCTCTGATCCTTTCTTAGACTATGAGCCTGGTGAGCTAGAGGCCAGGAGGTTAGCCTACGGTGACATGCTTGAGCAGAGCGAGCAGGAGCGCCTCACCCAGGTCTGGGAGAAACTACTCAGTTCAGCGAAGAATGCAAAGCTTGAACAGCTGTCTGCGCTGAAAAGCGGCGTGAGGAAAGCCGTAGCAGATGGTAAGCATTGAATGAATAACAACGCACTTCACGTTGTGGGCAATGATTGGAAGTTTGAGACGCATGCAACGGTGCTGCTTCAGTTGCTGCGATGATGGCCTATGTGCAACAGTGCACTGAAGTATTTACGTTCAAGCTTCATCAGTTTGCGAATCCCACTTGAGCTGATGTGTCTTGCCAATGGTTAACTCTCCATGCAATGCTCTTCTTGTGTCCATTGTTCTAGGAATACCAAAGGGTCTACATGGACGTGCCTGGAAACTATTGAATTCACTGCAACCACCTTCTAAGCTATTGAAGCCAAAGCCTGTTGGTAATTCCGACTCTGGATATTCGACCCCTCCTGCGAATGGCCAGATTTTGGACTTCGAAATTCTCAAAGTCCAGAGCACACCTTTCCTCCATGCCATCATCATTGACCTCGGTAAATAACTAAAATAATATGTTTGTGACATTTTCAACTATGTGTGTCGGCACGTCTCTTTCGAGTCTTTGTCTGGGATGGTATTCAATCTTGATCGTGTGGAACTTCTGGTGTCTTTGTCTGCTGCCGGTTTGGATTTCCTGCGCCCAAGCGTATGATCTATCTCGTTAATTAACTATGTTGTTTGTTACCCCTCCTCGTCTTCTCTCTCTCCATTGCATAGGTCGCACGTTTCCTGGCCATGAGTACTTCCAAAGTGTCGCTGGTCCCGGACAGTGCTCTCTATTTCATGTGCTGCGTGCTTACGCCAGCGTGGATCAGGATGTCGGCTACTGCCAAGGCTTGAGCTTTGTCGCTGGCCTCCTGATCATGCATGTAAGTACTAAGTGCTGGGCATACACAATGCGGCCCTGGGTGTATGGATGTATATGCATGCCCTGGGTGTATGGATGTATATGCATGCCCTGGGTGTATGGATGTATATGCATGCCCTGGGTGTATGGATGTATATGCAGGCCCTGGGTGTATGGATTGTTATGCAGGCCCTGGGTGTATGGATGTATATGCAGGCCCTGGGTGTATGGATGTATATGCATGCACGTGCATGTGGGTTACTTGATGATCATCGGTTCCTTTTACTGTAAGTCGACAAATATTCGGCGCATATCTATTTTCGGCTATTTTCAGCCTGGCCATGTTTGGCCGAAAAATTGTTTTGCAAGGTTCAGTGTGACAGTGTATACAGGCGGCAGCAGTACAGGCCAAAAAGATGATGTGGCCGAAACGGGTTTTAGCCCTGGGAGGCCGAAATTTGAATTGGGCCGAAAATTTGAAGACTTACAGTAGGGGTTACATGTTCCTTAGTTGACATTGTGTTGTTGCATGTTTGGTGTGCACACTATACTGCAGGCGGACACAGACAGCGATGCCTTCCACTTTCTACTTGCACTGATGTACGACGAGCTGCGTGATCAGTACAAGCCGGATATGGCAAGGTTGCAGGTAGGTCTTCCTATTTGGATGTGCTCAAGTCCTGCACAAGGCACTGTCATACCCGCACCATTCAGCATAGCTCCACGTTATCACGTAGTTTTAATCCTCTTTCTGGCACGTTTTCTCAGTCCTCGTTTTGCTGCATACATGTAAATAACTCCTCTCCCCCTCTTCCTCCCTGCTCCTTGTGTTGCAGGTGAGACTGTACCAGTTGTCTCGTCTGCTCCACGACTATCACCCAAGGATGCATGATCTGTTTGAAAAGCACGACGTAGCGCCGTTCTTCTACGCAGCGCCGTGGTTCCTGACTTTGTTCTGCTCCCAGTTTCCACTCTACTTTGCTACAAGAACAATGGGTAAGGAACAGCGGTGAGCAACTACCGGGCAACGGGCGTGCTTGTTAACCACATGATTGAGCTTGCTTGGCATTGGGGCTTGTCATGCTAGTGTCTGAGCAACACAGCTGGTGATGATTAGCTGTTACTTGATGTCAGGAATTCGGTATCATTCTGCTGTTGTGTCTCCAAGTCACGGTGGCACATGTTGACACACTCTTTATCCTTCTTTTGGATGTGCTTCTGTGTGTCTGATTTCCACAGATCTTATCTTCTTGGATGGCATTGATGCAATTTTCAAGGTAAGGCATGAGCATGTTTGTAGAAGCTTACATGATCGGTGGATGTTGAATCAATGATAGATCTGGTACTGTGGAACGTTGACCTATGTATGCCTGGTAAGAATCAGCACATTGCACAGCTCCATAGCTATTCTTATGTTGTTCATTTTGTGGAGTTCAGCTAACAGTACCTCAGTTATAACAGTTCCAACTGTTGGGTTTCTTTTTTGTGTTGTGGATGGTAGGTGTGCCTGACACTACTACGCCATGCCGAGCGGCAACTGCTAGAGTGCACCAGTTTTGAACAGATCTTGGAGTGCATGAAGGCAGTGCTGCCAGCACTTGGTGCGCGAGTACCAGACACGATTGTCAGAGAGGCCATGGACATGGATATTCACGAGAAGCTGAGAACGTTTGAGGTATGGGGCATGACCAGGACAGTGTAGGTAGTGTACTGGCTTTCACTGGGCATTGATTTCCTGTCCATGGAGACCATGAAGGAACACACCTGGACTAGAGTTTTGTGATGAATGACACTGACCCTACTAAAGGGCCAGCTCCTGTGCCAGTTGTCACAGGAATGCTCTGCACATATGGTTGGAACATTACATGATCCGCTATGGTATTTCTCGCACCTCTTGTCAAACGTTTCCGTGCCTGTTGTCGTATGTATGTTGTTGACAGGTTGAGCATGCAGTGCTGCAGGACCTGGATAACACGCAGACCATGAGCGCTGATCTAGAGGCAGCCAACATTGCACTGCGCTCGCAGCACACCGACCTCATTCAGCAGCTGGCCGTGGCACGCGGCAGTGCGCTGAGACTGCAGGACACTGTCAATGAGCTGAGCACAGAGAATGCGCGCCTTGTTCAGCAATCAGAACGGTTAGTGAATCTGAGCGTGTCTGCATGGCTAGCGATTTACCTGTTTTGAGAGGGAATGTCCCCTGCAAAGGTGCAATTGAGACTAACACAGACCCCAGCACATATCCTGATACCGAAGAAAGCTCCATTGCCTGAGCGAACCATGTATGTGTGTAATTTGACATTGTTATCTCGACCTGCAGGTTCACTGTGCAAATCACTGATTTGAGACACACCGTGGCTCAGTTGCAACGACAGCTGGCTGTCAATACCTCGACCGAGAGCAGGGAGGAAGCAGCGGCGGATGAAGTTAACGAAGGTGTTTCTACAGGTTCTATTGTCATCAGACGGAATAACCTGAAGCCACCTCATGCGAGTGGCCTGCGTCGTCGTCTTTCTGTGCCCGTGTTTTCTCAAACAAGACCAATGGTGCAGGTAAGTTGAAACCAGCCACAGTGTACCATGTAGCCACCAGCGGATGAGCAAAAAGACTGTTTAGCAGGTCATGCGAACTTAAAAGTCACAACACATGCAGTTGCTGCGCTCTGCGCTGCTGTCTTCTGCGTGAAGCACATGCCCTCTGAAGTAAATAATGAGGTTGACCCCCCCCCCCCCCCACGCGCGAGTTCTGCGAGAGAGACAATTGTGTAGAAGAAAGAAGCAGCGATCCAGTGTCCTACTTTTCATAATGACTGTGTTCTCTTATTGATTTTATTCGTTTCTTCTTCTTCTTCTTCTTGTGTTCACAGCGCCGATATCAACGGTCATTTGACGACTTGGCCGAGACTCCAATATCAAAACTGGAGCAATTCTTCGCAGAGGCTGACCTTGACAACATGCGAAGATAAATTTACAATTTGCCCGGCATGATCAGCCGGAAAAGGAGACCATACTGCCGTGACAACATGCGAAGATAAATTTACAATTTGCCCGGCATGATCAACCGGAAAAGGAGACTATACTGCTAATATGCAATGCAGAGCAAAGAAGCAGAATGGAGAAGAAATTTGAGAAAAAAAACTTTAATCAAGATGCACAGTAACTTATTCAGCACCGCCAATGGCATGTTAATCTTATGCATTCTATTTATTTTTGGGAACAAATAGAAAACAAAATTTTCTTGATGAATCTCATTCAACAATGCAAATATATTGTTATCTTTCCTATCTGCAAAAAGAAGCTGGCTATGTACAAAGCGATTGATTATTTCCATGCTGTATTTACAATATATGCACATGTACACAGGTAGCAATGCTTGACTTGGTTATTGCTACTGGCTGCTGCTGCTGCTGGTATTTCCGCATCTGAACACTCCAGCTCTGTCACTGTTCTCATAAGTCCTTGACCATGTATGGGCCTTCAAGCTCATAGCCAATCTTGCGGTAGTAGTTGCGTGTGCCAACACCTGCAAACATGGCGAAAAAGATCACACACACACACACACACACACACACACACACACACACACACACACACACACACACACACACACACACACACACACACCTTGACATGGCCATACTGCATACACAGTGTAGTACCGGTACAAGTGTGGTAGGGTGCCAGTTGCGGTACTGCGGTGGGTTTGTTGGAGAGGCAGGACCTGTGGGTTTGCTGGAGAGGCAGGACAGCAGGGGTGTTCAATCATCAGTGCTCAGCCCATACCTACAAGCCGTGCGATGTGGAGATTACATAATACAGTAATTAGGCTACAAACCGGGATGGTCGTGTGAATGCCGCTGTCTGACGATCGCTGAAATGCGTGAAACTTGAAGTTAGTCACAGCTACATAGCCTTTCGCCTCCGTTGTTTGTGATAATTAGGTTACTTAGTGGATGCGAATGATCTCTCGCCTGATTTAGCTAGCAAAGTTGCCTAGCACAGGGTACAACTCCTCCGCGAACACTGGGTTATGCAACAAACGAAATCCATGTATTGGGAATTTGGGAGTCGTCCACTACATTACAGCACCATGGCGCTGTGCAGCTCCAGACCTATGAACACTGGCCCATGCACCTGCAGGGCACAGCGTTATTCATGAGCCTGGATTACATGGAGCACAACCGTATCTACATGACTGTACTGCTGAAATAACGATGATGATAAAAAATATATCGGTCACGTCAACCTTGTACAAAGCACAGCACTCACCTGAAATGACAGCAATCTTGTGGCTGCCATGCTCATCGCGAGCAATGCGCTCTGCTTCCTCCATCAACAGCATTCCAAAGCCCTACAACATAAGCAACAATAACACCGTTATGCATCCACATAAGAAAGAGACGAGATTCAGAGTAGAGCAGAAGGGATTCCTGGGCAATCTCAGCCAATGTACCAAGCACCAGGTGGTTCCCCAGGTACCATCAGCCAACATCATGCACCCGTGGAAGGAGTGTGTGGCTCAGTACAAACGTGCCATGCATAACAGGACCTACCTGATGCTGAAACTTGCCAGGGTCACGTGCGTTGACAGGAACCACACTACCATACCTGCAATACAGGACAGCACAGGGATAAAGGATTAACTCCATGGGCAAACAGTGGCCAAATACAATGAGTGGGATGAGAGGGATGTACTCAGAAACTCACATTCACAATCTGAGAGAGAGAGTAATAGAAAAGTCTTCTGCAAGATTCAACATAACAGGTGGTGGATCACATCCAGTAGAACTATAGATCTACTGTGGTCCGCATGCTCAACCATTTATTTCTCACGACACTGCAAGCAGTAGAGTCACCGACTTACACGTGCAGCTCTCGAACAATGGAGCAGCCATCCTTCAGCTCGGCACGGTATGTGTCTACAGAACACTTGCGCAGTCGCAGCAAACCAATCAGAATGTCCTGCTCCGGATCCTCGTAGGACAAGAACGTCTCCCATGAGCCATTGGCAACGTAGTCACGGCGAATCAGCTCAACCTATTTACGCATACAGGTTGTTGAATGGAAAATGGGTGGTACATGTATAAATGATCATAAGGACAAGTGTACTGCAAAACGGAGTGCACAATGGCAGGAAAAGTATTGCAATCCAATTTCATGGCTGGCATAGCGAGATGGAGTGCATAAGTCAAATCAATTTACACAATCCTGTTCTAAAAAATTAGTAAACACATGCAAGCAAGTAGGTTGTTCCTCTGCCCGAATAGTGCTCAATGCCCGTATAAGGCATGTCTTTCCACACAGTAGAGTTGACTGATGGTTGTGATTTAAAGTGAAACTCAGAGTCGCAGCACAGCTTCTCAGTCCCAATTCACACCTTGTACAAGATGAGTGCAGGTGAGCAATGATCTCCAACCAGTTCACAGAAAGCATGGCGATTCTGCGAGGCTTCCACAGAGCTACATTCCTTGGCCAAGCATAGGTTAGGCACATTTCAGACCTCCTCTGCACCCCTGACTAGGGTTGGTGTGACATCATTTGCAAAGCAATGTGGCTTCAACATTATGCATATCCATAATCTGCAGAGCAGCACAATCTCCACGGCTGGTTGAGTCATTATCATTATTCATGGCAATACAAGCTGGCTTGTGCGGATTGGTGGCAAGTGGCACCTCCTCATCAAATCCTGTATATAGTATATATAATCATATACCCCAGGCTATGATATCGAGATCTCGAGTCAGTTGAGCATTTTGTGCTGTTAGGCTTTTCTCCATTTGTATACAACACCAAAGTGAGTTCTTTTGCCCCCCCCCCAAAAATGAGCCCAGTAAGCTTCCTTCCATGTAAAATAAAAAAGAGCAAATAAGTTGCATTTCACCCCTAATTCCTACTACATGGACATGCACATCAGGTAACAGACTGGACTGAGAGGATAGTATCACACTGGCTACATCAGGCAACAGACTGGACTGAGAGGATAGTATCACACTGGCTACTTGTAGTGTTACCTCACCTGATAGGGCTGAACCTTGTGGTGGATCTCCTGAATTCCAACCTCCCTCGTCCGTACATCACGGCACTGTGCATTGGTGGTGGTGCGTTGGCAAACAGTGAGGTAGCCAGCGGAACCCCCCCCCCCCCCCCCCCACACACATACACACACACACACACACACACACACACACACACACACACACACACACACACACACACACACAAATGCACACACACGTGAGTGCAAGCACACACAGAGTCAACATGTGTTCACTTATGCAAAGTTTGAAGTTGCCCTCCGTCCCCATATATGCGCACATATGGCGTACAAGCACTGGATACTGGAAAATCACGAAGAAACAGCCATAAACACATATACATGTATCTGCAGAAGAGCCACCAGCCCAAGCCTGTGGCAAACGTGGCAGCAAGCCAAGCAGAGCATCTTTACTGCAGGTAACAATATATAATAAACATGTTAGTTCCTACCTCAGTTCCAAGGTCCTTCATTCTAGCCAGGGCTAATTCTCTCAAGTTGCCATGCTCTACACCTGATGATACCAGCGGCATGGGAATATCTCTGCATTACACGCACATAGCACATGCACGCATGCACACGCGCGCGCGCGCGCGAACACACACACACACACGAATGTGCACACACACACAACACACAAATGAACAAATACATGATTAGCAAGTGACAATGTTCACAAACAGGTAAGGCACAAGTGTGGTAAGTGTTCGTCTGACCTCACTAGATGTAGACATGACCACACGATATCAGTTGCCAGAGAGAGAGTGAGGATGAGAGTTGATTATCATAATACGTCAGTAGGTTAGGGACCGTCCGGGGTTACCGATTGTTTTTACAAAACGAAAAGATTTAGTATTTTTCAGCCCCCACCCACCCACCCACCTTTTCTGCAGGTAAAACGAATTCCAATAAAATATTGATGTCAATTTTCGACACCCAAAAGTAACTGGGCATTCTCCAACTGCATTCAATAATTATTTTCAAAACGAAACTCCAAACCCACCCACCCCCAAACGAAATCTTTTCGTTTCTAATGGTAACCTTGAACGGCCCCGTCCGTAAATATCGATGTTTTTTTAGAGACGATATTTGTTCATATCTCCCCCCCCCCCCCCCTAATACGAACATACATACATTTATGCAGTGGACCGATATTTTTTTATATTGAACGGTTTGTGTGTACAGGTACGTACATAATACGTGCTGCAGTACAAGTCACAAGGTTCAAGTGCCTGCATGCTGCATGGTGCACGAGCCGCAACAAGCAAGTACAAGGTGCATACCTAAACATAGCGTATGTAAAGATCGATATTTTTTCCGCCAAAACGAACAGCGTCAACCCCCCCCCCCCCCCCCATACGAACGAATATCGTCTCTAAAAAAACATTGATATTTACGGACGGCCCCTTAGGAGAAAAGGCGGGGAGGAAGGAGACTGGGACACACACCACGGCTGTCTCAGTGTACATGAATCCGCGCATGGAAGTACGGGTATGAGTACAGACGGCAAGGTCGTGAATGTGGGGAAACCCCTCACTCAAATTCAAAAAAAAATCTCAAATACACTTGACGCGACCACTGATATCTGTCGGTGTCGAGACCATTCTGAGCTGCACAGCACAACAAGAATCTGTGCATGTAGTCCTATGCATGCAGGATAACGGTACTTGGATGCAGAAGAGCCGAAAAAACTGCTTCTTTCCCGATTCAGCTGTTTCTTTGCTGAGTTCGTTCTTGATCAGTGCTACGTAGTGACAGTTGAGTAACGATTCGACGTGATTTTGGAGACGCCTGCACGCCCTACCGGAGCAAACGCCGCTGCTGTGGCAGGTTCTTGAAGGTAGGATCATCCTTCGTCTCCACGCTGAGAAAAGTTCGTCGTGTTCTAATGGGCAGATCCATGTTCTTGGCTGCTTATTCAAAGGTACTTTCTGTTGTTTTTGAAATTTTTAAAATTTGTGTGCATAGGTTCTGTAGAGTGTTACGATGAGTTCTACTCTTGATCATGCATTTCATGTGGAGCATGTAAATTCCCTGTGTCGTTTGGGTGGCTGCAATTTACCCACAAATCGCAAAGGCCATAAGTCATGGAGTGCTCCTACTTACACCGTCAAGGAACACTCCCTCGATATATTCCGTGCCTTCAACGTTAAAGTTGAAGAGGATCAAGAGGGAGTGCATCCCAATCAATTTTGCAAATCGTGTTTTGATTTTTGCATTCGACCCTGAAGAAAAGCTCATGCAATGCAGGTGGCTGTGGGCAAAGTTTGCCAACTGTTCACGAATGGTCTGCACATACAGACAGCAAATGTAGCACCTGCACTCGCATTGCTGAAAGCAGAAAAGGTGGACGGCAAAAGAAGGCAACGAAAGCACGCATGACACATGGTGACAGTGATGTTACCTGTACCCGGGCTGTGTCTACTTGCACCAATGCTGTTGACATTGACCAAGAGAAGGTCGCCTCTCTGGTCACTGACAACTATGTTTCTTGTTTGCCTCTGTCGCCGGACCGCTTCACGTTTGTGCCGAGCGCACTCATTTGCCACATTTGCGGTCTTGTTGCAAATCTTGCTGTGCAATCTCCCTGCTGCAGTAAATTAGTTTGTGCTGAATGTATTGTGGGCTGGCTGGAAACCTCTTCGTCCTGCCACTCCTGCAAAAAGGTTGTTCTCTTGTCGTCATTCCAGTCTGTACATCCGTTTGCTCGGGTGACGTTGTCTGAACTTGTCCTGTCCTGTGACAATGCTGGTGAATCAGCGCTCGAGGGTTATTCAGCCAGAGTCACATTAGCATCTTTGCAGAGCCATGTTGCCGAGTGTCCATTCGCCAAACACCCGCCACCCAAGCGCTACTTGACGCCTTCCTCCACCGTGGCAAGTGTGTTGGCTGCACCACATGGCCTTTTGCAAGGTGATGTTGCTTCCAAGCTCTTTAACAGGCTAGTTGAAGCTCGAGCGGAGGATGGCCGACTTGAGCAGCGGACGCGTGGCAGCACATCCCTGTGGCACAGGGTTCCTGTGGCAAGGGCGTCATCTTCAGATGCCTCATCGTCCACGCTGCGGCGAAGAGAGAGCCTACTCGATGGCATCCAGCAGGCAGCATGCGGAGGAGCTAAAGGCAAGGAAGCGCAGAGCGTTCACGCTCTGCAGTCCCTTCGCCGAAGCCAACGGGAAGACCTTCTCCGTGAGGCCGGTTTGCTACCGGAGGGGCTCCAGAAGGGCATCGGTCTGGCCATCAAGTCTGACCTCCAGCTACCCTGGAATGGGCTGCGCAAGCTTCGCCGATATTTGAGATTGTGTGGACTGTCGCTGAAGTCGGAAAGGAAGATGCGGAAGCAGTTGTCCGAGGAGCTGCCGTTTCCCCTTGTCGCCAAGGAAGTTCCCCTTTTGGACAGTTCTGGCACTGTTATCATGAGCCCTGTTGTCTGCTTTGTCAATCTGGTGGAGCTGGTTCTTCACTTTGTCGAGCTGAATGAGGCAGCTGGCACACTTATCTGGGAAGGTGCCTGCCCAGAAGATGAGCTTTGCGTGAAGATAGGTGGAGACCATGGAGGGCATTCATTCAAGCTTTGCTTCCAGCTTGTAAATGTCCTCCACCCCAACTCCCTTAGCAACACAGTTCCTTTCTTGGTCTTTGCTGCGAAGGACTCTCCATCAAACCTCGCCACGGCGTTTCAACCGTACGCAGAGCAAGTCGACAGACTCCGCAGCTGTTCCTGGAAGGGAAAGAAAATCAAAGTTTGCCTCTTCGGGGACTACGATTTTATGATGAAATTGTATGGTTTGTCTGGAGCAAGTGGAGTCAGGCCTTGTCTGTTCTGTCTGGCAACAAAGAAAGACATGCAACCATCCCCTGACACCATCTTCCCCGACAGAACGCTCGACATGCTGAAAGAGGACTTGGGTCGTTTTGTGGAATCTGGCTCAAGGCTGCAGAACGCCAAACAGTTCAATAACGTTATTCGCCCACAGATCCTGCCAATTGAACTGGATGATGTATGTGTCCCCGCCCTGCACCTCGACCTGGGAATCTTTCCCTTGCTTTTTGAGGCTATGGTCCGAGATGCAGAGGAGATTGACATGATGCTAGCCAGAGAAAGCACAGACACATCTTCGAGCTCCACATTCAACGATGCAGCTAAGGTGCAAAGAGAGCTGTGGGTATGCTTAGCAGAGAAGGCACAGCAAGAGCAGCAGCTTTATGTCGCACAGACACAGCTACAATGGGCAGTGCTAAATGCAGCTCAGGCCATGCAAGCTAATCACGCGGCAGAAGCACAGCACGCAGGACTAGCTGCTCAGCTACAACAGCACTGGGCAGTGCAGCAGCTCAACGACATGAATGTGCGGATATCTCGTTTGGAGGAACGGCTTGTGAATGCAAAGGTTAAGAATGGCCCTTGTGCTTCATCATTCGAGCCAGTATTGGCGAAGCACAGGATAGATCGGCAGGCCTATCACTCGGGTGCTTTCGTTGGCAACCACATCAACAAAGCACTACAGCCATCAGTGACACAACAGATTGTGTCTGCTCCGTTGACAGTGGTTGCCTCTGTTGTAAATCCGGATGGTGCCTCCTTTGCTCCCATGCAGGCACAGCATCAACTACAGAAAGCTGCCGAAGAATGCTTTCTCTCTTTGGCAAGTACGCTAGTTGCAAAGCCATATTCGCATCGACTATCACTGCAGACGACGATGTGATCAAGAGCTTGAAGGAGAAGATCATATCCTTCATGGCGAACGTGCGGTCGGAGGTTGTTGTGCGGCACAAGCGTCCTGTCACGCCCAAGTTGCATCTGCTTGAGTGTCACCTCGTTCCCTGTGTTCAGAGATTCGGCATGGCACTTGGTGCTCTCGGAGAGCAAGGCGGTGAGTCAACCCACCACAAGTTTAACCTGCTGCAAGCAACACTGCAGAATACCAACAAGGATGTCGATCGTCTCCGTACTCTTGTGGCTCAGTACCTGACGACAGCGCTGCCAACCCACAGCAAGCTGATCGTGCCAGTTGCCCAGCGCAAGAAATCAGCTAGCTAGTGACTTGGCAGAGTTCATAGCAGCACGGCCGGACAGCTCCATGATCCAGACTGGGTGCAGGTAATTCAATTGTGTTGCTAGTAGTTCTGACATGTTCTCTTGATTCATATGAATATTGTGTATCCACAATTCACAAGGTAGGTGAAACTAGTGCAGGTAAGTGGTATCCACACATTTGAAGAAATGAATAAATCACTGCAGTATATTTACTTTGTGAGGCACTGCAAAATATCACCTAGCTGGACATACTGGCATCCAAGCTCGGAACATGGCTGGTTAGCATGCACGGTACGTAAACCATGGTCGCTCCTTCAAGAACGCACTGCAGGCTGGAGCAGGTGAGTCGAAACTGCAGAAACTCTAATTAAATCTAAATTTACAAGTTCAACTAGACTGGCTGCGATTGGAAATTCGACACAAGGTACGTAGAACCTCAACTTCAACGGCTTCCGTGTGTGATGCTTGAGCAGGTTAGTCACGTCCACAAGGTGAGGTATACTAGTATTGACGCCATCATCGCCACTTGGCGAGAACGCAATCGTATAATCATTCTGATTCTAAAATAAATAATTGTCTAAGGTGGAACTGGGGCGCTCTTTGTGGCAGGTGGGACAGGTAAGTCACTTCTACAAAATCGAACCAATGAATAGAGCACTTCACAGACATACTTCTGGGGAACTAGCCTTCCAAAGCTCAAAAACAAAGCTGATAATGAAGCGAGCTAGCTTCAAATGAGCCTACAAGAAAAAGAACATTCTTCAAAAAACGCCACAAAACACGATCGCAAGTATGGTCTCAGCATGACGCGCACGCGGATCACCATCGAAACCCTTTTCGAAAAAAAGTGCGTAAAAAGACGCCATCTTTCCATATGCACAACGCGAGTCAGCCGTGACACACACACACACACGCACACACACACACACCACAGCTTACCTCTGTACTCTGTACACGCGGGTCCACGGCGGTACCAGTGCCAAGATACGAGCGACGAGATCCACCAGCACATCCGGTGGATAGCTGCGATAGCGGCCCGTCTTCCACAACTCATACAGTCCTAAGACACGAGCACAGAGCAAAACAAAAAAGAAGAAGTGTGACTTTGACTAATATGACAACACTGTCACCAGCAACGCTACCTGCAGGTGGCATGACAATGGAGCGTCAGCAAAGTGCCAGCAAGTACATGTAGGGCGTCAAAACTTAAACAAAGTTGGATTCATTGTTCAAGCTTTGCAATGAAATCCCACAGCCGAGTACCTACCAGTTCCGCGGATGACAAGCGTTGGGTAAATCTTCAAACCATCCGGGCGAAAAGCAGGATTCTCAAAGAACTCCTACACATTGGAAAGACAGGCAACGACAGGCAACGACAGGCAACATTGCACATGACCACCATGTAACACACAGTGAAACCAACCTGACAACAAAGCGTACAGGAAGGGTTCAGAGAAGGCGGAGGGCTATCTACTGGCGTACCGTGAACTGTTCCATGTCTCTCTCCAGTCCGACGTTTGGCAAGTCCGGCATCATGTGGGCGACCACCTACACGAACACACATGTGCAAGCCAAATTGCAACAAAGATCTCAATCATTCGACAGGCAGAGCTGTCATCCAGGAAAGCTAAACACACAGAACAGTAATCCACTGCATGCACATACACTGATACAGCACATACAGCACATACAGCACATACAGCACATACAGCACATACAGCACATTCAACAGTACCGGCACACTAAAAAAACCCCGCAGGCAAGTAGAAAAAATGGCTAGACAAACAAGCAACGGCTCAGTCTCAGCCAAACCCACTCGCCCACATACCTTGAAGCCAGCATCTTTGGCGAGTTGGAACGATTCGCAGACAGCACGTACGGTGTGCCCCCTGCACGAGACAGAAATAATCCAAGCAGAGAAGTCAAGCTCACTTCAGAGCAAAACATGTACAAATAAGTATTATCCCACAAAAAAAACAGAGCAGCAACACTCTCAGACAGTGCTCAAGTCACTCCCAACTGACACATGTAACCAGCTCACCAAAATGCTCAACTCTGGGTGTACTGCAATTCTTTCAACATGCAGATAAACAAAACGCAATATCTCTCTGCTTCAATGAGAACTCAGGACCATCAAATCGATCAAGCCCCCCAGATACCAGGACTTACCGGTTTGTGTCACGGGCAACATCTTCATACACACTCTGCACTCCAATTTCCAATCGAGTACAACCATATGACAGCATGGAGCTGAGCAAATAAGCAAAGAGAGAACACAACAATTACACGGCACTAACGAGACCACTACAATACAAGGCCATTGTCACACTACCATTGTAAGCACTTAGCATCAGCTGGCACTGGATACAGGGGGAATGGGTCTGCTATGAAAATAATGGCAAGCAAGCTTTTTCCAACAAGGCCACCACAGATGTTTGTCTAGCCCTTCAGAAAGAGGGGAGAGAACAGAGTATTTCCTTACCTCAAGTGACGTTTCAAGCAGTAGTCAGGCCGTGTTTCAATCGTAATACCAATGCACTTAGTACGACTTTTCTCTGAGTATCTGCATAGGCAAGAGAAACAAGTGCACAACCAGGTTAGAAACTACATGAATAATGGTTTTAAGTTATGGCAGAGAGAGAGAGAGAGAGAGAGAGAGAGAGAGAGAGAGAGAGAGAGAGAGAGAGAGAGAGAGAGAGAGAGAGAGAGAGAGAGAGAGAGAGAGAGATTGCACCAGGTTGTGTAAAAACCGGTCACCCATGCAATGTAAACTGAACTGATCTCGTCTTTATTCCTGTTATCAACACAACTTCACCGTACAGTTATACCGCACGCACCTGACAGCCTCCTCCACAGAACTGCTGCTGTGACCAGAGAGGGCATCGTGTAAATTGCGAATAAAGTAATCTCTGTAGGATTCGTCAAGAGCCATGAACGTTCCACCCATCACGATGAACTCCACCTGGACAGCAGAAAGAGGCAGATGCAACAAGCGTGCTTGAAACAGTGACACACATTGATTTAGAATAGCACACCTTGGACCCAAACAATCTTAGAGCACAGCCAGTGACATTAGCAGAACATAACCTGTGTTTTTTTCTACCAAAACCAATGCATCAAGAGACAACATGTCACTAGAAACCGGACGTGTTACTCACGGGACCATGCTTATTTCGTTTTGATAGTACATGTAATCGATACCACTTTCGAAAATGTGTGGAAGGGCAACCTATCTATAAAGGCCAGCTGTGTGTGTGTGTGTGTGTGTGTGTGTGTGTGTGTGTGTGTGTGTGTGTGTGTGTGTGTGTGTGTGTGTGTGTGTGTGTGTGTGTGTGTGTGTGTGTACAATTGGGTGGTCATAAACACAGGCTTCACTACACTCGACTTGCAATAGCCACATTACACTACTGTTATCGGGCTACCATGACATACACACCAGCAACAGTGATAACGATGTCCAAGTCAAAAAGTGAGTATGTACGCAGCACTACACAACGTACATGTACACAGCGCTACACAATGTACATGCGCATGCACCAACACAGACGACGACTGACCTTGTCACAGCTGTGTCCAAGTTGAGAAAGCTGCATGGGAAATGGTGAAATCACAGTACAGTACATGCACAGTGAAATCCCAACCAACCTGTACTAAGCAAAACTTTAAAAAAAAAAGCAGCATTGCTGCCACTGCTAGATGACCAATACAGAAAGTAGAGGGGTGAGATCGTTGAAATGCAAACATGATCTCCGGCACACTAGTGCAAAGAGCATGGATCAGTCTTCAAAGACAAAGATGAGGATAACCTGTAAGTAGGAATCTAGTATTGAGCGACAAGATAAATTATCTGCATATCGAGCTATCCGGGAATCAAACAAAGTAAAACACGAAGACACGGAGGCAAAATGTTCAGCATCACATCTGCAGGGCAATGCAATAATACTGCACTACTGGGTGCATGAAAGCAAGGCACATCGAATACCTACAGAAAAGATACACAGCCATACGAGTCTTACCTGATCAATCCGATGTCTGGTTTGGAGATACGGGTTGTACCGAGCACGAATTGCTCGCATGGAGGTAGGCTAAAACAAAGAACACATCACATGTACAGCCATGTCCAGAACCGCTCCAAATGATGTGAACCACTCCTTGAATAGAATACACAGCATGCATAATACTTTTGCGACACCTAAGAGAAATTATGTGCTATAGGTGCAAGCAAGTTCAAGCAAACTTAAAAAAAGACAGCCACAATTCTCAAGAAAGAGTAAAGCAAGGCATTCACTGCTACCACAGTGATACGACATTGATACACTGTGTAATGAAGGCATTCACTGCTATCACAGTGTTACGACATTGATACACTGTGCAATGAAGGCATTCACTGCTACCACAGTGTTACGACATTGATACACTGTGCAATGAAGGCATTCACTGCTACCACAGTGTTACGACATTGATACACTGTGCAATGAAGGCTCACCTCATATCCGGTGTACGACTGTGTAGAGTACTCAAAATCAGAATCAGGACCACCAGGACAGTAGCTGCATACAGACAACATACATACACAGGCGCATGTATGCACACATACACGCACACACACACACACACACACACACACACACACACACACACACACACACACACACACACACACACACACACACACACACACACACACACACACGCACGCACGCACACACACACACACAAGCACACAAGCACACAAGCACACAAGCACACGCACACCAGCACAAGCATACAACATTAATGCCAGCACAATAGCTTGTCTATATTTTGTAAATGTGCACCATGGTGTATACGCCTATACAGGCCCTGAGGGCAATCTGGGCAATCAGGACAACACAGTAAAACTACTTGTAGTATTTTAGAAATACCTACTGCACAGTAACTAAGCATAGCAACGCAACATATAGAACTAGAAGATTTGTGTGGACATCAAAGAATTCAGCAGAAAAAGTGCAGATGCTCACTATGTAAAAAGGGTGAAGAGGCCTATTGATCCACTAGCCAAGTGACTATGACTCAGTGGCATGGTAAGCTGTGATACTTCAAAGCACGTGCACACGTGGCAGCACAGGGCAAGCGCCGCAGACACGGCACGTGGCCCGCATTGCTGTACAGTACTCACACACAGATGTTGCCGGTCATGTTGATATGTGGGCAACGGTGAGGTTTGCACATCACTGCCACGACGGCAATCTGCAGTTCAAAGAAAAGTTGAAAACACAGACACGTCATGTACTACAGTGCATTTCAAAACTATAGACGCGTAGGGTTTTTGAAATATTTCAAATTTGGCTGGAACTTTTTGAGAATAGTTTTCGGAATATTGCTCAGGATCGCTCCACAATTACTCTCATATAGTTTCTAAAGGATTGGATAACAGACGCCCAATTTGGAAAAATTTATGCACAAAGTGATCACAGATTTTATGTGGTATAGATACTGGCATAACGGTTTTTGCCTAGGTACGCGTCTATAGTTTTGAAATGGACTGTAGACTATTGCCACTGTAGTGGTACACACTAACATTGTATCAGAGCACAGGCTATAAAATAAAAACAACAACGACAACATACGCCAAAGTACTGTAGAGGCAGAAAATTTCGTCGGTCAATAATTTCGTTCAACTCCAAAGAAGAGGAGTTCGTCCGGTTGAAAATTTCGTCCATGGGTCATAAGAGTGTATAGAAACGCTGGGCAAATCGATATTCGTCCTACATTTAATTTAGTCCAAAAGCTCCTTGGACGAAAAAGACGAAATTAAATTCCAGACGAATATTTCTGCTTATACAGTACAACATGATACGACTACACAAGACAAGATCAATGGTTTTGCCCATGTGCTCACATGTTAGAGTACAGTCTGTATGCTATGTAACAGCTTTGCAACAGCTTTTGGGTGTCACAAATACTACTGCTTCTGATCCAGTTGTCCCTTCTTACACTGCATGGCGCCATAGCTACAGGCGGTCAGTGGTCAACCCATTACTACATGCACACTCAAGCCACATTGGCATGGCTTCAAACTTACTCCGGATGCTGTTCGAACTGGCTTTGCCTTCAGCTTGGGCAGCAGTGCCTTGCGGTGAGCTTGCGGTACAGCTGCAATGATGTCTACCAAACGAGGTTGACTCGATAAGCCATACTTACTGGACGTTGCACCCTTGATCCTAGTTGACGGGAACAAAGGCAGTGGCGACAATCAAATGCAGTGGAACAACACGAATGAGAACACTGTGCTAATACATATCTTCCACTTTAGAAGAACTATGGTATCTGTGACTGAATTGGGTGAATCACTGCATATTCACTATGTGTGGCACATGGATAAGAACTTTTCGTTATTGAGACTCAATTTAAATGGCCCCTGGGTGCATGAGTATGTCCTGAAGATGTTTGACTTTATACGTTAGGTAGCAGGTTCAATCCTACAAACTGCGTCCTTGAGAAATGATAACAGAGTACTGTATGTTGTGTTACAGTACGGCACTGTAATACGTCTTCACATGCACACTCCCTTCAGTCTGCTATTCACCTGTCAATCATCACTCACTTGTTCAAGTTCACATCTTTGCCTTCCTTGTGCGCCTCCACAAGCTGCTGCACAATGTCCGACACGGTCAGCATCATACGCTCAGCGCGAGACTGCGCCGGCACTGCGCAGTGCAAGCATTAGACAAGAGTCACAAGATCCATGCAGAATACAGTGAAATTGAGACAGCAAAAACACCGACCGAAGCAAATTGCAGTATCGATCGCCTTTCACACTCCGTAAACTTGGACCGGCAATTCAGGGAAGTGCAACTGGTCTGGAATCATGGCAAGCTCATTAGGAATTTAACATAATTAAGTAAGAGATGTCATGGACACGAAGGTTGTGAGCGCTGTGGGTTTCCCAGATTAGTTGTTTCTTATTTTGTCGAAGTCATCTGGTGTTATAATAATATTACTCTGTTCTGGTGTACTACCATGCCAATGCTTGAAATGCATGCACGGACTGATCTGAGTCGAGCTGCCTGCGGATGTTGATTTGGGGCGAAGCTTCTTGAGGACTTTGAGTAGAGAGAGCGTGCGGCTCAAGCTTATCCGACTTCCACTTTGTTTTACCTGTATTCTCGTGTTACCTGTGAATCCCTTGTTACCATAACTGTATTGCTGGAACTAGTGCGTGTGTGTGTGACCTCGGCTGGGAGACAGTAACATAATTGGCGCATTGAACAGGATATGTAGAAGGATTTTGGAAGCGCGAAACGTCGTAGAACTGAAAGAGAAACGGCAGAAAAGGTGAAGGTCCATGTGAAGCTCGACCTTGACTATGAGCACGGAATTGACCATTTCCGGACATGGCTGAGTCAATTAGAGATAGGGTTCATGCTGAACGAAGTGACGGATAAGAAAAAACAATACTTGGCAGCCACAGGAAATTTGGATCAGAGCGCAGCGTACTATCTGTGGCAGAAGTATCCATCGGTGCCAACAGGTGATAATCCCTACGAGGATTTGAAGAAATTATTTACAGAGTACTTCGGCGCGGCGCGGAGTGACTCCGCACGGCTTGCAGCTCTGTTTACGATTGCTCAGAATCCTGGCGAGTCCATACAAGCATACCGGCACAGACTTCAGAAGGAGGTGCGGACCTGTAACATTACTACGTCAGCGAAGCTGGAAGACGTTGTGGAAACTGTTGCTGTTCATTTGTTTGCGCGTGGCCTCCAATCCACCTCAGCGCGACAACGTGTGCTGGAGATGGGAGATGACTCCCTGGACAAAGCTAGTGAACGAGCTCAGGCAGTGATTCTGTCAGAGGAACCGTCAGGCCAGGCAAGGCCAGGTGATGTATGTTTTGCACAAACACAATATGGACGCAAACCTGCCGCAATTCAATGTAGTTACTGTGGACGGCAGCACGAACCGGGACGGCGGTACTGCCCAGCAGCGGACCAACGGTGCAAACGGTGTGGAAGGCGTGGACATTTTCAAACAGTCTGCCGCTCTTCAAACATGATAAGTCCTGAGGAGGAGCAACAAAGAGCAACCAGGTCCACTGGACCCAGTGCCGCAGTTACCCGATCGGAACCTGACGCTCGACGACAGGAGGCTCCATTGGTGGAGGACAGCTGGGCCGAAGCGTATAGCGTTTCCACTGGGAAGACTGGATTTCGCATACCGTTGCGCCAGGTATATCTGGACGCCAAGCATCTAGTTCCGATGCGCGTGGACAGTGGCAGTTGTGTATCTGTCTTACCGAGATCCAAGGTCCCACCTGGCTATTCTCTGCAGCCTGCTCCGTTTGAATTATGACCACTAGGAGCACAGAACCTGAAGGCCGCCGGTGTTTTTGAGTGCACATTGCACTATGGCTCGAAACAAACTACGGAGACTATGTTTGTTGTGGAGGACTCAGCAGTCCGCATGCCGTCACTGTTGAGCGCGAGTGCCTCCATTGACCTGGGTCTCTTATCTCTGCCAGAAGCCTCTGTGAATGCCGCCACAACCGAGGGGGCGTCCTCACTTCCGGCTATGCGTGGACCCATCACGATACAGATGGCCGATGATCGCCGCCCACGGCAACAGTCAGCACGCCGGGTGGCACCGGCCCTAATGCCTAGTCTCCGGGACCAACTTGAGTCATGGCTGAGCCAAGGAGTGGTGGAGATGGTCGAAGGAATCCTGCCGGGTGATTATGTCTCTCCTTTGGTGGCAGTACCAAAGCCAGATAAGTCGATGCGCTGGTGTGTGGATTTGCGCTGTGTAAACCAAGCAGTCAAGCGACCAGGAGGACAGCTACCAAATACAGATGACCTGCTAGCACAACTTGGGAATGCAGAGTATTTCACGAAGCTAGACCTCAAGTCAGGATATTCCCAGCTGGAAATCACACCGGAGTGTCATCATGCGTTTGTGGTAGCATCACCACTCGGTTACTTTCGTTTCTGCCGGCTTCCGTTTGGTGTCTCCAGTGGCCCTGAGCTATTCCAACGGAAAATGGAACAGATTCTGGCTGGCATCGACGGCGTCGTCATTTACCTGGACGATATATTGGTCTTTGCTCCTACCCAAGAAGAGCATGACCGTCGTCTCAAGATGGTCAGAGAAGCATTGCCCAGGTATTGTGTCATTCTCAATGAAAAGAAGTGCGCATGGAATGTCACCGACCTCACGTTTCTGGGTCATGAAGTCTCTGCCGCAGGTGTTCGCCCAAGCCGTGCTAAGGTAGCCGCACTTCAGGATACACAGGATCCTACCAATGTCTCGGAGTTAGCTCGTTCATGGGCCTCGCTACATTTCTTCAGAAGTTTGTGCCCCACCTGTCGGAGATTATGGCACCACTCACTCATCTCCTTTGCAATGAATGGCACTGGTCTAGCGAGTGTGCCGAAGCAGCCGCAGCTATTCGCAGCTATTTGCAAACTGAGCCAGTCCTCACCCTGTTTGACCCGTCTCGGCCCACTCGTATCGAAGTAGATGCCTCAGGGTACGGTCTCGGTGCTGTTCTTATGCAGCAAGTCAGTGCAAGCCCCACTGAAGTTGCCTGTTGGAAGCCAGTGTATTATGTCAGTCAAAAGCTCAGCGATCCAGAATCTCGCTACGCCACCATCGAGCGAGAAGCACTAGCTATCGTCTGGGGAGTGCAGTGTCTTCGTTCCTTTGTCACTGGCATCGAGTTCACTGTGGTCACAGACCACAAGCCACTCCTAAATGTTTTCAAACCAGAGTACAACCTGAGCAGCGCTAGTCTTCGGGTACAGCGTCTTCTGCTAAAGGTTCAGGATTTGTCATTTGCTGTACACTATCGTCCCGGCAAACAGAATGGCTTGGCTGATTTCTTGTCTCGTGCACCTGTTGAGGACGCGGACATCAACTTTCTAGTTGTTCATCACGTGACAACCGGTATTGATATGCCCACAGATGACCGTCGACGTATTGCCGAACAGACAGCAGCTGACCCAACGCTGGGTGCAGTGCAAGATGCTTTGCGCAGCCCTCACTGGCCACGACAGCCAATCCTTGGACCCTACGAAGCCATCCGCCATGAGTTGAGTGTGTGGCAATTTCCCGGGGTGGATGGGTTTCTCATTCTCCGCGGGGAGAGAGTTGTCATACCAACAGCAGCCACACAACGAGTCATTGAGCTAGCACATTCAGGCCATCCCGGAGTCGACAAAACTCTCCAACGTCTGAGAGAAGCCGTGTGGTGGCCAGGGTTCACCAAAGAAGTCAAACAGGTGTTGACTAACTGCAGGCCGTGTGTGATTGAGTCTAAAGTGAGGCGCGTGCCACTACAGCCGCGGAGGCTGCCATCTTGACCATGGCACACTGTGTCGGTCGACATATTCTACTACCAATCGAAGCCCTTTCTCAGCTTCCTGGATGTATATTCCCGCTACCCAACCGTGGTTCCGTTACGTGCCGAAAATGCTGCAGCGGTAACTCAGGCCTGTGAGCAAGTCTTCAGCTTGTTCGGCACCCCAACCAATGTCATCTCCGACAACGGACCGCAGTTCCTGTCAGCAGCGTTTGCGGCCAAGTGTAAAGAGTGGCAGTGCAGTCATGAGCGAACGGTGCCCTATCAGCCAAGACAGAATCCAGTGGAGCGGCTACACCAGAAGTTGAAACGCCTCATGCGAAAGTCTGGACAGTCTTCCATTCAGGCAGCGCTTCAATCAGCACTGCAGGTGATTCGCTTAACCGTGTGCGATGCTACTGGTCGAACTCCAGGGGATGTGCTTCTTCGTGGAGGATATAACACGCCGTTACGCAACATCCAACCATCGACACCGGATGCCGAGAGTGACAGTGAGATGGATGACGAGATCCGGGCACAAGATGCCACAATGAAGGAAGCTGCAAAGACACGGTATGCCCTGCGACATCGATGCCAAGAACGGACAGTAGACGCAGGTGAGCACGTGTATGTCAAGGAAGCATCCGGAGACACACGACAAGCCACTGTGGTGTCTGCAACGCCGCATGAGGTGGTGTTAGGTGATGATGGATCCATGCGACGCCGCCATCTGGACACCGTACGACCAGCACCGAGCAACCTTGAACCATCGGCCGATTCAGCGGCTACCCCTACGCCCGACACATCGGCTGACCACACTACAGACCAGACCATTTGCAGGCCTGCCAGTTCCCAAGACTCCCGGCCTACACCCCCATTGTCTGCATCCAGTACGATATGGAAGTCGACACGTACTCACAAGCCCAGAACTGTTATGGACCTGTGAGTTCTCTAAAGAGGGGGAGAGATGTGAGCGCTGTGGCTTTCCCAGATTAGTTGTTTCTTATTTTGTCGAAGTCATTTGGTGTTATAATATTATTACTCTGTTCTGGTGTACTACCATGCCAATGCTTGAAATGCATGCACGGACTGATCTGAGTCGAGCTGCCCGCGGATGTTGATTTGGGGCGAAGCTTCTTGAGGACTTTGAGTAGAGAGAGCGTTCGGCTCAAGCTTATCCGACTTCCACTTTGTTTTACCTGTATTCTCGTGTTACCTGTGAATCCCTTGTTACCATAACTGTATTGCTGGAACTAGTGCGTGTGTGACCTCGGCTGGGAGACAGTAACAAAGGTAACTGCTGAATGAAAGAGACACATTGCTTTAAAAAAAAGTCACGATAGCACAGCAACAATTCTGTGGAGACAAACATGTTCGTGACATGTAAATCAGTGCTCTGGTATTCTTACAATCAGTGCTCTTGTATTCTTACAATCAGTGCTCTGGTATTCTTACAATCAGTGCTCTGGTATTCTTACAATCAGTGCTCTGATATTCTTACTGCTTGCTTTTAAGAGAAGGCAAGACATAATATTGTTTGGCAAGCCAATGTCTACATCTGAGATAGTGAAGATCATTGCTTTCAGTACATGTACAATGTGCAGGGGAAAATAATTCAGGTTCTGTAACTGACCTTTCTTTCTTGGCTTGACCATATTTCCAACACAGGGCCAGCGACGGTAAAATAAAGTGTAGTGTAAAATGCACTCGGCAAACTCAGCTTGAGGACACGACAGCCATGCGCCACAGAACACCAAGATGACACACTCGATCACGACGTCGACAAACTACCTGGTATGAAACAAATAATTATTAAATTATTATGTTCTCCAAAACTTTGAAAGTCTACAAAAAGATTACCACTTCACATGCAATGCTCATTTCGCGAGTTCGATCGATCGAGTGCAATGAGATCACGTTTTCATGGCAACTAGGCCACGCGAGGACGCGTACGCAATGCGCATAATCCGCTTGTGCACAAAATAGGTGTTTTTCGAAAACTGATCGAGATATTATGGCCCAGTGCATGCAGTGGCAGCAGTGTGCTAGTGCTGTGTGGGATGTGTTTTTGTTTTACATGACTGATTGTATTTCAATAGACGCAGCAAATACTCTAGTCTACAGGGATTGCATAGTCCTATCAGTATCAGTTACTAGTCACCTGTGACTGTGTTCGTGTAACACTGCTGGGCAAGGCATTTCTATTTTAGCCAGTTCTATTGCAAACGCAGCTAGCATGGGTGAACCCAGCAAGAATTACCTTTCTGAAGCTGCACCTCCACCACCACCTCCTCCTGCACTCACATCATCTCTGCCACAGCCAGAGGGAGAGCAGTCTACGTCTGACCGAACCAAACTAATATTAGCTGCTCAACCTCTTGCAATGAGCCAGGATGAATTGATTTCTGAAGTGTTGGCATCAGTGAAGAGGTCACTAGAAAGGTTAGAAGTTCATTATTTTATTGGTGTATGATTCCAATAATAAAAACTTTATTAAAAGGACCTATAAGTTACTAGTTATGATTTTAACATAATTATTATGTTAGTCATAACTAGTAACCATGGTAACTTATAGGTCCTTTTCTCTTTACAGATTCCGATAATATTCCTAGTATTTGCATGCATCTATTCAAACAAACTTTTTTTAGAGACAGCTTCAGTGGAATGCCTAATTTCTGATGAACTACATCACAATGCAAATCTCTACGTTGGACCTTGCAAAACAGGCATGTTTGGGAGAACAAGAGATTTTCAAAAATGTCCCCATGATCATCGGTTGAGGAGATGTAGCAAACCATTGCTCTCCTAATTGAAGAGGATACCCGTGGGTTCATTGTTGAAGAATCGCTTTCGCTTCTACCTAAAGTAGATGAAGGCCAGAATGTGCAGCTTCTGCATTGGTGTCGATGTGTCACAGTTAATTTTAAATGACTTTTTTTGTTTTTTTATTTCTGTTATTTGAATTCGTTTAGAGCACAGGCAATTCCGCCTTCTCACCAGAGGAAAAAACCTCCGGTTCCTACTAAGAACGAATAACATATTATGAGAGAAGGAAATATTAAAAAGAATCATAAAATGAGAATTCCAAAGTATAGAATTCAATGGGTGTGTGTACATGTAAGCAGTGCAGAACACATAGGGATAACATGCAGGAATGTGTATGATGAATGGGGGGGGGGGGGGGGGGTTATTGCTTGCACACTGCTTTTAAAAGTATAAAGATGAGGGATGAATGTCAAGCAAAGCGGTACCCATGAAGGAAGTGATGCCAAGCGAGGAAGCTTAAAGGCACAAGCCGCATTGTGGAGGCGAATATCACTGGGAAGGGCATTCCAAAGAGTGCTTCCTACAAATGTCAATGACTGATGACCAGAAGGTCCAGGAAGGAAAGGCACTTGCAGCAGCCGCTGTTCCTGTCCTAAAATTGATGTGCCCAATAAGGGACTCGAACCCTTGGCCCTCAGATTAAAAGTCTGATGCTCTACCAACTGAGCTAACCGGGGACTTAACCAGTTATATTCCACAAGTCGACATACAAGTTTGGTGATGTCACAGATCATGACCCAGGTATTGGACTTGGTGGGTGGGTGTGTGTGTTCGTGCGTGCGCGTGCTCGTGTATGTTGTGTGTGTGGGCGTGCACGCTACATGTTGGTGTGTGGGTGTGGGTGGGTGTGTGGGTGTGCACATGCGTTCGTGTGTGTCCGTGCGTGTGTGGGTGTGTGTGTGGGTGTGGGTGTGGGTGTGGGTGTGGGTTTGGGTGTGGTTCTGCAGCAGGGAGATTAATACTACTCAGAGTGAAGCACTGACATGGGTGAGTGTCTTCCACCCTGTGCAGTCCTTGCTTCAAGATGGACCGATGTGAGTAACTGTTAGTGGTACACTGATGCTGTATCATCTATTTCTTGCAAACTAGCTTAGAGCTACTGGGTTAGAAGTTATTCATTTCTTGCTCTCATCTTGTCTGTCAAGTAACCTTCAACACTTGGGGTCACTTTACTGAGTCATAAGGGAGGTTCTGCTATACGTGAAACGTAGAGAAATCACGTAGAGAGCAGGTGTCTGGGTTAGAGTCTATGGCTTCGCGTGTTTTGGCTCCAGATTTCTACGCGGAGATGAGGTTCTCTACGTTGTGGCACACGCAGAGAAAATGCGTACGGTTCTGCTGGGTATCATTCGAGTGCAGGCAGAAAACTGCCAAATATGGAAGGCGGAATTCCCAGTACACATTCCACGTGACTTCTCTACGTGAAACGTAGAGCAGAACAGGATTTCTTTACGTTACGGGAACGCGAAGAGAGTTCGCGTGATTCTTTGCGTCGCGTTCCCATAACGTAGAGCAGAACCTCCCTATAACCAGTTCAAAGTTGAACATTTGCACAAAGAAGTGAGGAGGACCTATAATTGTAACAGTTTTTGAACTTTTTTCTTTCCTTTATTCGTTTATTGCCAAGTCTCAATGTGCAGTGGGAACACCGGCCGATGTGACTAGAGTGGGTGTTAGCTAACCATGGCAGGCTTCAGTTACTTCAGGGTCGCTTCCTATCCTTGGATTTAGCCTTTAGTAGGGCTTCACTGCTCGTTCATTTCATTTTCGTAATTATTTCATCACTTCATGGCACCTAACATGGCCAGTACAAGGAAGTGAGGGTGGCAAACCTACCACGGGGAGAAAAGGAAGAAGAAGAAGAAAAAGGAAAGAAAAAATGAAGCACACATGTGTGGCTTCAGTAATCAGTTCTCATTCTCTTGTTTCTTGTGTGCATGTATACGTGTGTGGTGTGTATGTGTGTATGTGTGTGTGTGTGTGTGTGTGTATGTGTGTATGTGTGTGTGTGTGTGTGTGTATGTGTGTATGTGTGTGAGTGTGCGTGCGTGCGTGCGCGTGTGTGCGTGCATGCATGTGTATGCGTGTATAGATGTACACGTGTGTGTGAGTGTGCATGTGGGTGTGGGTGTGTGGGTGTATGTGTGTGTGGGTGTGTGTGTGTGTGTGTGTGTGTGTGTGTGTGTGTGTGTATGTGTGTGTGTGTGTATGTGTGTGTGTGTGTGTGCGTGTGTGTGTGCGTGCATGCATGAAAAAAATGAGAAAAAAATGAAAAATAGGGATTCACTGGCCAGAAAAAGCCACTTCAATCAGCTGTGTGGTGGATACTAGGCTAAAATTAGTGGGGGTCAATTCATCAGCCTTGCAAGTTGTTGAGTGGTGTAATCCCAGCACAAGTTGCTATGTCTAACATAGCTGTTCGCTATCATCGTTTCCACGATGGGCAGGTGTGAGGTCTGAGGTGTGTGTGTGTGTGTGTGTGTGTGTGTCCCATATGGTGCAGTGGTATGTGCAGCGATTTCCAATCGATAGGTTGCGGGTTCGATTCCCGACGATTATGGTCACACACGTCTTTCTTCTCTTTCTCAGACTCTTCCTGACTTTTCTTTCATTCTCCTGGGTGGTTACCAACAGCCAGTGCATGCCGGAGTATGTGGTGTGATGTGTGTGCGGGAAAAAAGAAAAAAAATGAAAATGAAAAGACCAAAAATAGGGATTCACTGGCCAGAAAAACCACTTCAAATAGCTGTATGGTGTAGACCAGGCTGAATAGTGACGGTCAATTCTTCAGCCTTGCAAGCTGTTGAATGGTGCAATCCCGGCACAAGTTGCTATGGCTTCTGCCGTAGCATTGCTATCATCGCCTCCGGCGATGGGCGTCAAAGGTCAAAAGGTGTGTGTGTGTGTGTGTGTGTGTGTGTATGTGTGTGAGTGTGCGTGCGTGCGCGTGTGTGCGTGCATGCATGTGTATACGTGTATAGATGTACACGTGTGTGTGAGTGTGCATGTGCGATGTGGGTGTGGGTGTATGTGTGTGTGTGTGTGTGTGTGTGTGTGTGTGTGTGTGTGTGTGTGTGTGTGTGTGTGTGTGTGTGTGTGTGTGTGTGTGTGCGTGCATGCATGAAAAAAATGAGAAAAAAATGAAAAATAGGGATTCACTGGCCAGAAAAAGCCACTTCAATCAGCTGTGTGGTGGATACCAGGCTAAAATTAGTGGGGGTCAATTCATCAGCCTTGCAAGTTGTTGAATGGTGTAATCCCAGCACAAGTTGCTATGTCTAACATAGCTGTTCGCTATCATCGTTTCCACGATGGGCAGGTCTGAGGTCTGAGGTGTGTGTGTGTGTGTGTGTGTGTGTGTCTAGGTGTGGTCTGGTCGCGTTGAGCATGGCAGCATCGAAGCTTGCACCGGCATGGCTGAGTGATGCATCCTTAGATAATACAGTACGTTGACGGTGTTTGTTTTCATCACGTGTGTTGTCACTGTGTGCACTGGAATTTGTCGAGTCCACGTGCACATGCACATGCCCATACACATGTACAGTGCTGGCCAGAGAAATCCAACCTCATCAATAAAGTAGCGCTGTGTTTAGTGCACAGACCAGCATGTGTAGTGCTAAGGCTGCGTAGCGCCCGGCTCTATTTTGTTCATGAGGTTGGGTTTCTTTGGCCAGCACTGCACATGTAGTCCTTTTCAAGGTAACCGATACTCCTATTTTAGATTATCAGGTGGCTAAGCAGTAGTTTTCAGCTGTTTAGATCAGAAAACCATTTTTTTGTCCATTGCGCAATTCACAATGTTGACGTACTAAAAGGCACTCCTCGCTCAAGTATGTCTCACGTAAACGGCTCTTCCTGCTCAGAGGGGACGACTGTAGTCTATGCTGGCTGGATGTCTGTTGCTGGCGGAATGTGTAGCTAAAAATAGCCAGACATGATGCCTGGATCTAGAGATGCATCTTTCTATGCTGCTGGGTTGGGCATAGGGTAATGATGAGTATAGAGATGTTGGCGCTGTCAGTGTGTGCCACTTTTAGTACAAATTTAGAATGCTGCAGCGAAGCAGGCAATGTTCTAGACCCTGGCAATGTGCCCTCAATCATGATGCCTTGGAGTTTCTTATTTATTTTGGTTTCGGCCTTTGTTGTTATTGCTGATGCCCTAGGATGCACGCACCTTCGCGTTGCTAGCCTTTGCACGTGCCAGGCGATTCAGTGAGCATGGCGAGATGCTGAGTGCGGAGTGGCTAGCCAGCTTGGCGAGAGAATACTGCGGTCTCCAGGCGCAGTGCTGCCCGGCAGATGTCCTCAGTGATCCAGCCGGCCTTGTCAAGCAGCTGTGCGCTGGAAAGTTGCTGTTGGTGCCGTATCCTTTGTGCAGCTAGCTAACACTTCAGGGTGTCAGGGTGTATTCTCTCCTCTGTGAATTCTGCACTCATGAGTAGCATACCCAGAAGGGAACTCTGTCATTCACTGAGGCCGTAGGCAGTGACAGACCGAAATATTTACTTGCAGTTGAAGTTATAGCTAAGTTATTTCAAACTTCTTCCAAGTGTTCCTGCTTTTGTTTAAAAATTCTCTGGCAAAACTGAAGTAGAGAACTGTTGTTGGTCAAGAATGTGGCGAGCTGTGCGTTTTACCTGTGCATGAGTCCTTGTGTTTTTGGATCCACGTGCCCATCCTACATCATGCGTGCCTGCAGAGGGACTTTTCACTCTGATCCGTGTTTGTGCTGTAAGCGGTGGCTGTGTTGTCCTTGACTAGTGTGCTCGTGATGACCAGATATGACTGTTACCATAACCACACACCATTCCTGGCCACCGGTCACAAGGCACACTGGGCATTGGTGACAGGTAAGGGGCTGCTGCTGCTGCTGCTGTAAACTGGGCGATGGCTTGGCCACTCATTCCATGATATCCGTGTTGCTGTGGACAGGTACTCATGGCCTGGTTTTCAGCTAACAGCATGTGTATCATGCTGCATCTGGAACATGTGTATGCGGTCTAGCTGGCTGTGTAGACTACAGTGCATGGTCTGCATTCTGTATGTCCACAATAGAATAACATTTAAGAAAAAATAGGGTAGTGTAAGCCCAGAGGACTTACTTTGAAGTATGGTCTATCAAGCTACAATTGTAGTGAGCTGTAAGTTATCTAGTGCCCGGCCAACTCTGCAAAGTATGTGTTCAACCTAATAATTATGGCTTCTGGTGTTGAGATACCATTATGCTGCTCTGTGTGCAGGTGTATTGCAAGCTCATTCTGTGGACTGTGCAATGTGCATGCGGCCAGCACAGCGCAGCAGCTGCTACAGCAAGGACAGCACTACTTCAGATGCCGCAGCCAGACATTGCGTATTTGCTGATGAAGACGCTTCATCACCTGTGTGCAGTGCTGCTACCCTGGAAACCTTGCCCGCTTGCACGTGCACTGCTGGTGCCGCGATCTCGCCCAATCAAACGTACGTTCTTGCCCGTCAAGGGAAGTCTCGGTATGTGGGTATCTGGAATTTGATGGAGCTGTCGGCAAGCAATGCTCAATTGACGGACTTTGGTTCTCATCCTTCTAAAGCTGGGCTCAACGGTACGCCCTTTATAGAGCCAGAAGGTAGTATCAGAGCCGGGCTGTGTAATAAAGTTGTCTGGCTGTCCTCAAGCTAAAAAGGTACTGTGACTACGAGGATATTAGATTGTTCATATAATTTTATAAGAAGAGAAAGCACCTACAATTAACATGTATAAGGCCACGGACATCGAGTATCGAGTAGCATGCATATTGTTTACACGGACATCGAGTAGCATGCATATTGTTTACACGGACATCGAGTAGCATGCATATTGTTTACACGGACATCGAGTAGCATGCATATTGTTTCACCCATCACGATAAGATACAGAACCGAGCGTAGATTCTACCTGACAATAGCTGGCGTCATTGAACCACTGCCGTATACAGACAGCATAATAATCATCATGACCTAACACAGGCGTAGTAGCTAAGTTTTCAGACATATTACTACAATCACCACAATGCATGCTTTCCTCTGTATAACAGGTGTGATCTGAAAAGTTTTCGAAAATATATCTTTACCATAAAGCCTCGTTGGAAATGCTTCTTACCAGAAGTCATAATGCTTTCCTATTTCGAGCGAGGCCACAGGCAAACGTCCGTATTATGAAAGTGCTGACTTCACCCGACGTATTGAAGGACCATTGCCACATCAATATTATAGCTTATAATCTCAAACATAACAGCTGCACTCAACCGGATTACATTACTAGCCAGTACATGGTTTGTATTCCCGTGCCATTATATGTAGCGTTTGTGAACGTGGGTAGTGGTGGTCGTGGTGGTGGTCGTCGTCAGCGAATGCTCTTACCGGTACATGGGGCTGGCATGACGTCTCTGAGACTACATGCATACCTGCATCTCCTTAGCTCCCATTCTCTACAATCAGTAGTTGACGTCTCTGAGACTACATGCATGCCTGCATCTCCTTAGCTCACATTCTCTACAATCAGTAGTTGACGTCTCTGAGACTACATGCATACCTGCATCTCCTTAGCTCCCATTCTCTACAATCAGTAGCTCTGCCCTGTTTCCTTTTAATATGGAGGATGACTTTGTCTGCACTCACAATCCGAAATGTGTGTGTGACCTTTGCTTCGATTGGGGAGCCTCGCCTATACTTATAGTCAAGTTATACGCATGACACCGAAGACTGGTCTTGAGTGATTTTCATCACCAGATGGTTGGTGATTGGGCCAGTCTTTGACCAAACTGCCAGGTGTCAGACATCGTGTGACACTCACTCAGACATCACAGTTCAAGCGATTGCTATAGTATGCCAAAGAAGAACTGGTCTAGCTGGTCTTATCCGGTCTCAACTATAATTATCTGCTACGGCTATCTAGAATAGAGAAAAAATATAAAAGTAAGAAACTTGGCCATGCCATGAACATCTACATGCATGTAAGCATGTAAGCATGTACGCACATGTACATGTATGTACATGACTTGTCCTAAGATGATAAATGAACAAACAAAATTTAATAATCATTGTTTATATACATGGAGCTAGCAACTCACTACACTGATAAGGGAGTGGACTAGGGAAGGACCAGGTGGGGGACAATGCAAGTATAGTATATTTCTTAATCTGAGATAGGTCTCTGGAGTAGTTCAGAAAGAACTGCTCAATACTGTATCTATAAGAAATCATTACCATCATACCGGGGCTGATGCGATTGCAGTTCGTAATGACCATGAGGGAAGCAAGAAAAAATAAGCTACCTTAGAGCACCAGCAAAGCACTACTATCTTACAAGTAACGTGTGGAAAACATTACTTGTACGTATCGCTATGTGGGTGTGAGGTGGAGGTTACTTACGTATTTTCAGCCATAGCACTGGTGCTACTGGGCTGTGGGAGAGTGCAACGTGTGTGTGTGTGCGTGGGGGGGGGGGGGGGGGGGTGAGGGAGAAAGTGTGGCAGTGAAAGGGAATGCCATACCTCTCTCTGGTGAGTGCGGACAGATTAATTGTGCAATATACGGCAGTATGAATTCAATTGAACCGTGTATCACTGAGCAAACAGTCCAAAAGCACTATTCAATCTCACCCGAGACCGGACCGCATCCCACTGACCATACCAACGCTTTGTGCCATTGACATGAGTCTGCTAGCATCGCTCATCTGTGTGCGGGGTGATGTCAAGTAGACTGCTTAACGCGTAATGCTAGCTGCCATGCCCACCACGCGTCTACAGGTCACTGGTACTGGACAGCTGATGAAGTCGCGTTCCCAGCTGGGAGAAATGCAAACGGTCTTTGGGCTCCGTCTCCCAGCAGCGCAGCATGGTCTTGAATGCACCTTCTGGACATCCGTCGGGTTTGGGCAGACGCTGTCCACTCTGTACGTGGGCGTGGATGTCTTCGCTGGAAGTCCCGTCAAACGGCTGAGCTGCACCGGAGAAGATCTCCCACATAAGAACGCCGAACGACCAGATGTCGTTCTGGATGGTGAACGTCTTGCTCTTGATTGCCTCTGGCGCCATCCAACGTACTGGTAGTGGCTCTTCACCCTCCACGTCCGTGTAGTAATCATCCGGGTAGCCGTCTTCACTGCGACTGTAGAATGCCAACTTCACCTGGACACACCGGCAATGTAATCACATCAACGCGACACAGCTGGTAAACATTTAGAGCCATGTCTTAACACGTTACCTTTGCCTGGAGAATATACGTGTACAGTCTATTCAGAAAAAGATGAGCGCTGGCCCCGGAGAGCTCCCGGGTTTGCTGATTTTGCCAGTGACGCGAGATTCGAAACTTGAAAAAGGGTCCAAGAAAGGTACCTCAACTGGGGTTTGAACCGCAAATGTACTGTTCTGCAAGTGGAGTGCACGGGTTGGATTTTCATGGCTTTTCCCCAATTCAGTGCTTGGGGGCAAAACCTGGCCGAAATCCTATTCTTGTTATGGCTTGCTTTTTGGAGAAATAGACTTCAAAAACACAATTGGAAGAGCATTCCATGGATCCATGGGGGATTGCCAAAAAAATTGAGACAAAAACTCAAAATTTGACCCATTTATGGCCAAAAGCTAGGATATCATCTTTTTCTGAACGGACTGTAAGTGTTTGAACGGAGCGACAGTAGTATTATAGTGCAGACGTTGGCTGCTCCCAGTCGGGCCGAACGGGGAGGGGAGCTCATGCTTTCTACTGACTTGACTGACATGTGCATGGCTGGCTCTCAAGTCTTTTTTTGTTGTTGTTTACATTGAACATGGAATAAAAGAGTTCCGTGATTGCTATGCATGCAGCAGCTAGCTCTTGGTTTTCGGAAAACGCTCCATACCTGGTAGTTTGAGTTGATGAGGCAACTGTGACAAGCCACATCTCTGTGCACAAAGCGGCGTGCAGACAGATATTGCAGTGCGTCACACAGCTGCAGCAGAGTAGACAGCTTGTTATTATACTGCAGATGCAGATCGTCTTCGTTGTCACGGTACAGCAAAACACGCTTCAGATCGCCCTGCAAAGTGCAATTCATAAAGGAAGAAACGACGAAAACGATTAGAGCGAGAAACCATCAAGCCATGTGTGCAAACTGCTGTCCAGCAGTGCTTGTCTTATGCACTGTTCATATGACATGTTTGGGACATCAGGTTTCAATAAAGAGGCCAGAGAGTCAAAGTTACACCTGGTACATTTGGTGTTTCGAGCCAGCACAGACGAAAATATCCATTGACACATACACTGTGTCTATCATTCAAGAATGCTGAAAGCAGGTCAGTAAATGTACGCGGAATTCGTTTTGGTGGACACCCGGCCGGTAGGACCATTGGCAGCAGCTCACCTGTGTATAGTACTCATTGGCAGCAGCAGCTCACCTGTGTATAGTCCTCATTGGCAGCAGCAGCTTACCTGTGTATAGTACTCATTGGCAGCAGCAGCTTACCTGTGTATAGTACTCGCTCAGTATGCAGTAGGGATGTTTCTCTGACGACAGTGCCACACACGAAGCGATGTTCTTATGGTGCAGGCTGGCCAGTGCCAAGATGTCACGCGTGTAGCCGCTCACATCCTGTGAGCTGGCAGAGAACTTGGTCATCATTGTCGACGTGTCGGCAGCAGCAAAACCGCTGATGTAGCGATTGGTCACGTCTGTGTAAGTTGTGAAGTAGCCACGGCCCAGCTTCTTGTTGATCTATAAAAGACCAAACAAACACAACCATCTTATAGCTCAAGCACAACCAGTTCATCATAAACGAGTGGAGTGTTATGGAGAGTGTGATCAGTGCCGTGTCCATGCTCCGGAACGTAGAGCAGTTCACATACCAATGCAATCCTGGCCACATTGCAACTGAAATCAGCAGCCGCGACTGCATGTATGAATGTACCATACGGATGGAAATCTGTACACCAGGAAGTATGATCACCAGTGCTAGGCTTTCCCCAAATCGGCCCGTTTTTTTCTCTCGCTTATTCGGCTTTTCGCTAAGCTCAAAAATACATCAGATTCGGCTGCAAAATCAGCTGATTGTTCGAAAATCGGCTGCAAAATTGGAATACATTGGAAAATCGGCTAAAAGAATTGTTGGCATATTGGCTTCAAAATTGGTGAGATACTGCAAGGTTTGGTAGATTTTTGGCGATTCTCAAACCTTCCAAAATCGGCGAAAAGCTTAGCGATTTTTCGATAAGTCTCGTTTTCGGCGAATTTCGGCCGGCCGATTTGGGTATTTTACTAGTAACAATCTTCCTAATGGCTAATGTTTGTTTGAGAGGAGGTCAAAAGACACGAGTCACACCACCTCAACGCACTAGTACTACAAGTACTGACGTAGAGAGCTCGAGCACTCATGCTTGCAGCAACATCATTCATTCATAAACGCACTTTGCAACAACATTTGGTAGTTTTTCGGCGATTCTCAAAGGAACCCTCCAAAATCTACGAAAGGCTTAGCGATTTTTTCGATTCGTCTTGTTTTCGGCGAATTTGTCGGCTGGCCGATTTGGGGAAAGCCTAACCAGTGCCAGGAAACCCAAACTTACTGCTACGTGTATTATTTCCAGAAATCTCTACATGAATGCCTCCATCCAAGCGTTTTGCACAACACGAATACTCGAATAGACCGCTTACCGCTTACGGTGACAACTCTCACCTTGCATTGTTCACGCTTGAAGCGTGGTACTTCATTCAGACTGGTGAATGAAATACCATGTGGCTCTGCTGCACGGAAGATGATTGGTGTGTGCAGCACTGGTGGTGATTCCGGTTCAGGAATATCTACTGGAGGAGCAGCAGCAGCGACAGCCTCTTCCTCAGCAACAGATTTGCTCGGTCCATCACCCTCAGCGGCAGCAAGGTTCTCCTTGTCCAACGAGGGTTCATCAAGGTGATCCATGGGTGGTTTGCTACGCACCGTCTCGTGGCTGGTCTCTTCTGCCACTTGGAACACACCCAACACACAGGACGAAAGAAAGAAGATCATGTTGATACAATGCCGTGTGATACAGTACTGCATTAGCACACTGTTGTTGGAAACTCACTGCAGCCTTCTGGTTCGCATTAACGAGCAATGACGTACTTTTAAAATCCCACTATTAAAGATCACGCCATACCATTTCACAATGTGAAATGGTCTGTTGTCAGGATAGCACATAAACATGTCTGTCTCTACCATATCTGTAACAATTACCTGGGTGAGGAGTTGCATCAGTCTTCGCAGGCTGTACCCCAGTTTCAGTTAGCGTCGCTGGCGGTGCCTGGGAGCTATCATAATCCGGTGGTGCATCCTCTACCACCGTCTCCAGGACATCTTTTCGCGGGATGTTCTCCAGCTCACGTGCAGTATTCTCTTCGTCTTCCTGCTCGCCCTCGCCATCAGATTCCTTGGAGTCGCGGTGCAGGCGATAGCGCCGCTTCTGGCACCATAGCACCAAGACGACCATAGCGACAATATATAGGACAGCACAGGGTATGACAATGGCGATGGTGACAACAATGCTGCTGTTGCTAGAGTCGTCCGGTGCCTGTGTGGGTGCGATGATCCGCAGCTGGATGTTCAGGAAGCTCAGTCCGCGCTGATTGCCGGCGAGGCACTGGAAGCGTGCCTCATGGTAGCTCTCTGTGACCCGTAGAGTCATCGTACTGTTGTACGGAGCAATTGTTCCACCTGCACATAGTCACAATTGACAGTACACAACACAATGCTCAGCATGAACTGTACCAATCACTGTTCTGCACATCACAATGGTCTGCTCGGAATGTACCCTTACATCAGAATGTCACACACAAATCAGCACAACAGTGAAAAAGAACAGTTGTTACAACTCCGAGCTTCATGCACTTGGCAATCACTAGATGACTCCAGTAGGTACGGAGCTGCACCTTAGCTTCACGGAGAGCTCCCACCTCAGTGTATATAACGCACACTGGTATAATGCAAGTGCAGCTACTACAGTGTTGTACAGAAAGACCGGTGTGAGCAATGTAATGAATGTACACTTAGAACCAAGCTAGCTCTTGCAGTCTAGTGACAAACATACTTTTTCCAATGCCAAGTACATGTCGGCCACAAAAAAAGTGACACTGAAAACTGCAACAAAGGAAGTGAAGAATGAAACTGGCGATCTACGTACCTGTAAAGGGTCTGGGTGCATTTTCATATCGGTTCTTCCACTGCACGGATGGAGCTGGAATACCACCAGCAGCACAGGTTATGTCCACCTCACTGCCAAGAGTAACCTCAAGAATCTCTGGTGGTCTGTTGATAAAGAATGGTTTACCTGGCAGTGGAGAACGAGAGAAACAAAGAAGGCATGTGAGATGGCACATAGGAAGTCGACAAGGTTGCCTATTTATCCAGCCAGTGCCAGAGGATATATGCCATCGTAACAATAATCTGTTTCCTCTGAGACAAAAATGCGATAATACTCATAAAAAGGACACACTTCAGGCTCATTACAAACATCTTGAAAGTTTTTGTCTTCACAAGTATACGTTCAAGCCTTCTCGTCAGGTGAAATACAGCCAAAGGAAAAGGAACAGTGGATTAAATACAGTAAGGAGGTGGTAAAACAGCGCAAAAAAGAAGATAGCTAAAGTGAACAGCGAAATTTGCAATAATGACACAAAGGTGCAAGGGCGAGAAAACTCAATAAGCGTGACATGTAGTGCGACAACAAGAGACGACCACTGGACATACACTCAGTGTAACTAACGAGGTTTTGACGACCTACCTAACAGCCTAAGTGTGAATTTAATTAGTTTCTGCTTGCAAAGCTACACACATTATATATCAAGATAATTGGCCCAGTCACAAGCACAGTTTGTGCTAAACATGACCTCACATCACCACTATGCACAATACAGTCCCACACAGCACTATTCTGTCATCAGCCTCCATGTCCACATCACAAAACCACTCAACTTGGATGCAACTCGCTGATCTAAAGGTTGGCTGATAGAGGGAGATTTGGAAACTCGGAAAACTCACATCAGTTTATACTAGTATCCCGCAGAATTGTTCGATATGGAGATTTCAAAAGAACTACTTACCTCCCACCGAGACGTTTGTTTCCACCCACTGCTGAGAGGAGGCACACTTCCACACACCATCATCAATTTCCTCCGGTGGCGAGAACACCAATGTGCCGTCGATTTCAACATAGATGCGGCAGTTCTGGCAGCTTTCGCCCACGTGCTTGCCGACGGACCTCTCGGTGGCGGCATGTGTCCAGATCACTGGCTCCAGCATGCCATTCTTTTGCACTTCACACGGCAAGCCTGTCACTCTGCTGATGTCAGCGGTCACCTGGCTAGGAGCAAATTGAATTAACTTCGTAGACGCTGTATGTTGTGCAAAGATGAGCAACAGAAGAACCCAAAGTCACAAACGCCCAACCTTCCATTGCATGAGATACCAAGTGTTTGAAATGATTGCGAGCATAATGATTAGAATGGACAGATGTGCTTGTGTTCCCTCTCAGAGATTTCCCACCGGAAGTGCTTGCAACGCTGCTCATGCACGCAAACCGAATTCTATACTCTGATACAGGAAAAGCTTACACAGAGCGCGTAGCTGCTGATTTCGTAGCTACTTTAGAGTTTCATGCACAACGCCCTCTTCAGACAAGGAGCATTTAATACACAAGTAAACAGGAAATTCAGGCCTGATATTCAGTATTGACTGATATTCAGTATTGACTGATATTCAGTATTGACTGATATTCAGTATTGACTGATATTCAGTATTGACTGATATTCAGTATTGACTGATATTCAGCATTGACTGATATTCAGTATTGACTGATATTCAGTATTGACTGATATTCAGTATTGACTGATATTCAGTATTGACTGATATTCAGTATTGAGGCCATTTGTGGGTGTCCGGTACGGCAGCAGGGCCTCCGATAAACAGAAACAGACACGTATTCGTTGCAAAGTCTGGCGAGGCTTACAGGATACGCTGAGCATGCCACTGGTGGTCTTGACAGCGTTGGTAAGAGGGTTGGTGGCTGTGCATGTGTACATGCCTGCATCACTCAGTGACACGGGTGATATCTCCAGAGAGCTGGACAGAGTCCCGTAGGAAATCGACCGACGAATACCTGACTCAATATCCTTTCCAGATGGATCCTTCCAGGTGAAGACAGGCGCTGGGAAGGACTTTGTCGCTGCTCCACAGTCGAGCTTAACAGCATAAGATTCTCGGGCTGATTTAGCCGCAAGGGTGGTGAGATCAGGTAGATCTGTAGAAGAAATACAACAGGAAATATACTGCATCTTGAAAAAAGCCTCCTACTGTAGGATTTGCATTTTGATATAAAGTATATTTTTCGCAGTAAAAGAGTATTTATTTGTAGAGCTTGTGTTGATACAGATTCCTACAGTCAGTTTCAAAAAGATTAGCAATCCTGGCGATCGCCCGGGGAGTTTGCCGTCTTACCGTATGCGCGCTCGAGAGCTGGCTGGAAAAACTCACTGTGAACTCGAAGAAATAATCCGCGCGAAAGCATGAAAAATGACAACTCACTCACGTCGGTACATGTACGTCTGGTTTACAACAAACGAGTTCTTCCTCGTCACGATATGGAGTCAAAGAGGACATGTCGAAAGTGTGGTAAATGTTGACGAGCGGGATGGGTCCCAATTCGCTTCGTGCCCAATTTCTTTGAGCTGCGATGCAATTTGCTCTCACGATGTGACGAAAACGACATCGACACAGACTCATTCCCAAGGCCATGACTTGGCAAAGCTATCCGTGTGACTTCGACGACATTTTGAGAAAAGCAGACGCCTGTGAAAGCTGATAGAAGACGGTGTTGACTCCTAAATTCAAATAAATTGGCGATCTTGAAATACTAAAATATTTCTCAAAGAGAAATCGATCGATCGATGTGCCGTTGTATTCAACAACACGTACATGTAGCTACAGCGCAATGACTTCCGTGTTCACTCACACCGTTTCAGTGTTGTGGGTGTGTTCACATGGCGTGAACCAGTCAAGTGTCAGTAAGTTCGGCAGGAAACGCGAGTTCCAACAACAAGTCGTTTGGCGCAGCCACCTTCTTTGGCTTGTACTTTTTGTACCAGCGTGATCACCAAAACAATGAAAAAAAAGTTTGACTTGAAGATAGTTTGGAATTTGAACTCACAACTTCATGGTCAGCAGACAGCATTCATAACCACAAGGCCAAAAAGGAAAGGATAAATCGTGGGTTTTGATAAAAAAATCGATACTGACATCCACGGCAAATTGTAAACCATGGGAAAAGGCCGGAAACCTGGCCGAAATTCTAACTCCTTAACGGCTGGTCCAATTGTTCCGAAACCTTCACAGAACAATTTGCCGTGTCCTAACAAGCCATTCTATGTACTTTGTTGTCCAATTTTCCCTTATCTTCATACTTTTTAAGACCAAAACCTGATTGCTTATCTTTTTGAAATGGACTATAGGTTCAAACCCCAAGATGGGCCAGTTACTGTAAAAGCCATAATTATAACGAAGTGCTAAATCTAACGAATTAACGAGGAGAAATCTGTCGTTAAAATAGAAATCGTTATACAGAAATCGATACATATACTGTCCTATTGAGCGTTGAAAATGAGTGAGAATCGTTACCTTTGGTACACGTAAACTAGTCAATTTTAGGAAATGGTTATATATGCGCCAGAGTTAGAATAATGGCTGGTTTACAGTAGTTACATTTTTCTCTCCTTGCGTATTTTGTATCTGCATGTTATTACCCTTTCCGTGAGTCGCTCGTGAGTAATGTATGAGTCGTGTATGGCTAAACCCGTATTTCCCCACTTTACCCGTGTGACTGTCTGTCGTGAACTGTGATTGGCTGCTAGTATTAATGTTCCGGAGCTGTGAACTGTGATTGGTCAATTATGCTAATGTTTCTAGAATTTCGTCGGCGACCGGTTTTAGTAGATTGCTGATTGGTTACTGACCTACAACATGGCTGCCGGTTGCCGGACTTTTGTTCCCTTGCTTTCTTCTTTCTTGCTGCTTTTCTATCTCTTTGCATTCCAAGTGTGTATAATATTTCTTTCCTGATAACTACTGGTAAACTACGACGTGAGTGTTTAACTGGAGTGAGTGTGATTGCCTCCGGGGCCAGCTATTACATTGGTGGCAGCGGCGGGATTCGAACCCACGCCTCCGGAGAGACTGGAGTATGGTTCAATTCAATTTTAACGTTGCAGTGTCTTGATTGTGGTGGCTGTGGTGGTGGTGGTGGTGGTGGTGGTGATGATCATGGCGGTGGTGTGGTCAAACAAACAAGCCAACAAAACGGGGAGGACATAAGCCAGACCGGTACTGAGTTCTGCTTCTGAACACTCGAGGAATATTTCAATGCAGTGCTGACCAGATAATTCTTTAGAGTAGGCATCGATAATAGTTAGATGGATTGATAAAAGATGGACACATTCAACATAAATAGTACCCTGGTTACATGGGAGTAAATCCTGGGACCTGGATACCTAGGCTGAGTGCATGCGTATCAACACAATCATTGTTCTTTATCAACGCTCACCAGCTGAGTTTACGAGGAGTGTTTCTTCCTTATTTCTGCCGCCGGTGCTGTTGGCATGACACACTGCCTCACGATTCTTCCCAGCCGAATTGCCGATCACCGTCAGGTGCTGTCTGTAGGCAATGAACTTCTTGTTGGCGGTGAGCAGCTTGCCTTGTCGTGAGTGCCACGTGACCGTGTCTGGTGGAGGCCGTGCATACGCTTGGCAAGTGAAGTTGGCCGTGCCGCCGGGAAGCAGGCGAGAAAACGTATTCACAGGGCTGATCACAACGACTGCTTCAAAGTCACCGGCCGGCTCTGTTCAGGGACATGACGAGGCAGAAGGCATGGTATAGAGATAACAATCATGACATCATGCTGATGATGTAATAAAGGTACTTATAAGTTATAAGTGTACTCATCTATGTATCATATTTTCCAGAGTATACGCCACACTGGAGTAAAAGCCACACCCAGATTATTTGGTCACGAAATACAGACATCCACCCTGTTTAGCGTGGTTAATTTGACCATCGCAGTATAAGCTGCACCATTGACTTTTTTTGAGTGATTTACTGGTGTTTTTAAAGTGCGGCTTATACTCCGGAAAATACGGTGCACTGCGCCCCATTTGGCACAGACAGCGAGATATTCTTTTGCTGGTGAAAGCAACGCCCTGGCGGAAAGTGATCATACTGTCAACTTTGGCAACTGATGAAAAAAAGGAAAAGAAATGCCATGCTCAATAATACTCAATCTGCGCAGCTCAATAATAAGTATTTAGTGCACGGCCAAATTCTGCCAGAGATATGAGTAGAAAATGGCAGGCGCCCGTGCAACCAAAATCGTGGTAATACTCGTTGGACTCAAGTCTGTCGCCATCGCAGAGGTCATCTGTCACGAGAACTGCCTGTGCAAGAGGTTTAGGTCGAATCTGGGATAAAAGTACCGGCTCCATTTTGCAGAATACACCACGTGTACATCTTCACGGAGTAGTTCGCCTTACCCTGAACAAGTAGATCAACCTTGCCTCTGCTTGCCACAACACCAGCTATGTTGCTCGCTTGGCAAGTGTATGCGCCATTGTCGGTTGGCACAGCATGGCTGATGGTCAGGGTGGACACTTCACGCGGTGGCTGTGCGCTGACTGTGACACGCGTATCCAGAGGTAACGGCTCACCATCGCGATGCCAGGTGACACGCGACTGAGGGAGGGCAAGCGGCGGCTCACACAGCATTTGCACTTTGTTCCCGATCTCGACGCGAGCTGATGGATCCAGGCCCAACAGCTTGGGTGCTTGGCGGAAATCACCATCAATACCTATTAAAATTACACACCGAAAATACAAGAGGCAGTCACAGCAATGAATTGGCTATCGCCAGTCTAGTAATCAATGTTTGTTCATGGTTAGTCTTCTTCGCAATGAATCTAGGCAATGTATGGTTAGTCTTCGCAATGAATCTAGGCAATGTATGGTTAGTCTTCGCAATGAATCTAGGCAATGTATCGTTAGTCTTCGCAATGAATCTAGGCAATGTCACCCCTAAACAAGATGACACAGGATAGGAGCAGAACCAGAAGAAACCTATTTGCACAGCTCATGCAAGCAACCACCACATGCCTGGGAAGAAATGAGGGTTCGTACACTTTTTACTTCAAAGTTGAATGGCACCAGTCTGTGCGAGTACGGTACAGTGCCGTACAGTGTAGCCTATGACATATGGCTGAGAATAATCTACATGGGCCAGACACTCCCATTGTATATGGAGATACATAATTATCGAGATACATTGTATGCAAGGTGTCCAGCACAAAGTAAGACTGCAGGGGAAACTATTTTTCCGGGAAGATAGGTCGTATAACATACAGGAAACTGTCCACTTAACATAAAAACTTGTCTAGATTGTTAATCACCTACAATGATCGCGCAAGAGTCAGTCCATTTGGTTGGGAAGGGAGTGTTAAACAGGACCTAGTAATTAGTCGCGTTGAGTACCAAGCATTGTAATACAAACAGCCACAAGTGCCCGGAATTACAAAGTCATCCCAATTGCGGTACAGTTGTCCTAGTCAGTTTACGAAGTTTATGTTCCACTTTCCTATAGGGCTCTTTGGTAGAGCGAGAAGTAACATACACAACTTCACAGCAGGCATGCCACTTGACTCTCTGTACCCCCCCCCCCCCTCCCTCTCTCTCTCTCTCTCTCTGTAGCTAGCTGTGTTGAGACTACTACTGTAGTGTAAGTACTAGTGCTAGTAGTAACTGCTGCCTAATGTTGAAACCTCCTCCCTGCAGGTGAAGTGTCGGTGAGCACTCTACAGTCACTGAATTGACAGGAAGCTGGAGGATGTTGAAGCAAGTCAAGAGGATCTATAGTGCTATACGACCTGTGCATAACTAATTAAGACGAGCAGATGGTGCTATTTTCCTGGGCCTCTCTATGAACCGGGACATCTGGGCAGAGTAGCCATAAGCTATCATAGTTGTGTAAGCAGGGAGTGTGTAGTACAAAGAGGTAGAAATTTCCTGGCCAACACTCCAGCGCTCCTTGCTTCTTCATCAACTACTCTGCATGCGTGTTCAACTACCTAGATTGCACAGGATCATGTCAACAAAGTGCAGCTATTGTTGCTGCTTGAAGCCACAAGCCAAACGCCGCCATGGCATGACTGACTAATGCTGTCAAGAGGGGTAATTAAGATAAGGCCTGTGGCATGTGTGAATATCTGTCTTCTCCCCTATCCTACCACAGGCTAGGGTGTCTTCATCTGGAGTAAGTAGTCAACACTATACTATGTGGCTATTTGGTTGCAGCTGTGGGCTGTAGCCCTGTAGGGAACAGTTGCCAGAATTAACTAAATCAGTTACTCGGCAGAAGTAGTGTGTGTCAAGTAACAGTTCTGTTACCTTTTCTCCAGGCCCAGTGTGCATCACAGCCATAGCAGTGCAGTGCAGTTCTGTGTGCCCTCTCTGCTCTCTGCTCTACTGCCATGTATGATGACAACGACGTGCTATGCTGGTCTCTGCTGACTTTACGCAAACATAATAATTACGCTAGTAATAATATTATCGACTTCTGTGAAGTGTGATAGAAATATTGGTAGTACTATTCGAATGATCGGCATCAAACTCAGTAGCTGTGTTCCATGGCCCATGTCGTGAGGGGTATTCGAAGGTAGTATATTTTACTTGATAATATTATTAATTATTATTATTGTAAAAAGGCGACGTGGAGACAATAATCTTAATAATGCAATGAATATAACTAAATGCGCACTCATATCACAACCATGGGGACGAATCATGTATTCCAGAACGTTTTCTTGTCACAATTATCAATGGAATTCGTGACTAAAGAGAATGATGAAACTACAATAGGATTTATACACTTGCAGTGGAACAGCGAGGATACAAGCATAGTAAGAAAAATAGCACAAACCTAGGAACAATTTGCACAGGTAATAAACTATAGGTGAGGTGAGAAATAATAGGAAATTCAGCAAGTGCAGTGTGACAATGGACATGCATGTGTAAGTGTGTGTGAGTGCGAATTTACTGGAATAGCGTAAGTGCGGTGACATTTTCTTTTTGTGATCCAAATCTTTGTAAACAAAAAGAAAATGTCACCGCACTTACGCTATTCCAGTAAATTCGCACTCACACACACTTACACATGCATGTCCATTGTCACACTGCACTTGCTGAATTTCCTATTATTTCTCACCTCACCTATAGTTTATTACCTGTGCAAATTGTTCCTAGGTTTGTGCTATTTTTCTTACTATGCTTGTATCCTCGCTGTTCCACTGCAAGTGTATAAATCCTATTGTAGTTTCATCATTCTCTTTAGTCACGAATTCCATTGATAATTGTGACAAGAAAACGTTCTGGAATACATGATTCGTCCCCATGGTTGTGATATGAGTGCGCATTTAGTTATATTCATTGCATTATTATTATTGTAATGATGAAGCTTCAGGTGGTAATTTTGTCACCCACGGTCTAACTCCAAGGAAGAGTCGCCAGGGCTAGTCAGGGCAACACGGTGAGGATATCTCGCCTCATCACACAATCGGACAACCAGGAAAGGGTGATTTCTCATTGTGTTGACTTTTCTATGTGATTCAAACTCCATTCCTCACCGATCCGTGCAACTTCTCCTTCCTTGTCCTACAACTAGTACCATGTACTTCTCGCATCAGTCGGGTACTAGGAGCTCCTACTACTAGTCCTAGCCATCGACTACATGTAGCGGTAGAAACTAGAAACACAACAACGCGCCAGTAGTAGTACCACCACGACGCGAGTACAGGTTCTAGCACAGTAGCAGTAGCAGTACTAGTCTACTACTAGGTTTTGTACTTACGATATACGGTCAGTGCCACTCTCCGACTGGTGGCTACTTGGCTGCTTGAGTCAGCTGCCAGGCACATTACAGCACCAGCCTCGCTCGGCACAATGTCCTTCATGGTCAACTGGCTGGAGATGGAAGTGCTGTCTGCGTTGGCACTGGGAGTCGGCGACGAGACAATGGTACGACGGCTGGTGTCGTTCGTCACCACCGCTCGTTTCACCTGCCATTTCAGAACCAGGCCAGCATCTCCTTCTGCCTGGCACGAGAAGGTGAGGGTTTCGCCTACTTTCCCACCGGAGTCCTCTGGATGCACTAGGAAGCGAGGAACTGCAGCCGCAAAAGCTGTTGTCCATGGCCATAGAGAAGATCATTCATAAATCAACAGAAGAAGCATGGAACAAGACCAACATTGGCAACAATGCACAGAAATCGCACACAAAATAATTCGTACATGCACAACAATCCACAGGCACAGATAGCCGCCGTCGCGACACACGACATAGAGAAGAACCAGTGAATAGGATGCAAGAGGGAGTCAGTGGAAGAAAACATGATACGCTGAAAACATACGGACGGCAAGGCTGACAAGGAAATACGCGGCGGGCACACTCAATGCACTGACTCAGTGTACGTGTACGAAAGAACAACGAACGTTTAGCCCAGATTTTATTCAGCGCCACTGCGCGCTCCATCTCCATTTTTTGTATACCACCATTGTCTCACAAAGACAGGGTAAACACAAACGCAGCCATTGCCATAGGTCCGCGAGGATCGCTTGCCAATAAGAACTTCTGGTAATCGAGTCGACGCCTACACTATTCCTGGTTTCGGGGCAAAGCACAGGCATAATGTTATCACAGATCGGCGGCAAAGTACCGACTATTCTACCACCTGGAGACTGGAAGCATATCGCTAGACGGAGACAAGAACTCCAACAGAGAGCGAGCAGACTTACACGCTAGGCACCCGCAGAGGGTGAGAACACGGAACAGAGCCGATGCCGCCATGGACCTCCCGATTCGCCACTCAATTATCTAGTATTTTTTTTCGCAAGGGACCCGTGCTCGTCGTTACTCCATCCACCCGAGCAGGAAAGACTCCCTGTCAGTTTCTCACTTCCTCACGTCAGCTGTAGGAAGTCCTAGCAGTAGCAGCTGCACTTCCACACCGTGGAAAAAGCAGGTGGTCCTTTGCCTCCCCTCTCACTCCTCGCTCCTCTGTAATGCTAACCACCTCTCAGTCTAATGAAGTAACAATAAGTGCTCAGACTCAGAGGATGGGAAACGACTGGGAGTCAGGCCAACGGCCAAGCGGGGACTGCTCAAATGAGGATTCACGCAAGCTCAACTCATATCACGGCTCAACGACAACGGCGCAGCATACAACACTCAACAGTCAACGGTCAGCGCCTGTAGTGTAGGCTGTACTGCTGACAGACTCACTCACTGTCACTCAGACTCTCAGTGCAGTGGGGCATATTTTTTGTAGTGCATTTACCATGATTTAATACATGTACGTGCATGTGCCGCGTTGCGGGCAACGATTTTACGTACGTTACGACCAGGGAGTCGTATAGACCCGGGAGGCGACACGCGCATCACTTGTGCACAACCATGATCGACTCAACGATTCAAAATATTACGACCTGCTCGGTGTGGGACAAGTCCGTACATAGGTCATAGCGCCCGGGAAATCCGTACATAGCGTCGTCTTCGTCCTTTCGCTGAACAATTGTGGTCAGACTTTCGATCGCCATTGCCGAAATACAGCCATCTGTGGCCATCGCTGAGGAGTTCACTAATACAGGGTCTTGTTCACTGGCTTACTCACTGGCTTTGCACTGCCACTCGAACTCTGAGGCACTTTGACCACCTAAGATGAGGTAATCCTTTCTTTACAAATTGCCTCAATATTTTCTCACCTTTAGGGCAATGAAGTAATTTTTTTCCTCGTGACTAACTTCGACCGACCAAGTTGCCCTGTCCCAGTGATCTACAATACTTATATTGCACATTTGTGAAATATTGGACCTATCCAGATAAACGAAATGACTTTTATTCGAAATTACATTTTCCAAAGTTTTCCTTCACAAATAGTCCCAATTTCTTCTCACCTTTAGGGCAATGAAGTCAATTTTTCTTCAGGACTAACATCGGCTAACAAAGTGGCGCTGTCCCAGTGATCTACAATACTTATAATCATTGCACATGTGAAATATTGGGAGTCACAGAGTGAGGAAATGGCCTAAATTGAAACTTGAACTGTTCTGCCAAGTTTTATGCAGTGAACGCAGGGCTGAGAGCCCGCAAGAGCCATCCCGGAAGATCTTGTGCGCCACCAACCGAACCTTCGGTGAATGTTCACAAGGTTAGAAGCTCGCACAGATAACACACATTGGATGCTAATAGTAATACAATGCACTCAGGAATGTGTGCAAATACGACAGAATTAATTCCAAATAAAGTCAACAATAGCTGCCTCAACACAGTGCCATCAACCTTCCGTATTTTCCATATTTGTACGGAAAATCACTACTTCGTCCCCGCTATGGATTTTGAGAAAAATGTACGGAAAATTGAACGGGATTGATCAGTATGTATAAGCATTGCAAGTGCAAGCTGAGCGATGAAAAGAAGAGAACCGAGTGGAAAGAAAACGCTGCAGTGGAGAGTCCTTAGAAAAGACTTAAAACATATCAATAATATCGCTGCACGAGATCATCCTTATAAGTTATAACGTCAGCTGATCGTACTGTGGTTGATTCATACGGCGGTAAATACACACCTGCCTACACACGCTCTCTAAACTGAAAAGTTATTCTGGCACAGAGCTCTCCTTCCCGCCACCACCACCACCATCATCAGTTCGCGTCTGGCGCCTAGTCGATGCAGGGTGAGTGGTGTCAGACATAGCAGGCTGGTACATCAGGTAGCGTATGGCGCATAGCAGATGACACAGCAACAACATAGCTTGATTGCGACGTACCTTTCGTCCCGGCTGGACTCTTCAGGCAATCTTCTTCTTAGATGTCTTCACAAGGAGCTTGACTCGGGAGAATGAAGTTGAAGACTCCACTGCAACTGCACTTATGGTTGGTTCATATGGTGGTAAATACACACCTGGCAATATGGGGGTAAATACACGCCTGCCCAGACACGCTCTCTAAACTGCAAAGTTATTCTGGCACAGAGCTCTCCTTCTCACCACCACCACCACCACCATCAGTTCGCGCCTGGCGCCTAGTCGATGCATGGTTAGCGGTATCCGACATAGCAGGCTGGCACATCAGGTAACGCATGGCACATAGAAGATGGCAACGACATAGCTTGATTGCGACGTACATTTCGTTCTCTTGGTTGTGCTGTAGCCTGAAAAAGGAAATAAGACAATGCATCCACATGACGCAGACAAGTATTATTACTGTTACAAATAATGCATACTGCTTGATAACAGAGAAAGAAAGTCAGTGGTCACACAAGTTTTTGGTCGTCCCTGAAACGAAGATCGTTCCAGGGGGGGGGGGGGGGGGGGGGGGAGCTAAAATCTCAGTCCACTGACGCTATGCATACACATGTACATGCATGCGATTTTCGTCGTCCATTCATTTCGGAGGGTGGAGAGGAGGTCCGAGTACGAAATGAATGTTTTTTTTCAGGGATGACTAATCACTTTTGCGATGACCCCTTATTGCATCAATTTATCGTCTGAACTGCGCAATTGAGTCCCACTTTTATTATGTTGGGTCCAGATTTCAAGACTCGTGAAGTTCGAGGCGAAAAGCAGGCCGATGAAGGGACGCCAGTAATTCAGTCTAGTCCGGTGTCATGGAGAGGGGCCGATGAACCGGCAACAAGAGAATTCAATACGCATGCTACTCTTCAGTTCATTGCTGGGGAAGACTACTCAAGGCCACGTCACTCCGGCAATTTAATGTACAAATCAGCAGCAACACTTGCAAACGTATTCCTACCAGCTGACCAGCAAGTTACCAGCCATCAGCTCTTCAAATAATTTCAACATAACAAAGAGAGGAGATGGACAGATCGGAAAGTATCGTGGCAAGCTCAGGACAACACACGTCCGGCCCTATGTAACAACAGTGGAAAGTGCGTGCCATGGTATATTTTCGAAGGCATATCAAAAACCAGCTAATGTGGACTGGGAGTCCATTTCCATCGTCCGATCAGCTGCTACAAGTGCCGTGAGCCAATGGCAAACACGTTTGACAGAGACTACTACCTCTACTGAATGCAACTTTGGCATGGCAGAGATCTACAAGCACGTTATCTTATCTATCAATAGAGTTGTATCCTCGTATGACTATGTGAAGTGTGAGGTTGTACTGCACTGCAGACGCGTCTACGACCTGGTTGGAAATGTACGCAACAGTTCCCACCCTCTTGACTAGAGATCGCACACACCCTAGGGTTTTGATGGGTTTGTACGACTCCCAGCTCTTGACTTTTGTTGGGTGTACGAGACGCACGCACAGTTTTCTTAGGGTGAGTACTTTTTCATGTAGTACTGAATGCGGCAAGCAGGACTCGCCCATCCGCCCCTCCCCAAATGGATCTACTCGAATGGTTCCGGAGGTAGGGGTGCTCTGGCAGGATTTTACGACATACACAAGCGCGCACACACGCACACAATATACACACGCACGCACACACATACACACGAACGCACGCTATGTCGCACGTCTTGGGCATGGCTTCGTGAATACAAAATAATTTAATGTTATAATTTATAGGATCCAAATGTTAGAGCAGCTTTACAAAACCTACCGTTCAATACCGGATCATCTTGTGACAGCTTCCTTGCAACACCCATGACTTGACCCCACTTCGTCTTGACGTCGGGAAATCGTTCACACCGGAGTTGGGACACGACTCATTGAAATCCAGGCCTATCTGCTGCTGGGAGCAGGACAGAGCTGATGGACGTCAGCAGCGGCTGTAGAACAACCATAAACGAGTCGTCTTTCTCCCCAGTCAGGCGGGACAGCAGCTTTGCAACGCAAGCTTCTTGCCTTCTGTGGGTCTTTAGCGGCTGGGATTCGGAACGCTCTGTAGAAACCATTGAACAAGAGTACCCGTACTGCACTCTATCAACCCACAAGTATTTCTTCCAATTCATGATTATTCGCAACTTTTTATGCAGTACGCGCACCAGATCAGAAGCCGCTAAGTAGCAGCAAGGTTGAAAGTTTCAAGACAAATTGAAAAATATAATATATTAAACATAGAAAATTAGAATTCAAACCTCGTACCTGTGGCCCAAGCCAATACAGACTGAGCGTTCACGCGAAGAGAACGTACATCTACGTCAGCTGAGGTTTCCTTAGGATCAGGAGGTGATTCTTGACCCGGATCTGGATCGCGATCAGCAGCACTCTCTGCCTCAATCACGATCATCAAATGCAACTAATTACTTGGAAAAGTAGTTCATTCTTCTTCTTCTTTTCGAGCTACGATTTCCCACGATCCTATCGATCCTGCACGAGTCCGTTCCCCAAGGAGTGCACTCCCAAAATCCCATGGCACAAGTACGCGGAGTAGTTGGTTTATAACTCAGGGCACGCACCGGGGATATCTGAGGGAAAAGTGGGAGAAAGTGCCGCGAGTCAATCATAGTCGGCCCGGAAGGCCTCGTGTCGCCTCCCGGGTCTATACGACTCCCTGGTTACGACGTTGATTCTTCACGACGTACTAATACGTAAGCGCTTTACTTGCTTGTAAAAAATACTGTACATAGATTATTATTATTATTATACATGACACGTAGATCTACATGTGCCTACAATGCATGACCGTGAAGGCGTGATGACTATGCACGTCGTGGTAGAGCTACATCATTCTACACAACTCGATCGATTGGCATCGCGCGATTGATACTTGCTGCGGTACGTGTCACTGTCATGTCAGGCCACTCAGCGGCCAGCGCCAGACTTAGTCTTACTCTTAGGCCAAGTAACAGTTAGGGCCGGGGGCGTTCGTCTTCATCAACTGTTGGAACAAATTTTTAAAAGAGATTAGTTGAAGTGTCCCAGGCATTAGAACGGTTCCTATCATTAATTTTTAGAGTTTTCAGTGGCATGGCGATGATGACGTCCCATCAGATCGACCGTCTCCACGTACTACGTGACGTAGCTATTCCAAACTAGACCAAAGTCTTCGTAACTAATCCACCTCTCCCATCGGATGAGGTTGTGGAGTTTCGAGGAGTTTCGTTTTTCTGAGGAGGCCAATAAGGCCAAGCCCAAAAGTAGTTGTGAAGCAGTCGTTTAGCGTTTGTCGATACTACTAGTGATAAGTAGTTGGTAGTAAAGCCACATACATGTACAATCATGTACATGTACATGTACATAACAACAAGCCCTGAATACATTTGAATGCATGCGTTGACGGGTTGAGTTCTTTCTCCATTGTTGTTCTCA